ATCTTTTAAGATATATAATATACTCTAGGTTATATAGTTAGTTATAGTTAGAAATTCTAGTTAACTATATAGTATAGTCTAATTAGCAGAGCTATATAGTTTTAATAAATAAAATTAACTCTTATATAATAAAGTAACACCTAAATAGTTAGGTAAGTAAGAGGTTAAGAGTAAAGAGAATAAAATAGGCTTAATTATTAATATAATATTTCCTAAATTAGTTAAATTAAGTAGATAGCCTTAATAGTTAAAACTAATAGTACTTTAAGGAATACATAGGCTATTAAGACTTATAGGCTGTTAATAGCTATTATAATAGTGCTAATAGTAGTAATAGCAGGTATAGTAGTAACAGAGAAGATAGAGAAAATAGAGAAGACAGTAATAGTAGAGGTTATAGAAGAGATAGAGAAGATAGTAATAGCTAAGGTAATAGTTATAATAGTAGTAATAGTAGTAATAGTTATAATAGTTATAATAGTTATAATAGTTATAACAGTTATAATAGAAATAATAGGAGTAATAGAAGTAGCAGTAGTAGAGTTTATACTAGGGGTGCTAGGAGTAACTAGGCTAACTAGAAAGCTTAAGTTTATAAAGTACCTCTATAACCTAGGTAAACATTACTAGGCTAAACACCTATTAAGGATAACCTAGTTATTATAACTATAAACACTGTTACGTACCTTAATATATACTAAAAAGACTTTAGTCTTATAAAGAAACTTAAATATAGAAAAATAGCTACCTAGCTAGGCTACTAGAGGGAAGAATATTCTAGGTATAGCTTATTAAAATCTACTTTTGCTAACGTAGACGTAATATAGTAAGAATCTAATATAGTAACTTAGTATAAAAGCTATTACTTAGCCCCTTTTTACATAGTAAATATTAGTTAAAGTATATAGTTATAGTAATAGAGAGCTAATTAGAATACTGTCTATAGTTTAGGTATAATATAAGTTTCTTCTATAATACTAGTAGTTCTTCTCTTAATATATTATATAGTAGCTCCTATAGAATTTCTACTAGCTTACTATCTTTCTCTATAATTTTAATAGAGTAGTTAATAGTAGCTCCTTTTAGTAGTATAAGCTTATTAGCCTTTTCTCTTAGAAAGGTTCTAAACTTACTTTATAGATAGCTTAGTAGCTTTTTTTAGAAGTTAACTATTTTCTTTTTCTTTAGTACTTTCTTAATATCTACTATAAAAGTAGAGTATAGTTAAATCTATTTATCTTTTTAAAATTATTTGGCCTAGGCTAAATATACTTATATACTAATAGCTCTAAAAACCTTTATAAGTATTCTACCTTTTTAGCTCTATATTCTAGTCTAGCTACTATAGATAAATATAGATTTCTTTACTAGTACTAGTATTACCTAGTATCTATCTATCTAAAGTTTTCCTAGAATAAAGTTATACTCTTTATCTTCTTTTAGCTTATAAGCCTATCTTTCTTCTTTATAGCTATCTATATCTATCTATATTTAGATAGCTACTTCTATCTAAGAAAACTTCTTTTCTACTCTAATAATAGGTCTTTATATAATTATAGTATACTTTAGATTATTATTTCTTATAAACTTAGAAGAGATAACTAAATAAGTTAAGTAGCTAGTATTAATTAAGGTAGATACTATAGCTATATTATTTATAATTATATAGATAGTTAATAGTTTTCTATCTAGCTAGTTTTACTAAAATAATAAGAACTACTCTTTTTTTTAATTTAGTTTCTTATACCTCTACTTATATCTATATATAGAGGTTTCTAGTTTTCTAAACCTACTATTTCTTTATTTAAGGACTTTTCTAGGTTATAGGTTACTATAAAAGTAGCTTAAGCTAGATAATTAGCTAGCGCTAGAAAGTACTTATTAGTATAGTACCTAGGTTTTTTATAACGTAAATATAGGTTCTTTTTTTTATAGAAAGAGTACTCTTCTTTAGAGGCCTATTTAGCTTTATTCTAGGTTTTACCTATTACTTTAATTACTTAACTAAAGTAAGCTTTTAAGAGTTTCTAGTCTATAAAGTTATTTTAAAAAGACCTTATATATAAGAAGGTAGACCTAATTTTAGCTCTAAAAAGATTTTCCTTAATAGTAACTACTTAAGTTATTAGTAACTAAATAGTCTAGTTACTTAGTACTTTTATAGATATTATTTAGTCTTATAAGTTAGGCTATAGAGCGCTAAAATACCTTATTTTTAAGTTATTAGTATTACTTTTCTTTTCTACTTTAAAGGCTAGCCTTATAAATTCTATATTAAAGTATTATAAGAAAAGCTTTCTTTACTAAAAGGTTTAAAGTTTCTACCTAGCTTTTTTAGTATATAAGTTATTTATAAATTATTTATCTAGAAATATTTATAGGCCTTTTATAATACTTATTTTATTATAATCTATCTATAATAGAGTAATACTAGCTATAGGCTTCTTTAATTAGTTAAAAATATACCTAGAGCCTAATTCTAGTTCTCTAATATTACGTTCTAGCTTATAGTTTATCTAGGTTTAGAACCTCTAATAGTTCTTTTAGTTACTATTAAAGTAGTTAAGATTTAGTATCTTAAAGTTTTTTATATAGGTCCTAATAGGTACTATAAGGAAAACTAGTTTTAGAACTACTCTTAGTTAATATATCTCTTCTTCTAATTATTATACTCTTTATTTAGTAGAGATAAGTAGTAGTAGTATACTATTCTTAAGAATATTAATTTCCTAAGTTAGTATTTATAATGCATTTTATAATTCTTCTAAGAAGAGTTATTTATTAGGTTTATTAATTAGTTATTTACTAGCTACTACTAATAATAGGCTAGCTATTAAGATTAGTATATTTATAAACTTTATTATCTATTATTTATCCTCTTAGAGACTTTAAAAGACTAGTTAGAGTTTTAGCTATACTTCTTATTTATCTAAGTTCTATCTAGCTATAGTTTAGAGGCGTATCTTAATTACTTCTTATATAAAGCCTATCTCTACTAGCTATAAAGCTTCTGCTTTTAGCTTAGTAACTATAGTATCTCTTTTAATAGATATACTACTAGTAGTTTTCTAGAACTCTTCTAATTTCTAGAGAAGTTTTTATAAGTAAATTTTAATATAAAAGGCTAACCCTAAGAGTAGTTACTAGTATAAATTTAATAAATTTACTAAGAATCTATAGTACTAGTTTTTCTCTACTTATAGTCCTTCTAGTAGTATACTAGCTGTTTCTAGTAGGCGTTAGTAGTTAGGGCAGCTAAGCTCTAAGGCTTTACTTACTAAGGTTCTACTAGGCCTAGCCTATTATAGAAAGAAGTATAGTAATATTAAAATATTAAGATAAGTATAGGTATTAAAGTTATAGAGTTATTTAAATTATTTTAATAAACTTTAAAGTTTAAAGTTTTTAAAGTTTTAAGTACTATACTAGTAACTTAGTATTACTTAATTAAGTAAAGTACTACTATAAATTAGTACTACTTATTATACTAGTAAAGAATTAGAAGGATTTTAAAGCCTACTTTATAGTATTTATAACTATTACTTATATTTACTTTTTAATACTAAGCTTTCTATATTTACTAGCTATATATATGTTTTTTAAAATACTTAGCTAAAACTTAAGACTTATAAAATATAGCTTTAATTATAAGTATAACCTTAATATTTAAATGCTATATCTTATACTATACTAAGTAGCTAAGCTATATATATAAGCTATACTATATAACTATTATTATATTAGAGCTTAAAAATTATAAAAATTATACCTAGTATATATTAACTTAGAATTTAAGCTTAAAATATATAATTTTTAAGCTCTACTATAGCTATTAAACTAAATTTAAAGCTAAGTATAATAGTTTATATAGGTAGTAATATATAATACAGTATTTAAGTATTTAGACTAGCTTCTAGCTTCTAAGATCCCCTGCTAGCTTAAGACGAAACAACTGGAGTTTTACGGTAGAGACTGTTACATTTTCTTCCCACTCGCCATACCCATGGGTACATCGTCGTCGTTCCAAACAGCCGTCCGAAATTTTGAAAAAAGAAGAAGGACAGCAAGGCGCTTAAGCTTATATATTCGGTTTACCTATTGAGATGTGATGTTCGTGAGTTTTGTGGACTCCGATAGACAGATCAGAGACAAGGAGAGTCGGATGCGGCCGGTCGCCGTACCCACATGCGCTAACGTAGCGAGACGGGAATCAGCATTGCCTGTGCACATCGCAGATTTTGACACTGAGCTAAGAATTTTTGCTTGATACATCTTCTAAGTCACTATCACTGATCTACTCACACAACTCATCCCATCCTAGAACATGATGGACTAATATACAACCGCCACAGCGGTTCATCTCTCATTCTCTCGGAAAAAGGAGACAATGGAAAGGGGTAAACAGCAATAGTCACAAGATCTTGCAGATGTTGTGAATTTCAATAAACCGAACGTGGCAAAACGACCCCCAGCGCTTGATACAAAGAAATACCTACTACACACACTCTAGCGAAAAACGTCGACTGGATGCAAAGATCTTGGTAAGGCTTAGCTCGAAGTATGCGTTCGTCGAGAAGATCAGGCGGAAAAGATGAAAATAGAACTGGGTCTCCCTTGAAATGACTCACATGTTATTGCAGCCATATGGTGAGGACTTCCATGGTCTTTGACACGTTCAATCGGCTTCACCGCGGTAAGGTCTACTACTGCGCGACCCGCCGACGTTGTTGCACACGAGCTCTAGGTTGCCAGACCAGTTACGATGGTCGCTAGCCTGGATCATACGCAGCAAATATCGAATTTGATTCAAAACGGCAACATCGCGACTAGGGTCACAATGTCACAATCCTGTTAGGCGTCTATTTCAGGCTTGACCGGTAGACCAAAAGATGAGTGTATTACCACCGCCATCAGCAATCCTCTCACGCACCTCTGAAATCTTACAGACTCTCGTTTTCACGACAATCGTTGGAAGCTATATGGTCAGGATGCCGTTCTCTTTCAATCTTCCGCGCGCGGCATCTCCCCGTCTCCGTGGCCTCCAAGTTAGTCTGCTTGGGGTTGTTTTCTCCACAATTATCGCTGACTTCTGCGTCGCTGTCATCCCCGCGATGCACTAGGCATTCACCTTCTAATCGTGAAATCCGTGACAATCACTATTTTTGTCTGTAAAGAGCAAGCGACTACTGCGCAGGGTGCCTTGACCAAGGTTAGATATATGAAGTACCAGCTGCTGGAGAGAGTCGTCGCAGGGTTTTGTACATGGTCAAATTAATCACATTTTTGGCGACACTAATTGGCAGAACTCCAAGTGTGACTACAGGAAACAGTCTTTGGATCCGTGGAGTACGTGTGAATCGGTACCAAGGTTCGATCCTATGGATGTATGGGTTAAATTGGTTAGTCCAATGATACCTTGCACTTTTGAGTATAGTTAGTGGTACTGATGTTCTTTATCTGGACTGGCTTGCTCTATTCATGTTGTATGTCCAGCATGAAGCAAGGACCTGTTCGTTTTGCTGTTGATGAAGTACATCTTACACTGGATACGGAATGTGGGGACGAGACATCGAATGCTGAGGCTATTGCACAAGAGCTACAGGCCTAAGATTCCAAAGTCCGCGTCTAGACAAGTGGCCTTTCTCGGTCGAAGGACGACCTAGACCTGCGCTCATCTGTATTGCTGAGACTGGCGACATGTTGCTTGAACATTTGAACAAGAACTGAGCCAGCAGGAGATAGAGAAGCGCATCGATAGAAAAGAGGGCGTACGATTGGATTTCTTTGGTCTTTGGTTACTCACAACAACCTAGCCAGTGTTACTTCGATCAATCCCTGCTATCTCTTCTTTCCTTTGTGATATCATCCATAGCCAGTGACAACTGACTTCTCTTAAAAGGCGAAGGCGACCAGCCCAACAACACCTGCAATTGCGACAGGAGCTTTGGCGGCAGCGGCCGCCCCAGTGTACTCTGGTAGGGCAGACGAGGCACTAGAACCCGAGGGAACTACGCTGGAGGATGACGCCCCGCCAGAAGTGGGGGTAGGAGTTTGAGAGGGAGTAAGGTCGAAAGACTTGAAATGGGGTTAGTCAAAGATCATGGTTGAGGTGATGCAATAGGTGACCGCGCGAACTAAGCATACGTGGTGGCAACTTACTGAGAGAACCCCACTGGTAGATTGGGGAGCGGCTGTTTGAGTTAGTACTGGATTTTACGATCTCAATAGTCGATAACATACCAGACGATAGTTCAGGTGTCATAGAAGTTGCTGGAGTCGCAGATGATACCGGAGCTGCAGACGATACTGGGGCTGTCGATGATGCCGGAGCCGCACTCGTAGCCGTGTCGCCAATTGGATAGCCAGCATTCGAGCAGAGACCACTCAACACCTCTAACACTTTTGCCTGGTCGGCTGTGCTTGAGCAAGCACTTGCAACACATGTAGTGAGGGGAGGGGTCAGCGCTGCCGCCTTTTGGCATGAGCACGCAAAGTCGGTGGTGCTGCAGCCGACACCTGCAACACCCTGGAGGAGGCAGGAGAGAGAGCAAGAGGGCAGATCGGCGATAGTCTGCGCGGCAACAAGAGCCGTGAGTGTGGCAAGGGTGAGTGTGTACTTCATCTTGGGTGGTTGAACAAAATGTCTTGGCGTAGGATGAAGAAGCTCTTGCAGTGACTGAGTGTGGAGGTCGATCGTACGAGAATGAAAAAGCAAAACACAAACGACGTACGGCTGTTTATACTTAAACTTTCCAAACTCTACGACCCCTCACAGTGTTCCTTTCGGTCACATAACCACTCTCGGAAGTGATTCCCAATATCCATTCGGCTACCTCGAAGGATCTTCATCATGTAGCGTCGAGACACTCAGCAGTCACCAATCGTAGCCTCAGTTCTCATGCCGTTGCCACAGTACGGCGGCAGAATCGCTGGCCGTTTTGGAAGGTGTGAGTATGTACCTGTCAACTGCTGGGATACGTTATTGAAATGTCGATGCGATTGGAGAGGGCGAAACCATCGAATGTAAATCCGGGGTAGGGCGGCATGCATGTGATGAAGTGATGTCATGTGAAGTATCAATATCCTGTAGCTAACCCACAACGAGATGATGTTCTTGATAAAACGTATAGAAACAGAACGGTGTTCATCAACTGCATGCTAGCCGTGCCTGGGGATCCCTGTCATTGGCCCGCCCCCGCATTTTGGACTCAGCAATAAGATTTCCTGCATGAACCCATATACTCAAAATATAGTTTTGTCCAATACATCATGATCACATCAGCTGAACAGACTTCATGCTCTCGTGTTACACACATACAGCCCTCCTGCTTCAAGGTTCTAGGATATGTGTAGATGACAATGACTCTACAGGGACGCGAACATGCAGGACGCAGGAACAAGGAACAAGGGATCGGTCGTAGGTGCGTTTTGAGCGACGTGCATAGGGTCAACCCGTGCCGCAGGTTGCAGACATATTCAATTGGTTTGTTCTGAGAGCGAAAATGCAGACACCGAGGTTGTAGAGAAAAGGCAAAGTGCTGACATGTGCGCTATTTCCAACGTTGATAAGTCTTAATCGTTTCGTGTGTTTTACTTGGTTCTTCGTTATCATGGTTCTCGCATTCGCACTTGAAGGAAGATAGAAATATGTTGTCCAACGCGTAGAAAGATTTTGGGGTATCTAAACATCTGGCGCACGATCTGTTGCGGTAATGGTGAATTACAATATATTTTCTGCAATATCGGTCAATCTCCTGCTTTGTTCATCTGTCTTCTAAACAAGACGAACACGGATATGTGACCCTCGGTAGAGGCAGAGTCTTCTAGTCCTTCACATGCTCGATCTTCTTTGACCAATCCTCGGAGCTTGTCATCTCAACCCATGTTTCGTTGACTCTTTGCTCAGGTTTCTTTTGATCCAGCTCCAGATTGTCTGTTTGGCCGTTTCTGCTCGTCTTGGCATCCTGGACAACGCTGTCATTTTTGAGTATCTGTTGCTGATGACATGGCGTCGAACTCCGGATAAAAATCTCCTTCGTCTTCATAATCTCATTGTCTGGCAAAGACGGTCGAGAATGGTCATTGCCGACTAAATTTCGGATAAAGGAGAAGTTTTGTTGACGCGGCTCAGCAAAGATCGCGGTTTTGGGTGGTTCTGGAAAGGCGCCGGGCGTTGACCCAAAAGTCAGGAGGTAGGACGTGTCTTCTCTTGCGCGCGAGTGATCTGTGGCAATTTTCTTGATAAGGCGGGCCAAGAACATTTCTATATTGAGCTTGACAAGATAAGCAAGGGGATGGAACATTGCGTAGCTGCATCTGAGTGTTAGCTGATGATTTGGACAGGGCTTTTCATCGTTCGCCATTCAACCTCTCGAAGCCCACTTACACAAATCCATTGGGGATGCTCATAGCGCCAATAATGACGACATCCATCAGGAGTGAAAGGACGATGATGCGTTGGCAAAATCGGACTAGAGCGTTGTACTTCTGCAGCCCATTCTCCACTAGGTTTGCCTTGACGAGTCGAATGAAGTAATAGTTCAGATAGCCATCCATGAACAGGTACAAGATCTTCTCGATGTGGTCCCAGATTTCGTTGATATGCATCCATCTGTTGATATGTCAATGAGGCTGGATGCGATAGTTAGTAGTGCAAGACATACTCCTCACTGATCTCCAAACGTGCTGGTATCCATACGACAAAGACACTGATATTGACTAGGGTGACAGCGATGGCGGTAGTAATCATAAGTCGTCGTCCTCGTGCCCTATCTGGTAATATGACTCGGATTCGATTTATAATGATTTGCAGCAAAAGTTGCACTTGAACGGACCAGAGACAAACTTTGTAGAGTTAGTTAGATTCGGCTGGTACTAGCAGATGAATAAACTTACGAAGGCTCATATAGAAGTAGAAGCTGGGCCGAATAACCTTGAGTAAATATAGCATACATTGGATCGCGATTATGAAGCACGCTCCCAGCTCAAGCCAGATCATCCATATGTACGGGCTCCGCCATGGCCGTTGACAAAATCTCGTTTGCTGGACAGCAACATATGCGCCTGTTATAGCAAAAATATTGCTGAGACCGAACACAACGCCTGCTATGATAATGCTCGCTTTGGTGATGGGTTGAATGATATAGTCGTCGTTTACAAAAGGACCCCAGGCAGTGAACCCAGGATCTGGCATAAATTCTTCGTTCATGGCGGTCTGAATTGTAGACCTATGGTTCTGGAATTAGGACATATGGAAAGACGGTAGGTTAGTGACAGCGGCCTTACTATGGGTATCTTCCTTAAGTTTAAGCATTGTCCATTTCTTAGCAATGAGAAGTCCTGCCTCTCAGGGGAGTGACGGACAACGCTAGCCTAAACTTGAGGGAGATGCCACGGGCGGTGTAGCGTAAGTAGTGCGTAGGGTGATCCGCGTTGACCCCGCGTTTCGGGCCTCTCCATCTTATTTTGGTGTTTAGACGAATGGCACGACGCGTTTAAACGTTCGTAACCCCAAACGTTGATAGCGACCCATGGCAACCTAACTGGATTAACCCTGGTGTCGATTCGTGCATGCCCAACATTGGGTCACAAATCTCCTACATCCCGGCTTGAGTGCATAGCGTATTCTTTTATCTATCGTCAGCCCCCTATTTGCTACAACCCTTGCTTAGAGGCTTTGCGAGTTCTACAAGTGCCGACGCATAACTCTCTTGAGTAGAGAACTAGAGTTTAAGCCCTTGCTTAGGCGATTTTATCCCTACATTGAGGCTTCGTAGAAGCTTGCCTATTGGTCTCCCATCACGTTATGCACCCGAGCTGGGGGCGGGGGGATGCAACCGATACCCTAAAACCAAACGAAGCAACAAGGCCATTGACGATCTGATAATGTAACCGTCGTTGCAGCATTATATGTCGAACAGACAGAGCAAACATACGCGTGACGTAGAACTTGAAAGACTCCACCGAAAAGCGATGAACGCGAGACCAAGAGCAATGGTAAGTTGGCTGACACCCCATGCAGCTGGCCCGTCTCAGTCGACGTGGATGCCCTGTCTGAGTTGACGCAGTACGTGTCCGGAAGAGTGCTTGACAGCCGCGTCTCAATAACCAACTATCCCCGGCTTTCATGTGTCCATAATAGTCCAAAGCCGGTCTGCCCAGGATCATGAGTAGGTATAGCCTCGGGGTTTCCAGTACCCGTATGTTTTGCCAGATTACATTGCCACCTTTTGTATGGAAAGATACCACATTCAGATTTCGGCGAAATAAAAGAGCCCGTATTTAATGCACAGCCAATTGTATTTGTCCCGAAAGACAAAGCACCAATCACGCTTAACGGACTGGCAAAAGCTTAGGAGGCCATCACAGTGGCTATGTTTCCTGGGGAATGCACGAGACGGATTCTGTACGTTACTCATACACCCTATCGTATGGACTTCTGAGATACCTGCAATGTCAGAAAAATAGAAAGTCCTCAGCTGGTCGGGCGAGTAAGTGTACACCTTGTTATCGACTGTAAATGCAATATAAGTTGATACAATGCGAGGGAGACCAAACAAAGATTTGTTTGAAGGCGAGCTGCGGAGTAGGTATGGCAAACCAGATGAGACGCAAATGAACGTTTTCATGGCTTTGCAAGCTGATGGTACAGAGACAGAGAAGGAAGCCGGGTTGAGATGTCTGTGCGTCATTAACGCTCACAATCTAGCGTGGTGCACTGACCTCATTTTCCAATTCCGTCCATGGTTATCGCTTGTCGGTATCAACAATCCGCATTGCCGCTTAAACAGCCACACCCCATGCGCGTTTCGAGAGACATTAAACAGGCACACCGGTCGCTAGAAGGGTTGTTCGGAGATTGAATTCGACGACGCCGCATCACTTCAACAACTTGAGAAGCATGTGGCCACGACAGCAAGGAGGATATCAAGATCAGCGATACGAGTCGTCGTCACAGCCCTGGTGCAGCGTCGCATATTCCCTGTGCAAATCACGAACATGAGCTCGATATCTACAGCCGTGAAAATGGCAACAAAACTTATGAGCATAAGTATTGTTGTTCACGTCTGATGTTCCCTGGTTTCAGTCACTATCTCAACATCAGAAGGTTCGACGGCTACTCCTTGGATGGATGTAACGACCAGACGATCTACACCAGCCGCAGAAACATTGCGCCTGCATGCTGATTTAGACTGTAGGTTTCTTGATGCGCAAAACTCTACTATCTCCATTGTCATTACTATCAGCATCATCATCATTATTCTGAAAGTCGATAATCCTTCACATCCTCGATCCGATGGTAGCGCCAGATCTGAGGCACAAGACGGATGTGCCAGCAAGTCATTCCAATAGTACTAAGAGCTAGCTTTGGCAGCGAAGGCATAGATTTGCAGCACAATTCTTTATCAGTGCAATTTGCTTATAATTCTAGTGCGCTTTCAGCGTGGTCTGAAGGAATTGATCAGGAAACGGATTGAGACAGCCAAGGCGTAACACATGAGCAGATATCTGTGATGATGGACATCATAGTCGAAAAAATTGCGGCGGAAGGCACAAATGTGCGTGAATCTTTGCGACCGAGGCACAGGCCTTAGCTGTTGTCAGAGGTTACATTCTTCACTCGGTACACGTACGTTCATCAGCAACTCCAACTGCTTCAAACCTAGGCTAAACTGTGAGTAGCGTAGTTCTAAGTTGATAATCTGATGAAGTAAGACCTAACAGCCATGTTCTAAACCGAGAGTGCTTTGCCTACTATACATCAAGTGTAACCCAGAACAATCTCCCCTCGACACAGATCACCGTAATTGTCTACCCAACCTCTCGAAAGCTACCACGAATAAATCACGACAAACAACCGTACTTCCACTTGGGAAAGACGAAGGGGGGAACTCATTACACGCGCAAAGTCCACCTTGCTGACAGCTATCTTGACAGCTGCATAGGCGCAACCGACTGCAATACTCAGCTGCGGAACTGCGGCCTACATCTTTTCTCATTCTGAGCCAGCTCATATTAAACCACACAAACAGATCTAGATTACCTGCATTGGAGTCCTAGCAATATTTGATGTGGAGACATATCAAGATCCGACGCTGACATGCAAGTAGACTAAACGCGAGTTTGAACACGAATCGGTCAAAGTCCTCAACACTTGTCTTTTCGAAGTTGCATAGTGCAGACTTCTGCGCCCAGACTACTGCTGAGAAATACGAAAATTTGCGCATGCTCGTCTTGAGGATCACCGATGACACAAAGTCGCCCGCCTCGTTAATTGCCGTTCTCAAAATACGACGTTACCGAGCGTGGCTTCATTACATACTCCTCTAACATGGTCACTCCCGAAAGTTCGAGCCAATCACCACTGCCTAATAATGGGCTTTCGCTTCTTGGATTCGTTCTGTTGGCCCAGATGTGTTCGTCTGGTCATTGTACTGCAAGTGATTGTTCGAGTAAAGTGAAACACTGTTTAATTTGTCTGGCAGCAACCGCATGCTGATAGAGGTGCACCTATCTCTGTATCACTTTCGACCTCGAGGTCAAATATTGTCATCTCTCGCTGTAACAGTAAGTTCTCTCTCATGTCGAGACGACATTGCCACTATGACAGACAATTGGCGTCTGGACCTGTCGAATAGGTGCGTGCGTAAAAAACTCTTCGATCGAGAATGAAGACGTCGGCTGTGCTTTGTGACTTGGATTCTAGGATGACGTTTTTGAAGGAGTCTTTATATTGTGCTTTTTTATGAAGGAGTTGCGAGAGTACCGAGGCTTCATCCACAGTCGTAAGAACGCGCTAGACACTCCCACGGAGGTATCTTACCACAACGTTTGGAACGGATTCTTTAGTTCAGGTCTTAGAACGCACGTCAACCAGGAATGAGTGGGATTTCCCGAATACGAAGCACGATGAGTGCCATTGCGGGAGGGATTGCGGATCGTGGGGGCAAAGAACAACAACACCAACTCTTTAGCATAGCGATAACATCAAAGGGTTCAATTAAGCAACAGAATGTGGTTCAAGACTTTTCTTCCGCTTAGTGATGGATAAGAGTGTTAGTTACATGAGCTCTGGTAATTTATCAACACAACTTCGATCACTAGTCTTCCATCCCGACCTGTTCAACGCGGTGGGCTACCTTTATTCCGAAACAATGGCATGTATGTTTGTATCGAACAAGAGGGGCTTTTTCTCACATTTCATTTCCTTGTTTAACACGATGTGTGGATCTTCCATAGTCGTGGAGCGATCTTCAAATTCTAATGTATGCTCTTTCTGAATTGCTTTCATATGGCGTGACAATGATGTCGCCAGATGTATTTCCGGTACGAAAAAGCAAAAGGGTAACTAACGTCGTAAAGGTATAGATCGACGTCGGTTTCTTTGCTTTCGCTACTAGCGAGTCCAACATCAACTCCTAGATCTCATCGTCAATCCTACTATATGGCAAAAGAAACCAAAAGGGTTACAAGGGCCTTTAGTATGAAACAGATCGACGTGCCGTCATGTTTGCGTGCTCTACAGTCTGTACGTACGCACCTAGGTCGACGAGTCGATCATTGCGAACTTCCAATATCGAGTTCGTGGAACATGGCTCCAGATATCGCGTCCTACGTAAGGCCCTTGGAACTGTTCTTGATTTCTATTATACCGCCCATTCAACAGACAGTTTGCCTTGTAGAATACCCCACCTTGGACGCTATTTGTTCTTTCAAGTCAACCTCTCTCTCTTTGTCTATATCATAAACGGCAAGAGTCATGGTCCGTTTGTCTGGTACCCTAGTAACTCAAGAAGCGTTGGAGGCATAGCATACAACACGGAGAGGGCCTCTACTAGTTTCAATCGGGCCTGATCTTATCCTGCCACCAGACATTTCAGCCAAGCTATCACAGGGTGGCTGACTTAATCGTTTCAAGGTTGTAGGAAACTGCTCGCCCTTGATCAACCTCCTTAAATGTACTGTGTACTAGGTTAGGAAATCCAAGGACCGCTCTTAGTCACTAATGCTTTCTTCTTGTGACTCTTTCTGCGCTTATTCGTGCAGTATCAATTGAGGAGAGAAACAAAACCATGCATCGTACTGAAAGCCCGTGTATGGAAAACAGTGTACACCGACGTCATTCAGAAGTAGAAGAGAGTTTGCGGGTGTGGCTTGTCAGTGCCAACGGTTCTTTGTTGGCCGGAGCGTCTTGAAGACTAACTGCCTTGAACATGATACCAACAGATCTCTCTCAAAGGCATCGGAATCATCGTACCGCTCCGTAACGTACAACGTGGACTCTGTAGGTCCCACCTTAATTAGTCGACAGTTAGGATTGGTAGGTAGCAGGAGGACATATATAAAGACTTCGTTGCCTCACACAAAAATATCATCAGCTCTACTATCTCTTCGCTTCAACATCATCAAATAATCGATCCGTCCTACCGTCGCCTTCCACTTTGTACTCTGTACTTCTGGACACTCAAGACTCTCAATATGCGTTTCACCATCGTCTTCGTAGGCTCTATGCTCGCCGCCCTGAGCTCAAGCGCTCCTATCACCAACAGAGAGGTTGCCAAACGCAACCCTGCAACCATCGGCAATGGCAATAGTGGCAACGGCAACGGCAATGGGAACGGCAATGGCAATGGCAACGGCAATGGCAACGGCAAGGGCAACGGCAATGGCAACGGCAATGGCAACTCTGTCGTGGTCAGCCCGAGTGTAGGCCTTCCTTCTGTAGCTATTCCTCCCGTGGCCCTTCCTTCTGTGGCGATTCCTCCCGTGGTCCTTCCTTCTGTGGCTGTTCCTCCTGTAGTTCTTCCTACGCCGAGTCTTCCGCCTGTGTCCGTTCCCTCTGTCGCCATTCCCCCTGTGGTACTTCCTACAGTGGCTCTCCCTTCCGTGGTACTTCCTACAGTGGCTCTCCCTTCCGTGGCTCTCCCTTCCGTGGCTCTCCCTTCCGTGGCTCTCCCTTCCGTGGCTCTCCCTTCCGTGGCTCTCCCTTCCGTGGCTCTTCCGTCTGTGGCTCTTCCATCTGTGGCCCTCCCCACTCCGACCCTTCCTCATGTGGTTCTCCCCACCCCAGCCCTTCCTTCAGTGGGTCTTCCCGCAGTTCCCTCAGCTATTGCTCCTATTATCTCGGCTATTTCTCCCATCGTCTCGGCTGTTGTCGGTGCTGTGCCCCCCGTTCTTTCGGCTCTCCTCCCAGCTCCAGCTGTCCCAACTGCTTCCGCCGGCGCAAGTGTCGGCGGAGGAATTAATCTCGTCAACAACTAGTAAGAGGCAGCCTCTTGCCACAGCACAAGTCTCGTGTCAGCGACACCTCTGACGATCAACATCTCCACCCTCGTTGGGTTGAAGCAAGAATGAAAGTATTGGAACAGAATATTACAACGATCCTTTTATAATGGACTGAGTTGGCGTTTAATGATTCATGTCGAGCTCAGGAGCTCACCAGTAATGAAGCGCGATCTTTATGAGAAAATATTGGAAATCTATTGGCAGGGACTTAGCTAGCTTAATACATTCGCTCAATTGCCAACTCACGTGTTTTTGCAGCCATCCTAACCCGGTTTACATGTGACTTGAGACTCTTGAATTTGAATTGATTCGACCAATGATCTCTCTTCTCTTTCTGTTCTAGCCTCTTAACTATTGCAAAGTTGAAGTTGCCATAAGTTAACACGTTGTGTCATGCAGTTAATCTCTCAAAAGCATCAAATTATAAAACACATCTATATACCATCGTTCTGTGCGCGATACTACTCGACAATTAACGCTTTCATACTAATCTTCCCATAGCTGTCACAAATATCAGCTTTCCACTCTGGTCCCTCCTGTCCGACCCTGATAATGTCTTTTTCCAACAAAATCCTATATGGTTCACGAACATACAGAGGTGACATAGCACGGTAAGTAACTGATTGCGGGACCGCCTGTGTATCTCCGCTTTTTGCTGTATCCCTCCAAAAGTCAAGCATGTGGATCAGATTCAACGGTCCATGTACCACAGAACTCCTGTGCCCTTCAATCTGCCTACACCATTCTGGTGAGTAATGGATTTTGTGCCCATTGAACGTCAATGCTGAGAAACGAAACAAAGTAGTCTCTGTCTGACAAAAGTCCCGCGTATAAGTTCCGTTCGGCAAGGCTTTCTCTTCAGGCTTCTCCGTCACCTTGAGCGGGTTGTCTGCTGCAATCTCTCTCTGGAAGACCCAGTTTCGCTTGTCGACGAGTGCAATGCCCTTCTCGTTCTCAAACGTCTTCTCCACACCGACGACTAGCATCTCGCCGCCACTCTTTAACGTTTTCGGCTCTGCAGTCAAAAGTCTTGTTGTCTCACGCACTTCCTGACCAACCCTTAACTGCACATTAGGGTCTTGCGTCCATCTCAGTTCTCCACCTGCCCACATGCGCCGCGTAAACGGGCTGAGGGGGTTAACAGTGCGATCTGTGCCGTCCAAACCAAGTTCAGATTCAATCATGCTGGGTGTGAAGTACACAAGATGGTAGCCTGGCGGTACCGGCGTTCCGATAGGGGGTGCGTGGCCTGTTGTAGGCGTCCGATTCAGCGTTATAGAAAGAAGGTTGAGCTGATTTGCATCGATGAGCTGTTTACGGATCGAGATTGGTTTTCCAGCGCCGAAGCGCTCAAACATCTCTGTGCATGCTTCAGTTGCTGAGGCGTGACGGCACAGGGTCGTGGAGAGAAAGCGACGGGTTATATGAGCCATTGTTGTAGAAAGCTCGGGAGAGCAAGGAGATCGTAGATAGGAACTTCGCGGGAGAGTCAAAATGGGTTGCAATCGCACTTTCTGAGACGGGCTCTGCTGAAGTTCGGCAATCCGATGATGGTGTTGACATAGCCGATATCGATAAGAAAATAGCCTCGAACCGCAGTCTTGAGAAAGCTTCACCTTTTTAAGCCAACTTCGCAAGCGCTTTGGAAGTGCAAGGAGTATGACAAAGACTATGGTTGTCAACTCTGTATGTTCCGTCATTCGCTGTAGTATATTCTAGACATGCAAAGAACTCATCTTGCCCTTTGCAAACGGCCTACCTGATGGCGGCTAAGACATGCCTCAGCTGTTTGTGAGTTCATGTTACTATGTCACATCAATGTTTTACCATGTATTATCGTGATGACACTTGTTACTGTGTAAAAAAGTAAGTACATGTTGGCATTTCCAGCATCTGTGAGAGACTGCAGAGAGCGACTGAAAGAATTAACAAAGCTATATTTACGTAAGAGGGCTTTAGTTCAACAAGGAGAACGTGTTTGTGGATAGTCTCCAAAGTAGATTGTGCACGCTGCCTACATTTGTGATTTCCAAGCCAAGCCGCTAAGAGGTCAGCTAACCGATCAGGTAGCCGACTTCGTCAGGACGGCAACAAGCATCCCGCCTGCGCCATCCGCCAACATGTCAGCAGAACCTCCAAGAAAACGCGCAAAACTAGCATGTGTGACCTGCAACGCGCGCCGTGTAAAATGCGATGTAACCGATCGACAACCATGCAGCAATTGTGCTGCTGCGGGGGATGTTGTGTGCGAGACGCGCGAGTCAAAGCGCGGGAAGCACCCGAGGAAGCCCAAAGTGAGAGTTGAGGAGCGGGATGTAAAGTAAGTACAGTCCAACACATCAAACTTGGAAACCGTTCTGGGGTGTCCAATTGGAGTATACACAAGCTGTTCACCTCTGGTTGGACGCCTCAGGCTGCTTCAGGCTTCACAGGACGCATCTCATTACTGGCTTTGACGGATACTCAAGAGCGAAACGAGTTCAAAATCTACATGGTGGAGCAAAACTTCGACTACAAATTAAACCACGTAAAATTAAAGAGTCTTATCGACCAAGTGCTAACTTTTAACAGCTCTCAGACTGCATCGACGACTCCCGAACGCCACGCAGACGAAGTCGCTGCATCACACGTTCTGGCCTCACTTTCTTCCAACTTTCATAGTCCTGCGGATACTCACAACACTGCGCACACAAATGAGTATTCGTTTGCTACTCCTGCAGGACAAACAGAGTTTCATGGCACATTATCGAAGACAGAGACGCCACGCTCAGAAGATGATACCGCTGTGTTCCTGGGTGAATCTAGCTCACTGAGATACGTGACGGACGAACAAACACCGGTTCCAAGGCCAAATCGCCCCCGATTACGCCATGCCGTACCGAATGCGGTCAAAGCGGATGCCCTAGTACCTCAGTGGGAGGCTGAGCGACGACGCGCGAGGATGGAAGCACTTCAGGCCGAAGGCACCTTTTCATTCCCACCCAATCCAGTACGAATGGAGCTCCTGAAAGCGTACTTTGAATGGTTTCATCCTCACTTTGCCATCCTAGATGAAACAGACTTTTGGGCCTCGCACCAAGGAGGGAACGCATCGCCTCTTCTACTCCAGGCCATGTTGTTCATCGGCGTGATACACTGCGAAGAATCCACGATTACCACATTAGGATGGGGAAATCGACATCGAGCTAAATGGCTGTTCTATATCCGAGCTAAAGATATATACGATGCTACGTACGAAACAAACAAAATCACAGTCATTCAAGCGCTGTTCTTGATGAGCTTTTGGCGCGCAGGTGCTCTCCTCGAGAAGGACGCACGCCACTGGCTTGGAACAGCAATCAGTCTTGCGCAGACCAGAGCTTTTCACCGCTCGGCATCCGAATCCCAAGAGCAACTGGCAAAACTCAAAAGACGTATATGGTGGGCGATCTACGTCCGCGAACGACAGTGTGGATCCGCCCTCGGCCTGCCAAACCGTATTCGTGACAAAGATTGCGACGTCGAGCCTCTTTCAGCCCCAGACTTTGCTTCAGCATACAGCCCATCGACATCAACCGAGGACGTCCATCGCTACATAGCATACTCCATCGGCATCATGCAGCTCGCAATATTCATCGGGAAAATCGTCGATGCAGGGTACCTTCCAAACCGCACTCCACGATCAACTGATCGAGCCCAAATTCGCGACCAACTCTACAAATGGAAGCAAGACCTTCCATCTGTCATGCTTCTTGGCGATCAGCCGAGTTTCCAAGCCAATATGCTGCATCTTGCGTACAACAATCTGCTCATTCTGCTCTACCGCACTAGTTTCGTCACCACTGAAGAAAACAATAGCGCCGGTACCGAAAACGACGGGAATATTGCGCTCCAGGCCGCAGCGCGTAACTCTCGGATTGTGGAGGACATGCTTCCCAGCGGAAACATCGGACACGCACAGATGCACGTTATCACCAATCTCTTCAACACGCTTTGCATACATGTTGCGCATCTCAGAAACTCCACTGGCATCAATAGGACGCTTGCTGAGCACCGGGCAAAACTTTGTTTGCTCGGCTTGCAAGAGCTGCAAAAGACGTGGGAAGTTACGAATTGGGTGCTGCAAATGTTCTTCCAATATCTGGACCGTTCGACGGCCGCGCGTCTGGCGATGGAGGCTGATGATGTCGGCATTTCAAGTGCTGCGAGTCAGGGCGCGATTGTCGTACCTCCACTGATACATGTGGCCCACCAAGCGGTACCAGATGATGCGAATGCTGGTGTCGAACTACCGGGTGTACAAAATGATCCTGACACTTCCGAGATGATTCAAACGCCGTGGTCATGGACTACAGACGAAGCGAACCAATATATTTTCTCGCAAATCGAGAATGACTTTGCATTTGGAGAAGGCGGTCTGCTGCGATGGAGTCCGGGTGAGGTGCTCCATAGCGGCTCATTAACGGATTTTGGATATATCGGATTAGACGCAGAGGATTGAGTCAATACGATACACTTGACTGGGGTGAACAAAGAAAGATTTGTGGTCGTCCTCTAAAGAACACATGGTATATTCTAAGTTCGTAATGTCCTTCATACACTCAAGTCGTAAGTCATACGTATGCGTACCTCAGAAAGCCCTTACGCCCACTTTCCGAGCACACTCATGAGAACCATCCCCGAAATCAGTGCCAACATCGCACAAACTGTTCTGATTAAACTCGCGTTCGCCAACCGTCCGTGCAGCCAGTCTCTCGCCAACATTTCCACGATACCAACCCACGCCAGAATACCGGCAGAAAATGCATCAAGCGTTCCGATGGCGATGATCGTAGACGGGTCATTACCGTTGAATTTGTTTAGTACGCCGATACCAATACCCATGCCGATAGGCGTGATGAGCGCGAAAAGGCCGGCCATGAGGCACTTGTAGACAGTAGTGGCTGCGGCCGTGGGGAGCTCGGCGATGCAGGTCCCAAGAGCGATGCCCTCGAACATTTGGTGGAAAAGGATGACGATGAAGAGGGTGATAAAGAAGGTGTCACCTGCAACCACAAGTGTGATACCAATGACTGTCTTGTGTGTCAGTTACTCAGTCAACAAATCATGAGCGTGACCGACTCACGGATTGAGTGGAAGATGATGCCAGCCTCCAGATTCCAGACATTGATCTTTTCCTCCATGGGTGAGGGGCCACGCATAGCTCCATGGCTGTGACCGTGGCTATGACCATGATTGTACACAATCTTGTTATCTGGGGTGCTCGAAGCTGAGGTCTCAGACTTGTCACCGTCTGTAACATGTCGGTCTTCTGGGTCGGCAGCGACAAGTTTGTTCTGGCGCCATTGAACGAACCTCGCACCAATATAGTCCATCAGAAATGACAAAAATAGACCAGCCATGAAGATGGCCGCCGTTGTACCCTCATACTTCAGTTCACCCAGGCAGTCGTTGCCAAACATGAGCTCGGCATGGGTAAAAAGGTGTATAAAAGCAGTGGAGATAACAATTCCAGTGCCAAATTGCTTTAATATGATGAAAATGATGTTGTTCTTGGACAAGATCTTGAAGCGTGTGGTGATGATGGGGATGAACACTCCAATGGCACTGGTGGTGAGGATGACAAAGAGCAGACCGACGCGTAACCCGATGTTGTAGTTTCGGTCTGTCGCGTCGCAGTTCGATTCTTCACTCTCACTACCACCAACACAGTGCCTGAGTAGTATCAGACAATGGCGAATCACAACAGGTACTGACCAAGACAACTTACTCGACACCTGCGTGGAAATGGCAATGCTCTTCAGACCCAGCTGGATCTTCTGATACCGCTTCACCTGATTCCGCGGCAGTCCCTACGAGGATTTCAACATCTTCGCCGGCGTCATCGACACAGAATCTAACACACTGTCAGTACTAGATCACGAGGATGTTACACGGGTACTCACGTGTCACTCCCATGTGTGTGGCAGCCGGTGTACTGTGCCTGAAATTCTTCAGTTGCGGTGGGCCCGATAATCTGGTACTCTTCGGTACCGGCCATACACCAGCTGTCAGACGTTAGCGCCAACGCTCGATTGAACGTTCCATGGTTCAGCAAACGCACTTGGCAGTGCCATGAGTATGACAGTCAGACACAGCAGTAATTGACGGTACCGTTGATCCCGAAGGCGCTACTGTGGCTGTCACTGTAACAGTCTGCGCTAGTCTTTCTGTGGATGACGCTGGTGTTGTTGAAGATGTTGCTGTTGTTGCCGTCGTTGGAGACGGTGCTGTGACAGTCACAACCTGCGCAGCGACAGATGCAACAAGCAGCAAAATCGTGGTAGAAACCAAAGAGCGAGTAGAAGAAGCCATGATCACAAACAATCGATCCAGACGAGTGACTGCTATCGGAAATAAGTCAGCGCCATGTCCTGTTATATCAGCCGGGAAAAATATACAAGCTTCCTCAACTACTAGGCGGGATATGCTCAAGTACCGTGATGGAGATCCCAGCCTTATCGAGGAAGTTTCTTCCTGCAGTTGAAGGTGGTCGCAGTTAGCGCAGAGCACCTTGTTGGACAATCGATCTTGGCAGCAGCTTTCACTCCACCCGCTTTTCCGCTCTGTTGTCAAATCAAGGCTTTGGGATGTCTCCGCTTAGCGTCAGCGGCCTGGTAATGTAGGAATGCGAATATATAGTGTGGAATAGTGGTCCAAACGCCAAGTACAACGGGCTTGGCGTGAGGGAAGAGTAACATGGCGTGCGGGGACGTCAGGGCCGTCTATCACACATTAGTGTCAGCGGGGAGTGGAGGACGCTGATATGCGTCGTGGACGTCGTTTGCGTTGCGGTTTGCTGGGTGCAAACAGTCACTGTTCATGTCGAGATAAGCATTGTGGTCTTGTGTTGTGTCACAGGTGCTCTATTGCGCGAGAACATGTTCCCCACGTGATACAGTGGTAACATACATCCATCTGATTCCCGTCATGACACATCTCATGCGAAGAGACTGCGGAAACCTGCATGGGAATATGCAGTCAGACTCTCGGCTTAGCCAAACGCAGATACCTCTACCGACGTCGTATCGCTTAGAGGTGAAAGTTCTTTGCTATTGGCAGGCCATCATGGTGCTCTATGAGCCTCCGAATGTAGTCGATAGCGGAGACCAGCGGAGAAATGTCTCCTCCAAGATCGAAGCTTGGAACCTCCCGAGCTCAACGCATACAATGTACGTGAGCCAAGAGAATGGATCGCTGACACGTCGGTCTAACTTACAGTTGGACTCCACAGACTGGTCCGTACTCGCAGCATGAGGCGTTCGATTTCGATACTTAGCACAGGTAGGCTAGAGCGGCTCCGATGGAAGAGTACCTAATGAACAATGGTCAAGGGTAAGAAAGGCTTCCTACACCATATAAAAAGACTACATGCCGTCTTTAGAAAACTGTATCCAGCAACCCAGACATCTCATTGAACAGCAGGTCGCGTATTTTCCTCGAGTCAAAATCTCAGCCCAGTCAAACTCGCAAGAATGGTTGCTCGTTTCTCTGCTCTCATGCTCCTTGGAGCTTCCGCTATCCTTGCGGGTCCCCTCGCGCCTCGTCAAGCAACAGTCACTATCACCGAGATTGCTGCTGCTCCCGCCGCTACAGCCTGGAACGCCGGTGCCGTCAACGAGTACACCATCCACAGATCCTGCAACGCTACACAGCATGCGTACATCAGGAAGGGACTGACAGAGACCATTACCATCTGCCGCCAGGCTCGTGACCATATCCTCCGCTGGGGCAACTCTTCGGAAATCTACCAGAAGTACTTCGGTGACGCGGCGACCGGAGAGGCCATTGGCTGGTACACCAAGATCGTCGATGGCGACAAAGCTGATGTTCTGTTCCGTTGCGACAACCCCGATGGCAACTGCGATATTCAGGGTACTTGGTCACCAGCTCTTGTCTGAGCATGCGAGATGACTGACTTTGAACAGGCTGGGCTGGTCACTGGCGTGGCTCCAATGCAACTTCCGAGACAGTGATCTGCGACCCATCCTACGAGCTCCGCCGTCCTCTTGAGGGCATGTGTATGCACGGTTACACGGTCGCTACCGGTGCTACCAACTTTTACTGGGCGTCCGACCTTCTCCACCGTCTTCTCCATGTCCCCAGTGTCGGCGAAGGTGTAGTCGAGCATTACGGCGAACACACCTACCCTGGTGTCCTTGAGTTGGCCCAGGAGAACGCCACATATGCTTCGAGAAACAGCGATTCTCTGCAGTACTTTGCTCTCGAGGTGTACGCTCATGATGTTGCTATCCCCGGTGAGGGCTGCCCTGGTCGTTTCACCGTTACCGTCACTGCTTCTGCGACTGCTTCCGCAACTGGTACATCTGCTGCCAGCGCGACAGGTGTGGTTGTTAGCTCGGCTGTTAGTTCTGTTGTCAGCTCTGTTGTCAGTTCGGCGGCTGCTGTCGCTACGTCTGCTGCTGCTGTCGAGGCATGCACACCCCACAACGACCACTGGTAAGTCCTTCAATCTCACTTTGATCCTAAAAGCAGGTGACTAACAATTTACAAAGGCACTGCCCTCCCGGTGTCCCTGAGCCCGCTTCTCCTCCGGCTTAAGTCAGTGCATGTGTATAGGATGTCTTAGCGCACGAACCCTAATGATCATGATCTCTGATGACTGAAAAGCGTTTCGATAGATTTAGTGATGTCCGCGTTCAGCCATCATCTAAAGTTGTCTTTCTTCTAATTTTTAACAACTTCACTTTTTTCACCTATCATTTAAGTGAGACCATTTTGGTGATCACAGTCCTTGATATATCCAGGTAAGCGAAGGCTTATAATCGAGTATGTCCTCCACACAATGCGTTGGTATTGGACTTTGCCCATAGCACCTTCGAATCAGCGTACACTCTTACATGATGTCATCTAGCCGAATGGCATACCTTTTTAAGCATCGTGGGTATCGCAGTCGGAAAATAAAAATACTCGTGGAAGTATCTCAACCTGGTCTTGCCGTTCCAAACACTCGCCATAAAACTCAAAGTATTTGACCTGCCAAACGTGAAAACGTCTTTCATTTTTCTTACCATTTTCACAAGATCCGCGACTAAACGTCCAAAGTCCAAGGATGAGATGGAAACCGCATACAAGTAACTAAGTAACCAAATAAAAAGCTCCCCACCCGCCTTATAGTTTCCCTCAGATCCACTCCCAACCCCCAAACCTACAAATCCTCCCCTTTCCCCTCCCCTAGCCACTAAGCCCTCGGCTCCCTCCCCCCAATCTCCCCACTCTCCCTAACCCACCCCTTCCCCCGACCCGGCACCGCCGTCCCCCCCCCAACATCCTGCTCAGCCGCCCACCCCCTCAGAACATCCAGCCCCACGACCCTCAACGCCCCAACATGCGTACTCTCCAGCTTCACGCGGGGAACATCCTTAATCCCACTATCAAGCGCCTGCTTCCACCGATTCGCGCCAATGCACCACCGCTGGCCCTGCTCGACGCCCTGCCCGCGCAGGTCGACCCCCCGCGAGGCGGCGAAGTCGAGGAACCCGCTTGTCAGGGTCGCCGCGATGGGAGAGGCTTCTGTGCAGAGGCCGGCTTTGAGGGTGGTGTCTTGGATGTAGGAGGGTTGGGAGCGGGGGGAGGTGTGTTGGAGGAGGGGTTTTTCGAAGACTGGTGGGGGGAGGTTAGTGGGTTGGTGGATGTTTGTTGTGGGGGGGGGGGGAAGGGGAGTTCAGCCAGAGGGACGGCTTGAACGAATGAACGAGAGGGTGGTGGTGTGCTGTGTATAACTAACCATTCTTCTGCGTAACATCAATCCTGCCTTGTTCGTTCTTTGCCGACATATTTATCCAGATATCAGGTAGTCTGTTGTGTTGTGTTTGTTGTATCTTATCTTCCTTTGCTTCGATTCCTCGTCTCAAATTTATCTTGCAATTGTGTAATCAAGTTTCTCTCCAAAAACAGAACACGCAACAAAGGCGCCCTCACAGCCCATCATATACCACTCTCCGTATCCCCCTCACACCAGACCGCTTTCCGGTAGCCCATGATGCCTCCATTACCATCCTCGAGTCTTGACGTCAGTGATCCCAGCCCCCGATCCTCACCTCACCTCACTTCACCTCACCTCACCTCCATAGATCTCGTCACGCGATTGGCGGTATAGTCTAGTTTACATCTCCATGTTCGGGGTCGGGATTAGGTAATGATATTGCATGGGTCTCGGCTGTATGTATGTATGTACGTTCACTATGCGTGGTGGGCTAGGGCGGAAGGGGTTAGGTTAATTTTTCGTGACTTAGTTTAGAGGGGTTTCCTATTCGGTTTGCGGGCTTATGGAGTGCTGGGCGCTGGAGATGTCCAGAGCACTGCACTGGTATTGGGGATTATGTGCAGTGGTCTGCACCTGCTTAGAGCACTGCAGGATACAGGGCTTAAACGTCTAGGCTGCGCTAATGGGGTTGTATTATTAGTTATTTATAATATAACTTTGTTGGGCTCTATCTACTATTCTGTCCCTAGCGATACTGTTCAGGAACACTGGACCTTTGGGTAGTGTATCCCGGTTGGGATGGAACCCGTGGCTAACATGTGTACTCTTACTAATGTTTACTGTGTAAGAAGCAGCTAGGTATTAACTTTTACACTAGGTCATTCTACTTGATTCTTACTGTGTTGCGTCTATCTGCTTATACTATAAGCATGAATACGCTATAAACCCAAAATAATGGAGTGCTGGGATGGGCATAGGCGTTATTGCGTGTATGGGGGAGTATGGTGTGGAGGAGAGGTAGTGTCAAAGGAAGTCAAAACGACCTACAGCAAATCTCCATACGATTGCCTACCTCCAACCACCCAGCTAAGATCCGGCGAGGCACTCGACAGCCAGCAACCAGCAGTCCAGCATCCAAACTGCATAATCCCAAGTGCGAAAGTGAGCAAAGCAGCAGAAAAAAGGCACCTCGCACCATGCATATAAGAGTAGAGTAATAGCAAGCAAACACTCAGGGAGAAAGTCCCCCTCCATTGACCAACCTACCAAATGCGGTGCAAAGCCCAAAACGCCCACAACCCCCAGTCCGAACAATCTCCTGCGAAAAGTGACCCTCCCTCCACACACTACAGACACATCTACTCCCTACGACTCTTATTCGCGGCCAGACTACTTCCCGCGCCATCGAACTCCGGATCATACTCCCCATCGCGCTCCGCCCCTCTAGCCGCCTTAGCCTTAGCCTTAGCCCTGATCTTCTTGATCTGTTTAGCCACCGGCGCCGCCTCCTCATCGCTATCCGCATCGATACCCGCCTCGCGCAACCTCCTCTGGCGCTCCATCCACTCATCATCCGTCTCCTCATCCTCACTATCCTCACCCGCAGCAACAGCGTACTGACCATCAGCGTGACCAGGCTCCTTGATGAAGTTATCGATGATCCAGTACTGCATGCCGTTCATGATGAGGGGGAAGACGAACATGACGAAAGTGATTTGCAGCGCGGCGTTTCCTTCGGTCCAGCGCAGGGCCCAGTCGCCGACCCAGGCGATCCAAGGGAGGAAGGCGAAGAGGGCGAGCACGCAGAGCTTCATGCAGATTAGGCCGAAGAAGTAGATGATGGATTGCTTGAGCCACCATGTTGCGCGCGGGGGGTGGCCGTAGTTTCCTGAGCGGATGGACTCGGGGGGGTCGGCGAGTGGGGTTAGGAGCGCGGCGCGGGTGAAGATCTTGAGTAGGAGGACTAGGATGGGGATGCCGATTGTGGTCTGGGTGTGTTAGTTATGGTTTAAGGATATAGATATGAAGTGTGGTGTGTGACTTACATCGATAGCCAAGTTGAGCAGATAGAACGAGCACGGATTCGGCTGGTCCCCCTCATCCATCGAAACAGCTTTGGCAGCATTCTTCGCACTCATCGTCGATGCCACATCGAATTTACCCGACGACAGCATGGACATCAAGATATTGGCCAGATGCAGCAAGACCGAGCCAAAGACCTGCTTGGACACGTCGAAGAACCAGATCTTCATGGGCCGGCGCGGAGACTCCCTCAGCCTCTTGACCGCCAATGACGACACGGCCAGCAGTCCGAGCGCACCCTGCACGATAAGGGCGAAATCTCCAAGTAGATTGCATTCTCCGCTGTCGCTGTCGTCGTCCAGAGGCGAGGTTTGCGCGGTCGCTTGCTGCGTGGGTTTGGCGGATGCCATGGCTGAGTTGACTGGCACGGGAGGAGGCGTCGATGTAATCTCATCTTCTTCTTCCTCCTCCTCGACGACCGTAGAACTAGGTTGTGGCGTAGGAACAGGTTCAGGCTTGACACCATCAATACCAACAAGCTCCGTCTCGAAGATCAACGTCGACCCCGCGGGAATAGCTCCATTTGGCTGGTTCCCATAGCCCAAGTTCGGCGGGATAGTCAGCTTCCTGCCTTCTCCCGGACACATGCCCAGCAGGCCCTGTTCCCAGCCGGCAATAACCTGGCCCTTGCCTATGGTGAACTTAAACGGTGTTCCGCGGTCATAGCTGGAGTCGAATTTGGTGCCGTCGGTCAGCGTGCCCTTGTAGTTCATCGACAGCTTATCGCCATTCTGTGATTTGCGCGTGCATTCAACCGGCTTGGTGACGTCGATGGCGAGCGTCTGCGCGTAGCTGAGGGCGGGGAGCAGCGCGACGAGGGGAACGAGAGGCCGCATCTGCGGCTAGAGGGCGACGGGTGGTCGTGGCCGCGGTGGGGAGTGGATGGGGGAGGAAGAGAGAGTGCACGGCGATCGTTAGCTCGGTATGCGCCTCAGATGTGACGCTGCCAAGCCCTCCTTACTCGCCAGGTCGCTGCCTTCTATTTCCATCACGGTATCGGCTCTAACACCAAACGCCTCGGCCCAGCTAGGTAGCCGCATGTCACATTCATTGTTTTTGGGGTCAGGGGCAATGATTTTCAAAACCAGCCAGTGGAGACAAACATGACCGAGAACACACAATTCATTTTCAAGGGAACGGGTATCTATCCCAAGTATGCCAATCTCCGGCCAAGCCACCCGCCTATAAAAAAGAAGAAGAAGGACGCCAACAATGCAGTTCAACATGCAACCAGAAACTACTTCGATATATACGCGTACAACAAACGAAAGGAAGAAAAAAAGACAACCAGATATGGTAGTGGTGGTGGTCTTGTCACTCCACATCCTCCGGCCTCTTGATAGGGCTCGCCCTCACCGGGCTGTCAATCATCGGCGGCGCACTAATGCCCGGCGCAAGCTGCAAACTGTTCCTAACCATGCCTCTAGTATTCGCACCAGAAGCTTGCGTACTACCACCTCTGCCCTCGCGATCTGGATCCGCAGTGTCGACAGGCGCGTAGATATCCTGGGCCTGCAGATGCGCATTCATAAGAGCTTCATCCCTCATCTTCTTCAGCTTCATGTAGTTGTACAATGCAATGCTACCAATCGTGACAACAAGCCCTGTGAGGTTGATGGGCGTGAGTGGGTCGTCGAAGACGAGGTTCGCGGTGATAAGGGTGACGACCTCCTTGAAGATGCCGCAGATGCTCAGAGTGACAACCGACGTACGCTTCAGGAGCGCGAACTCCGAGGCCGTCATGAGGAATGCAAGGATGCCAGGGAAGACGAGAATGCCGATACCGAAAGCGATGCCCCTGGCGTCGAAGAGCTGTGTGAGACCGTCGCCAAGCGCGGAAAACCCTTCTACGGGGACCGCGAGTGCGAATATGCTGATAAACATGACAGGGGCGAGGAAGAAGATCGAAGAAAATGGGTTCGCTGTTGCGGGGTTGCGGAGGAGGAGGATTTGTGTGAGAGACCAGCGGAAGCCGGACGCGCAGGCGGACGCCATAACGAGGATGAAACCAAGGGCGTGGAAGGCAGCTTCACCAGCCACCATCATGACAACGCCGAGTGTCATGATTAGAATGATAAAGACGAGTCTCCAGGACGGCTGTTCGAGGCGAAACAGAAACGCAAAAATCAAAACGAACCCGAGTGCAGACGACTTGCACATTGCTGTCTACGTTAGCGTTTGTCTGGTCTGTGTTGGACGGTGGGGTCCTACTGAAAAAGGTCAACGAGATGAACTTCAAACTCGTGTTTCCCAGCCCAATGTCCATCCCCGTCGCTACACCACACGGGCCGAGTCTAGAGAAATAGAACCACTTTGTCATGAGCGGTTTCTTGGGGTCCATTGGCTCCACGCGCCCGCCCGCAGCATGCGGGTTGAGAGAGTCGTGTCGCGGCCGAAGGGAGGGCACCATGAACAGCACCAGCGTCGCGAGCGAAAATTGGACAATCATGTGAAGACACGTTGTAAATAGGGGAAAGGGAAAGATGTTCTTGGTCTCGCCGTCGCCCTTTTCTTCCTTGAACATCCACTTGTTGTACACGGATATGGATATCGAAAAGAGGTACCTGCAGCGTGTTAGTCGTCGTCGTCTTCGCCTGCCCAAAGCTGCTCTGCACGCCGTACCATAATCCAATGAGCACCCCGTTGACCATCATCGACCGCATCAGATTCTGGTCCGCCATCTTCTTCTCCTCCTTGGTGTACGTGATCTCGGGCACAATGCGCTGGTCCAGCAGCGTGTTCCTCCTCTTCCGCCGCCGCCGTCTCCGCCGGTCTCTCTGTGTCAGCCCCGTCTCCTCGTCATCCTCGAGGCCGTCTCCGCTCATGTCGCCCAGCTCAAAGTCGGTGCTGTCGCTGTGCGAGTCCGAGTCCGAGGGCGAGGGGTCAGCGTCGGACGTGTCCTCCCCTTCTTCTTCTGCAATGTGGTCGGAGCGGCGTCTGCGGTGCTTGGGGTCTTTCTTCGAGGTCGGCACGGAGCCGAGCAGGGAGGATGAGCGTCGTCGGGCGTTCGTGGCCGTGGTGGCCGGGTCCATAGTCGGTGTGGGAGGGTGCAGGCACGCTAGGTTGGCTGGGCGCAAGACGTCGGTGAAGCCGTCCTCGCCGTCGGAGAGACTGGAGTCGGAGGGCAGTGAGGGCAGTGTGCGGAGGGGAAACTCATCACCCGGATGCGTGTGCGTGTGGTGCGTGTCAGGTGCTCCCAGCTGCTGTTTAGTGTCGTCGAGCCACCGTGCCAGCGCAAAAGCCGGGTTCGCGTGCGTTGCGGTCATCCTTCACCCTTGGACAGCTGAGCTAACCCGTCTGGAGCCTTGGCGTAGATCCTTGACTAGCGAAGGGGGTCGGCGGGAGCATGCGCTGCAAATCCCCAGATGCTTCTACCGCTGCAGCGACGCAGGTACGGCCAGAGTGACTGAGAACGGCGTGCAGACATGCGAAACCGAATACCCACGGTCCCATATATCAACTCTGTAACATTCCAGGGACTGACTCCCTGAGGGTTTCCACGCAGATGACGTTGAAACAGGCCAATCGCTGTAGTGCGCCATAATTTCCACGAAATGCATGGCATATGCTTTGGCAACGTCACATGTCACATACACACACGCTACCACGACCGGACCAAAAAAACACACCTTCAATTCGAAACGAGGCTACTATGAGCTCGTCTGAGATTTCGTTTTGCAGCCACCGAAACGCCGGGCAATGAGCAAAAACACATCTCGGAACGTTCCGAGGCCCCTGACTCTGAAGCTGATACCAAATATGAACACCGGCGCCGAAGATGCTAGTATGCATGTCAATACGCTCATCCAACTCCAGTCCCAACAAAACTCCATCATATGCAAAACTCATACCAAGAAAATAGCCAAAACGATACACAGCTCATGCTGCTGGTGCAGGCGGAGGAATAGGCTGGGCAGGCAGGTTCTCAATCTGCCGTATCAAAAAGCTCTTCTCGTCAATGAATTGCTCGTCGTCTGTGCGGTCTTCGAGGAATGTGGGGAGGAAGCGGAGAAGCTTCTCACGATTGCCGATCAAGATCCGCTGCACCGCTAGGGACTTGTGTGGGTTCGCGACAAAGACCTAGATGTGTAAGCAGACGTGGTCTGGTAGGACATACAATTTATAGCCTACCTTGAATACGTGGAATCCCTCGTACTGGATCATGCGCCTATCATCTCGCAGCAGCTTCATGATAATCTTGAGATTCTCGCCCGAGTCTACATATCGTGTCATGACAATGTAGTTTGCCCGGTCCAGCAGAATCTCGCCCAGCAGTTTGATCGACTGCCGCTTCGTTACGTAACTTTCCGACTGGACAAGCCTTGTGTTGAAATTCTCAAAGAACATGTCAAAGTTGGTGTGTAGAAATGTCGCCACGAGTGGTTTGTGTTTCGTCAATATCTCCTGCTCACACATCAGCCGACACAAGAAGAAGACTCGTCCAGACATCGTACCTTGAATGTGTTGAATGCGTCTGCACTGACTTCAAACGCGCCCTTCTCTATCCAGTCAAAGTACTTCCAGAATACGCCGTTGCCCGACGCCGGTATGTCGGGGTTCACATTTGCAAGATCGAGCTCCTTTCCGTCTTCAGGGCCGTCGTGGTACAGCACCAACGCGGCGATCGCATCGTACTTGAGCGCTTCCCGCATGATCCCTCCGCATGGCATGGCACTTTCCCGTCTCTCGTACCCATAGTTCAATGCTATTATGACCCTGGACTGAAACTGGACGATGTGGTGTAGTACCTGAGGAGTATCTGTTTGTTCGGGTCCTTTGTACCGGAATGCAGTGGAGAATACGACTTGGGCGTCCTTTCGCGATTCGAACGGGAGTTTGTGGATGTTGGTCGCCAGAACGAAGAACAGGTCTTCCGCGATGATTGCTGCGAGGAGCTGGTGGACGGATTCTGGGTTGACTTCGGTGTCTTTGCACCAGTCAGCACTTTCGTAGAGCTATAGTTGGAGAGCATCTGCGTGTGTAGAACACGACTGTAGGGTGTGATAGTACCTGGCGTGCCCTGAAGTCTTTTCTTCATTTCCTGTAGCTCCAGAGCGAGCTCATTCTCCAACTAGCCCTAGTCAGCCTTGTTCTCGGCGGTCTTGCACAATCGAACCTTTGGGTTGGGCTTGTCCTCCTGGCTGAGCCTCATCGTGAGCTCCTTGACACATCTGGTGAGGTCCATATTCGTCTTCGCCGGTTTGCGAAATAGGAAAGCCATGTTGAGAGGGAAGACCGTGGAGCGGGGGTCAAGCAGATGTAATGGTTTGCTGCAGCTGGGGCCAGAAAGCTGCTATCCAAACGGCGACGACATGCAAGCGGCTCCTGGTGATCTATACCCGAGGGGTGACGTAGTTGTATCTGTATAATAAGCGTGCAGGGATGCGAGGCGGCGCAGTTGGTGCTTTGCTATGGGGATGCCCCGGTCTCGCGTTCTCGAGTCCAGGGAAAAGGACCCTGCTCCGGCTTAATTCCGCATAGCCAATCACGTGTTGCAATGCCATATGGTTCACATGTGAGACTCCAAGTGTGTTATGATTACAGGCTATTTGTTGTTGGGGAAATAGGCATTGCTTTTGTTGTCTAGTCAATCGAAAGAGCAAGCATAAACAATAAAGTGCGGACAAAACTTTCACTGGCTGTCACAAGCCTGTCAACCATACATGACTACTCTCTTGTATGCTGGCTGTAATGTCGATTGTGTAGTGAGCCAGATGTGCGGGACAGGATGTTTTCAGGGTTATTGAAACCAATATTTGAAATGGTATATATGTAGAGACTAATAACCAACTATTACTAACATCCCCTCTAACCCCAAGCATATTAGATGTCCCCAATGTAGAAGCCAGCGAGTCTGGTGCCAACAAGCATATCGATAAATGCTACTAGACAAAGTACGGATGTTCGAGAACCTGTTACCATCAATCAGCCATGTCCATAGCACAAGGTGCAACTCCTTACCTCACTAGCACGCAACCTATCTCCACTCTCGTATCGAACAAGCTTGCTGACAAGGTCTTGCTCAACTTCGGAGAGATTTGGGAGGAACGCAGACCAGGCCTGCGCAGGATATTCGTAGAACTGGACTTTACCCCAGTCTGGAAGGTTTGCCGCTTCCTATTTCTGTCAGCATCATCCAGATATATACCCCCTCAAGCAACCAAAGTTTGGGATCGTACCGGCCAGACTTCTAAATTCGGCGTTCCTAGCTTCTTGAATACGCTCTGTATCAAAGCCAAGTCACTACCAAGTTCGCCAGAGTCGAACAGCGTCGTATGGTCAGGATGCAGTGTTGCGGCAACGGTGCAACCAGCAGACCAAAGATCAAGAGCGCAGCCGTAGCGCTTGTTGCCGAACAGAAGCTCTGGCGGCCGATAACAGGTAGTGCCAACGTCGGTGATCTTGGAATCGGCTGCTTCCGAGCCTGTTGTGTCGGGAGCCCACGCGATGCCGAAATCTGAGAGATAGGCTGGCCCGTCGAGCGATTTGAGTAAGATGTTGGAAGGTTTGATGTCGCGGTGGATTATTCCCTGGCTGTGTATGTAGGCGAGAGCCGTGAATAAATCTTTCAAACAATTTTTTACCTGCGCTTTTGAGAGTTTTCGATGTTGCAATAGCTCATGCAGATCATATTGCATAAAGGGGAAGACCAGCACGAATCGACTCCCGTCTTCGCGAAAGGTGTCCATGAGTGATATGACACGGTCGGAGGCTGCGAGTTTCAAGATCTGAGCTTCCCTTTTGGAGTCATGGGGTGGCTCCATGACAGATGGAGTCGTGACTTTGAGAGCTACGACTTTGGTCTTGATGGAAGTCTCGGAAGGAAAATACCCCTTGTCGCCCAAAGCAGGCGCCTTGTAGACGGCCGAGAAAAGGCCCTCGCGATGGTACACAGCATTCTGGTAGCTGCCAATAGTTATACCGCCAGGCGTTGGAACATAGACATCATCCTAATCATCAACTTAGGAACCGCTGGACGTTCATCTCTCTTCGACTCGTACCTCTGGAGTTGGAAAGCTGAGTAACTGTTGGGGGAGGGATGCCATGTGTGCTTCGCATAAACGGTCGTAATCTTCCTGAGCATTCACAGTCAATCTCTCGAGTGGAGGTGTGTTTTGGAACTTCATACGGCAGATTGGGCTTCGTCGTAGATCCTGGTTTCGGTTATCGTGGCTTCCCTGCGCGCATCTACAAGTGACAGTGAAGGGTCCGATGTCTGGCGAGCCGATGTTCTGCGACGCGACCAAGTTAGCCGCCTGTTGTGTGCACAGAGCCTGTATCACTGAGACAACGAAACGATGCTGTGTTTAGGGCTGGCATGAATTGAGGTTAGCCACCAGATAGCAGCGCACGTTGCCCTGAGCTAGCCTGCTTGCATCGGGCCATGTTGATGGGTTGCACATTCAGTTCGACGGTGAGGCTTGACAGTGTGGTCGAGCTTGACTCGCGAACATGTTACTTGCATTTTAGTGACAGCAGACAGGCGGACGGAAAAGGCCAGGCTTGGGCGCCAGTCTAAGGAAGCCATGTGGCAATGCGTGTGTGGGTGTTGGCGCAGGAGTTGGGTTGTTATGGCAGGAAAACAGAGGGCAGGGTCCAGGGTCCAGGTTGACACGAGGCTTTGGAACGTCATTCGACCGGGACATGGCCGCAATCCACACTGCCCATGGTTCTCCAGGCGGACAGAAAGGCTGCCCGTGCGCCTCTGTGCATCGAGCAGCAGCAGTGTTCAGTACATCACGGCGGTGCATTGGATTTCGCAGCACTACGTCAGACCCGGTGCAGCCGTGGGATCACCGCTAGGCTCAAAGGGGCGCACGACGTCTTGGACTGACAGCGGTGTCCTCGGCGAGCTTGTCGAAGCTCCCATCTGCATGTAAATCTGGCAGGCTGCTCTGCTGCGCGTGTGAGCCATTGTCCGCCGTGCGCCATGGAGCTCCAACGCAAAGAATACCCAGCGCTGCTGGTGAGCTGCCACCGCGCCCTCCCACCAGCCTCCACTCACTGTTGTGCAGACGTCCCTCGCCCCGGCGCAGGCCGTGGGCGTGCTGAATGAGCGCATGCGCCATGTGAACCAGCTGAATGCCCACATTGCCGACTGGCTGCAGGTGCGTCGAGCCCGAGAGGCGGCACCCCGATGCTCACAATTGCGTAGGAGCGGCGGCGCGTCGAGGAATTGTACGTCCAGGGACTGCGCAAGCTCGCCAACAAGCACCCACCAGACGAGTCGTCCGATCTCGGGTACAGCCTCCCCCGCAGCCCTCGAGGCGCATCGACTGACGGCGTGCAGCATTTTCTCGACACCATGGCACAAAATCGTCGGCGCAACCGAGGCCGTGGCCCAGTCGCACCAGCAGCTCGCGCACAAGATCGAGGCCGACGTCGAGCGCCCGCTGCGCGACTTCGCCGGCAACAACCGCGAGGTGCAGGCCATGGGCAACATCTCGGGCAACCTGACGGCCATGGCCAAGGACATTGACGCGGCGCAGCGCAAATGCGACAAGCTCAAGGACAAGGGCGCAAAGGCCAAGCCGTCGGCCGTGGGCGAGGCGGCCACGGAGCTGCAGAACGCCGAGCTCCAATGGGACTCGCAGGCGCCCTACGTCTTCGAGAAGCTGCAGGCCGTCGACGAGAGCCGCCTGAACCACCTGCGCGACGTCCTGACCCAGTTCCAGACGCACGAGGTCGACCAGGTCGAGCGCAGCAGGGTCACGGCCGAGGAGACGCTGAACGTGCTGCTGAACATCGAGACGGCCGACGAGATCCAGACGTGGGCCCTGCGGACGCGGAGTGGAGACCACCCCCAGCTCGGACGCAAGCAGAGCAACACGCCCAGCGCCCCGTCGCGCAGCCTGGCGCCGCCCGCAACACCGCCAATGCCGGGCCCAGCAGACGACAGCAGGAGCCAGAAGAGCCACAAGAGCGGCGGCGGTGCGTGTCCCCCCGCCCCCATCTAACAGCAGGCCGTCTAACAGCAGACAGTGCAGGAGAAGCTCAGCTCGAACCCCCTGAAGCGCTTTGGAACCGTCCTGGGCCGCCGCCGCCAGAGCACCCACCCCTACGTGCGACCCGCCTCGCCCGACAGGAAGTCGTCCGCCAACCTGGGCTCGGCCTTTGGCGGCTTTGGCAAGGGAAAGGCAAAGGACCGCGACATTCCAGCCCCGATAGCAGAGCGCCCAATCACGCCACTGCGCCAGCTCTCGCCAACGGCTCGCACGCCAGACAGGTCGGCCTCTCCCAGCCAGGCACGCCCCCCGAGCAGCGACCCCCCGAATGGCACAGCCCCCGAGCCTGTGAGCGAAGTGAGCGCCCCCTTCGTGCCAAACGGAACCACCCAGGACGCGATACCAGAGGTCAACGAGCCGGTGCCGTCTCCTACCATCCCAGAGACCAAGCCAGAGGTATGCTGTCGAGACCAGCGTGCGTGCATGCATGTAGCTGACACATACACAGCCAGAGAAGGACGAGGAGGGCTTCTCCGTACCGCCGTCGGCTCTCGATGCCATCACAGAAGCAGAGCGCGAAGCAGGATTGTAAGGCAGCCTTATGCATCATCCTTATCACTACTAACCCGAAAGCAGTATTCAAAACGAGAACAACTCGGCCCCCCAGTTCAAACTAGACATCAAGAATGCCCCGATCCAAGAAGAGGAAGGCGCCGATGCGGCCATGGCAAACATGGTCAACACCCTGCGCGCAGTGAGTACATATCACCGAACACTGCAGCATCTCATCTAACGCATCTACAGCACGCGGTACCGCCGAAACGGTCAGGCACACGAGGCCGCAGGGATGTCCGCAACACAATCTTCGTGCCCAGCCCGGTCACCCCAGAGCTGCAAAGCATAGGCGAGGTGCCCTCGTTCTCGTCTCCGGGCTATGTCGCTACGTCCCCCCCTGGTTCCGCCACTGGCTCTTCCACATTCCCAATACCGCTGTTTTCCATACCCCCGTCGCCCCCACTGCTGCCCACGTCTCCAGCCTCCCCAATCTTCAAACCAGTTCACAGGACCCTGCTTGCCGACGACCACCCCACGGCCGCCTCAGACACCCAGTCTATCAGATCGGGCCGATCGCTCAGCAGCTCCGCTAGCGCTACCGTCAGGCACCCCGACCTCCACGAGCCCGGGCTCAACGCCTCGCTAGCAGAAACGGTCAGCGCGTGGTTCGAGCAGGGCACCGTCACAAAGGCCATGGTAATCGGCCAGGTAGCCCTCGCATTCAACCCCATCGACCTCTCCGCCGGCCCCTTCGGCACCGAAACCATCCGACTCGAAAACTTCCCCGTCCTAGAAAAAGTCGCACCAAACCCAGCCTTCATCGAGCAAATCCCCGACACACCAGGTAGTTACACAGTCGACCTGGCGAAAATCACAAAAACCTCCGTCGCTTTCCACTACCAGCTACACATCGAGGACGAAAACATCGCCTCCCTCGCCCCCATCATCCTGTCTCCGGCATGGAAAACAGAACCAACACAAACCTCCGCCATCCTGACGTACTCGTTAAACCCCAAGTACGCACTTGCCGGCGCAACAACGCTTACGGTGCGCAACCTCGTCCTCGTCATCCGCCTCGAGCCCGGCGTTAAGACACTCTCCTGCCAGTCCAAGCCCGCGGGTACGTTTTCCCGCGACAAAGCGCTTATCTACTGGCGCCTCGGCGACGTGACGTTTTCGCCCGACCAGCCTGCGCAGAGTATTCGCGTGCGCTTTGTTACTGACGGGGAGGCGCGGCCGGGGAACACGGAGGCGCGATGGGAGATTACGGGCGAGCAGTCGTTGGCGCTGGGGAGCGGGTTGGGCGTTAGTGTGAGTGCGCCGGTGGAGGTGAAGGCAGAGGGCGAGGCGGATCCGTTTGCGGATGAGGATGAGGTTGCTGGTGCGGGGCTGGGGGCGCCGGTGTTGGCGTGGAGGGATGTGCCGAGTGTTAAGCGGATTACTAGTGGGACGTATTTGGGGGTTTGAGTTGGATGTGGTGGGATTGGATGGGGTGGGAGTTAGAAGGAGGAGAGGAGGGTGCGATATCATTGGAGATATGGGGAGGGGGAGAGAAGTGTCGTACTATTACTCTAATACAGATGTTTATTGCTTGATCATTTTGCGTTTCTGCATTTCTTGCTTCAGAAGACGGATATACATCTATCGTCTTCCCACCGGCGAGGGAGCAAGCAAGCAGGTCAACATGGTTCTCGACAAATCACCACCAACCGACATACATCAACCAATCTCCCTTCCCTCCCCTTCCCTCCGATCAATTCATCTCCCACGACACCATCCTCACCCTCCATCCCCCTTCCTCCCATCCTCCGACCAAAGCCCACAAAACCTCCGACACCGACCTATCAAGCCACCACAAGGATACCCCCAGCACACACCCGCCCCGAAAACCCCAGCTAACACCGGTAAACGCGGGAGTCAGTATGCGTGTCTTGGCGGATGGCGATTCTCGCCACTTTCCCCCGGTACGGGACCTAGCCATTTCCTGTTCCTGGTTCCTATCAGCCGCGTGTTCGCGCCTGAGGAATGGTGGGTCTGGTATTGTTAATCCTTCGGTAGGATTTGTTGGTATGACGCGATAGGCGGGTTGGTTTGAGATTCACGCGAGTTTGCTAGGTAGATTCGAGTGATGTTTTTTTTTATCTGTGTTGATCTGGCGGGTGCTGTGAGTTCAAGTCATGTCAAGTGAAGCGTACAGGAGTGAGGTGTGCTATGCTGTGTTGTGCTGTGTGTAGTGTAGTGTAGTGTAGTGTAGTGTAGTGTAGTGTAGTGTAGTGCAGTGCAGTGAAGTGAGGCTGCTGCCGAGGACACGTCCCGGAACAGACATCATACGATAAAACATTTGGAATCTGCACGGCAGTACAAGAAGGTAAATAGGTATTGGAATGGAAGCTGGGTTAACGGGCCTACTGATTGTGCGTAGAACAGAATGGACCCACTACTTTCCAAGATTGTTGTTTGTCAGCCTTGGTTTGGGAAGAGAAAATGTAACATGTGCAGGTGATCGGATCAGCATGTATTCAGAATTGCTTGCCAGGACGTGGTAGTTGGTGGGAGGAATTCTATGATCCGCTTGTGATGTGTGACTATCTTGGTGGGGACGAGAGCATTCTGTGTTTGGGTAGGATTGCGTTTGTGGGTCGAGAGGAATTATTATGATCTGCGCCTTGGGCCGCAGCAATGTTGTCGCTCGGTTCTGGGATGAGGTCTGTAGTTTTTGTTGTGGTCGTGATTACTCGCATGTCCGAATCCCGTGAGGGACAGGACATACGGTGTACGTGTTGGCGGGTTGGTACCAATCTACTCAGTCACGCCGGAGCCAGACAGGCATGTCGTAATGGATGAAGGTACCACGAGGATGTACCATGAGGATGCTCAGGTAGCGGTGAGTACATGGTAGTTTGGTTGTGAAGATTTGTCAAGTGACGGCCTTGTTCATGTCAGAAACAGAGCCGTCCCAGACGGGTGTACACGAGCTGGTTAGACGTCTTCTAGAAGAGGTGCCATTTCACCGAAGACATGGCCCTTGCCATGCAGGCGTGCAGGGTTGCTGCCGGCGAACGGGTAAAGAGGCAGTGCGTTATCAAATCAAATTGCGAGAGTGGTGTGGTTTCCGCGATTGTGGTGAGTGTGGCAGAGTTCTCAGCAAGACGCTCTGACATTGGCCAGGCATGTTCGCTGCAGACGAAAATGACGTGTGGCGCCTCGCTGCTTCAGTGCGATAGAGACAAGTTGGGTGCCAAGGCTATGTTGGCCCAATGGGAATGCCTCAGAAGCCGCATGGATGCCGCGCGGCAGCCACACTTTGGACGCTTGCCGATGGTGCAAAGTGGCGCGTTTGCAATGGCGACGGCGGTGGCAGCGGATTTGATGGCGGCAGCAGAGACATTGTCGAGGGCGGAGGGCGTGGCTCGAGCATGGGCAAAATCGCGGCGGGACGGCGAGTGGTTGGCGATGACGTCTTAGTTGGGTCATGGGTCAGCCTCGTCCCCGTCGCCAGATGGGGACATGCAGAGCAGAGCTACTACGAAGACGCCGTTAAGCAGTCGGCGTGGATGTGTGCATGCACCAGCGTTGTTGCAATTCAGGTGCAGCCAGCTAGCCCTCCCACCGCCCAGCACCTCCCCGTACGTGCAATCTCCAGTCTGGCCAGCGCTGCGTCGGACGACTGCGGCATCTCCCATGTCAGCGCCCGCCTGGTGGAGCGCTCCTGTTAGCTATCGTGCTACCGTCCTGGTGCTGCCGCTGCCGTGCAGTCGTCCTGTGCTCGTGTCGCCGTAGAGCCGCTTCGTCGCGTGGCGCTCCTTCTAACATCTACAGCTGCTCGCCCGCCTCAATATCTACGTCATCCCCCCAGGCTCTTCGCTCTGCCAGCCCGCCCACGCCCACGCCCACGCCCACATACGCATGCCGCCATCGCCACACTGCACTCCTGCGCACACGGAGAGGAGAGACGGGACGAGGGGGATGCCAGCATGAGCCCGAAGCCGCTCTCGACCCAGCCAGACAGGGCCGCTTCCACTTCGACCGCTTCGTCGACGCCCGGCCGCCCCGCCCTGCCGCGCCTGCCACGCAGCGACGCACTCGACCAGCACCACGTCGCCGCCAACACGCTGCCAGACGACTCCGACGACGATGGCGACGCCACGGCCTCCGACACGGACCTGAGCGAGCACGAGGGCAGCTACGACGCAGTGGGCGCGCTCCAGCCCGGCATATCGCCTGACGAGGCCGAAATTGAGCGTCTGCGCAGCCTGCAGCTGAAGATGTTGCAGAAGCAGCAGCGAGCGCGTTTGCTGGACAGCACCCCGGGAAGCCCCGCCGCCCGTCGCGTCTCGCCAATCAAGGAGGAGCCCATGGATCTAATGTCGCCTACGCTCGCGGATGCCTTCATCAGCCCGAGCCCGCTCCCCACGGCGCAGACGACGTCGACCGAGTCGACCGAGTCGGCCAAGACCATCCGTGGAAGCATGCCGCCCACGCCCGCCGCCCACCAGCCCCTCAGGACGCCGTCGTACCCCTTCCCCACCGTCCCAAACACGCCCAGATGGTCCAATGCCTTCCACCAGCCCTTCACCAGCCTGTCGCCCACCGTCTCTGCCATCTACGGGAGAGACTTTTCAGCGCCACAAGACCGCATCGCCTCGGAGAGCAGCACCCCCGCTGCCACGGCGACGCCCTTCTTGCCTGGCGACAGACACTTCTCCACTGCCGAGGGTGAAGACCCACGATACCCCAGCCCTAATCTCTACGACCTGGTCTTGACCCTGGGCGCTGAGCCTGGCCTGGCAGCATGGTGGTCCGCCGTGACTGGCATCATGCGTGATTACTACGGCGTAGAGAGAGCAACGCTCGCTGTGCCCGCAGACGCCTCAGACATCGAGAACGTGCCGTGGGGCCAGAAGACAACCTGGACCTTGACTGCAGACAATGGCAGTCCTGGAGCAACCATGCACCAAGCCCAGGACGACGCACCTGAGCAGTTTCGACGCACTCGACAGGACGAGACTGCCGACATGCCGCCCATCGTGACGATTCCCGCAAGGAGACCCAAACTCTTCTCGCATCACTCTTTTGCCGGGCATGAACGCCAGAAACAGGACACTTCTCCCGAAAGCCCGTTACCCAATCTGTTCATAAGGCCCAAAGGTCCACTCAGAGCAGTCAGCCATGCACCTCAAATGGGCGTGAGGCCAGAACATCCACTGAGACAAGTCTCCCAAGCATCTTTCGACGGCACATCACACCCATTCTTCGGCCCTGCCTCGGTCAGGCAAGCCTCATTCAGCGATCCCGAATTTTCGAGTATCGGAGGAGAGCCATCGCCGCCAACTGCCGTGTTCAACGTACTCCGCGCTCTCGACCACGAACCGGATGCTCTGATAGACAACACAGGCATCACCCGTGTTCTCGAGAGGGGGCGCCTGGTGACGTTGACGAGGGATTACTCGACTTCAGTATCCACGCCCAGAGACGGTCCTCCTGAGAAAGACAGGTCGGATTCGTCCAAATCATCGACATCGCAAAGCAGCACAGCGGGTTCGGAAACATTGAAGACGGCGGCTGCTCGCGGACGTACTGGCCTTGCGCCCCGCTCCGGTACTGTGGACCAAAGTGACTTGAGACTGCAACCTCGGTACGAAGAGTATGAACAATACCCAAGCTCACCTTGGGCACAGTCGCCTGCCCCCTCTCCTGCTATACAGAATGATCCAGACGACAATCCATTCTTTGCTACGGGCCGAGTGGACGAAGACACATTCAACCCGTCTCGTTCTCCACAGGATTACACTCAATATGGCGTGGTGGAGGCCATTGGTGTAGACAAGGCTAGCACTGTTACACATATCCCATTCATACATCCCACATTGTCGCAAGTGATGCAGCCTACAGACGCGCCAACTCCTTCTCAGACACCGTCTCTATCAAGGGGATATTCCGAACATTCGGCTCAGACTGTTTCTTCGAATAGAGACAACTTTGTGCGCAAGGCGCCAATAGCAATTCTTTCCACATTGTCGCCTGTCGTTCCATATCCAAGAAACCTAACCAATTCTCTGAAGCATCTGGGACCTCATCTGGCAACCTCATTTTCCAATGCGTGGCAGTTCACAAATGCCCAGGTGCAAATTACTGCGGCCGGTCGTCGTCGGAGCTTGATAGGCGCATCTGGGGGTGGAACATCAGTCACTGACCAGGCCAGTCTCGACGATTTGCTTCGTCTTGACCTTCATAACGTCACGACTTCCGCCGCTGGAAGTGTCACCAGCCCTTCAGACTACTCTAGTCGTTCAAGATACAGCCCTGGCGGATCCATCACTGGCACACCTGGCTGGGACTCTACCTCTTTAGCCTTTGCTAGCAAACCTTCTATTGGAAGTACACCTGGCCATTTTCCTGGCAGCGAAGCTGTTGAGAGCTACTTCGATTCTAGGAAAAAGGCTGTTCGAGTCCCAAATCAACCCGTTCCCGTTCCCACTCCCCAAGACCAACCTGTCCGGAAAGCTGAGAGACGGCATTCGAAGCGAGTCAGCGTGAGCATGGTAGCTGAACACAACGAGGAGGATGTAATCACGCCCAAGAATGAGAAGGTGCCGCAGAACGAAATGTCTCATGCTCAGACACCAGGTACTCAAAATCGAACGCACTCTCTTCTGCATTCATATGGCGCCGACTTCAGCTCGTCGTTCCAATCGTTACCATCAGCAACAACCCCAGGTCTACGAGCGCCTGTTTCCCATGAGCGCACACGAAGAGGCTCGATCACAGAAACGTTGGAGATGCCACCCCCGTCTGAAAGTCTTCTGCGAACCATCATCGACTCATTGCCGGTGCAGATTTTTACGGCAGCGCCAGGTACCGGTGCTATTACATGGGTGAACTCGAAGTTTTTGATCTATCGCGGACAAGATAGCCGACAGGTACTGCAAGATCCCTGGGATTCGATCCATCCGGAGGATCGAGAATCATATCTGGAGCAGTGGAACAAATGTCTGCGTACGGGTCAACAACTTCAGAAAAAGGTTCGATTGCAACGGTTTGATCAATCCTATCGATGGTTTTACATTCGTGTTGCACCATTGAAGAACAAAAGACAACAGATCGTCCATTGGATTGGAACCAACATGGACTTTCACGAACAGCACCAGGCGGAACTCAATGCTGCTCGACAACAAGAAACTGCTGCTTCAGAGGCAAAGTATAGAGCGCTGGCGAATTCAAGTCCACAGATTGTTTTCGTTGTTTCCAATCGAAGGGGGCTGACTTTCTGCAACTCGCAATGGATCACATTCTCTGGCCAAGCAGAGACCTCCGCCCTTGGGAATGGCTTTTTGGAGCATGTTCATCCTGAAGATGTGATCAAATGCAAACTGCCGCTGATGGATGAAGATGGTGCTGCCAATGTTCCAACTTCGATGCCTGCAGACAATGCGTCACAGGACACAAACGCTTCTGACTGTTCATCGGAAACCGAGAGAGGAGTCACAAGCCCAGGACCCTCGCCCGATAGAATGGACTTGCCACAAGCAAAGCTGTCAAAACTGGCAAGTACTGGAATTCTCAAGATCACCAAGGACGCCCATGGCCGATCGTCTTACTCCACTGAGGTCAGACTTCGCAACAAGGACGGCGAATACAGATGGCACCTTGTCCGAATCCTGCTCGAAAATTCTCTGGCCGAGGACGGCGATGAGGAAGCTTGGTATGGTACTGCCACCGACATTAACGACCACAAGTTGCTTGAGCATACTCTGAAAGAGACCATGGATGCCAAATCCCGATTTTTGAGTAACATGTCTCACGAGATTCGAACGCCTCTCAACGGTATATCGGGAATGGTCAATTTTCTCCTAGACAGCATCCTCAACGCCGAACAGCTTGAACATGTCAATATTATCAAAGCCAGTACTGATAGCCTGCTCAATCTCATCAATGACATCCTCGATTTGTCGAAGGTAGAGGCTGGAATGATTAAATTGTCAATGGAATGGCTCCACCTGCCATCACTTCTCGAGGAGGTGAATGATCTGAACATGGGCCTAGCGATTCAAAAGGGTCTTGAGCTCAATTACGTCGTTGATGAGGGGGTGCCGTCGATGGTCAAAGGAGACAAGTTTCGCATTCGCCAAGTGCTTCTCAACGTTGTCGGCAATGCGATAAAGTTCACTGCAAAGGGTGAAATATTTGTCCGATGCAGACTGCAATCGTCAGAGCGTTCGGGGTCACTGAAAGACAACGAGACCATGGTACGATTCGAAGTAATCGACACAGGGCGTGGTTTCACTGAAAACGAGGCGAAGTATCTGTTCAAGCGGTTTAGTCAGATTGACGCAAGCAGCACTAGACAGCATGGCGGTACAGGTCTTGGGTTGGCCATCTCGATGCAGTTTGTTGAGCTGCATGGTGGTAAGATGGATGCTCGAAGCGTGCCCAACAAAGGGTCGACATTCTTTTTCACCATCAAATTTGGCCTTCCTACAGCGGAAGATGCCCCGGAACCGCAGGTGTCGACACCAGGAACACCAGCTGTAGATCTCCAAACTGCAGTTCCGCCGCTGTCTATGCAATCATCGCCGTTGCAGAAGCCCTTCTTTCCGCAGATTGCTGCCAATATGTTGAGACGCATGTCTGGCATCATTTCGGATCGCAACGAACTTGTTACATCCCCAGCGCTAAGCACCACAGCTTCAGAACGTTCGCGAGACTCTCCATCGCTCTCATCTGGAAGCTCAGAATACTCATTAACAAGTGCCGCCCTCACCAGGAAGTCAAGTTTACGGTCAGAAAGATCTTCCGCCTCTTCATACATACAGGAAACCAATATGCCCATGGATCCCATCACTTTGGCACTCCCCCCCAAACGAGGTAGTAGTGGTTCTTCCCTCTCGCATGAGTCAACTCATACGGTTTCTTCCCCAAGCCCTCATCCCAATCCCTCTCTGCTTGGCAGCTCGCTTCAACCCCCAATGTTCTCCATTTTGGTTGTCTGCCCCCTGGTTCACAGTAGGGAAGCCACAATCAGGCACATCAAGAATACACTTCCCGAGGGCATACCACATCAAATCACGGGACAGGAAAGCATAACCGATGCGCAGAGAATGATTGGCGGCGATAATCCCGTGCTCTTTACCCATGTCGTATTGGTACTACACGATACGGCCGAAGTGCATGCAATTATGGATCAGATATTCCATTCAGTGAACTCTGGCAACACCTCTGTCGTGGTTGTATCCGACCCGTCGCAGAAGAAGGAGCTCATGAAGGAGGCCCCAGCCTATGACTATGAACAACTCCACACCGATCGACGGCTTCAATTCATTTACCGCCCCCTCAAGCCGTCTAAGTTTGGCGTAATCTTCGACCCGCAGAAGGAACGCGAGTTGAGTACAGATCGTAACCAGGATACGGCGCAACAGGTTGTCGTCAGCCAAAAGCTAGTCTTTGAGGAACTCAGAAAGAGAATCGGTGGTAAGGGCCACAAAGTATTGCTTGTGGAAGACAATCACATCAACCAGACCGTATGAATTCCTTCGATCGTCGCCTGAGCAAATGCTAATCTATATGCAGGTGATCTTGAAGTTTCTCGCCAAAATCGATGTCGAAGTGGAAACAGTCATGGATGGCGCCCAGTGTACAGACATTGTGTTCTCCAAGGAGCCAGGCTACTACTCCATCATCCTTGTGAGTACCAACACTCTCCAATTACTTCGTCTCAAACTAATCTCGTCACAGTGCGATCTACATATGCCAAACAAAGATGGTTATCAGGCTTGTAAGGAAATCCGACAATGGGAGAAGAAACATAATTACCGTCGGCACCCCATCATCGCCCTCTCCGCCAACGTCCTTGGCGACGTCTACTCAAAATGCGCAGAATGTGGCTTCAACTCGTATGTCACGAAACCCGTCGCGTTCAAAGAACTCTCTCTCGTCCTGTTCAAATTCGTGGACCCGCCTGATCCCTCGAAACTACCTGAGTTCATGAAGCCTCCGAAATAAAGACGGCTAGGCCTACGCTACTCATACTTCTCACACACTCTCTCTCTCCCTACGGACAAACTCATTTTCGGACAGGATGCATTTGCGAAAAGGCGCATATCCTGGGCGGAGAAGATTGTTTTGTTGCTACGCTTCGTTGCGTTTCAAAGACGCGGGTTGAATCATAATCTGTATTTGGAACAAAATTTCACGTTGTTTGATGCACTAATAATTGCTTGAAGGTCGCATTCGGCGCGCGTTTTCATCCTTTTTTTTTTTGGTCTTTCCTGCGGTGGTTTTTGCTTTGTTTGCATCTGGGTTGTGTTGCGTTGAGGGATGTTATTGGTTTTGGGATGCGTTAGCGTTTGGCGTGCATCATGGATGGCGTTTCCCTCGTTTACTTGTCTTCTCTCAATGACATGTGGCGTGCTACAGATAGCATGTATAGCCCAAAGATTCAGGGCAGCATGAGAATGTACATGAGGGCTGGATACCAACTGTAGCTTGGGTTGGTATGCATTGGGTTAAGTACACTGCGATGAATGGCGCGGATATGTATTATAGATAGAAGTATATGGGATATGCACGGATATGCAAGGAATAAGAATACCATGATAGTAGTACGTACTTGTTGATATGTTTTGGTTGTGGTTATGTTGTGGGTTTCAACTAATGACGGCCTGACGTTTGAATAGATGTCGATTGGAAACTGTATACTCTATGATATTCTATATCGAATTCGCCCTCTGTAACACTACATCTGCCGACCCGCTTTCACTGTATGCACCCTCATACACGACTCCACATTTATCATCACAGTTCCTACTGGTGGAACGCTTACATCGGCCTGTCGCCTATTGGGCGAAACGTACAGGGATCCAGAGAGTCGTCATCATAGGTCCAAGCTTCGTCATCTATCAACAACAACACCATAAGCCTGGCAGCCTCTCTCGTCGACGCTCTGGACTTCCTCAGTTGCATCTTTGTACCGGGAGCTACCCGCACTCCAAGCGAAGAAGTCTGAATCTTAGAAAGAGAAGTATTGCACCGCACTATGGCCTCTGCAACTGGTATACCGCGGGCAGTGACCGCGGAAGAGGAGCCGCTGCTTGGAGAGAGGGGAGATGCAAGTCAAATCGAGGGACGACCGCTTTATGAGAACCTCTGGCTTGGTGAGTAGTTTCCAACGTTTGATCTGGAAGAGCTTCACTGACGAGCGTGTAGGCACTGCGGCGATTGCACAGGCGGGCATCTGGATCGTGGGTCTCTCTCTGGTGACCATTCATTGAACAGTTATATTGACCAAGAGTAGCTTGCGGCCATCATATGGGGAGCCATCTTCTCGCACAAACTGATTTTCTTCTCTGCGCATCCTGTAAGTCTTCCCTACGATCCATCCCGGCGCAAGAACCTCAGCTAACCGCCACACAGCTTCTCAACTCGGTAAGCTACTCTGACACCGTAGGCATCAAGCCAACCACTTACCATACCACAGGCCGGCTTCCTCCTCGCCATCCAAGCAGCCCTCGTCCTCCAGCCCACCCACACACCCGCTCAGAAACGCGCCGGCACACTCGCCCACGCCCTCTTCCACGTCTTCGGCGCCACCGCCCTAACCGCCGGCCTAATCATCATCGAGATGAACAAAGCAGGCCCAGGACACGAGCACTTCGCGTCCGCACACGCGCGCCTCGGCCTCATCTTCTACATCACCGTGTACCTACAGGCCGTCGTCGGTTTTACGCAGTACTACACGCCCAGTCTGTACGGCGGCGTTGACAACGCGAAGAAGATCTACAAGTACCACCGTGTCGCGGGATATCTGATTGCGACGCTGGGACTTGCGACGATTTGTGCGGCGAGTTGGACCACGTATTCGCTTGGCTTGGCGCATATTCAGCATTGGGCTGTTATTGTTGCTAGTGTGTTGGTGTTGGTTGGTGTTTTGCCGAGGGTGAGGTTGAGTAAGTTTGGGTTGAGGAGGGATGAGGGGAGGATCAGGTTGGAGACTTGATGGGTTGGGGATTGACGTAGGGTCAACGTCTTTGGGAAGATGAGGTGGGGAATTGTGGTTAGTTTGTGAGAGGGTACATCGGAGAGACATGTGTTGAATGAAGACCTAACGATCGTAGGGTATTCGCCGACTGTCAATAGTAATTTAAGAGTTGAATTTCGAAGGTTCATTATTTGGGGACCTCATTGACATAGGCCTCTTCAAGGCAAAGGATTCCAAACATTACCACCTTGCAGTCGCAAAGCACCCTGAAGCTAATTAACCCTGAAGATCAAGCATCATGCACCCATTAGAAGAACAAAGCGATCAATCCCACAAGACCTCCTGCACCAGCAACAGCCTGCGCCGTCTTCATAGCACCAGCTGACGAGGCACTAGTAACCGCATTCTGAGACGCACTTGCCGACCTGCTCGCGCTCGTCGACTGAACACTCGACACACTAGCCCTCGACGACGACGAAGAAGACGAAGCAGACGCCGACGCACTGCTAATCCCCGACAACGACACCATCCTCGACGACGAAGACATCGTAGCCAACACAACCGTACTATTACCCGCATCCACACCCACCGAAGAAACCAGCCCAGACACACTGGAAGCCTGCATAAACAAATCAACAGTCGTCGCCGCCGCGGCGCACACAAGATGCGTCACCGTCCCCCCCTCCACCACGCTCCTCATCGTCCCGCAGAACGCCCGACTCGACGCCGTGCACGCCGTCACCAGGCCATCGTTCACGCACTCCGGGTCATCCAGACACGACGCCACGGATGCGGAGGCTACGCAGCGTGTCGAGATCTGGCAGTCGGAGCGGAGCGTTCCGGTGCAGCACCCGAACCAGTTTATGTTGGTGTTGTAGTAGCAGTCCCCTAGGGTGCAGGATACGGCGCGGGCTGGGGGGTCGGGGGGTTAGCTTGTGTTTGTTTGTTGGGTTGTTGGGGTGAGGGGGTGCTACGTACAAGTATCGCCGTCGATGTATCCGCATATTGCGTCGTCGATGGCTGCTTGTCGGCGGAAGATGTCGGTTAGGGATTGCGTGGTGCCAGTCGGTGCGGGGGACCAGCCTGAGGCTGCGAGGTCGGCGGTGGGTGTTGATGCTGGGGTTTCGACGGGGCCGTTGAAGTGGATTGCGTGGGTGGTTGTTGCGCTTATGGCGAGTAGGATGTTCAGGGTTGTTGTGCGCATCTTGTCTTGTGTATATGCTCTTCTGGAAAGATGTCTGAGCACAAACGCGTTTGTTTTTTTGTTGACTTGTATACGCAGAGATAGATGGGGGCTTTTCACAAATAACGACCAGACACCCATTAGCAAGCTGTCTTATATGCCTCCTCTGCACATATCATCGCGTAACCATACCGCTTTCATAGGTGAAAGCCCCGAGGCTCGTGTTCCGTCTCTTTCGAGCATTTACCTGTCTTCTTCGGGCGCTGCCGAGACAGTCTCGCTTGTCGAGGAATGTGAGTGGTCGAGATGTATCAGGCAATGGCGAGAAGACTATGGGGGCTGAGGTGAGGTGAGGTGGGTACCTTGCAGCGATGCCCAGGACGCCTTGTTCTAACGGACAGCGGAATAAGACTGGCTTGGCGGGAGTCTAGTTGGAAGAAGAGGATGAGTGGGATGAGAGACTGGGGACGTGTAGGCAGAGTTTGAAAATGGAAATGTAGAGGGGGATAAACACCGCGATGCTGTATTCACTCGTACTCCTATCTCCTCCCCTCACAACCTACACACACAACACCACACTCCCCCGCCAAGCCCCTCCCTTCCGGTGAGTATTTCCTCAGCCTCGCACGACCGCACAACACAACTAGCGGGCGGGCCTTGCTGGCTTGGCGCAGAAGCTGAAGTCCCATCTCGTCTATTGAGTCCGGATTCGGACGCGTGCAGGCTTTGTGTGCTACTGAGGCTATCCCTAGGTACACCGGATTGCGAGGAATAAGCGCTAGATTGGGAGGCCTTTTTGCTTGTTGTGCGGGTTTGGATCGGGGTGTTGGATTGTTTTGGCGTGGAGTGTGGAGGACTGGTGATGGAGAAGAGGGTTGGTGTGTGGCGCTATGGCTGCTTTGGGGGGTGGTTTTGTGCGCTAGTTAGTCTTTGGTCGATGGTGGTTTACTCAACATCAGAGAACTGCGAAATACGAACTGGGTGCCTAAACGTAGCTGTGTATGGAATGATTGGGAGTTTCAGTCTACATCCACACGATCTCTGCCTGCAAACCCAGAACGCAAGGCACAACTATGCAAAAGCGCCCTCAAAGTTAACACCGCCTTGCTCTTCATGTCGCACATCATCAGCCTTGGTGGAGGCTTTGCTGCTATGAGAGCCAGTGATAGATCTAGACTGCTTAGACGAGCTTGTGGAAATGGTCTGACTTCTGAATATATTAGTATGTACACTAAAAGAGCGACTATGCGACGCTTAATTGCGCTTAAACCGTTACGCCACAAAGGCCCTTCTTCGGTCATGGGGACCGCGTACATGGCAGGATTTGGGCGTCCTGTTTTGTGGATGCAGTGGGGAGAAGGAAGCGCAAAGCTAGGCGCTGACAGCGAACGTTGGGCTGCTGGAGATGCATGAGGTTGTGTTCACGTCTGATGTACTTTAGGACGATGTCGTGCGTCGCCCTCCGGATCCTATACGACGGCGTTTGAAAAATATTTATCCATTGTTTGGACATGCAGGCCTTTGAGAGGGAGACACCGGAATTTGTGAATTTTATTGTCGATATCGATAAACTTTCCCTCTGAGTGAGGAAAGATAGGAAGATAGTGTAGTTTGTACGACGCAACCTCGATCCTTCACGTAACGGAGTTTTACGCTCCACCGAGCGCACGTCTTGGAATAAAGACGAATATGCTTGAGCTGCAAGTTGTTTTGCAGCGACCACATTGATATTTTTTGAGGAAAAGGCTTTTGTAAAAGTATGTCTCCTAAGCCTATTAAGATCTTTCTCCCTCAGGCCCTGTGAATTATTGAACGCGTGAAGACTTCTTCAAAGGACAAGAAATCTAGGGCAGGGAATAGTATAACTGGCTATGCGTCTTTATTCGAGGATGGGCACAGCGACGTAAGGTAAATCATATACCACTGCACAACTCAACTGTCGATATGCAGGCACCTAAGATGCAATGACAACCAAAGGAAAGGTCTTGTTTCTTCCATACTAAACCATGACGTGTTTTGTATGTTCGATCCCATCCCGAGTGACAGGCTGAGCATTTAGGTCGATGAAGTCATGTAGAATCCCAGCATTATCTGGGTCAAGTATGGCCTGTCTAAACAACAATAATTCAAGCCAAGACCGCATTATCAATGGCTAGATCAACTGAAAAAGCCTTGGATCTGCCTACCGCAGTCCTTTGTATCGTCGTTCCAATTGGGAAGTATTCAGTGATGTGGCTTGGAGGCGTCGATATCTAATGTCAATAGCCTTACGCTTTAAGTGAACAAATTTACGCATGTTTCGATACGCTATGCAGGAGCAAAGGATCTTCCAACCGGAGATGGATTGAGAGACGCAAAGAAAACTTTGAGATACTTGAAGCATATAGGTTGAAATGATAGGACGGGGTGTGATGCAATCGCCAATGTTTTATGGTTCCAAGCAACCACGGAAATTGCAGTACAAAATATCGTGCAAGTCCTCTAGATCAGTTCAGACTGTGCTTGTCTCCTCTGGCCAGTGTGTTTGTATGTGAAATTTGGCGCTCTTCACTGGGGTTACTGCATAGAAGATTCAGACGGAGTCAGAGCGTTGGTATGCTGATATGGAGAAGTCTAAATACCGAGCGAGGCAAAGGTCTGGGTCGGGGAAGTTGGACAGTGAGAAGCCAAATCACTAACGAATAGTGGGACTTGGGGTTCAAAGCAAGATCAAATGTAGTATCCTAATAAGATTCAATGAGGTCTAATACCATAGTAGTGTATTTGAAACAACAAATCCCAAGAGAATAAGATGAGAAACCAGAAGCAAGATATTGGGTGCTCGCATTAACCATCACACTGATGCGTCCCCAATCGAATGCTAGAACATGGTCATGACAAACAATCATGAACCAATCACAAAAGCGGCTGAAGCATTCTGCACTGCTCAAGATCAATGCTCTGCTCCAAGCGGAGGTCGTAGTAGTAGCTGTAGTAGTAGTCGTAGTCATATACACTTGGCTGGGCGCGGGCCGGTTTGGGTTTAGGTATGGTTCCAAGATCGACTTCCAAATTTCTAGCATCCCAGCCATGATGTTGCAGAAGCTCAGCCACTCGGGCCCGCACTTTTATCCTGTCGGTCTCTAACTTGTGACCACCCTCCCTTGTTTGTGTTTGATGTATTCCAGGTCGAAAAGCAACCTCCAGGATGGATTCTTCGCCTTTCTGATGTCTGGGATTTGCACCAGCCCATAACAACCAGTCAACCCAGTAAGTCAAACCCAATGATACTGCCAGGAAGAGACAAGTTGGTATGTTTGGATACGTTTCCACAAACATGAATCCACGGCCATCGTAGTATTTTAGTCGGCTCTCAGTCCGCCTGTTCCTGTAATATGCACCTAGTTGATAGGCTGGGAGGATATTCAGTGTGGCTGTTTGTTGGAGACGGAGACCAGGGACAGGATATGTAAGAAAGTCTCTGGGCTTGCTCTCAGAGAGCCAGCGTTCCATTTCTTGTTGGTTTTCGTGGAATCTCCATCGGTTCCGTGGCCTTCTGGGCAACACTCTTTCCAAACTGACTTCTTGGTTGTTGGAAAACAGCTGTAGGAAGCAAACCTCCAGTATCCATCGTTTATGGTGTCGGGAGAAGGCTGGTACAGATACCATCCAGCGTATCAAAGCATCAAACATAAGGAAATTCTTCTTGTTCATGGCTTTGTGTAGGAGGTTTTGTGTGAAGGCTTTCTTTGCTGTATCGAAGCCAGAGAAGTTGTCCAACAGAATATTGAAGATCGCATCAGCTGATTCAGACCTGCTCAAAGCCAACTGAAGATAGACGTAGAGACGTCTTTGCTCAGTAGAGTGTACGGGGCGTAACAAGAGCTTCAGCATCGACGGGGTCCCTCGTTTGATAGCAAATCCGAGTAGCGTGGTTCCGAAGCAGATATTCATATCGTCGGCGAAGATGTAGGACCCTGGGAATGCTTCTAGCACTGCATCTTCATCGTTATGGAGTATTGCGCAGCAAATCTCCAGAAATGTGCAGTCGTTCTCGATGCGTTTTTGGCGCCGCGCCTCAACTGTGTGCTCATCGTTCCAATTGTCGTAAATTCCATTCGCGAACCCACAATTTGCTGTGTAACGCAAGATTTTGTTCTCGAGTGTAGACACGCGGTGCGCAACAACCCATCCGATGTTCCAGTCTTGGTGCATCGGTAGCAGACACCACTCACGAAGCTTTGCGTCTCGTGTAGCTCTGTCCCACTCCGCGACACCGAGTTTCATCAACTGGCGTTCGTAGACCGGGATAAAAAGACACGTAAAGAGGCTAGGCTCAGTATGATGCCGAGTGGCACGATAGTAGACATATCGTTCTTGCAGCGACAGCGGTGCATCGTCGAACACAGCGCCAAAAGCAAATAACTTGCCTCGTTTCATTCTTCGATGGAACATATTACCACGGATCAATTTCTCGCCCTCAAATCGTGATCTTTCGGAGAACAAGTACACTAAGATCTCTTCATTGAATCGACCTACGTGTGTCAGAATCTCCTTTCGCAGTTCCAATTTACAACCTTCTTGTGTATTTAACTGCCAAACTTACTGTTGATATGTCTTAAAGACAAAAGCTCCAGTCGAGTGTATATGCCCGTAACATAGTCAAGAATAATGCGGAAAATCTCCAGGGGCACCCGCATGTTGGATGGTAAGTTTGTTGGATTGCAGGATTCAGATTCTTGCGATTCGTTCCTCTTATGTATGCCGACCTTTTATGACTGTTCGCACATGACTCACTTTCCTCCTAGGCTTTGCTGAACCTTGGTTCCCAAACGCTCTGAATTTTGGTTCAGGCGGCAGCGTCTTGGCAGAATCGACAAACAGACTGCATATACTGGGTTCTGATAAAAGTTCATTGAAATCTCTTCCAGTAGACAGTCCTAAGATTGAAACTGTAAGCTGAAAAGTGAGAGTGACAAATCTACGAGGCTGTTGCACAGCGGTTTATGTTCGCCGACCACATACCATCGTTCAAACGCGCTCCAATATCTCTAATACCTCCCAACATGAACCCTTCCACATAAACACTTCTGTAACTCTGGCCTGTATCGCAGATCCTTCGATACTGACAAGAGCTGGAGGCACGCCGTAATCTCCACGCCAGTAAACTTCAATGTGACGCAGAGCAGAGGAGGCGACCCGTGTTTCCTCGATGTATTGAGCCCAGAGCAGTGTATTCCAATCCGCATCTCGAATGATTATTTTCTCGATCCAGGAAGGAATGGTACAGGTCCCAGCTGGAAGACCGGTTTCGAACTCAAGGGTCCGAAGTTGTGGAAGCTTACTGAACAGCAGTTCGAGTTTCAGTTGATGGTCGACGAAGGGCTGATCATGTCCAGTTGGATCCATCGCGGAACCCTGAATCTTTAGTGTTGCGACGTTGGCGAATGATCCTTTGGCAACCATCACGAAAGGGTTTCGTTTGGAGAAGTCGAGCGTTAGGGTAGTGAGACTTGGTAGACCGGCGCGGTTCAGACCGTTTAAATCGGTTGACAGTATCAGTGTGTGGATTCTGGTCAAAGCAAGGCCTCGACTCAAAACTGTAACTTCGGATGTGTCTGTCATCACAGGAGGTCTGTCGCTGCCCCGTTTTTCGATGCCACAAATGGAACCCACACATACTTCATGATTCCAACACGAAGGCAATGGCCGGACGTACAATTCGAGAGTTTGAAGGTTTGGGAGAGATGCCAACACCAAACTGCAGACCATAGCTTCCGTGGGACATGCGAGGGTTTCCAACCATTTCGACTTCTCATGCTCAGGCAGGCGGAGGGCGTCGACGATACTCCTAACTTTCTGAGTACAGCCACCACAAACGCATGCCCTCTCATCCGCACCATGCACTTGACGCACTGGGTATGCTATCCATAGCCATACGGCAAGGTGCCGCACAAGGCCACCAAGTTCGGGTCGCTCGACGATTGTCTGCAAGAACCTGGGCAACGCGGACACAAGATGCCCGTTACGCATGTCGACAGGCTGAGGCAAAGCGGGTCTACGGTAGAGAACATCGTATGCGACAGATCTTAAGCGCTTGCAAGTCAGAGCAAGGCTCAAAAGAGTTTGAACGCCAGTTGCATAACTTCTGCGTGCTTCTGAGGCACGCATGTGTAGGACGGTGCGTGTTGTGCCAGTGTCGGATGGGCGGTTGCAGTGGTCGTTTATCAAACCGTATCCATTGTACTTACCAATCGCTTCAACGGGGGCGAGATAGTTTGCAATGTGGCATAGAATCTCATCTGGAAGCTTGAGAAGCTGCGGCGAATTTCCATCCGTCGTCCGCTTCCGTGGAAGAGAGTTATATAAGCCTTCGAGATTGAATGTGTCCTTCCAACTTTCCTCGTTTGCGGACATGGCAGTTGACGTTCAGCTATACCCCTTTGCGTGGTTTGTTCGGCTCGCGGTTGAGCTTGTTGGGTGTAAGTAAAGTAGCTGACAACGCCGGGGAAAAGGTTGTAGCGCTGATAAGCGCGGTGTCTGTGCCATAGTGAAAGGGTCGAATGTCACATGCACGCCCTCTACACAGAAAGACTTCACTATGCATTGATCAAGGGAATGATTTCTCACCCAGACTCTCGGTCAACTGTAAAGGCGGGAACTAAGCTACATTCTTAGCAAAACTACACAACTAGAATTTGTTGAAGTGTACTCAAAGTGTGTAATGCTAGAAATCCAGGCACAAGACTCCAACACGCAGAACCTGGCTCCCGGCCGATCGAAATGCGAAATCATGCAACAGATTGACAACTACAACTAGGTTTGGTGTAGAAGTATTTATATGCTGTCACACAGTGCAGATCTCGGCAAGTCGATGAGTCATTTTTGCATGTTCAATACTGCGATGGGTGGTGCATCAGTAAATATGGCTCCGGAAAGGCCTACTGATCGGAATCGGGTGTGTAACATATTGATACCTTTCACTACCACTTTGTAGGTTTCTAGTCCATGGGTTGACGTGTCGTTCCAATGTTACGCATCTAGACGAGGACTTCGGTGTACAGTTATGTTGAAATACGCGTGACGTCATTCTCAGTCACCTTGGACGCCTGAACATCAGTGTTGGGTTGTTCGTGTCAGTTCTGTTCAACGTGTCTGGTAGTGCTTACTTCGAACTAATTCCTACTTGTTTTCACTAATGTCCAACTTTCGATTACGGTAATAGTCGCGACCCAAGGTTTTGGTTTCGTTGCAGATGGTACTTCGCAAGAGATAAGTGTCTTGCCAGTTAGGACGGATACAGGTCTCGCTGCGTACCCAAATGACAGTTTTTCTTGTCTATGTAGCGTCCTCGACATTGATGTGGGAAGCCTCTACCATATCTAGGATGACAATCCCGGATATACCACAGGAGGTCTGTTATGCAACGAACCGATTTGGTCGAAGCCGCGCAGGGATCGATAAGGCCCATCATGTACTGTGGTATCCAAGCCATATATTCAACAGTTCGCCACCGCGGAGGGAGCTCCCGTAGCTGTCAGAGCCAATTGCAGTTGCTCCTCGTGGTCAGTGACTAACTGTTAAAACTTACCCTGGATACTACAGTACCTATTGGTATGCCTTAAATCCTCCGACATATAAGGGGATAACGCCCCGTCAGGTACCGGCTTTGCATTATCGACTAAACAGTCATCATGCTTTCTCAGCTACTGGCTAACTGCACGGCTTCATTGATCCCTTTTCCAACCGTCGTCGGGGCCGAATTCCTGTCCGTTCAAGCATCACCGGTCTCCAACTATTCCCTGAACCTCCCGGCGTCATACGAGTACCTTATAGGCGACGTCGACACCACGAACCTATCATTCTGCAATGTAACATTGACCCATACGCATCCAGGCCATAATGACACAGTCATCACCCAAGCATGGCTCCCTGTACAGCCGGCATGGAACAACCGATTCCAAGCAGTTGGTGGAGGACAATGGAGCGCCGGGCTAGACTCGAACGCATATCTCGCCATGACTGTGGCAGTAGCTGGCGGCTTTGCGACAGTGACGACAAACGGTGGTGTACCTTCTAGCGACCCAGACGACTGGGCATTACTGAGTCCAGGCAATGTCAATGTTCACGCTCTCGAAGACTTCGCCTCAGTAGCATTGAAGGACTCCACACTGGCGGCTAAAAGCGTTATTCAAAGCTTCTACGGCCAGTCTGCGCGATATTCGTACTGGCGTGGCTGCTCGCAAGGTGGTCGTCAGGGCCTCATGTTTGCTCAGAAATATCCCGATGTATTCGATGGCATTCTCGCCGCAGCTCCAGCAATCTACTCGCAGTTCCTGGTCGCGGCGCAGTTTCCGCAGCAAGTCATGAACGAGATGGGACAGTATCCTCATCCCAGCGAAATCGACGCTCTTACGACGGCAGCCATAGCGGCTTGTGATGGCCTCGATGGTGTCGTCGACGGCATCATATCAAACCCGGACGCATGCCATTTCGACCCGTACACGCTGGTAGGCACACCTCTAAACGGCAGCTCCTGTTCCAATTCCATGACCATCTCCAAAGCCGCTGCCCGGGTCGCCGACGCAGCATGGAACAACGCGCGCAGCGCCAACGGCTCCTTCCTCTGGTACACACCTGGCTACTCCGCAAACCTCACCGCCTCGGGAAGCATCGCGGAAACAACGTGCTCGAACTGCACCTCTTGCCAGGGCGAAACCATCGAAATGGTCACCGACGAAATCCGCCTCTTCGTCGAGAAAAACCCAAACTTCAACGTCTCAGCAATGTCACGCCGCGACTTCGAGCGCGCACTGCACACCGCAGCGCATGAGTATGATTCCATCATCGGCACGAGCTCGCCTGATCTCGCTGGTTTCCGCAAAGCTGGCGGCAAGATGATAACGTATCATGGTCTGGTATGTCCCCCTCTCCCTACTCTTCACGCATAACATGACATGACACGTGAGCTTACCACCCCCCAGGCCGACGAATTCATCCCCTTCCGCAACACGCGCCACTACTACGACGCAGTCACGGCATTCGACCCCGACACGCCCGTGCAGAACTTCTACCGCTACTTCGAGTCGCCAGGGATGGGGCACTGCCAGGGCGGCATCGGCGGGTTCCCGTCCAAAGCGTTCGACGCGCTGCGCTCGTGGGTCGAGGGCGACGCGGCACCCGACGTGCTCGAGGCGACGACTTCCGCAAACGTGACGAGTTTCTTGTGTGCGTACCCAGCGAGAGCTGTGTACACGGGTGTGGGTGCAGAGGATTACACTTGCATGTCGGGGTAGATCTTGAATGTGTGAAAAGGAAAACGACTAGGTAAGTAGGTAGTCGAGTCGTCGTGGAGAGAGAATCTAGTGGGGACATTGAGAAAATCCCCATAAGACAAGATGCTCTTTTCCATCTAAAAAAACAGTCCCTGCTCTTCTTTGCCAAAATCCAACGTACATAGTATCAAGGTCCTCGAAGCCTGCCATGCCACCCTCACGTCATACCCAACACACACTACACAACCGCCCCCCCCCCCCCCCCCCCCCCCCCCCCCCCCCCCCCTTGTCACAACACTACCCACTACCCACTACCCACAACCCAGTCGGCACCTTCCAGATCCGCCCGAGCCCCCAGCCCCCTAAGGCCCCACCCCGTCCCGTAAAACCCACCCTTGGCATCCCGTCCGGCAGACTGGGCGTTGTATCACGTCGGGGGTTGTAAACACCGATGTACCGATGGACGGTGAAGTGTGATGCACACGTACGCGTATATGTACAGCGAGCGCGCTAGTTGATGGGGAGACGTGTCGTGTCGTGTTGTGCAGGGCGTGTGGGCGGGGGTTGTGAGGGGTTGTGAGGGGTTGGGAAAACAAACAATGAAAACGGGGGAGGGTGTAGATGGATGGGGGAGATGCGCTGTGTGTTGTGTTTATGGAGTGAGTAGGTGTGTTGTGGAGGGTTGTCAGAATGTAGTTTATTTCTATCGCATGCATGGCATTGTATTGTGAGGTGTTGCTAAAAAGAGAGGGTGCTTTTCATGTCATGTCATGTCATGTCGTATCATATCATATCATAACGTCTATGCTTAAGAATGGGCACCACACCATGCCATACCATACCATATGCCGCCAAAGTAAGACTTCACAAACGTGTCCTCGGCATGTACATCACATACTGCCAGACCGACACTCCTCCCATTCACCCGTGCAACTTCTCCCGAATCTCTGCAATCACCGTCGTGACGCGGGGTTCCTTGACCTTTTCTTCCGCACGGTTGATCGCGTCACCTAGCTGCAAGATATCCCTTCCGGCCTCGCAGAAGTCCGGGCCTAGACACAGCAATGTACCCGTAGCGACGAGGGCACGGTACACAGCCTCCGAGTCAGTTGCTGTAGTGAGAATCCTGGATAGATCGTCCAACAGTGACAGTGCCCGATCCGCATTGCTCTCTGAGATGAGCAGAACCGAGTAGTTGATGTACAAGGTTGTGAGGGCGATGATCAGGTTGCGGTTTGTAGACGTTATGAAGGGCGACACGAAAGGGTGGATTTGGTCAAACTCTGTGCTGGCTAGCAGGCGGCCTTTGTCGGTTTGAAGCAGGTTGCTGAGACATCGGATGGCCATCATGGTGTTGTTGGGTGGAGAGGAGCTGGCGAAGACGTCGGATTCCGCAAGGGCAGAAAGCAGGTTTTGCTCGGGCGACACCAGGTATGCTGCTGGTTCTTCGAAGACAAGGACGAGCCGGACGAGGTCGAGAGCGGGTAAGCGTTTGTCTGCTGGCCATTGCGTTGCCGCCTTGACCAGAAGATCGACACCAGTCACATCGACGTCCTTTCCATTGCCCTTTTCTATAGCAGTAACCGTTGTGCTCAGTTGCTCTAGATCTGACGGGTTCAGTGAAATACCCTTCTGCCCATCATTCACCAACGCCTGGTTGAACTCTTGCAGCTTCTTGAAGATGACTTTGTGGTTTCCCGTGGCAATAGGAAGGTAATCTTTCTGTGGGAGCAGTCGTGTGGCTGGTGGTGCAGGGGTCGGTTGCTGCTGTGATGTGACCTGGTTGGCATCGCCAGGGCGATATCGCGAGTCTGTGCCCCAAGGATCAGCACCCGGCGCGCTGCTCTGGCCCAAAGTCGCCCCTTGCGTGTTTTGGACGATGAAGTTTGCAACCTGGTCCAGGTAGGAGAGCGGTAACTCGTTGTCCTCGATGAACTTGCGCGCTGCCTCGTAATGGTTGTTGTTGAGATTGTATGGCAGCTTGAGTGGCGGTTTTCCATCCTCGATGTCGACATCGAAGACATAGTCGTACTCCTTCCCCTTGTGCGAGACCTTCCGGCCGCCACTCCCTGCCGAGTCGACCACAGTGCCTACGTTGATCCATTCGTTGGCGGCTCCAGACCAGGTATACGCTGAGACGTTGCCATTGGCCTCCAGTATCATCTGCACCTGACCTTCCTTAGTGCCAGACCGCTGGGTCAGAAAATCGGGCCCGGGTAATTTCTCCTTGTTGATGTCTCCCATTGCCTGCTGCGGTATCGACGAGCCCTTGACGTCGTCGAGGAACTGCTCGATTGCTTCGGGAGCAGCATAGCGAGTCTTGTCGCGGGTGAAGATGCGGATGAGGTTGTCGCTGGTCCCTGATGCGATGTCCCCATTCTCAGGGCACACGGCAACGGTCCAGACAGATAGGGCGGGGTGTGTGATTGTTTGTATGCACTGGTTGTTCTCCCATACGCGTAATGTCCGGTCCTCGCCGCCGCTCACTAGTCCGCCATTGGGGAGGACTGCGAGAGAGTATATGAAGTTCTCATGGCCATACAACTCGGCGACCTGCTTACCATCGATGGTCCATAATCGGATGACGGCGTCGTTGCCTGCAGACGCGAACTGGGCGCCGGAGGGATGATTCGGGGGTAGTCGGCACAGTGCGCGCACGATGTCGGGGGCGTGTATAGACCGCAGCAGCTTGCCCGACGGCCCGAAGAAGCGAATCTGCTTGTCTGCGCAGCCGGTGATGATGGTGTTGTTGTCGTAGGCCAGCACGGCCCAGACAGCGGCGTCGTGGCCCTGGAGGACAGTCGAGGAGCCCCATTTCCCCACCTCCCATATGCGCGCCTCACGGTCCCAGCTGCCGCTGACAATGTGCCTTCCGTCCTGGCTGACATCGAGCGTGCATACGTTGTGGCCGTGGCCTACCAGCAGTGCCTCGGCGTTGTCCTCAAGACTCTTGCTTGGCGGGCGCACGTCGATGATCTGGTCGTGGCCGCTGGAGACGATGAGGCCTTCGGGGTATGCCGACGAGGGCTGCACGAGCGTGACGGCGTTGACAAAGCCCTGGCCGTGTGTCTTTATGGTGCTGTCGTATGTGGGCGGGCTCGACGACTGCTGCGTCCACAGGCGGACGGTGTGGTCGCGCGCTCCCGAGATGAGCGTGGCGGGGGCGGGGAATGCGACGCTGCGCACCTAGAGCCACGGTCAGAAGACAGTCCACTTGCACACTAACAGAACAGGACAGGACTGGCGTACATTGTCTTCGTGGCCGCGCAGAGTGGCTGACAGCTTGAAGTCGCCCATGGTTGAACACTGCGGGGCTGCTCGACCGCTGTTTGACAGGCTGTGGTGGACGAAGAGAGAGAGAGAAGGCTAGACGAGAGAGCAGGTCGTGCACATCAACACCCACTTGTCTCGGCAGCTTCAGTGGGGAACAGGCACCGTGACACGTCGTTTGCGATGCCGTTTGTTGCGCAGAACCTCGCCAGCTGCCCACGACGTCAACACCGTTGTGGGTACCCTGCTCACTAGTCGCTGCCTATTATGTCAGCCCGCGGCCCTCCTTCCTCAACACCACAGCAGAACATTGCCATTTCTGCCGAGGCTGCTGGTATCGGTTTCTTGCCTTTGCGCCAGTCTCATGCAGCGCCCTTTCTCGCTTGTTCCTCTTCTTCTGCGACTCTGTTTTGCCATGTCTCGCTTGACCTCGCCATCCAGCTCTCTTCCCCTGCATGGATTTGTGGCTGCCTCTTCACAAAGCTGAACATTGTCAAGACCCTGACATAGGCGAAAGCCGTTTGCCTGGGCTGTAAGCGCCCATCAGCCCTCACTTCACTGTCCGAGGGCAAAGGTCAATTTTGCTTTCTCCAATTGCAAACTTTGACCAGACTGTGGCGACAAATGAATACAAAGCAGCAGCAAGAGCATCAACGCAGACGACAACATGCACCGGAGAGGTTGGAAATCTCTCAACAGGACAGATGCATGCAGAAGCACCTCCCAGGAGAAACATTGTCGTGCTGTTGTGGCTGCTGCTGGGAGATTCGAGAACCGAGGGCCTGGTGCAGACCTGGAACAGGAACTGATCGACACGGTGCTGTGATTGATTTGGACTGGCCCAGAACAGCCTCTCTACCACGAATTGGACCGCTGGATGACGGGTTTTGGGAAGGGTCTCCAGCGTACTCGCGTCTAAAACACCATCTGTTGCGGAGCTCCCGTCACGCTGCCTCCCCGCAAAACGGCATGTTCCCGCCCCACCCATCATTCGCTCCTTCACGGAGGTCGGCGCCTGCGCTCGCCGACCGTCACGCACCGCAAAGTGAGATTCATGCACAAGTAAAATGAGCGCATGGATCACGGTGAGTAGTCGAGTTCTCGGCGTCATTTGACCGGGCACGCTCCTAGATACTTGCAAGAAACGAGCGTCGCTTTCCGTACCATCTGCTTTCGCTTCCGCTTCAGCTGCATCGCTATCCGACGTGGGCGCTTTCTAGAACCTGGGCGCCGCGTTGCTGCATCCACCAGAACGTTAGACCCTCGCGTGACAGCGCCCGGAACGCCTGCATGCAATTTCAGGCCTAAGCTCTCCGCCCAGCTTTCGCTACCGCTTAAGGTTTTGCCTCCCCTGTGACGGGGTGTTGCATGTCAGTTTTGTGACTGGGCCGGACACGAGAGCTTGGTGTTCTTGCTGAATCGCTGAGCATGGGGATCAGCTGCTTTGCAACGTGTCACGGCGATCCAATCAATACACTAACTCCTCTAATTCATCCGGCTGATAGGCCAGACCCTCAGGTCTTGGAGGACGTGGTCTTTGCCGTTTGATACCAATCCGCTGTTCAGCCTCACCAAGCCTAGCTGGTCGGTCAAGACCCTTACTAGTCTCAGCCGTCAAGCCAGGGTCACAACGCGAATGCAAGCATGGTGTGAACTGAAATTCTCCCAGCGGCCGTAGCTTCATCTACAAAATGGCACGCAGCCCTCTGTGAAATATATATACACCGCTCACCTCACTCTACCGTCAGTATATCCAGTCGCCGATCCATCTCTGCACATCCTGGAACAACAAAAACTACCCCTATCTGCCAACCACAACCTTGTTCAGCCCTACCATTCGTGGCCACCAACGATCATCTGCCGACCGCCGACTCCTACGTAGCCTCAGTACGTGTTTTTACACAGGACAGCTCGCCTGTTCCTGCCGTGGTCGACGTAGCACCCTATAAAGATTGTCGCCTTGCAGAATTGCAATTTGCTTAAAGCTCATCTCAAAAGGCCAATTTCCTGCACACCTTCTACCAACAGTTCCTCTACGTTTTATCCTCAGTACTCTGGTTCAGTCATACCAAACAGCTTCCTACATTTCACAATGGACGCACCAATGCTTGAACTCAAGTCCGCACTGGCATCGTATGTTCCACATTTCTTTCAACCGTCTTTTGCTAAGTCCTATTAGACTTTTCGAGTGCGGCAAATATTCAGATCTGACCATTGTGTGTGGGGGGAAAAGATACCCAGTCCACCGAGCACTTATTGCGACTCGATCATCTTTTTTTGAGGGGGCATGCCGCAACTCCTTTCGAGAGGCAGACACTGGAGTAATCGACCTGACGGAAGACGATGCATCTGCCGTCGAGCACATGGTACACTACTTCTACCATCTGGACTATCTCAGCAAGCCGCTATCCCGCCGCTCCTCGCAGCGATCGGCTAGACCTGCCTCGCCACAGTCGCCACGCTTTTCAAGACGCCCTGCGGCAAAAAAGCTCAATCTTGCCCTTTTGGAAGACCCGCTCCTTGCGTCGGCTGCCGCTTTCCACGGATCGATGCCGCTGACTCCTCCTGCGGACGAACCCTCATTTCAGTCCCTCGACGTGTTTAGCAAGATGCCTGGCACACCGACGACCGATCAGGCCGTCGATGATGATCTTGAAAGCGTGCATTCTGAATCAGAGCCCGACACAGAAAAGGCGCACCTCGTCACACACGCCAAAGTTTACGCCATCGCAGAGAAGTACGTATGACCTCTTGTTGCTTCTTTTGTGTCTACGTTTTTCCCTCGTCACACGCGCCCGTCTTCCCCTCCTTTTGCGCTACGCCTGCCTCGCGTCGCGCATGACGGCGGAAAAACTCCGATAACCCCGCGCCGTGCGTCACCGACATGGCGATAGCGCCTACCACAACACTGTGGTCTACATTTCTGTCTGTTTCATCTTCCAATGTCCAATCAGTCTTACTGCCAAGGTGTCATTCTTTCTGCAGACCGCGTCAGCCTGCAGCCGCTTCCTCTAAACTGCGCTACTGAACCGATCATAACCCTTCGAACTCGATCGCTAACGGCCATGTCAGATACGAAATCGTAGGCCTAAAAGCGCTTTCGCAAAGCAAGTTCGCCCAGCAGCTCCAATTGCACATCGACAGCGCCGAATTTCCAGAAGCGTGCCAAGAAGCATACGAATCAACCTTCCACACAGATCGAGGTCTGCGCGACATCATCATCCAGGCCTTCCGCACCAATCCGGCTCTGTCGATGCGCCCAGATGTGGAGATGACGCTCAGGGAGACGCCTGGTCTGGCTTTTGAACTTTTCCGCATGGCGAGCGGGCTTCCCGTTGCGTCTTGAAGACTGCTATTCAAGCCGTCTTTGCATCTGCATCGACAGGCCACAACATGACATAACAGCATGTTTTTGAGCACGACCGCCCCGTCGCGACTGCTGCTTGCAGTTTTTGCCCCTCCGCCATGAGGCCGACGTCAAAAGTTGAGGATTACGGATCGAGCTACAGAAGCGTCTACCAAAGACAAACGTTACCCCCCGTAGCACACCGCCATGCCACAAGCAAGCGTTGAGCCTTTCTGGCACCATGCACATGCCATGGCACGTTGCACGCGTCTCCACAGCTGCAGTCAGCTGCAAGTGCGGGTGAGAGCGTCGTCAGCGCCTTGACGATTCCGCCAAGCCTGAGCGCATCGTGTTCGAGGGGAACGCCGTGTGTTTCAGGACTGCAGCATGACGGACTTGGAACGAATTTACGCCCTCGAGTCGGCCTTTTGGGCTCTTCTGGTTCGTGCGTGGGACGTATTACTATGTTGCCAATCGGCTTTCGGTTTCTTCCTGTCTGTATTTTATTGGGTGGGCTTTTTAGTTGGGAGCTTTGGGTTGGTGTAGTTTATATCATATTTTTTTCCGAAATTGGCTTTGTGTGCAGTGCTGTGACGATAACGTCTTTTGTGACCTGATGTGTTACGGGGAATTTCACCATGTGCTACTGGAAATCTCTTCTATTGTTGCTGAGAACCAATCGTTATTGTACACAACGCCCTTGGTTTACCTTTGTCCAAGTATGCAAACTCTCTCTCTCATCCACTCGTTTACATACTCGTTCACTCACTCGACACAACAAGATAGAACGAAGAATCCACATTTTGTCTCAAACAGAGATTCTGTCTACTTCCATACAATACACACAGGAAAATAAATTAGGCTACTACACTCATCCTCCGTACAATACACCTCTCCATCTCCCGCCCCCAACCTCAATACCCTTCCACATCCCCATCCACATATATACACACACCAACCAGCCATCAAGCTACCTGCCCGATATACCGCCGATCTGGATCTGCCTATCTCCCTCCCTACTTCCCTACATAATGAAAACAAGCTACATCCAGATACCTACCACAGACTCCTCATCTCCACTCCACATCTCATCTACCTCCCCACCTCACTCCCCACCCACCCAGCATAAGATACCCTGTTCCCTACTTCCCTTAGTAGGCAGCTAAAGACGATGGTAGGGTGTTTAGATGCATGAATGGTATAGACTCAAACAGAGGCACGTTCGGTACGCGGATGTAGATGTGTGGTTTGGATATGTTGGTCGAGTATTGGGGTTTCTCGCTCTGTCTTGTCTCGGTATATGTGGTTGCGATAGGTAGGGAATCCGGAGTTTGCTAGTTTGCGTGAAAGAGAACGGTGGGGGTTGGGTTTGGGTTTGGGTCTGGGTTTGGGGTGGATGATGTTTTGGAAGGCAGTGAGAGTGGTTGGTGCTTGGTGGTGTGGAGGGGGATTGAATTTAAATCTAAATGGGAGCTTGAGTGCGTTTATATAGGTAGTGTGTAGGAATAGGGAGAGTTGTTGGGAGAGATGAAGGAGTGGTATATTTGTAAGACGGTATATCGTGTGTCGAAGATATTCGGATAAGAAAGGAGTGGATTGTACGTAATTCTTTCGATGGAACAAGTGCTTGCTTGTAGGCGTGATAAATGCTTTCTCATAGGTGTAATAAAGTAATATTTCGAAGCCTGGTAGATAGTGAAAACGCGCACGCATAACCCGCTCATAAACCCAAACCGACAACCAACCCACCCCTGCCCTCCCGCATCACCCCTAAAACCCCTCCCCAGCCCACTCTCTAAACTGCCCAATCCACCCCTCCATATACTCCTTCTCCAACCTCCCAATCTCCCTCACATGCGCGCGTCGAAACCCCTCCTCATCAAACCCCTTGGGAAGAACCCTGAGATTCTGCGGAAACGGCTTCCCCATCACAACAGACCGAGTCCCAACACAATGAGCATGCAACGCCTCAGGTAGAACATCCGGCAACGTGCCCCGAACTGTATACTGTATCGCACTACCCCCTAGATACCAATCACTCCACGACGAATCCGTGTGTAGATTTTGCATCTGCACGGAGACGCGGACAGTGGGGTGAGCGGCGCAGAAGGATTTCACGGCTGAGGAGCATAGTGGGAGGAGGTTTGTGTCGCGCTTTAGTGTGCTGTGGTTTGTTATCAGCACGTGCTTGAGCCGTGGGAGGTGTGCGGGTGAGCATTCGTGGGTGAGGAAGGCGTGGAACAGGTCGGGGCCGTTGGGGCCGCGGAAGGTAAGGTCGTTGAAGCGGAGACTGAGGCCGCGGGTCTCCGTATATAATTGTCTGCAGACGTATTTCAGTTGGTTGTGGTCGCGGTTTTGCGTGGTGTTGTTGATGGTGGAGAATCGTCCTGTTGCGCTTCCTTCTTGCGGGGAGAAGAAGGCGTCTTTGAATAGTTCTTGGTCTTCGGTGAGGGCGTACTCGTAGATTGTGTCCCTGAGTTCGCGTGGGAGGCTGAGAAGTAGGCTCGAGTCATGGTGCGGAGCGCTAGTCATGTTACTTGTGATACTGCTATCTTGGTCAGTATAGGGGAAACATGGGGGAGAGTTGTCTGCCGAACCTGCTTGGAATAATCGCCTGACTGATGCTAGTATATGTGTGTGTGGACGACATTGTAATACTGGGATTGTCCTTCTGTAGACGCCTACAGAAAGAACCTCGCCCGAGCAGATATCCAAGCGTCGCATTGAAGTCGCACATTGTTTGATGGTAACAATTGAAGTTGGCAGGTGTGAAGATAAGGGTTTAAGTATCGGAGCTGGGCGCACGCCCGGATGGCCCGGGTTGCTGGTGCGGTGAAAGAGAAGCTCACCGCATCGACGGGTTTTGTGGGGTGGGAAGGAACGACAGGTAGGATTATGACACTCACACTAGGCACAGCCTCGTATAATGCTCTTCATCCTTGTCACCTCGCGCAGGAAAACTCTTGACATTGCCTGTCTGTACGACAAGACGCGTACTCCTCAGCATAACAGCCGACATCCTAGTGTTTAGACTGTACCAAAACAGTGGATGTACCGTCAATCGTGTCGTTCTTCATATCTACGAAGCAACACGTTGGAGGAACCTAACCGTCTAGCTCCCAGAACAGAAAAATGTACAGACCCACCCTCCCAACCACGCCTCAAACGCCACTCTCATGCATCCTCCTCACAACCCCCACAAGCTGCTCCAACCCCACCCCCTCACAACCACCCCTTAACTCCTCTCTCGCCTTCTCCTCATAAAACTTCGTCGTACAGCTAAACCTCAAATTCCGGGGACACTCAAAAGCAAACTTCCTGCACAGCCCCCTTGCGTGTGCACGCCCACTTCCATCCATCCGTGGCAACGGTGACATTCCTCTCAGCTTCCACGCCAGCGCATCCATGCACGCCACATAATCCTTCGCCAAGGTCGCGTCCCCCCACGCTAACCGTACGACAACCTTTGCGTGTGGATATTTGCGGCAGAACGGAAGAATAGCAGGTTTGAAATGGGCAGAGTAGCTCAGGACGTCGGAGGCGTAGCATGCGTTGAAAGTGCTTGTATCGAGGAGTGTAATTTTACGGATGCGCGAGACGAGGTAGGGGGGACAGGAGTTGGCGAAACGGGTAAAGTGGTCGAATGCTGTGACGAGGTTCGTGTCGTAGCGCCAGGTGTCGGCGAAGGTGAGGTCGTTGAAGTACAAGCCCAGACCGCTTGTTTCGCGGTGCAGCTGCCGGTTTACGAGGCGTAGTTGATTGGATTCGCGGCGGAGGGGCGAGGCGCTGTTGAAGGGGAGGAGGCGCGTCCGGGTGTTGGGGTAGGCGGAGCTGTCGGCAATGAGACCGTGGGGTTCGCGGAGAACGTGGGAGTAGATTATGTCGCGGATTTCCTGGGGGAGGAGGAGCAGGAGGCTGGTAGTTGAGGATGAAGATGTTGGAGTTCCTGTGGTAGGGTACGTGATGTCGGTTGACGAAGCCATGTTTCTTGTCGTTTGGAGGGGAACAGAATACAACACACGTATTAACCGTGGATGAATGTCGCTGGACTTTATATAGACTTTGAAAGCGGTAATGTGCTGAACTTAAAGGAAATGAAAAAGGACAGTGTTTTGAACGGGACGAGGACTTGATAAGAAAGGACCCACATGGCTGTCTTAGTGGTTTGGAGGCTGACGGTGAGAAACGTTCAAATCATGCCCATCAGCGAGCTGAGAGGAATGAAATCTGACGAATGGTGCTGCTGAATGCAGGTTCAGCTGCTGTAGACAGATAGCTAATCGAGAAGCACCAACACCCTTAACCAAGTTTGCTGGAAAGAATACTCTTGCAGAGGCGTACTGTACCAAAACACGACCTGCGAGAGTGTGCATCGCGGTGTTTGCTTTGCGTACACGAAGTTCATCATGTTATCAGGCGCGGAGTCGAGGCCTCAGCCGCACCTTTTAGACCGCGAGTTCAGCCGCGATATGGGGTCTGGTCCAATAGCTAAAGTAAGAGGCGGTTCGCCAAACTAGTGGACGGGAAAGACGACTTGGACACTAATAAGGCGATGTGCTCTCTCTTCTTGACGGCACTCCTGGACAGCTGGTCGGAGACGACATCTAGGAAGGGACGAAATCTAAGCACGGTTTGATGGGAGGGACAAACTCTAACCATAGATTGACGAAAGTGAAACGGGCGAGATGAAGGAGACAATGACAGAATGAGAGTGCACGGTAGGTAGATGGTGAAGGGTGAACGACGAGATGTCTGGTGTTATGGCCGTGCATCTCTGCGCTCAACGTCATCGACGCTCTGATTCGCCAATTGCAGGCAGGTGGATTAGGGCAAGACATGTTTTCCTTGCACGTCTTCGTCTGGTCTCTGTTGAGACGAGTGTCGCGTAGGTAGCTGTGTTGGAGCCATCGCGGCAGGTAGACTAGACACACGTGCGCGGGCCAGGCTTTTTGTTTGGTCACCTTGGCAACTCTCTCAATCTTGATCTTGGTTTTGCTTGTGACGAATCGAGCGCTGGGAATAGCTCCACTCTGACTGCCATCTTCTCTCGCCCGAGGTCTGCATCCCGGTGCGCAACCACTCCAACAGGCACAGCATGAGGTTCGTCGCATCACGCACGCGGCTCGCCAACGGGCACTAACGCGTCGCAGGTTCGGACAGCAGCTCAAGCAGTCGCTCAACAAGCAATGGCTCTTCTACTATATCGACTATGAGGGCCTCAAGGGCTCGCTGCGCGCCCACCGCGTGTGGGATGACGCCACGGAGCAGGAATTCATCCGCCAGCTCGAGAAGGAGCTCGACAAGGTCTACACGTTCCAGCGCGTCAAGAGCGAGGAGATTATCCGCCGCATCGCCGCCTCGGACAAGGAAGTGAACGACGCCGTGGTGCGCGCCCAGCAGCAGACGGATGGCAGCGCCGACGCCTTCGACGACGACTTCGAGCTGCTCGAGGAGGACCTCAGCGACGTCATCGCCGACGTGCACGACCTGGCCAAGTTCACGCAGCTCAACTACACGGGCTTCCAGAAGATTATCAAGAAGCACGACAAGAACACGAGCTGGGGGCTGAAGCCCGTCTTCGCCGCCCGCCTCAAGCACAAGCCCTTCTTCCAGGACAACTACGACTCGTACGTGGTCAAGCTGTCGCGCCTGTACGACATTGTGCGCACCCGCGGCAACCCCGTCAAGGGCGACTCGTCGGCGGGCGGCAAGCAGCAGAACTTTGTGCGCCAGACGACAAAGTACTGGGTGCACCCCGACAACATCGTCGAGCTGAAGCTCATCGTGCTCAAGCACCTGCCCGTGCTGGTCTTCAACGCCAACAAGGAGTTCAACGAGGAGGACAGCGCCATCACGTCCATCTACTACGACAACACGGACACGTGGGAGCTGTACCAGGGCCGCCTGAAGAAGACCGAGGGCGCCGAGGCCATCCGCCTGCGCTGGTACGGCGGCATGTCCAGCGACACCATCTTCATCGAGCGCAAGACGCATCGCGAGGACTGGACGGGCGAGGAGTCGGTCAAGGCGCGCTTCAAGCTCAAGGAGAAGAATGTCAACGCCTTCATGCGGGGTGAGCTGACGCCCGAGAAGGTGTTTGAGAAGGAGCGCCGCGAGCAGAAGAGGCCCGAGAAGGACATTGCGTCCGACGAGCAGCTTGCCCGCGAGATCCAGTACCGCGTCCTCACCCGCAGCCTCGTCCCCGTCACGCGCTCCTTCTACCACCGCACCGCCTTCCAGCTGCCCGGTGACGCCCGCGTGCGCATTTCCCTCGACACGGAGCTCACCATGACACGTGAGGACAACCTAGACGGCAAGAAGCGTGCAGGCAGCAATTGGCGGCGCATGGACATTGGCGTCGACTGGCCCTTCAAGCAGCTCCCAGCAGAGGACAAGGAGATGTTCCCCTACGCCGTGCTCGAAGTCAAGCTGCAGACCCAGGCTGGAGGGGAACCACCTCAGTGGATTCGCGATCTCACATCCTCGCATTTGGTCGAAGCCGTACCCAAGTTCTCCAAGTACATCCACGGCACCGCCACCCTGAACCCCAGCAGGATCAACCTGATCCCGTACTGGTACCCGCAGATGGACGTCGACATCCGCAAGCCCGTTAGCCACAAGTTCGGCATCGAGCGTCCGGGTGCGAGCAACGACATCAGCACGAGTGGCAACCTCGACGACGACGACAGCGAGGACGACGACGCCGTGATGGGTCTCCCATACGCGGACGGCAACCACGACGACGACCAGCTTAGAAGGCTCCGCGAAGCTCGCGACGTCATGGAGGAGAACGAGATTGCCCGCACCCGCGCCTACGGCACCATCACCAACGCGAACGACCCCAACACGCTCGACATCGAAGAGCGCGTAGCTGCTGGCCGTAACCGCAGCGACGACTACCCCATCTACGACTCAGACAGCGAAGACGAAGACGACGACTTTGAGGAAGCGAAACGAGCGGGCGGTCTCCGTTACGCACGCAAATGGGTCGAGCGCAAGACTGTGAGCGTAGGCTCCGCGCTGATGAACGGCTTCGTCGCCATCGTCCCCAAACCCACGCCCACGGACGTCGGCGAGGGCGGCTTCTCCAGCAAGCCAGTCGGCGAGATCAAGCGCTTCAAGGCCCCCAAGGGAAAACGTATGTCCCCCCCCCCCTTCTTACTATCCACACAATGAAAATCATACTAATCTTCATGCTTAGGTATCCACGTCCCCGTCCGCGTCGAGCCAAAAGTCCAGCTCGCAACCGAGCGCACCTTCCTCTCGTGGCTGGAATTCTCCATCCTCATCGGCTCCATTGCCGCCACGCTGCTCAACTTCGGCGACGGCATTGCGTTTGCGGCTGCCTGGGCGTTCACTATCATCGCCTGCTTGGCGTTGATTTACAGCGCGGGTCTGTATTTGTGGCGCGTGCGCATGATTAAGAGTCGTCGCGCTGTCGTGTATCATGATAAGTGGGGGCCGACGCTGCTTTGCGTGGGCTTGTTTTGCGCGGTGGCGTTGAGCTTTGGGTTCCGGTTTGGGAAGGGCGGGTATGAGGGTGGGTTGAAGGGGTAAAAGTGTTGCTTTGGAGGGAGGAGGGGGGTATTTTTATGGCGGGAAGAGTGGCCGGCTGATGAGGGGGATCAAAATGGGTAATGGAATGGGACGGAATGGCATGAGCTGTGTATTTTTTTGTAGCATAGCGTTTATTACGCTGTGTTGCGTCGCATTGTAGTTCGATGCGAGGCGGAGAAATTGTATATATGATACCACCACCACCTGACAACAACAATATCAACGTGAATACGAACGTAAGCATGAACGTAAATCGTGAATAAAAAAAGTATTCCTACAAGACGTAACTCGTTCAATACCTGATCGATATACCAGCCGAAACACCAAATGAATACAAATTGAAGAGTGACAAGTGCAAAAAAAGCAAAATGGTATCTCGCGCTGGACCCCGCCATAACGTACGCCGACGCAATGGATGCAAAAAAGGGATTCATGAAATAGGACGTTGAAGAAAACGAGGCTACTGCGGGATGCGGATGTGCTGTGCTGTGCTGTGTGTATCGTAGTTGTCGATCGAAGGAGAAAGTACTGTTCCTCACCGCGCAGCGTGAGCAGGACGTCGCACACCGTCCTCTGGCCCCAACTCGCCGGTAAGCCACTGTCCCATATGCGTCTGCCACCTCCTCAGATCATCATCTTTTGTAGCTTCGCGCATGCGCCTATGTCTAACGAGACGCTCAGCGACCTGTTGGAGGACGAGTTTCGGCGGTGCGTATTCCTGGACGCCACCGAGAGTTTGCCTAGTGTCGCGGGCGAGGTAAGCCGCGGTCGCCGTCTCCATGGTGGACAGAGTTTTGCCGCCGTTGACGACCTTCGTCTCGCCGGTTTGCGGGTTGAGCCAGGGTCCTTTTTCCCAGTTGTCGAGCTGCAGGTCTTGCAGGCCTTTGTCGACGTTGAGTCGCTTGTACCAGCGGTGCTCGCCTTTGGCTATGGTTGTCATCATGCGGTGGCGCACTTCGCCTTCGGTATACTTGATCAGTACGTTTTTGAAGACGGCGAATTTCTCGCTCCATTTCTGTAGGAGGGGGAGTTTGCCGAGGGGGCCGGGCCAGACGGCGGCGAATCCGTCGTTAGTTGTGTCGGGGCGTCCGGTGCCGACTGAGAGGAGTAAGGCGGGCGTGTTGTCGTCTCCTCTCAAGGAGGCGTGCTCGCTGTATGCTGCATATGATGGGTTGTTTTCGCGGATTCCGCCGTCTTTGAAACTCATGAGGCCGCGTTTTCCCAGGTCTGCTGTTAACATTTCGAAGTAAAAGGGCGCTGCTGACGTTGCCCTGGTTACTTCCCATATCTTCAGCTGGTCTGCGCCTTCGTTGTAGGGCATAACCCAGGATGGCGTGTCAGTCTTGTATTTGTGGTTGTAGGAGCGTAGGAGGTAGGCCTCGTTAATTTGGCCAGAGTGTGTGGCTGTGAGGCAGATACTGCAGAATTTAAGTTAGCACAGTGCTACGAGTAGATACTGCAAAAGTGTCGGTGTTCTCCAAGTGCCCTGATGTGGCCAAAGCGATACCATGAAATATGCTGCCAATGCTGCAGAATTTTGCAGCCGCTTGACAACTAGATGCAGAATTCGAATACAGCTTGTGCGATTGAGGTATTACCCGTATACACCTAAATTGTGGTTTGGATGCGATGTTTGCTAAAAAAAACTCCACTTACGATTGACATATTCTCTCAGTCGGCCTCACAGTACTCTTTGTGCTCGACCATGTTGCAGAATCTTCCAAGGAAACATCCGATCTCGGTGGTGCGCCCTCTTCCTCATCAGGGTACCAAGGATGCAGGTCTTTGCCATCACAGGCTTCATGGCGCTTGCAATACTGGCTCACGATATCTTGCACGGCCTTCTCCAGCGGTTTATGATGGTACTTGGTCGCGAGCGGGAGCACGTTTCTCCTGTGACCAAAAAGCTCCTGGCCCACTCGTCGATAGATTTCGAGGCATTGTGGAACCGTCATGCGTAGTCGGGCTAGCATTACCGATATGAGGCCGCCCGTTGAAGTGCCGTACATGTAATCGAAGTAGTGGCATGGGAGAAGTTCATCTTCGTTGAATGTGTGGCGTTCGCTTCCTACTACTGGGCCTTCCTCTATCTGAAGTCGTCGCTCGCATTCGGCGATCTCGTGCATGAGGCGCTGGACGATGAGTAGGCTGGAATAGCCTCGTATGCCACCGCCATCTGCGAAGCAAGTCAGTATTATCGCCTGGCATGTTTGGGCCTGCAATAGTAGCGGAAATGACAAGTCTCGAACGCCACCAGGCTGCGTAAGGAATGCTTGAACAGCCTCTCCATGGGTCGAGTCACCCTTGACAAAGACAAAGCCCCATTGTATGCGCCAGAAGGAGGATTGTATGCGCCTAATGGCGTGCTAGTCTTGCCGTATTCGCCAAGAGTGGTACCACGAGGTGAAGTAGTGCCATTCAGACCCTTGATCGCGTATCGTCGCGTCGCGTCGCAGACCTTCTAACCAGCATGTAGAGAAATTGGTTTGCACATACCTAGTGTCAAGATGAGATCGTCCCAGCAGTTGTCCCTGTTCACGGCCTTTCTCCACGTCTCCCCTGTCCTGTCCATGGTTGTCGCCGAAGATCCCGTCGTTCGAATGCTTAGCGGCCGAGAGAGCGACTCGGTTGGTGGTTGCAACATCTTGACGGACGGACGGCTTGCTATGTAGTCCAGTAGGCGGTTTGTTTTATCAGTCGAGGGATCTAGCACGGACGGCAGCAGAGGTAGTTAAGGTACACAAACAGCCTCATGACGGAGCAGCAGCAGACGAGGTGCGGATGCGGGAGAGGCTGATCCTCCGCGCGAGACGATGGTGCACGGGCCTGCTGGGGGGCTGTTTGCTCTGATTTGCTTGCTTGCTGCGCATAAATCGAGCGTGTGGAGGCTTATGGCTGTTGCTGCGCCTCCTGGGTAGCCTGCAGTTTTTATATCGCTTCACCGTCTATTCTTCTTAGGCGGTCGATATCTGCGAATGATATCGAGGATCCAGTAACCGTGGAACAGTGTAGAATGAAGTGATGATCTATCCAGACTCTGGGTAGCACATGACTAGGGCTCGAGTACAGCCTTGTTGGAGTCAGATTGCGAACCACACGCTCAGGTAGCATAAAAGCCCGATGGAAGCATGTGCCAAACTTGCGTTTCTGTGGGTATTTACACTATTCAGAATGCTAAAGTTTTGCCCTCTATTCCATTGCAATCTTCGACTGGCCCTCTGGAGGGTGGTATTTGCGTGCAATTCACAGTTGGAACGCCCCGTAACCCACCAAATTCAGCCTCGTCTACTCTTTGATGCACTTTCAAGAGGTTGCACGAGTTTGATTTGACGTTCTCAGAGATTCTTTGTTGCTGCAAGACTAAATGCTTCGAGGAACTTCACACAGCTCCAGGCAACAAGGGTGTGAACGTACACGAGGTACAGGGCCGTTGAAAGGTGTCGAGGACAAAGTTTTCGCCGTCACCTGTGAATGTGGATCGACAAACGCCATCCAGGTGACTCCTCAGAATCGTTGCCCTGGCTTCCTTTGCTTGCTAATAAAGTCCATCACGGAGATGTTGAGACTTAACTTGGCCTGCGCAGGTGCTTAGTCATTGGGTCGTCTCACAAGAATTGTGAGACGTGAGTACGTGTGTTTTCGCAGCTTGCAGACATATGCCTCCTAGCGTCTGTGCAGGGCGAACAGAGAAGAAGCGTGATGTGCTGTCGTACTGCCGGTCGCTCGTGTTGTCAGAGAGGTGTCGTTGGTGGGGGTTGAAAGGCCGTGGTGGCGGATGCTCCGTCACGCTAATGGCCAACGGCAAGCCACTGCTGCCCCCAGTTTCTTACGAGGCGCAGCAAGCTGGGGTGACGCCCGCCGACAACCTAAGCCATCACTCCACCAACTTTTCCCTCGGCTTACGCAAATCACCCGACTGACGTACCCATTCCTATACAAAGCCACCCGGGCCACGGCCTCGCTCTGTAAAACGGCAAACTACAATTCACGATCCACAAACCACAAACGCGCCCTACTTAGACGCTCAACCCAACCCAAGGGGTCGACCGCCCTCCCAACAACCAGTCCAAGCCTCACCTTTCCGCGGTTTCTTCCTTCGTACACAGGCAGCAACATGACCTTCAAGTCGGTCTCCACATCCGGGACAGTGTCCAGCAAGGCAAGCGGCCTGTTCGACCTCAACGAGCATGGAGACAAGTCCATCCTGGTGTACAAGTACCGCTCCGGCGCAAAGGGACTAGACGTCACGACGGAGCGCGATTTATGTGCAGAGCTTGACAACAGTGAGTTTACCTGTGAAACATGCCCTCTGCCTAATTCCAACTGACCATTGTGCTTGCTAGACTCTGAGTTGCCTTTCATACGCGTCACACGGAAGCCCATTCCGCGTGGAGCCAGCCGCTTGGACATCTCCAACGAGGACCTGCTGCTGCCTGAGGAGCGAGACAAGTTCGCCGAGAAGCTCGCCCCCAAGATCTCCGTCGCCAATGTTGGCCTGCCCACAGCGGCCAAGTGGAGGCGCATGATTTTGGGCAGCTTCGAGGACCTCTACATTGTCCATCGTGGGCACTCGCTTACACCCGAGTCCTCCAAGAACAACTCTCCTGAGTCTTCGCAGCAAGTCAGCCCGGCGAGTACGTTTCCCTCTGACAACGCGCACCCGTTCCGGAATCCGGACGCCTGATTCGATGGTTGTAAGCTGGGCAAGGCGTTTCGTTGCCCTATTGGATTGGCTGCGCCCCACGACGCCTACGCCTGACAATGGCTGTGGGGCCACGCTCAGCCTGTCCATCTTCCGACTTAGCACCAACGTAATGCGCCACTACAAACACGACGACGGGACTTGAGTCACCCCTACATCCTATACGTCTCTCTTTACTTTAGTCATACGATACCCATGAGCACGGCTCACAAGCGACGGCGCTACATGGCGCTACATGGAGTTCTGGATTTCCTTGTTTCTTTCAATCACGGGTGTCGCCCTTGATCAGGTGTGGCGTGGGAGCGCCTTAGGCATGACGGACCCCATATATCCTCTGCTCTCACGAGGCTGTTGATAGTACCTCGTCGTCGAAATTCAATCCTTGCAACTAGTCGCATTTACGTGATGCCTAATTATCTCATGAAAATTACCATTATCCATCATCGCCCCCATATTGATAACCTGATGTCAATTCAACTGACACTATTAACCAACAAAAGACAACCCTCCCAACAAAAGACATAAGATCTCCTAGATTATATCTAGCCTTCCAACTCATCACGGCGCACTACCCTCCTTCTTCCCACCTTCCTCCCTTCCCACACTAACCCGCCTTATCCCAGGCTTACCCTCCAACTCCCAAATCAATACATCCGCACACCTAACAAGTCTGTAAGCCTCCTCAAGCATCGCGCTATGATCTGTCGTCACATGCGCGTGTGAGTGACGCTCACCCTCACTACTGATATGCTCTTGTGGAGACGGAGATGGAGACGGAAATAGAACCACAACTGGGACTAAACCCGAGCCGTGTATCTTCATGACCTTGTACAAAGGTTCAGAGCGAGAGCCGGAGCCGGGCTCGCGGCTGTGGACCGTGGTATGTGGGCGGGAGTTCGCCATTTAGATGAGGGGGAAGATGGAGGGTATGGATGTATGGGAATGAAATGGTGGGTTTTATAGAACAATGTTGAGCAGGGAATATAACATGGTCATGAGTAGCGAGGTAGTACACGTTGAGTCCGGGGAGAAAAGCAAAGTTTCCATGGCGTGATTGAATTCAACTTTATCCTTATCAAAGAAGGTTTAATACCAGTGAGCCCGTACCCCACTGTTTCAGACAGTACCACGTACAGTTCGCTACCAGCCCAACACAATCCAACATCACGCATTACGCTCAACGCGTTCAGTTGAAACGGAACAGCTCTCCGCCCACACGGTCCCACTCGTCATCCCATCTATTCCCACTCTCCTTGAGCGCGCCGTCCTTCAGTGTGCTCAGTAGCCCATCCGCCTCGCCAAACAGGCTGACCAGCTGCTCGGTCAGCTGCAGCGAGCTGGCGAATCCCTTACCGTTCACGTCCTCCTGCACGAGCTCAGGCCATGCTTCGAAGTCGCCCCAGCCGACGACCGGGAGGCCCGCGCCGAACATATCGACGACTTTCATGGGCAGATCGACGCCCGAGGACGAGGTGTGCAGGGAGACGCCCAGATCGGCGGATGCGAGGAGCAGGGCGTAGTCTTCTGGCGTGAGCCACGCGGTTTGGATGACGACGTTGACGAGTTTGTTGGCTTGGTTGAGGGCGCGGACTTGGGCTAGGTAGTGCTCTTTCAACGGCCCTTTGCCGGTGATGATGGCGAGGATGCGTGGGAGGTGGGGGTTGGAGGGGACTTGTGCGGAGTAGGCGCTCAGCGCGTCGAGTAGGAGGGAAAAGTCTTCGTCTGCGGTCCAGGATGTGGGGCTTACGATGAGCTTCCAGGGTGTTTTTGACGAGGGGGAGAGGTCCTGTGCGTGTTGTGCTGTTTCGGGGAGGCGGGAGAGGAATTTCAGGCGTGACTGGGAGCTGATGGGGCGGAACATGGAGGCTGGGCGGTCGTGGAGGGATTGGGCTGTTACTCTATACTCGTCCTTGAGCACGCGGGCCATGGCGTCGGTGACGGTGATATGGTGTCGTGCTGCTTTTGCGAAGACTTTCTCGTACCATGCGGATATTTTGACAAGAGGGTGAGTTTTTCCCAGTTTGAGCGCTAGGATTGAGTAGCCAAAGTTGTGCCAGTCAATGACTAGGTCAGTGTTTCGGAGGAAGCAAACGAGAGATGCTATGGCGAGGGTCGGTATCGACGGAGGGTTCTGGACTAGCATCCATCGTCCTGGTTCAGAGCGATATCCCACTGCTCTGTAGAGTGACCTGGCCTGCCAGAGAGCTTTCAGTGGCGCCAGGATGGGAAACAGAAGCTTGCTGCTGGAACGCAGGAAAGAGGGAGCTGGGGTCAATGGGATGATCTCGATAAAAGGGTTGGAGACAATGTCTGGATGTATCTCTGATTCTACGTTGACTCTTAGATACAGATGTCGTTCTAAAAACCATAGGACATACCCTGGTATCCGATCAGAAAGACTCTCCCACCGTGTTTGGCAATGCTCAGTGCGTGGTACTGCATCCGCGGCGACCGTCCAATGTCTCCCAGAACAACAACCTGAACAGTCCTGCCTTGTTTGAACTGCAACGGGTCGCTTCCATCTCTCCTCTTCACTTTCACCTCGTTGCCCTCCTCATCGACAAAGGTAAGCGGCTTGTCTTGGTAAGGGTCATATTGGGAGGGCAATGTCAGCAGCACGAGTGTGAAGATGGTCGACAGCGCCACGAAGAGACCCAGGGCAATCTCGAAGCCATGGCTGAACTTGTCGGTGAAGATGTCCTCGCCCGACATGGTTTCGTGTGTGTTCGCGAGGTTGAGCTTGATGGTTGGCGATCATGTTGCGCCGCGCGTGCACTAGTCACTAGCCACAAATGCGGAGGTGACGCCACCGATATGGCAGGTGTGGATGGTCTATCAATGGCCCCTGAAGACTGGATTTGGACGAAAAGCAACAAAGGCACCCGGTTGTCTCATCTATAGCACCACTAGACAACCCTATCCTTTCCCGGACAGCTATCTCTACACTTGAAATTACAACCACCCCGGAATTGGCTGCTGGAAATCCAAAGCAACGGTGCACCTGCCTATTGCGTGCGTCGAGACGAGGGCGGACCTCCGAACGCGGCTCTACTTGCTAGGAGATGGCGTCTACGTATGCATTGCCCACTGCTTCCACGACGCGCGCTCATAGCCATGGACGACCACGAGCCATGTATCCTCCCGACGCTTCTCCTCTGCGAAACGGTCAACTATCGCCTGTCGACGAGCAGAACCACTTTGCCCTAGGCCACCAGCACCAGATTTCGTCCAGTATGAACGGGAACGGACAATCGTATGGCGCAGCGCGCTCCCCGTACGTGGAACAGAACGGACACGGTCACGACCACCAGGGCCACAGCCACAAACACTCGCTTTCAAACGACTCGACACACTCGTTCAAGTCCTTCTCGAACGGGAGAACGCGAGGCATGGCTCGAGGGGACCAAGACTTGGGACGCACTCCGACGCGCAAGAACAAATCGGTAGAGAAGGCAGTCTTCTCTCCAATACACGAGAACCCTCCTGCGCTGGCCCCACCCTCTTCGTAAGGAACCACGGACATGCCCTTGAAATATATACTAACCCTGGACCAGATCATGGCTGGAACTGCCCGAAGCGCTCACCGCGCTCCTCATCCCGCTCCCATACCTCCTCGCATCACTAGCATTCCCAAGCGGCGCCAGCCGAATACGAAAGCTACCTCTGACGCTCTCCGAAGCCGTTGCTAAGCTTGCGCCTGCCATTGAGACGCAGGACGTCGCAAACAACTCGCAGCTCCTCCACGCTCTTGCGCTCTCGTCTGCGACGTTGATACTGGTTGGCCTGATACCAAAGTTAAGCTCAGGCGTAGATCAGCCCTTGGACAGGCGGAAGGCAGGAAGCTCTCGCAGCACAGGCGCTATGGTGCGAGATTGGACTACAACCTGGCGTATGTGCAAAAGTATGCTCAGCATATTGTTGCCATTTTTTGCGGCGCTACAGCTTGGAGGGGCCAGGACAGCGTTGGTCCTTTTAGCTGCGACTTCAGGAGGACTTGGAGCTCTCGACCAGAAGCCAGGGAAGCATACCTATTGGGACGATCTGAAACGAACACTACGAACACGGAAAAGCACTTGCGCAGTGCTAGCTATTGGGATGCTTACAGATATTCTGGATTCTGGACACGCGGGAGGAATCGTACTTGGAAATTGCGCTTTGTTGGTTTCGCTTTTTCTGGTCCCTCCGCCTTTGCCTACGGCTGGCTGGTCAATTATGACAGGACAACAAAATCAATATGGCATGCAGATGTCAACTCGAGCATCGTTGCCGAAGCCTTCATCGCCTTTGACAGGTTCGTCTGAAGACACGCTTATCACCATCGTCTCAGGGCTTCTCCTTACATTGGTCACGGTTTTGTACTCAGCTTTCTCGTCTTCTTCGCTGTTTCCAACACAGCACGCGATTCTGTTCTCTATTTTGTCAGCTGTGTCGGCAGCGGCACTCGTGTGCTTTTCACTGCCAGCAGCATTACGGAGCCAAAAGAAGGTCGGACTCGTTCTTGGCTGTCTTTTCCTTGCTGGTTTCGGTATCTGGGAGTATTTCGATACACATCTAGCCAGGGTGTACTTCCCAGTGAGCTGTTTGCTGTTTGTCGCGGCGCAACACTTCGATACAAAGGCGCATGCGCCTCATTCCCATGATCACTCGCATGCTGGTCATAAGCACGCACACGACGACCATGATCATCATCTTCACGGCAACCACTCGAAGCTCTCCGCATTTCTGATTGCGCGAGCTACACCGGGATCTATCATACACAGCATTTTGATTGAGAAAGACTCCCGCCGGATTGCTTATTTCGGAGTGTGAGTCTACAGTCTGAGTCCGGGATTCTACACGCTTTTGCTGACACAACTAGGCTCAACTTGAGTTTCATGATGGTTCAGTTCTTCTACGGCTACGTCAGTGGCTCTCTGGGACTGCTTACCGACAGCATTCACATGCTGTTTGACTGTGCTGGTCTTGCTGTAGGTTTGGCTGCAGCAGTAATGAGCAAATGGCGACCGAATGCTCGATTTCCGTACGGCTATGGCAAGATCGACACGCTTTCTGGTTTTGCAAACGGCGTGTTCCTTCTGTATGTTTTCTGAGATATCTTTGGGAGTGTCTGCTAACTTTGGCCAGCCTCGTCAGTGTGGAGATCATCTTCGATGCTTTTGAGCGCTTATACGAGGGCCACGAGCTGCAACGACTAAATGAACTCCTGGTCGTCAGTATTCTCGGCTTCCTGGTGAATATCGTGGGTCTTACAGCCTTTGGACATGCTCACCACGGCCATGGGCATTCTCACGACCAGTAAGCATATTCCTTCCTTCTTCAGGTGTAGGTGAAACTAACATCAACAGCGACCATGGAGACCACGGTCACAGCCACTCTCACGACAACGAGAACATGCAGGGCATCTTCCTCCACATTCTCGCTGATGCTCTTGGTTCCGTAGCTGTCATCATCTCTACCATTCTCACCAAATCTTACGGCTGGTCCGGTTGGGATCCCATCGCGTCATGCATGATCGCCATTCTCATTTTCTTGTCCGCAATCCCGCTGGTGAAGAGCGCCGGCATACGACTTATGCTTTCTCTGCCCGCTGATATTGAGTATGGTGTTCGTAACACGCTTGGTGAACTCGGCTCACTCAGAGGTGTGGTTGGGTACATGGTGCCGAAGTTCTGGCTCGAAGACGAGGGTGCGGCGCATGCAGACGTTCACGCTAAGGAGCATGATCACGACCATGACCACGACCATAAGCATGAAGACGCGGGATGTGGCCATGGACATGACCACGGACATGCTGGCCACGACCACAGCTCTTCGCACGATCACTCCCATTCTCACGACCACTCACACAACCATGCACACGATCATTCTCACGACCACTCGCACGGCCATGATCACTCACACGACCACCACGACCACGATCACGACCACAGCCATGCCCCCCGCCAGCAAAAGATCCTCGGCGTCATCCACATCATTGCGTCTCGCGGCGCAGATTTGGAAGACGTACGCGAACGCACAATACAGTTCCTTAAAGGCAAGAACATGGAGCTAGTTGTTCATGTAGAGCGGGAAGGTGACGGGCGGTGCTGGTGCGGCGGTGATTCGAAGATGAGTTGATGAGTGTTTTGCGCTGCGCATACTGTGGAGTTTTTGTATACAAGGGAATGCATAGCATTGGGTAATTGCGTTAGACTAGGACTGTGTATAAATTCTAGGCATTGTGTCCGCTTGCTGTTTTCGTCATACTTTGTCCAGCTTATTTCGCAAAATCACAAGAAATGGATTATGCCAAAACACATGAGGGTTGTTCTGTGGTTCACTTACACATATCTTCTTCAGTTTCAATCCACTTCCATCCACTTCCATGTTTTTGTTTTCTACCTTCTCAAAAAAGCATTGAATCTTCGTCTCGTCTACTCTACCAATAGTCTTTCTCGCATTCTATGCACCTCCTTCCGAAAAGTCCACCTACAAAGGACATAACCAAAATTCATGGATGTTCTGCTCAAAACATGGGAGGATATTGCTCATGCCGTTCGTCGACGAGAAACCAAGTTCAAATCTACCCATGGAGTCTTTACCGAGCCGAGCAATCAGTCTATATAACCTCTGCCTTTTATACTTCCATTTCCTTGCACTCCCTCACACCTTCTATATTCTCCAAAATCACAATAGACAAGGACGATGGTCTGGTCTGGTCTGGTCTGGTCTTGTTTTCAAAACTTTGCCAAAACCCGATCATGGTCTGCATTTTTCCCCCTAAAAAAGAACTGGACAGACCTTATGTCTTGCTCTCCTGTACAAAAATACTACGAATCGACCAATGTTTGCGTCTTCTTGCTCGAAAAACAGTACAACCAGTTGCCTCATGTTCTGCGTCTTCTGTCTGAAAAGGTTACATTTCAGTTCTATGTTCTGCTTCGGCCTGTACAAGCGCACACCAGCTATATCCATGGCGGCTTGTGTTTTTTTGTCTTTGAGAAAATTAGGATTGCACAGGTCATGTGGTGCGCTTCTCTCTCTTTAGGAATAATACGGTGCAGATACGTAGCTTGGCTGGCTATATATATTCTATCTGCTGCTCAATCTTTCCTCTACATTTCCTCGCAGCTTTCTTGGTTATCAAAGAAGAATTTCGACAGGCGAATGTGGTTCTGCCTCCTCAAAACCCTATCACGAAACGGATAATGTTCTGTGCGTCTCTTCTCGAAAATCACAGAATGAGCAACGCCATGTTCTGCTCTTTTGTTGTTCCAAAAATCCTGACTTGACCGAGCTATGTCTCGTTTCTCTCTCCCTTCTCCTCTCTACTCCAAAAGCAGGTGTTGAATTACTCCATGTTCTGCGGTTCTCCTTCTCAAACATCAACTTTGTCAGCTTCATGGAAGACGCTGTCTGAAAAGACAGAAACTCTACTCTGTTTTACTTGTGTCTCTTCTGTATCTTTGCAATATCCATCTACTCTAAAATTCAGCTACGAATGTGTCATGTATGTACGAAAACTTTACCCCGGAGTTCTACATGGCGTGTGTTCTGTTCTCCAAAGTCCTAAACGTCTGTCTTTTAAAAGACAAACGATTTCGCGTTATGTCTGTCTGGTCTTTCTATGCAGTTGTTCGTTGAAATAGAGTACGCGGTGACGTATGTGCATTTTCGAAACGATTTGTTGTTTCAAAATAGTTTGCTGGGTTGGAATATTCAAATCTTCCTCTTGTATACTCTGCTTTTTGGAACATACATTCTATTATTCTTACTCTTAAAAAGGCTTCTGCAAGTGAGTCATGTTTGGCTGTTGCCCTGTCCAAAAACATCATGTCATATAACCACATAATCAGCTTTCGTCTTTTCCAAAGGAAAAACGAAGACACGGGATGACTTGCTCGTCCCTTCCAAAAACCAATCACGTACTGGTGATGTCCTGCTTCTCAGTTGTACCTAAAACCAACTTACAAGACTTGTTGTGTTCTTCTTTTGCTATATATAAACCTCGGGTTACACATTATTCCATGCCTTCTACATCCTTGTTGTGTCCTCTTTCTCAAAAGCTCCGATCGTCACATTTATATCTTGTTTTCTGCTTCCATAAAAGCGATTCAATGAAGTTCATGTGTTCTGCTCCTTTATCTCCTTTTAATCACCATACCTTTCCCTCCAAACTCAAAAAACACTGGCAGGACAGGTCATGGTCCGCTGGTCAAAGATAACTAACACCCTGTCTATGTGTTGTCCTTCCCGTTCAGTATCATTCCTAGGATTACTATTACAAAAGTTTGTTGCAACAGCCGTCATGGGCTGCTTTGCTCCTTTAAAACTCACGCCAGGTACTGAGATATGATGTCCTCTTCTTGCACAAAAGGTGCACAAAAGTCCTTGTGATCTGTCGACAAGTTCCTGGTTCCAAAATAGATAGCTCATCTCGACATGTTTTGGTGTTTTCTGTGCGAGGAGCTGAGAAATCTTGAAAAGAAATCATCGTGTATGGAATGGAAGCTAGACAACACAACCCTCATGACGGTTGCGAGATTCTCGAAAGAAAACATAGGTTAGAAGTCGTTATCAATCACACACATGTTGGAAGCTCTACCGGCCGTCATGGTAGATATAAAGTTTTTGAGGCTAAGACGTAGCTTCCCCCATCTCACAAATATGTTGCAAATGAACCTAAAATGACAGCAGTAAAACGGTTTGTGAGTTTTTGTTCCTTCCAATATTCCAGGGTTCCCTTCTCGTCTCCTTTCCACAACCGTGGTTCTTCTTCTCATTCAAAACCACTGCTACTATGCACATGGCTTGTTGCTATTCTCGCAGATGCATATGTGTCCAGGTGCAAGCTTCACGGTATTTCTCTCTGGACAACCCTTCTTCGATGTTATAAGCTGTGTCTTTCTAATCTAAAAATGAACTGCGCAGAGATATAGTGTGGCAGCTTCCGATCCTATTGCTCAAAAAGAAAACGGGACCTCTTCATGGCCAGTCGGGACACAGAAGAGTATAAGCTCTTACAAAGAAGCTTCTTATTTCTTATAACATCACAGTCAATTCGTTCTATCAAAAGTACAAGGTCCCCATGCCATGGTTTCGTTGTCCACCTTTCCACAACTAAGACCATGAAACATAAATGAGTTTACGGCTATTACACTGTCTCCTACTATCACTTTGGCCTACCTCTTTCTCCGGATATCGGGGACTTGGACAACGATACATAAAGACTGACCTCACTCGTCACTTCTAGTCTATTCTAGGTACACCAACTATATTTGCATTTACAAAAACCGATACAATGCAGTCATGCGACTCCCGACAATCTTATAACTAAATAAAACTGTGTACAAAGCTCACTGTCGTTTACTCCATGAAAGTTCTATCTCTGTTCCCGTATCCTGAAAAATATCAACCCGCCGATCGTATGGTTCTGTAAGATGAAATATTCCCTACATTCTATCTGGAGAGGCGGGAAATTTCCACGACCACAAAAAGACTAGAACCCAAAACAAGACCTGTGGACGCTCGATGGCTTTGTTTCTGCGTTCTACAACGCCTGAAACAGATGAAAAGGCGATGGGCTTATTTTCAAAATGAAAAGACTTAGCTACATGTGTTTGGAGTTGAGCACTTGAAAACAAAGTCTATTGTGAGAGGGTGCGTTCATGTGTGTCTGAGAAACGTTGAGTCTCAGTAAGAGTTGTTCTATGGAGATGAGCAGGCAATATACACAACTTCAACTCAAAACCCAAACGTCACGTTTAAATCTAGTTATGATTTCCATAAAGGAATCCTGCCTGTCCCTCTCTCTCCTCTCGCAACACCTCCCTGAACTATGTCTAGAAGATGACGGGCAAAATCTATATGATGTGAGATCTATGCTGTAAACCAAAAATTACAACCTCATATCTTCCTCTAGTCACGATTTAAAAGTACAGAACAATACCCAAATGTCGAGATTGTGAAACGCTTGAACGAAATGCCCAACAACTTGACCAATGGAACTGCCGTCCTTCGTTCTCAAAGACACCGAGCTCTTGTACATGCTTGTCCAGCACAAGCCAACCCACCAATCTTTCCAGGAATACAATCTGCATAAAACCCCATCCTCTTTTCTCGAACTAAACCACAGAAGAAGCTGCACTATGTTGTCTCTTCCTCTCCCCTCTCTCCGCATACAAAGAAAATGGACAACTGTGCCACGATCGGGAAAATGGTATTGAACCCAGTCATGTCTCGGAAGAAGAGCAGAGCAGAGCACAAAAGAGAACCTATACCCCCTAAACAAAAACGATCGTATGTGCCAACTATCCCAAGTCCGAAAACGCAAGAACCAAAAACAAAGTCGAACGCCGGTATGTTGGCGAGTAAAACACACATTCAAGAACAGCGGTCTCTCTCTTTCTGAATCTCAATTCTCTACGTCGCAAGAATTCGTGCGTTGTACTCCTTGAAAACTTTAACGTATCTGATTCCATGGTCGAAAGCTGTGTTTTGTTTCTTCTACCAGAAATGGACACAAAGAAAAAGTATGGTGATTGCTGCTCCTATTGGGCCATCTTTGGAAATAGAAGATGTGCATGAGGTTATATGGTCTTACCGCTCGTAAAACTCAATGCGCCTGAGACTCAGGAAACGGGGTTGAAGACCAAGTCCAAAAAGACCATGAGTGGTGAGAGGAAGAGCATAGGGTATGATGGTGATGCGTAGTTGTAATCGAGAATATGACAGTAGTGATGGTGATCAATCGAACGGAAACAAGATAATGCAGGAACTACTTTTAACTCATCCTTAAGAAGGAACTGCTGTACCGTCCATGAAGTATGAGTACCGTACCAATCGCAGCGGGACTATAGACGAGTACCTACCTCAATGTACTGTAAACCCATTGAACGGCGATTGCAGAGCTCGCCGAACATATCCAGTCCTACGTATCGCATCGCCCACCCCATCTATTTCCCCATCGTCTGCAGATACGACTCCCACCCCTCCTCAAGCAGAGCCTTGTCCTTCCTCAAGACCTCCTTCTCATTGCCCTCCATCCACACCCTCAACCTCTCCCTGATGACCTTGTTCTCCGCCCCAAGAATCCTCACAGCCAACAGCGCTGCATTCGTCGAGTTATTGATACCAACAGTAGCCACGGGCTCACCACGCGGCATCTGCGTCATGCTGACCAGACTGTCCCAGCCATCCATGTGTGTAGCCTTCACGGGAAGTCCGATGACCGGCAGCGTAGTCCAGGACGCACACATGCCAGGCAGATGGGCAGCGCCGCCCGCCGCGCCGATGATGACGCGGAGCGACGTGTCGGATGCGGCTTTGGAGAACTCACGCAGCCAGTCGGGCGTGCGGTGTGCGGAGGTGATGCGCGTCGTGAAGGGGATCTCGAGTTTCTCGAGGATCTGGAGGCCGGCTTTGAGGACGGGGAGATCGGAGTCGGAACCCATGATGACGGCGACGAGGGGCTCCTCCTTGGATTCTGTTCGTGGGCCGAGAGGCTTGCCTTTCTGGTTGTCGACGAAGTCGATGAGGGGCTGGATTTCGCGCTCTGCGGCTGCGAGAGTGGGTGCTGTGATGGTGAGATGGCCCATCTTGCGTCCTGGGCGCGCATCGCCTTTGCCGTAGAGGTGAACTGATGCGGTTGTTGTCGCTAGAGCTTCGTTGGCAACCTTGACATGTGAGTCTGGCGTCTTTCCGCCGAGGATGTTGAGCATGATTGCGGGTTCCCGGAGTCGCAGGCCGGCTTGAGGAATTGGTATGTCCAGAATTGCTCGCAGATGAGCGTCGTACTGAGAGATCGGACATGCTTCGATGGTGTAGTGTCCCGAGTTGTGAGGTCGTGGCGCAATCTCGTTAACCAGCAGAGTGTCGTCCTTGAGTAGGAACATCTCGACACCAAAGACACCTTTGCCCTCGAATGCTCCGATTGCCTTCTTAGCTAGATCTTGTGCTCTCTGCGCCGTCTTCTCGGATACATTTCGTGGTGGCGCGTATGTGAGTTTGCAGATGCTATCCTCGTGCACTGTCTCGACAGTCGGGAATGTGAGTACACCATCTTTCGTCTTGACGACCATGACTGCGAGTTCCATTCGGAACTCCGCCCATCGCTCTGCATACAGGGGTCGGCTGCCCAACGTCTTCAAGGCGCCTTCGAAGTCCTGTTCGCCGTTGACTACAAAGTTACCTTTGCCATCATACGCCTCCGTCTTGCTCTTCAGCATGAAAGGAAATCCGTATGTAACGCCCACCTCTTTCAGTCCTTTGCTACCCTTGCCTTCAAGATCAATGCTATCTGCAACATCGACACCATGCTCTTTCAAATAATGCTTCTGCGCATATTTGTCTTTGATGATTCGCAGTGTCTTCCAGCTCGGTTCAACCACAACCTGTCCTGCCACCTCTTCCAACATCTGTGTGTCCACGTGCTCAATCTCTACCGTGACGACATCTGAACACTGTGCCAGTTGTTTCACCGCTGCTGCATCTTTGAAAGACCCCTCGATATGGCCATTGTGTGCAGATATCTGCTTGGCAGGTGATGCTGCCGCGTCCAGAATGTTGACTTGAATGTTCAGGCGATTGGCGGCTTCAATCAACATGCGACCAAGCTGACCTCCACCCAAGACACCGACTTTCCTGTTGTCGGCCATTTTGCGAATATTTGATTGAGTAGTACAGGGAGGAGAGCACAAGTGATGTGGTGACTGCTTTCGGTCAAAAGGTGGGTTGAGACACGGCAGCTTGTAATTGGTCAAATCAAGGGCGAGAGAAAATTTAGTCTGCGATTAGAACGAAGTAAATCGATCTTATCATTTAAATCGTGCTGCCGAACCCTTGCTCAACAAAGGGCCTCATACTGTGGTGGGCATCTTCACGATACGTTGGAATGTGGTCATCACGTCCGATAGCAATTAGACACAAAGTCTGCCTCAAGTCACGTCTCTCACGGAAATTGAATTGGGCAGTTGTAATTCATGAGTTGACCTCATGAGCTCGGAAGAGCTCATTGGTATGTTTCCATTGCCTAAATGGACATTGAGTATCTTTTTGTGCGCCCGTCAAGAGCACATGTCAGTCATGAAGCACGCCTCGTAAGTTAATTCCCATGACCATGACCACGCCGACAACCCAAAGAAATCGCTCCACCTCAAGCAATCGCTTAGACCTTGAAACCACGGGACCTTCTGCGTCCACGAGCGCGCTCGAACTTGCGGCCCTTGCTCTCGACGTAGGGCTTCTTGTGGGAGTGGGGACCGAAGCCGAAGTGCTTGACGGACTCGCGGGAGTTCTTGGGTCCACGGAGGAGGAGAGTGTTGGCTCCGGTGGGGGAACGAGTGGCGACCTCATCGATGGTGAGGGCCTCACCGCCAGCGGCCTCAATGCGGGCGCGGGCAGACGCAGTGAAGCGCATCGCGGCGATGGAGAGCTTGGGGAACTCTGCAGATTATCAGCACCAGCCGGACACTTTAAGAACGTGCAGAATGTACCGAGGAGACGGACGTCGTCGGTGACGGGGCCGACAATGACGATGGTCTTGCCCTCGTGGGCCTTGGCGGACTGCTTGCTGGCAGCGGTCGCGACGATCTTCGACAAGCTGACGGCTATTGGGGGTTAGTGTATTCGTCCGGCAAGACTCGTGTGTGCGGTGTTCTTACGAGGGCGGTTGATCTTCGACATCATGAGGCGTCGGAGAACCGTCTTGTTGAAGGGGGCATCGGTACGGCCTGGTGGTCACTGTCAGCCCAAACAACATGCGCATTTGCGGTAGGGTACTTACGAGCCAGGAACTTGTACAGACGCACCAACAGCTTGACATAGGGGTTGGTGGACTTAGGGACCTCTGTATACTCGTCAACCTCCGCGCTTTCGAGGGTTCATGTTTGCGTCCAAAGGACAGCTGGGCGCCCGCGCATTGCTGCGCAGACTCGACGGGGTTCACATACTGCGGTGCCCGTCTCGAACATGGTGGCGGTCGAGATCAATTCCCATCTTGACTGATTTGACGTGTGGTGTTGTCGGGAGCTGTGGGTTAGTACAATCGTTGCGAAGTTCTGGTGATCGTGAAATTCGTTCTGTGGGCGGCGGTCTTAGCGCGACTTGGCGAGTCTCACCGCTTTGGGCAGAATCTGGGAGGGCATCGTTTTAGCAGTGCAGTTAGTACGTTTTATTTTGAGCAGAAATCCATATTTATCCCACCCGCTTCACAGACGCACCTAGCAGAGCGCTCAAATATCAATCGTAAAAGCAGTTGACTTTGGCACGCGTCTATTAACATTACGTAGCTAAAGAACACATCAATGCAGACCCCTTCATAGGTAGTCAGTGCATAGTCTATATATATAATCACATGTAATCCTTCATATTCCCTTCGTTGCCCCCTGATACGCTACTGAATATGACATGAAACCTATGAGAGAAGACAAAAGGTCTCCAATCAAAACTTCTTGAAAACAATCCCCCAGGACATAGAGACAGCCCGTTTGCCTATGCTTTCGAACACCTGGAATACGTAAAACCCCATCTCACTCCAAATTTGCCCCAAACAGTGGATGGAAAAACAAAAACAAGAACCAAACATGATGACCATGTCCTCGAGGTGAGGTAATGCAAGGCTACAAGCCGTAAGTTGGGATTGAATCATCGGGGAATATGCACGTCTTGGCCTGGACGAGCTCCACTCGATCAATCGATCAGTATCCCTTGTCGCCAATCATGTGGCCGACTCCGCTGTAGATCTTGGCGGTGGAATCGGGAGCATAGCGAGGTCCGAGGGAGCCAAAGATCATGAACATGGAGATGATGACAGCGCCAAAAACCATGATCTTGCGGAGTGCCGGACGGGTCTGACCAAACTCTGCCCACTTCATGGTGCCCTGTCCGAGGTACTCCTTCATCTTATCTCCGCCAAGCTTGTAGTAGACAAGACCACCTAGCGCAATGCTGTAACCGAAGGCCTGGAGAAGAGTGACAGGGTCACGGAACAGGAACATGGAGGCAAAGACAAGGAGAATGTCCTTCAGTACACCGGAAAGAGTGAGCACGAGCGAGGATGTCTTTCCAATCTAGAATAACGTTAGCTTGCGAAAGCAGTCAACCTCAGCAATCGGCACGTACCAGGAACACAACAGAGACGTTGAGCATGAAAGCGACGGAAGCGTTTGCGAGCAGTGTGAAAGTACCGACACGGTAGATATCCACCATGGTCAGGGTCGGGAACTCGGTGAAGAGCAGGACCATGCCGTTCATGATGGCACACGCTGGGGCGTAGTAGTAGAGAGAGACAAGCGGGTCCATCTTGAAGTCGGCGGAGCTGAGGATACGCTGGACCATGACCAGACGGACAGCCTCGAAGACGATACCACCGACTTGGAAGAGGAAACCAACCATGACGAACTGGATCTCGCCGAAGGATGCAACAACGACACCGATGACAATGAAGGAGACATTTCCGAGAGTCTTCAGGTTGACCGGTGCAATGCCAAGACTCCAGGTCGCGATGAGGACAGCAACAGGTGTGGTAGCCTGGAAAGGTCAGCAATTGTCTACATCCTCCAGTCGTGTGTACGCACCTTGAGCATCTGGATGAAAGACACGCTCAAGTACAGATATGCCTGGTTACCGCAGATCAAGCTCAAGCTGAAGAACAGGCCAATCGGAACAATTGCTCGCAGGTATACGCGGCCGGTCATGGGCACTTTCTTTCTCGAGTCGAGGATGGACGTGAAGCGGGCGAGGAATTGCGTCATGATCGTCGCAAAGATCAAGTGCCATGTTGTGAGGAAGATGGGAAATTCTGCGCGCGTGTGAGTATGGGTTGAGATGGATGTGATGATTGCGACGTACGGAACTTGGCCGTGTCCAAGATGTACTTGTTGAAGACGATGGTGCTGGAACTGAGGGTGATCCATGTCCTGCGCAGCGGTTAGCGATGCCATGCAGAGTGCAATTGTTGTGAACGTACGCGATGTACACTGCAGGATGGAACGAGGCTGTCTCGGCCGCTGGCGACTTGACGGCGTCGGGGTTCACAGTAGGCAGCACTGGCAGGGCTGGATCACGGGCAGCGTCCACGGAGGAGCGGACCTTCTCTTCTCCAGACATGGTTGCGTGGTGCGAGGCGACTTAGCGAGAGACTGTGAGGGACGTCGTCGACGTGCGTGGTCGGAAAGTCGAGTGTTGAAGGAGAGACGATGGCAGCGCTGAGCTTGTCGATTCGTCGGCGAAGATTGCGCGGCTGCTGACTGATGGTCTCGGTGCACGGGAGAGCGACTGGAGACACAGCGTAGCACGGGCAACACTGAAGGATTGTGTCTGGCGCACAGGAGGAAATGAGGAGATAAAAGAGTGCCGGGGAAGTTGTTGGGAGCTGGTAACGTCGACCACTGGACATCAACTGCGCTAATACGAGGGGCGGAACTCCAGGTCGTCACACAGGGGTTCTGGAAGACGCTATCACTGGGCAACGGCGGGTGGCGTGTGCTTGGTAGATGCAGATGAAGATGAACGGGAGCAACACTGTTTTCGCGCCGTGAAACGGATCTACCGTGGGCCCGTCTCGTGTACACGCAAGCAACTCCCAATCCCGGTCGATTCTCTGGAGCGCATTTGCGGTCCACTACGTACATATCTTGTTTGTACGCGTAACATTTGCAGTTCGCGCGGCGAAATATCCCGCGACTGAAACAGTACCTAGCTGAAAACCCTTCAACAGCTTCACTCTCCATTTCCTGTAGCCAGCTCTCCCGCAAACGCATTGATTGTGGTTGACTGAGTTTCTGTTGATCAGCAGGCTGGTCAACTCTGGTACCGCGTAGGTTCTGAGCTGGGCCGAGTAATAGGGGTTATGCATACCTATCGATATCTCATAAGAAAAGTCTACACGGTGTCGACTACATAGTATAAAGTCACACTAGCTACGGTACACGAAGATGATGCGTCGTTGATCTCGTGTTGCGTATTCCGCGGATTAGACTATGTTAATACTCGATTAGGCGATTTCGATGCTGTGATCAATATATGCAATGGGAACCCGCGGTACGCAGGCAACCTCCCTCTCCCAAGAATCGAAACAATTGCAAAGTCACAGCGTCCAATCAGTACCCCCACGATGCACGCCATCTATATGATCGTCTGCAACCATGTCGTGCCCCTTTAATTCGCCATTGCCGCATCAAGCTCCCCAGTCGAGTTTGTGTCTTCCGAACCTGTGGTGCTAGTAGCGTCAACGTCCTTGGCGCGCTTGTCTATCGCGAACTATTAATCTCTCCGCCACGCCACGCTCCAGACTTGCTGGCCACCGCTGTCTGACTGAACCAATACTCGCCTACACGCCGAGTACATGTTAAACTACGCCCGACAAACATTGAAGAGAGTTCCTAGTTTCCAAGAACTCTTGCAGGGAAAGATGGGTGCATCCAAAGAGGAAATGTATGCTCACCGCCTGCCCGCATTCCTCGCATGTAGCTCGAGTTGACAACCGCACAGTTCAGTCGACGTGCTCGTCATTGGTGCTGGACCAACTGGTCTGGGAGCAGCGAAGCGTCTCAACCAAATTGTATGCTTGAGAAACCACGAGATTTAGAGGGGCAGCTGCTAAGCAACCTCAGGATGGCCCCTCATGGCTGATTTTGGACTCGAACGAGACGCCTGGCGGTCTGGCCTCTACGGACGTCACCCCAGAAGGCTTCGTGAGTAAAGTTCTTGGATGTTGACTTGCCTCTCAAGTCTAACCATACAACAGCTCTATGATGTTGGTGGCCATGTCATCTTCTCCCACTACAAGTACTTCGACGACTGCATCGACGAGGCCCTACCCAACGAGGACGATTGGTTCACCCACCAGCGTATCTCCTACGTCCGCTGCAAGAGCCAATGGGTGCCCTACCCCTTCCAGAACAACCTCTCGATGTTGAACAAGGACGATCAGGCAAACTGCGTCGACGGGCTGATCGACGCTGCCCTGGAGGCGCGTGTGGCAAACACGAAGCCCAAGGACTTCGACGAATGGATCATGCGACAGATGGGTACTGGCATTGCAGACCTCTTCATGAGGCCATACAACTTCAAGGTCTGGGCTGTGCCTACCACCAAGATGCAGTGCCAATGGCTTGGTGAGCGCGTTGCCGCTCCCAATGTCAAGGGCGTGATCAACAACATCATCCACAACAAGACCGCAGGAAACTGGGGTCCCAACGCAACTTTCCGCTTCCCCGCTCGAGACGGTACTGGTGGCATCTGGATCGCTGTTGCGAAGACCCTGCCAGAGTCGAACACTCGTTACGGCGAACACAGCACAGTCACCAAGGTCGACGCGGACAACAAGCGCGTAAGCCTCAAGGACGGCACTGTGGTCAACTACAACAAGCTCGTCAACACCATGGCCGTCGATGCTCTCGTTGAGTCTATGGGTGACAAGGAACTCATCGATTTGAGCAAGGGTCTCTACTACTCGAGCACCCACGTCATTGGCGTGGGTATCCGTGGTGAGCGTCCCGAGCGCATTGGTGACAAGTGCTGGCTATACTTCCCAGAGGACGACTGCCCATTTTACCGTGCGACTATCTTCTCCAACTACTCCCCACACAACCAGCCTGAGAAGGACGTCAAGCTGGCCACTCAACAGCTCGCCGACGGCTCGAAGCCCAGCTCCACCGAGCCCAAGGATGGCCCGTACTGGTCGATCATGCTCGAGGTTTCCGAATCTGGCATGAAGCCCGTCGATGCGAAGAACCTACTGAGGGACTCCATCCAGGGTCTCATCAACACAGAGATGATCAAGTCTGACGACGAAATCGTCTCCACATATGTCCGCCGCTTCGACCACGGCTACCCCACTCCGTCCCTTGAGCGTGAGGGTGTTCTCACCAAGCTCCTCCCCGCTCTCCAGGCCAAGGACATCTGGTCGCGCGGCCGATTCGGTTCCTGGCGCTACGAGGTCGGCAACCAGGACCACTCGTTCATGTTGGGCGTCGAAGCCGTGGACAACATTGTCAACGGCGCTGTGGAGCTTACGCTTAATAACCCCGACTTTGTCAACGGGCGCAAGAACGAGGAACGCCGTCTTCAGGACGGTGCGCAGGTCTTCGCCAAGTCGAAGAAGGCCCTTGACTGAGTGCACACACACGGACGGTCGACGAGCATGTAATGAATCTGGAGCACATTTACGGGATACCACGCACAATCTGCAATGTCACGAACGGAATAGGATAGGATGGGATGGGAAGGAGGCACATGGGTGCCGGGGCAGGAGTAGAATTAGCATATGTGCATGGATGTTTTTTTGGAGGATGGATGGAGACTATCTTGCCGAAGCTATTTCTTCACTATAGAAAAACATCGTTGAGGCTTTGTCAAAAGCTTCGTTTAGACATCTGATGGGTCGGCATTTTTTGTAGCAATGTAGACTTGGATTCCGTTGTTTTGTCGTATATATTGCCCTTCCTTGGTTTTATGAAACGATGCATCGTCCACTTTTTGCCTCGAGCGAGTTTCTGCTGTTCTGCTTTATTTTCACGACGTCATTGTTTGGACGTGTGCATGTGGATCTGTTGGGGATCTGTGGTGGATCTGTGGTGGATGTGTAATAGAACTTGGAACTTGGAATTTGGAACTTGGAACACTGCAGGCGGCCCCGGGTGTGGGATGTCGATATGAAACACGGGCCGATGGGGTGCACGGCTTGTATTGTGTTGTGTTTTGTGTGGGACGGTGTGTTAGATTGGTGTTATCTGTGTAAGGTGTAGCGGGTGGGACTGGGAGATTGATTGATTGATTGAGGGTGTTGAGGCGGATGGAGAGTATCGTATGCTTGGTGGGGAGAAATGAGGAGTTCGTGTTTGCAATATGTGAGGAAGTGTATATTCTCAGTACGGACGACATTTCGCATATCATATTGTAAGGGTAACTTTTCGATAACTCTACTTGACGACTTCTTTTTTCTTTCTTACTTCCCAGCCCTAAATCTCCTCAGTACTTCCCGCTCCTCTTCGTTCCGCGCTACTCCCTCGTCGTCACCTACAGCTAGCTTTTGATGCTTCCACTGCTTGCCCCCCGCGCCGTACTCAGCACTAACCTGCGCATCTCCAATGAGCACCCACTTGTAGATACACAGCCCTTCCAAGCCCACAGGGCCTCGCGAGTGAATCTTGTTCGTTGAGATGCCCACCTCAGTACCGAACCCATAGCGCTGGCCGTCCGCCATGCGCGTCGACGTATTCCAGTAGACGGAGGAGGAATCGACAGCAGCGAGGAAAGCGCGAGCGGTGGACTCGTCAAGCGTGAGGATAGCATCTGTGTGGTGGCTACCGTGGGTGTTGATATGGCTCACTGCGTCGTCGAGGGTATTGACAGTTTTCACAGCCATGATGTAGTCGAGGAACTCGGTGTCGAAGTCCTCGGGCCCGGCTTCCTGCAGGATGGTAGCAGAGTGGGGGGATAGTTTTTCGCGCAGGGCGGCGAGGGAGGCCGGGTCGCAGCGCAGTGATACGCCTTTTTGGAGGAGGGCTTCGGCGACGGCGGGGAGGGTGGTGCGCAGCGCGGATTCGTCGACGAGGAGCTGCTCTGCTGCGTTGCAGCCAGCTGGGTAGGAAGCCTTTGCGTCGAGGATGATTTTGGCGGCTTTGTCGGCGGGGTAGTCGCCGCGTAGGTAGATGGAGCAGATTCCGTCGGCGTGACCGAGGACGGGGATGGCGGTTGAGTCTTTGACGTAGCGTACGAGCTTGTTGCCTCCTCGGGGGATACACAGGTCAATGTAGGTGTCCTGCTTCAGGAGGTCGGCAATCACGTCGTGGGTTTGGACTAGTTGGAGACATGCTGGAGGGACGGATGTTGAGGAGAGGGCGTCAGAGATGATGGAGGCGATGGCGGCGAAGCTGTTGCTGGATTCTCGTCCGCCTTTCAGGATCGCGGCGTTTCCGGATTTGAGGGCTAGGGCGGAGATGTTGGCGATTACTTCTGGGCGGGCTTCGAAGATGATAAGGAGCACGCCGATGGGACAGGTGATGCGGGAGAGGGTGAGGTTGTCGTCCAGGAGTGTTTTTGCAGTGGTCTTGTTGACTGCAGGTGTGTTAGCCACTGCGTTTAGCTTTCAAGAGTATCGTATGACATGTGAGTTTGATCAAACACGTGAGAAATCTTGAGTGTGTGTCGAGCACAAGGATGAAATCATTTTGCACGTACTTGGATCATCTAGTTCCCTCACGTCCAGAATACCTTGGAGCATATCCTCATACTTTCCCGGCTTCCCCAAATCCAGTCTCTTCACCAGACTTGCACTCAATGTCCCCCCAGCCGCAGCCTGGTTTGCAGCCTCCAAGTCCTTGGCATTGGCTGCCAACACCTTCTCTTTTCCGTTTGCGAGCGCATCGTGAATCGCAGTCAGGGCGGCATTGCGCTCTTCCGTAGACAGGACGGCAAGTTTCCGCGAGCCGACTCTTGCCGACTGAGCGATCTCGAGCGGTGTGGCATTGGTGAGAGACATGACTTGTATGAGGTTGCTTCACGAGATGGGTTGGGCAATCAGACGTCGGACCTTGACGATGCTTCGAGAAGGGCGCGTGACTCAGATGGCTGAAAAAGAAAAAGTCTCCTCCAATGCGGTGTATGCAGGGTCTTGCTCGGCTGCATATGCAATTGGAGGCCAGAGACAAATCACATGCGGATACAACAATGTCTAAAGATAGGTAGGCGTGTGAGGTTCAAGTGGTGTTGCGGGGTGCAGTGGGTGCCACTATCTGTGGCGGTGTACCCTTGCAGTAGTAGCGCGTGTCTTCGCTGCGTGCCATAACGGGAGACTCGATGCATGCGTCGATTGATGCGGCTCTCATGCAGTCTATCGAATTGGCAGATTACTGACAGATGCTCCTGCGTCATATTCCATCTTCTGCCGTGTCTAGACGCGAAATAGGCAGTCGCATTGTCGCGCTCAATCACGCAGGGCAACTGCAACCCTGTCATTGGCATGGCCAAGGGTCCACTCCCAACCTCCTCCATCGTCGTGCCAACCTCGTCTTTACTCGCCCGACCAACCGCGGACAGCGGCACGCGCTGCAGGACCTTGATTTTTAGCTAACACGTAGGTCACCGCTCACTCATAGGATGGCTGGAGATTTCTTTTTATACTACACCTTGTCGGGTCCCGAGACCTGGTACTCACATCACACCGTCCACTCTTTACCTCTCAAGTGCTGAGCAGGTAACCAAACATCGCTCTTTACGACGTCTACTCACACACTGTGACCTGCTAGTGCTCGTTACTCCCATCACTACCGTACACCACCCAACCGACGCTACCACAACAATCGCTACTTGTCCACGTCCAAGATGCTCTCCGCCGTACGCGCAGTCGCTGCGCTCGCCTCTGCAGCACTCCTCGTCGCTCCCTCGGCCGCCCAAACATACACCAACTGCAACCCAACACTGCGGTCCGACTGCCCAGCGGATTCGGCACTGGGTCGCACAGTCAACATCGACTTCACCTCTTCGTCTGACAGCTTCACGCCTCAGGGCAATCCCACCTACGACTCAAGTGGCGCAGCTTTCACTATTTCCAAGACGGGCGATGCTCCCACGCTTACATCGAAATGGTACATCATGTTTGGCAAGGTCGAGGTGTCGATGAAGGCGGCCCCGGGAGCAGGCATCGTTAGCAGCTTTGTCCTCCAGTCTGACACCCTGGATGAGATTGATTGGGAGTGGCTCGGCGCCGACCCCGACGAGGTCCAGTCAAACTACTTCGGCAAGGGCCAGACAACCTCGTACAATCGCGGCGCTTTCCACGCAGACACCGGGAGCCAGACAACCTACAAGATGTACACGATCGAATGGACACCCGAGCAGATTGTGTGGCAGATCGATGGAAAGACTGTCCGAACTCTCGAGCCCGCCAACGCTGAAAACCAGTACCCCCAATCACCCATGCAAATCAAACTTGGTGCATGGAGTGGCGGCGATTCGGCAAACCCTGCCGGTACAATCTCCTGGGCTAGAGGGCCAACCGATTACTCAAAGGGGCCATACACCATGCACGTCATGTCTCTCAAGGTCTCCGACTACTCCACTGGCACCCAGTACAGCTACGGCGATACTAGCGGCACTTGGGGATCTATCAAGTCGAACGGCGGTGTCATCTACTCTGGCGGTGACAAGCCAATCCAGGATTCGCCTCAAGTAACAGCAACGGCCAGCGGACAGCCCATTCCTTTCACCCCTCATACAACCTCCGTGGTCGACCGTCCGAGCGTCTACCCCTGGGTTCCTGCGTCGTCGTCATATGTACCTCAGCCTACATTCGCCAACTACCCTGGCCTGCCGAGTGGGTGGAGTGTCTCTGATACAGGCAAAGTCGTTCCTCCCAGCTCAGCTCCCGTTAGTAAGACTCCTCCCTCGCCCCTATTTATATTTCGTGACAGTGTGCTAACCAATCTCTGCAGCCATCCCCTCGCGTGTCCTCTATGCTCTCGCCTGCAGCTTTGCTCTCGGCGCCATCTGGCGATTCTAGGCCTGAGGAAATCATCAGCATTGATGATCAGGTCTTCATTATTATTCACCCCGACACATCACTTTCCCAGTCTACTCTCACTGCTTCGATCAGTGTCTACGCCCCGAAGAACGACGTCGTAGCATCGGCAGTCACCGTCGTTCCCACTGCCAACAGTGGAATGTCTCGATTCCTCAGTCATTCCTACCTCCTTTCAGCGTTTACCTGTTTCGCCGGAGCTACGCTTGCCACCATGTAGAGCCTGGAGCAGGTGTGGCACGCACTCGCAATGTCCGGTCCTGTTGTTTCGTTTTTAGTCAGCATCGTTCTTGTTATCTTCCGCATAGCGTTGGCGTTTGGCATTGTCAGGATCAAAATCAAGATTAAGATTTGGGTCCCTGCATTTCCCTGGTTGAGCGCTTCGTGCGTACACAAAATTTAGTTTGCGTTGCATTGCATTAGAATAGATGAGTTGGGTTGAGTTGAGATGGAGGGCAAGATGGCATTGATTTGGACATGGAGGTGTACCCCTTAAGGGTTATGTTGTATGATCACGACGGTGGCATGAGAGATGAGCTATGGCTCGCTAGTAGTTTAATGTTGATATGATACGATCCCATCATTTGCGTATCTCAGTCACTCTACTAAATACAGACTTGTTAAAATTTCTACCTACACACCCCTTTTACCCGTCCTATCCCACTCATCCCGTATCTATCAACTCGCTCAAGAATCCCACCACTCAACTCCCCTCACCTCACCTCACCCTGGCATGTCCCCGAACAGATCACTCACACATCATCAACCCACATATCTCACGCCATGAAAATCTTCTGCAACCACTTTCTGGCTCGCACCGCATGGACTTGACCTGACTTGGGGAAAAAGACATGCCATTACCAACCCCAATTACGAACTACCTACTGTACAGCGCAGACCACACCAGACCAGACCAGACCAGACCAAACCAGCCCAGACCAAAAGCGACCCAGAAGCGGAGAAAAAGCCCCCAGTGAAACCATCCATTCCATACCATTCCATTGCATGCCATTGCATTGCATAGCATTGCATTCTTTTTTTCAAGGCAAAAAACCGCCGTACGTTTGGGGGGCGTGAGAAAAGGGAGCAAGGCCAGGTAGCAAAAAAAAGGGGAGATGTCAAGTAAGAAAAGCCCCACAACCCGCAACCCCAACCCCGTATATCAACATCCGCATGCGCAAGAAAAAGGATCACACACGACGACTACAACGGCGCTGCGCCACCTAACCGCCACGACCGCCATACGGGTTGTGTCTGTAGTTATTCGTCCTGCCGCCGCCGCGGTAGTTAGCGCCTGGCTTGCCCGCGTTCTTGGGGCCGGTGGGCGCGTTGATGGGGGCATTGCTAGGGCCAGCGGGGGGCTGCGAGGAGCCAGAGCGCGCGCGGTTGTTGTTGTGTTGTTTTGCGAAGCCGCCGCGACCGCCGGGGCCGGAGGGGATGGACGGCTGCGGGATGTCCTCGTACATGCCTTCCCAGCTTGTGGGGCCGCCTTGGCCGCCGTAGCCGGCTGATTGCTGCATGCGGCGCGCTTGCTGTTGCTCGTATTTCTGCTGCTCGAAGGCCATTTGCTCCTGTGCTGTGTAGGCTGGGCGGGGCTGCGCGTTCATCATGCCTTGGTTTGCACCGCCGTTGTTGTTGTTGCCGTTGCCGTTGCCGCCGCCGCCACCTCCACCGCCTTGCTGCATTTGCATTTGCTGCATCTGTTGCATCTGTTGCATCTGCTGCATTTGCATTGGGTTCATGCCGCCACCGCCGCCACCCATGGCTTGGGGATTCGGGCTTCCAGTGCCGCGGTTCATGCCTGCCATCATCTGTTGCTGCATTTGTTGCATCTGCATAGGGTTCATGGCTCCCATGCCGCCCATGGGGTTGGGCATGCCTCCGCCTTGAGCGGCGCCGGCAAGCTGTTGTTGCATCTGCTGGAAGTACTGTTGCATGCGCTGCCAATATTGGGCCATCATGGCGGGCGTCATGGCTCCGTTGCCGCCTTGTGGTTGTTGTGGCTGGTTGTTCTGGTTGTCGTAGCCTCCGTTTCCACCACCGCCGCCACCGCCGTCACGGTTGCCGAACTTGTTACCACGGCCAAACTTCTTGTCGTCTTCACCATCTCGCATATTGCCTCGAGGTTGAGCGCGCTTAACCTCAATGGGCTTGCCCAGAATCGTAAGGGGTCCCTTCAGTGTCGCATCTACCGCAGCGTCGCCATCAAACGTGACGAAACCGAAACCACGAGGTCTGCCTGTCTCTTTGTCCATCATGAGTGTGGCATCGACCACACGTCCAAACTGCTTGAAGAAGCCTGTGAAATCTTCCTCTGTCGCTTCTTGGCTGACGCCGCCCACGAAGATCTTGCTTGTGCGCTCCTGTTCCTCTCTGGGAATGGCTCGTTTGGGGTCAATCTAGTCCAATGTTAATGAGGTACATATACTGTTTAAGGATTGGACGTACAATCTTGCCATCAAGATAGTGCTCCTTCACCATGACGGTGTTAACGCATCTGGGATCTTTGAACGTGAGGAACCCGAATCCTCGCGAGCGGCCGGTCGCAGAGTCGCGCATAACAGTGCACTCGCTGACCTCGCCAAACTGAGAAAAGTAGTCCTTGAGAGATTCTGCGAACGCTAGGTCAGTATGAAGAATCTCAACTGAGCGTTGTGGTCATGAGCTTTTCGAAAGTTCGAAGCACAGCTCAAGGTGTGGAGTAGGGTGGAGGTGGTGGTCCTTACGTTCTGTTGTCTCCCAGTTCAAGCCTCCAATGAACATCTTGCTGTGATGAAAGTCAGTGGGTTACATTTCTCGACTACAGCCAAAAAGCTAAAACAAAATGATCAAGAAGAGGGTGCATCAAAGGTCCACCAGGTCCCCCATAGTAGCGCATGCTAGTGTACAGCGCGCAATGATGGCAAGACAATTCGATATTTTTTTATCCTTGCTGAGCGTGCATTCAGACTGATAACTCGAGTAGCTTAGTCCACCCTTGCGTTTGGTGTAGTTCAAGGCTTCTACCAACTCAGACATATAGGAGAACATATCATGCGCTAGATATATAGGGCAAAGATCATGCCTCCTGCATTTCGGCAAGTTCGCTGGAGATACAGAGAAAGGATCCAAATGGCTGTTTTTGGAGCAGTGGTTGTCGTAATTGCGGGTCCAGGTCGCGTCGTTTGGTGGCTGAAATGGTTCGCAATTCCGCTGGCGCAAGCACTTGGTTTCATCGTCAACTTAAGCAGTATAGGCGTATCGATCCTTCTCCGGTTCGCATAGATAGTCGGGGTCTTGCGTGAAGGCGTGGGAATCCGTGGACGCGTAGTTGGATAAGCGAAAGCGATGTCTGTGCCGCTTTCCCGATTTAAACGTCGAACTCGTGGCGTTCACCCAATCAGACCGGTGCGGAGGATGCATCCTGAGTACCCAAATACCACCCGTCGAGGTTCAAGTAGAAGCAGCCCTGCAAAAGGCACAGTATGTTCGGATGAAGCGTCTGTGTTCTGCTATGGACTCGAGTGTGGACGTCTTAAAGCAGATCGTCACACAGCTCGATGGACTACCCTCAGCTTGCGTTACTGGTACGCGCTATCAAGTACCTAGGTATATATCGACATGAGGCGCTGCCAAACCCCTCGGCAAGCCGTGAGAGTCCTCGCGTAAGGCGTACTGATGGGTGATCTGAGTATAGCAGCCGTCGCAGTTCACGCTCCTGCTTGTTCCAAATCTCATGATCGCAATGTCGTCCGCCATGCCTTGAACACCTCGCCAATCGTGCGAAATCTGTACCGCAACATGCGCTCTGGCAAACACCTAGCTCCTGTTCCATCATTCTACCAGGCCCGTTGCTTTTCAGCCCCAGTACTCTTGAAATGGAGAGTCGCACAAGCTGAGTCTCATGATTTTGCCATGCATGCTCCTCAATATTGAGTGTTTAAGCTGGGTTTCCAGCTTCACCTTGCTGCTTCGCCCATTTTGGGCGGAAAGAATTCATGGCAAGGCCTTGAATAGTGCGTTGCATGCCATGGGCGTTGCAACCTTCGTTGCGATACTTATGCAATCGTCTTGATTGGCTGTTTTCAAACCGTGTGATGCACCTCTTGAGAGTAAACGAAAGAAGCAATGCAGAACTTACCCGTCCTCTTTGACGTTGATCGGACCATAATTGTCCTCCTCCATGGGCGCATTGTCATAAGACTGCTGGCCACCTGCATTGTAGTGGGACCCATCCATATTTGCGTCGTCGCCGCCAGCGCCCTGCTCCTGCCACGAAGGCGCAGCTTCGTCGCCGCCATTTTGCGCCTGTTCTTGAGGGGGGGCCGGCCCTGGTTCTACATGTGCTGGCTCTGGTTCTGTCTTGGGTGCTGAGGCTGGGGCTGCCGCCGCGTGCTTGGAGGCTGGCTCGTCATCGTACCTGAAGACGTGTTAGCAAGACTCGAACTACGCGACATGGCCGGGACGTCTCGCGTAGGAAATGGCACTCACAGGTCGTCGAAGAGATCGTCGTCAAAGTTTTCGTCGGCCATGTTGCGGTTCTAGAAGCTGCAAAAAGAAGGGAAAAAGATGAGTGAGTGAAGCTCAAGCAGCTCAAAGCTTTCGTGTAAGCCGACGCGGCGCGGTCGCTGCAAACGTCAAGTAAGTTTTCCTACAAAGCTCAATGACCAGATTACGTGAAGATAAAAAGAGACGCGACCAGTGGGCAAGACTCGTCGTGGTAGGAAGGCTGGATTGGGCGCGCGTGTGTTGAAAGATGAACAGAGTCTGACAACGTGAGGAGATGCGAAAGGAAAGCGCGCTAGGACTGGTCTAGCCTTGGCGGGCAGGTGCGCCTGAGTAAGGTGGTCCATGGTCGAGTTGCGGGCGTGCCGACTCCACGAGTAGCCATCGACTGCGGGGCCGCCCTGCGACATATACATATTCACCATGGCCTCCAAGAAGCAGCAGCAACAACAACAGCAACAGGTACGTGGATGTGCTACTAGTCCGTGGCTGTCATGTGATTGCTAACTTGCTGCTTAGGAAATGGTTCAGGTCGGTTCGTACACTTCTGGGTCGCAAGCAGGCGTCATAGCATCCAGGGTAGCTAACACCTCGCCTTGCCCTCTACAGACCGCACCTCGTACGTTGGCCTGCCTGCGACGCGTACGTCTCCTCCTTTGCTGATATTTGCGCGCAGATCAGCATCTCCCTTCTGGAAGACCACCTCCAACACCTCGAGCTCGTCGCAGAACAAGAAGATCATAGGCGCGTCCTATTCACACGCTGATATACTCAATTTCAGTTCATTGTACGATCTGTCGATAGCGACCCTATAGCACACATGCTGATGTCTCCAGGAGCCTCTCCAAAACCAATTCGCGACCTCAAACCCCCCCATCCACCAACCATAGTCGCGAGTCTAGCGCTGCCCCAGCCCGGACAAGCAGCACAACCTCCCCACGACCTACAAAACACAACTACAGCAGTTTCCTTCGCGACACCCACCAGGACTGGAACGATGAGGAGGGGGACGGTGACATCATGTTCGAAGACGACGAGGATGAGTTTGGTCTTCCAAGCATCGCAAACATGAGGAGAAAAGGACGGCGGAAGCAGCCATCCATAGGAAAGGATGCAGGGGGTTCAAGTGGTCGAAACAGCTTGGGCTCGACGGCATGGCGTGCTATAGACAGTGGCGACATAGCCGAGGAAAGAGGCGTTCCCAACTATCCCACGGCGAAGAAGTTGGAAGGAAAGATACTGCGGCCGCAATATCAAGAGATACTACGCGACCCAGCCAATTCCTTGCATCTCATTTCGCACTCCCCTGTACCAACGAACGCCTCCGCAAAGCAAATCGAAGAGCACTCTGCGCGGACAACAAGAATCAACAAATTCAAACGAATACTACAGGCGAGCACCATCTCCTTATCCGAGCTGCGCGACTCGGCGTGGTCGGGTGTACCATCTGAAGTTCGCGCCATGACATGGCAGATTCTTCTGGGCTATCTCCCAACCAGTAGCGAGCGCAGAGTTGCGACGCTGGAACGAAAACGAAGGGAATACCTGGATGGCGTGCGGCAAGCTTTTGAACGAGCTGGAACGGGTGCTATATCCTCGACAAATCGTGGACGGGCTCGCGGCCTAGACGAAGCAATCTGGCATCAGATCAGCATTGACGTACCTCGAACAAATCCACATCTCGAACTCTACAGTTACGAGGCAACACAACGGTCTCTGGAAAGGATTCTCTACTTATGGGCTATACGGCATCCCGCCTCAGGATACGTGCAAGGTATCAATGACCTGGTCACACCATTTTGGCAGGTTTTCCTCGGCGCCTACATCTCGGATCCAGACATCGAGTTTGGTATGGATCCTGGTCAACTGCCAAAACAGGTATTGGATGCTGTGGAAGCAGATTCGTTTTGGTGTCTTACAAAGCTCCTTGATGGTATACAGGACAACTATATCGCGCAACAACCAGGTATTCAACGGCAGGTTGCAAGTCTACGAGATCTCACTACACGCATCGACGATGGGTTAGCGAAACACTTGCAAAATGAGGGGGTCGAGTTCATACAGTTCAGCTTCCGATGGATGAACTGTCTCCTTATGCGCGAGATCTCCGTCAAGAACACAATACGGATGTGGGATACATATCTGGTGTGTGACAATACAGCTGCTTCTTTCACAGATATCCTCAACTAACACGTACCAGGCTGAAGAAGACGGGTTTTCGTCCTTCCATCTCTACGTCTGCGCCGCATTCCTCGTAAAATGGTCTGATCAGCTCCGTAAAATGGATTTCCAGGAGGTCATGATGTTCTTGCAAGCTCTGCCGACGCGGCAATGGACCGAAAAAGACATCGAGTTGTTATTGAGTGAAGCATTCATCTGGCAAAGTCTCTTCAGAGGGAGCAGTGCGCATTTAAAGAATACAGGGTCAAGTAGTGGTGGCGTAGGCATGGGTCCTGATTTTTGAGCGCGTGCTGTGTACCCAGACAAGACTCGTAGGCCAGCGAGAGGATTCGCTCGTATTTAGTCTGATCTTGCAAATGCTCGCATAAGTTCTAAGTGACAGATAGCCATAGCTTACAACCGAAAATCATGACCTCGGTGTATCACCTTCCGACACGGCATATATCAATACCGGATAACATCGCATTTCTACCTCAAATGACCGAGTAGCTGAGAAACAGTAAGAGCAACCCCACCTTTCAGGTACCCCTCACACGTCACACGGCTTTCCTTCTCTACCCCCGCATATACAAAGCCAACCTTCCACCGCGAAGCACCCAACCCCCAAACCACACATCATCAACCCCCGCGCAAAATGTCACCACCACCCCGTCCGCCCTTCTCGTCCCTCCCCCTCGACAAAAACGGCCCGCCAGGCAATGCATGGGGTCTGTACGGCGCTCACGACGAGCTCGGCGCTCTAAACATGATCACGCCCTCGACCGTCAAAGCCGCAGCGCAGGAGATCCAAACCGGCGACCGCGTCTCCCTAGACTGGTACCTGAACAAGCCTTCGCACCCATCCTTTGGCCGCCCGTCTTTTGGCTGGAAGATCGAAAACCGATGTCACCCCGACGGAAGAAAACGGACTGTTAACGACGACGAACTGCACATCAACACGCAGAGTAGTAGCCAGTGGGATGGGTTCCGGCACTACGGGTATCAGCAGGCGAAGCGGTACTACGGCGGGAGGTCGCAGGCGGATGTTGAGGGGAGCGAGGTGATTGGGATTGATCGCGTTGCGCACTCGGGGGGTATTACGGCGAGGGGCGTTATTCTGGATTACCCGCGGTGGTTGGAGAAGAAGGGGAAGGATAAGGTCGATGCACTCGCGGCGAACTGCATCAATGTGGCGACGCTGAAGGATATGCTTCAAGACACGGGCGTTCAGCCTCGAGATGGCGATTTGCTGCTGGTGAGGACGGGGTTCACGAAGCATTATGACGCGCTGGATGAGCAGGGGAGGAAGGATCTTGCGACCAAGCCGCCGAACTTTTTGGGTGTGGAGAGCTCGAAGGCGGTCGCGCAGTTGATTTGGGAGAGTGGGTTTGTCGCGGTTGCTGGGTATGTTGCCCCGTCTTTTCTGTATTCCATGCTTGCTACTTTGTCTCCTCGTGGCTGACTATTACGTGTCGCGAAGTGATGCCCCGTCCTTCGAGATGAGTCCGCTAGTAGGCCCCCATAACGCACCAGGCGGTATCTGGGCAGGTGAAGCGTGGGAAAACGACATGCAAGGTGGCGGCCTGCTTCACCAGTGGTTTCTGGGTGGGTGGGGGCTGATGATCGGCGAGATGTGGGATTTGGAGCGCTTGTGTGAGAAGGCGGAGGAGTTGGGACGGCACACGTGCTTTGTTAGCAGTGTGCCGTTGAAGGTGAGTAATTTCGACTTCATGTTCTTGCGAGAGGTAGTCCGAGCTAACGTATGTACAGGTTCCCGGTGGTGTGGCGAGTCCGCCGAATGCTGTTGCAATATTCTAGGCGGCCATGATGGAATTACATAGCTTGTTGGTACTGATCATACTCATTATGAGTAGTAGTTTGAGGATGTTTGAATCGAGCCAGTACTGTCGTCTCATCCTCCCACTCTCGCCATCCATGCCTACCCATTATCTCTCCACCAGCGCAAGACAGCGAAGGTTTATGTTTAAGAGGAAGAGAGAAGGAGATTCGTTGTTTTTGGGGTAATAGAAGTTCGAATTCAGGAATAGATCGAGTCGAAACATGTAGAATGCTTGTAGCAAACAAACGTGAGTGCTCCTATACTGCAAGATTAGATGCTATAACAACAACACACAGGTAGGCGTGTACCAATGATACCCAAGGCGGATGAGCCTCACAAGTTGCTTACATGTAGTTGTCAAGCTGTTGCAAACCCTCACTGCAGCTTTGTTCCGGGTATGCCCTCCCATCTCCGCACTCAATCTAGTTTTGAGCCAAAGAGCGGCAACCGTTTTCATGCAACGTCGGCTTACGCGTTTTAGTATTCCAAGGAATTTTAGAATACTGTCCGAAACGCGCGGTTCGGAGGTAGTTAGTGTGTTTAGTTTGCTTGTAGTGTTTGGTATGCTTGTAGAGGTTTTGAGAAGATGATATAGATGGATGGATGGCAGTGTGTTTCCACGCAAAGCATGTCCTATTCACCACGGTCGACATTTCCAGCCGGTTATGGGAGCACATCGAACGGGTTCGAGGTCGTTTGAGAACATGCAGCCTTTCCAGGCCTCCTAGTCCTTTCGGACTTTCGAGTCGGTGCAGTTCGACCAGCCATTTCGCAGTTTCCCACGGGGACAAAAAGAGTTTGAATAAAGAATAAAGGACGACACTTCCGTAGGAAGAGGTCCAGTGTCAAATCACCACGTACAGAATACGCTGGATTCGACGAGAACAAGCGGTTGCGTGCGTAACACGCGCCTGCAGTTCTATACCGGAACACTCAGTGAAGAGGTCCGGGCCGGCTCGTACAATGACGAGTCGAGAGGAAGAGATATCTGGTGCGACCCAGACAGGACAGGCGAGGGAATACTAGCTCAAAGGCTAGGAAAAGAGAGAGTGAGGATGTGGTGAGGATGTTGGGGAACGTCTGTGAGAAAGGCTTTAAAGAGAGGTCGAGGCCTGTGCGTGTGGGTTTGCTTGGCGGGTCACAGAGAGGGCGCAAAGAAACTCGGTGAACGGTGAACAGAGTGCAGATGTTAGATTCTTCCTCAATCTCTCTCGACATCGATTTCCCCTCCGAAGCACGATCATGGCAACGGTCGCCCAACATCGCCATAACGGACAAGATGGAAACGGTGCCGAGCTAGGTGATATGGACAGGTAATACGGGTTGCAACGTGACAGCAAGATCTAGGCAGAGTGCTAGGGAAGAAAGGGGCGTTGGATAGGAGTCTAAGACGGTCGAGGAGGAGAAATGTACTAGAGAGACAGAAATTGAATGTAGAATGCAGATGGACGTGTAAGATTAGGCAAAACAAAGAAACGACATGAAAAAACCTACTCAGGCTCGTATGTAACGTCGTACCGTAGCCACCGGATCCAGGAAGGCATGCACTCGTAAGGTGTAATAATCCAGCATAGCCTGGTCGGGGGAAGTCTACATCTCCCCCTACTCCGTACGAGAGCCCCATCCATCTGAAACCCGAGCTATCAGAACCACGCGCAAAATCACATCACGTAAAGAGGTAAATGAGAGCAGATTGTTTGAACATGGTCGTGACATCGTGATATTGTCTCTCCAACATTACCCGAAGATCCACCACGGCTCGCCACTCATCGAGCAATACTCTTCGATTCGACAAAGTCGCCAAAACCGACTATATACGCCACGCACCAATCAGTCCTCCAAACAGACAACCACCCATGTCCTGATATCTCAAACAGTGAGAACGTGCCATGATCATGCGCACGCCTAATCGAAATGAAGATGATGAAGAAGAAGAGCAAGAACAAGAAGAAGCAAAAGACGCCAATCCCCAGTTCGCGCGGGTTCCAGCAGCGAAGGTATCCATTGGGGATGCACTATGCAACGCGCAAAACGCCTTTGATAACAAAAAGAAAACAAACAAACAAAAAACAGAGTTCCGTCCCTGATCAAGCGGTCGTAGAAACTCGTGAAAAAAACACACGGAGAAAAAAAAGGCACCTTCCGAGATGTTGAGTCATCATGTGAACATGTCACGACTCTCTCTCTTTCTCCATAGAACGCCGTGGTGTAGTGTACAAAATAGAACATGGTCGAATAAACAGCGTCGATGAGGTACTCGCATGGCAACACATTCCAGAATATGGCCGCAGATTCCACGTCGTAATCCGTGTGCCCAAAAGGCGTCGTGAAAGTACCTGATCAGAAGGATATCAAGAAGCGAGGCGTCGTAGAGTGGCGTCAATAAGGGGATACTGGGTAAACAATGAGGTTGTAGGATGGCGGCTCCTAAGAGACCTTTCAGCTCATGTCCATCATGTCCTCCACATCAACGGCGCGGTCCTGATCGTATGTGGCCAGCATCTCATCACTCGGTCCAAAATTGCCTTCATAGACAGTGGCGCCCGACCGCCTCCTGTTCTGAACCCACTGGCAACCGAAGCACTGGAGCACTTGTTCAGCCGTGGGTCTCTGATCCGGGATTGGGTGTAGCATCGCCATTACAACCTGATCCATGGAACTCATGTCTTCTCGGTCGATCATGAACTTGGGCGCTCGTGCGAGTTCCTTTTCTGGGTTGGACGCTGGCTGCACTTGGATGGAGGATGGTGAGTCGAAGTCCGAGTCGGACATCATGAAGCCGTCCATGGAGGTTCGGGCGATTTCCGTGACTGGGTCACCGTTCGAGTCGCGGCTCAATGTGCTGCTTTCCGCGCTCCAAGTTAGGCTTGGGAGCACGTTCTCGAATTCGCCTGATCGCAACTTTTGCCAGTATGCACCGTTCTCTGGGATGACACAATTACCAGCTATCTCAGCCAGCATCATGCCAAGAGCAAAGACATCGGCAGGTTTATCAAATCGACCAGAAAGAGCTTCCGGAGCAAGGTAGTGACGATCACCCTCCCCATCGATGTGCTTGGGGGCGGGCCATGGGCTGGCTAGACCGAAGTCGGCAATCTTTAGGCCGCCTTCGAAATCGATCAGAATATTGGCGGGCTTCAGGTCCAGGTGGATGTAACCAGAGTTATGAATGAACGTGAGACCCTACGACATTGTTAGATTTTGTCACCAACTGCACATGTGCTTGCTTACCATTGATAGTTCCATGAGTATCTTCCAGATGCGAAAATCGTCAAGACGGCCGCTGAATCCAGTAGTATCAAGGAATCGTCTCAAGTTGCCACTCTCGCAATACTCGGTTTGGATGTAAAGACGCGCGTCGTGCTCCCAGTGATCTTTGATGCTGAGAACGTGGTCGTTGCCACGAAGAGCGTACAGTACTTCTACCTCACGCATCTTCCGCTGACGGTCGCCCATACCAATGTAGGTTTTCTTCGACTTCTTCACCACCCACACCTGACTTCCAGCAGGAGATCTCTCAGGCGAAGTCTTCACAGGTTGGCTCACACGGTATACTATGGAGAACTCCCCTTCGCCACCGTCAAGTTCTTTCACTTCGCGGAAACGTGAGGCTAGCGACTCATCCACATCATTCTTTGTCAGTCCAATGGGTATGGCGCTCTGGTCGTTGCTGAAAAATACCGAATGGTCACGGGAGGCGGTGGGTGTGGCAGGCGGGAAAGAGTCGAGGCTGCTGTTGAAGTTTATCGAACCTCGCCTGTTACCTGATAATGAGAGCCTCCTAGTGTCTGGAGCGAACATAGTCTCACTTGGTGACTGTGGGGAGGATGCACCAAAAGAGATGGCCGCTGCTGGAGGTTGCTTAGTGACGTTCTTGACGTACGAATGAATAGGCGCTCGCAAAGCTCGTCGCGAAAGCGGCGATGGGCGACCAAGCTTCTTGGACTGCCGCAAAAGCCGAGTTCGAGCAAAAGAAAGAGTTTGTGAAGATGAGATACCGCATATCGTCGAGTGTAGTTCCTCGCCAGGCAACGTATTCTCTTCGATCGGCGAACAAGTACTGATTGAAATTGAAGTGGACTTACCATTTGTGTGACCCTCGATCTCTGGTACAGCAAACGTATTCTCTCCAATGGAAGGACGCTGGCGGAATGTCTTGCGTCGTAGGCTGCTCTCCTTGGATCGGCGGCTTGAACCACCATGTGACTTGGTGGGTGTGGGGGGCGTATCGTCAGTACCGGACAGGCTATCAACCATTCGGTTGGCTGTTGGTGACTCGATCATTCTGTTAGCTGACGGTGACTGGGAGTCAGGTAAGACATCGTCATCTCCATCTACGCTAACAAAGCTTCCCCGTCGCTGATGGGAGCTACCCATGTTACCGAATATGTTTGTGCTCGTGCCGAAAGACTCCGTAGAGAACTTTGAAACATGGCTGCTAAACGGTGTGCTTGTCGTACCGAACTGAGGCTGTGGTCGTGTGGAGTTGCCAAAGAGGCTACCTCCGCGTTTGACCAATGGGGTATCAATGACTTCCGCTCTGTCGCCCGCGGCTGGGGGGTATGACAGCCGTTTTGATGGAGTATCGGGCATGATGTATCTGCCTGCAGCTCCAGGAAGGTCGTTTACGTTGCGGTTCTTCTTTGAGAGCAGACCTGTTGAGAAAGCGACAGGTGGTGGCTGTACCACTTTGAAGGGTGTATCAAACGCCTCTTCCGATTCTTCATCAGTTTCTGACAGGTATGGACGACCTACACCAATGGGCAGAGACCGCGAGAACTGGTGAGATGGTCCCGCAGGCGTTGGTGGAGCTCCAAAGAGTCTTGCCCGGGGTGGAGCCATCGGAGGTGTTTCTCCACTGAAGGCGGACGAAGAAGACGGAGTGTGCGCATGAGATAGAGGATGAGGTTGTACGGCTCCGGTGCTACTACGAACGAAGGGCTGAGGCAGGCCCATGCGCTCTGGATCAAACGTAGACTTACGGAACGGAGTATGGGAAGGTGTGATGTTCTGTCCCATCGAGCCATCCAAAGACATGCGGTTTCGCGTCTTGGAGGCAGCTGCACCAGGGAACGCAAACTCGCCGTCGAATGCTGGCTTGGGTCGCGGGGTGTTTGTCGATCGTTGGGACAAGGTCGATTTTCGTAGTGATGTCCCTCTCCGCAGAGGAGACTGTGTGTTGTTGATAGGCGATGAGAAGGCAAATCCGCCAAAGGACTCGTTCTCGTTTGTCCGTTGCGGTTCTTGCATAGACGCTCTAGACCCATTTGGCTGATCGAATATACTCTCGAAGTCATTTCCGAGACTGGGTATGCCGTACAAGCTTCTCCTCTTTGCCACCGGACTGCTGCCGGTTCCCCCGCTCAAGTTCATGACTCCGTCGTTGCGCTTGAGCGGGCTTGACTTGATCGGCGCGGGCGACGGCTCTGGTCGCCGCGCAAACTCAAATTTGATGGGTTTGTCGTTCAAACCATATCTGTCCGTGTCCATCATGTCGGGGTGGTCAACGCTAGAGCGGGGTTCGGGTGTATTTTCTTGTCCAGGCGCGTTTCGTGACGTGAATGGAGTCGAGTTTCCGGTTTCGGTCGAGTCGGCCAGAACGCGGTGCGGGCTCTTGGATTTGCTGTTGCGCGTGCGCGGCGACGAGCGGAATGGTGCTGAGCGACGTATTGTGAACTTCTTCTTGGCCGGGACCGTCTGCGCCAGTGGTGACTCGGGATAGGCTGCGACGGGGCTTGTAGGGCCGTGCTGCTTCGGGCTGAAGGCGCGCGTTAAGGCTAACGGCGATATGGGCGAGCGTGGCGAGTCGGAGTTGCGCATCTGGAAGCGCGAGGGTTTGGAAGGCGAGCGCGAGAGGGAGCGGCGGAGCTGTTGCAGGTGAGAAAAGTGCGTGCCTTCCAGGCGGTAATTGTGGGGGTGGGTGGGTGAAGGTAGGTGCATGGTGCCGCAACCCTCACGATGCGGCGAGTACGCGAAGTCCATGGGGAGTGAAAGCGGTGATGCGGTGGTGTTGTGCAGTGACGTTCTTGGCGGGGGGTTGGAGACGTGATTGTGGTCCGTGAGTGAGAGGGTCCAGCGTGCTGTGTTGCGCGTCGCGACCGTGGATGCCTGGGTGCTGGGTTCGTCGATGCAAATGTAGCGCACGCGGGGATCAGTCTTGAGTAGGTCGTTGGAGGAGTGCGGGGTGGGAGGTGGTGACGCGGTGGTAGGAATGCGTTGAATGCCGTGACAGCCGCGCAAACAGTTGTCGCAATTAATCTAACCAGGAATTCCTCCACGCGCAGCGACTAGGTTCGGCGGAGCTCCATGCAAGGCCTGCTGGTGCTGTGCAGAAGGAGCGTGGTGATGCGAAGAGGTGGAGAAGGGTGTTGTGTTGTCTGAAGTTCGTGGTCGGTAGCGATTCGTGGGAGTCGGCGTGCGGGAGGCTGGTTCGTGTTGTTGTTGTTGCAGGCGCACACTAGTCAGCGCGTAACGTGATTAACGTGATGATGGTGATGATGCAACCGGGCAAAGAGACAGTGGTCGAAGCATGGACGGACGGGCGATGTAAAGACCCTTCTTGAGCTCTCAGCGATCGAACGGGGTGATAGAAGAAGGCGCGAGCGCGTTCGACAACTTCTTGTGACCGGGAACTCGATTTGGCGCTAGTGGAGGGCACGTGCGCGTCGTGCATCACGAAAACGGTTGGAATCGTCTCGGCGAGCCGCGTGAGCAAATCGAATCCAATCGAATCCACAGTGCCAGGCACAACGTGAAGCACGTAGCTCGAGTACAGAGTGGGACCGAAACAAACTTAGAACAAACTTAGAACACTGAGCGCTACGGTGCTGCTGGCAGAGCGCTGACAGTCTTCTCCCACGCGTTGCTTTGTTTGTTGGTAAACAGTAGAACGCTTAGTGTATTCGCCACCAGTACCCGTCAGCATGGGGCAGGACGGTGCTCGAACCACATCGAGATCGTCACTGCAGAAGCTGCTAGCATGTCTAGTGCCCCTGAAGAGCCCAAATGAAGTTAATCTTACAGTCCTCATGCATCGCGGCCCGCAGGACGATGAACTGTGCGAGGGCACGAAGACACCCATCTCCACATGATTGTCTCTGCGGCGGCCGCTTCTGCTATCGATTGTATTGATCGTCAATCGATACGACGAGGCGCCGAGCACAGGGTTTGAATGGAGGGGCAGAATAGTGTTGCGATGCTTGTTGAAGGACCTCCATGCTGCACTGCGCGGCTGTCTGTCGACAGTTGCTGGAAAAGTCCCTGACGCCCTTCAATAGACCATCTCCCGACCAATTGCAAAAGCTTCCGGTGCCGTCCATTATTGTTTAGTCGGAAGCGTAACCTCGTTCCGACAGGGTCGGCTAGTTGCTCCTGACAAGGTGGCTTGATGGACTTGGAAATAACAGACATCGTGTTCAACAATCTGCCCATACGGCACCTCGCAATCAGCCCGTACTTTTCGTCGTCGTTGGAATTTCGCGTTGTTCAGAGTGACGACGTTTTCTCTTTAGTCTCTTTAGTAGCAAGAGTGAGAAGCAAACACAATTCTGTTGAAGATTCTGATCATGGCATTGTGACTTCTCGTCATTGAAGCTGACCGTGGGTGCCCTGAGATGGATGTCGATCAACCTCATGACCTGTTTCAGGGCACTTTATTGACCGGCTAGAGCTGTGTTTTCGCTGCCGTTTCCCGATGGCTCACCATGCGACGATTGCGCTTGTGTTTGGTGATGACCAGGCGGCCTCAGCGTGTTGTTAGACCCTGGCCGTTAACAAATACTGACGTCGTGACCTGGAGATCCCGAGCTATCGTCAGCTCCAGAGTTGGCATTGGAAAAGCTCTAGAAGCTAACTAACATAAGGCTGAAACTCTGATCGTGTATTGCCTCGAGATCGAACAGGTACAAGATCGATGACATGTCTGACATCTCCCGAAATCGTCATCTCAATCGGGAAGTCGCAACGTTCATCAATCGAGGAATGAACCGAACGCTGGGCTTCCCCAAACATCTTGCTGTCTTCGACAATCGAATCTCCTTTAGAAAAAACTGAAGCCTCATTCGGTTCGGAGTGGTTTTGCCGGATCGTCAATTACAGACCCCGGGCACTTTGTAAAAGCAAGGGAGGTTGATGCCCGAATGCCGGGTACCGTTCCAGGATGCACGCGGGACGTTTGAGAGCCCAGGACTTTTTGGTTCATGTCGTGCAGCCCTAGCCGTAGCCACATCGTCCTTGCGTCAGCCTACGCATGTCAACATGCAAAAGCAACATCGCCAGCAGCCAGAAAACTTGAAAATGAAAGCCACAAATTTGGCGGAAATGACAACCTGAAGTTATTTTTGCAGAGTTTTGGCGGCAGGTGGCAGGTGTCCATCAGTCCTCGAAGAGATTGTATCTAACAACCAAAGTGAAACGCCACACTCCATGCAGAAAAACCATCGACTAGCGACGAGTCCGAAACCAGCAAGGCATTGAGTATAGAAAATGAGCAGTTCATTACCCCAGCAACAGTTTTTCTCGCATGTCCGCGGCCGCGAATTTGTGTTTCCCAGATGGAGGTACCTTGACCAGAGTATCTGGGCATCCTCTGGCACACAACGATGGGTTGTCTCGTCAACCAAAGGGTTGGCAAGTTGGACGGGACGAACAGACCCTGATGTGATTCACTATGATCTCCAGGAGTGATGTCAGGAATGTGGAGGTAATAGTGGTTGGGTAGTCATCTTCGACCCAACTTTCAAGTAATAGATGAATACTACTCTTGGGCGAGGAGCCTGTCGTACTGATGATTGTAACATGACTGGGCTGTCGTGGGTGATGATTTATTGACATGTTTGTCAAGCTGACGACATATTTCTGTATAGTTGTTCGCACGCCGACACACGGATACGGCTGGTTTACATCGACGTGATGGTTGATGGCGGTCCATTATGGCCATGTATAGATCTGAATGTGAGCCAGAAAGAAAACACCATACTCCCTGTTCGTTCCCATGTCAAAAGGCTTCGTCATCAGTATCGTCTTCCAATTGTCCCGTTTAATTGAATTATACTTTGATCCTGTTGAATACAAACACATTTGTAATAGAAGCACTCTCTCAGCAGTGATCTCTACTATATGCATTACCGAAGTTAGGACTCAAGCGTCGGAACACATAGACTTGATTAAAATGAGAGGTGGTGCGTAAAGTGTCGTGTGTCAAGGTTGAGCGCAAGCTGCTGGTATTACCATGAGTACCAGCGCTAGTCTGGACGACGTTAGTTTGGTTAGTTTGGCGGGGTGAGTCAATTGCGAGTGTGAAGAGGGGTAGAGCACAAAATAACAAAATAATCTCGACTTTTGAGCGCACACGACACAACAAACACAGTCAACCGCAATCATGGCCGACCAACAGCCTCCAGCGCCCCAGGCCGAGGCCGCCAAAGATCTACACACTGATCCCGTCACCGGCGAGAAGATCTCCAAGAGCGAGCTGAAACGGCGACAGAAGCAGCGCGAGAGGGACGAGAAGAAGAAGGAGAAGGAGGCAGCATTGCCTGTGCGTGAGAAGAAGGAGAAGAAGGATGACGTTGAAGAGCTGAACCCAAATGTGCGCATTTTTGTATTCTTCAACGATTATTGACTGGCTGCATGGCTAACATGTCCAGCAATACTTCGAGATCCGCTCCAACAAGATCAACGCGCTCCGAGCCTCCAAGCAACCAAACCCGTACCCACACAAATTCCATGTCAACTACAATCTTCCCGACTTTGTACGCGATTACTCCCATCTCAAGAAGAGCGAGGTGGTCGAGGACAAGGAAATCCGCATTGGTCTGCGCGTCATTGCGCAACGCTCCTCTTCGAGCAAGCTCCACTTCTACGTTTGTAGGTCGGCCCTGCACAGTACTTATGACACTATTTAATACTGGGCAGGCAAGGCAGAGGGAACCTCGATCCAGGTTATGTGCCAGATCGACAATGCCAAGGGTGATGTCGACTTCGAGAAGCAGCACGAGAACATTCAGCGTGGTGATATCATCGGCGTTATCGGTTTCCCAGGTCGCACAAACCCCAAGAAGGGTGGTGAGGGCGAGCTCAGCATCTTCGCCAGGGAAGTCATTCTCCTCACGCCATGCCTGAGGATGTTGCCGACAGAGCACTTGTAAGCATCGACTCCCTGCACTGACGGTAACGTCACTGACATTATGACAGTGGGTACAAGGACCAGGAGCAGCGCCACCGAAACCGTTTCCTCGATCTCATCATGAATGATTCCACACGGAACACCTTCATCACACGAACCAAGATCGTCAAGTACGTCCGCAAATACCTAGACGAGCGAGACTTCCTGGAAGTGCAGACACCCATGATGAACAAGATCGCTGGAGGTGCCACTGCGCGGCCGTTCAAGACATATCACAACGAATTGGACATGGAACTTTTCCTTCGAATTGCCCCCGAGTTGTACCTAAAGGAGCTTGTTGTCGGAGGTCTCGAGAGAGTCTACGAAATTGGTCGCCAGTTCCGAAACGAGGGCATCGATCTGACCCACAACCCCGAGTTCACCACCTGCGAGTTTTATATGGCCTACGCAGACTACAACGATGTCATGGACATGACTGAGGAGATGGTCAGTGGCTTAGTCAAGGAGATTACAGGTAGCTACGAGACAGTGTTCCACACCCAGAGTGGGGAAGAATACAAGGTCAATTGGGCAGCGCCATGGAGACGAGTGGAGATGATCCCGGCGCTGGAGGAAGCTACAGGAGAGAAGTTCCCACCTGCGAACCAACTACACACCACCGAGACCAACGAGTTTCTCAAGAAGGTGCTCAAGAAGGTCAACGTCGACTGCTCCGAGCCCCGCACAAACTCAAGGATGATTGACAAGCTGGTGAGTGGTTATGTTGCGCAACTTCAATTGCAGCAGCTAATCGTGAGAAGGTCGGCGAGTTCATCGAAGAGACCGCTATCAACCCTACCTTTATCGTGGGCCATCCCGAGGTCATGTCACCGCTGGCCAAGTACCATCGTGAAATCCCAGGGTATGTAAAACAACAACCTGTCTGAGGAAGAACTAGCTAACCATTCCAGTCTCTGCGAGCGTTTCGAGGCCTTCGTCTGCAAGAAGGAGATTTGCAACGCCTACACAGAGTTGAACGACCCCTTCGACCAGCGTCTGCGATTTGTAAGATTCCGCCCAACACACGCAATCAGACAGAGTCACTGATACTAGCACAGGAAGAGCAAGCAAACCAGAAGGACCAGGGAGACGATGAAGCACAGCTGATCGACGAAACCTTCTGCCAAGCGCTCGAGTACGGTCTTCCACCAACCGGTGGATGGGGAATGGGAATCGACAGACTGGTTATGTTCTTGACCAACAACTACAGTATTAAGGAGGTCATCACCTTCCCCTTCATGAAGGACGTCGTCGAGGACAAGAAGACCCCGACTGCTGCGGAAGTCGTCGGCATTGAGCCGAAGCCCGAGGAGGGTATCCGTACGTGTAACCTACTGCAGACTCATATTCATTTCACTGACTCGTTCTAGATCACAAGTAGATGCAGCATAGCATTACAGGCGTAGGAGGTTAAGGCATGGAAAGATTCATGAGACATGTTACATAGATGATGATGTGTCATTGGGTTCATTTCGGGAAGCATTAGTCAAGGAATTAAAATTAGAGATTTCTCCACCATCAAAACTGTTCTTGTATTTCTGTGTCAAATGCCTCTGCTTGCGAGACATTCTCGATGATTGACATGTACTAGAAAGGTGATTCTTCAAATTATGGATGCAACTCGAAGACTGTATTATTCCAACGCGTGAGGTTCCCACACCAACCAGCATTTCTTTCCAGATAAACGTCCAACAATTACATTTTCAACCACATCACCCATCCCACTCCCCAACCTCAATACTTGGGCTTAAAAGGCAGCGTCGCCATCTGCCTCCCCACATCCCCCTTCACCCCAAACAGCTGATACAACCACGGAATAATCGTAAAAAAGCTCTGCGGCTCGCCCATATGCCTCACCCCCTTAACAAACCGCGCCTCCTTGGGCGCCCCATGCTCAAGCGCAACATAATAGTCGTCAACGGGGAAGATCTGGTCCTCCGTCCCATTGACAAGCAGCAGCCGCGCACACCGCGGCCGATCTAGCGTTCCGTCCTCCAGGAGAGAGAATTTCCGCATCCCCTCCGCCTTGAAGGCTTCCACGTCGGCCCCGTACCCGAACTTATACGCCAGCGTGTCGGCGAGGTCGAATGGGTACTCTAGCGTGTTGACCGCGTCGAGCCACTCGCGCGCAAACATGTGATGGCAGCCGCCGCCCAGGGCAACGACGCCAGCCAGTTTCTCCGCATGTGTGTGCGCCGCGCGAATAGCGTAGTACCCGCCTGTGCTGAACGCCCAGATAGCGACACGGTCGGCGTCGATGCCAGATTGCCGCGCAACCCAGTCAAACACGCTACTGTACAGACGGTCGGGGGACGTGGGATCGCTGGCTGCAGCGGGACAGTCGCCCGTCCCGGGTATCTCCATGACCAGCGTAGCAACGCCGACCTGGCGCCAGCCCTCCATCCACACCGCCAGCTCGGTGCGGTACCCGTCCAGCCCCGTGAAGATGACGAGCAGCGGCACGGGGGACGACGCGCTGGCCCCCGCGGGCACGAGGTGGTATACGGGGATGTCGCTCCCTTCGTCGGGCAGCCGGTGCGTGTGCGGAATCACCACTTCGTGGACGGGATGTTCGCGCATCCCCAGCCCCTTGATACACACTTCTTTCCCGCGCGTCCAGGCTTCCCTCTGCACCGCGCTGCGCGGGGCCGGGAACCGCGCTATCCTGTACACGGCGCTGGAGCGCAGATAGTACTCGGACGCTTTTTCGCGCTCGCCGTGCCGCTCGGCTTCCTGCGCGATGCGGGCGAGCTTCTCCGCTTGTGGGAAGTAGACGCGCGCGTATGCGTCCCAGTCGTATGGCTCTTTGAAGTCGCCGGCTATTAGGTCTGCGACGATGGGCTCGAAGTCTGCGGCTGTGCTGAACATGAAGGGGTAGACGCCCATTTCTGCCTTTGGGGTTGGTTAGTTTTTTTTTGGCTGGGTGGTGGGAAGGGGGGTGGGCGTACGGGTTTCTTCCATTTCGTCTCCCAGAGCTGCTTGAAGCTTTCGTGGTGTGGCGCGATGCTTTTTAGTTGGTCTTGGATGTAGAATTTGCCGCCTGGTGCTGCCATGGTGACGTTTGTGTCCTTCTGTTGATTGGGTGATGTATGGCTCTTAATCTGGGTGATAGGATTGTGCGGACGCGTTCAGATTGAATGACGGAAACAGTAACATCTTCTCGTACGGTCGGACACCTTCCATTTATCTATCCTCTTAGAGACTGTTGACGGGTTGCGAAAGCCGGCATGGCTATTGCAGTATGATGATGTCCGGAGCGAGCGCCGCAGGTGGGGAGCCGAACACCATCTTGTGTAACGACCTTCGGGAATGCGTTTCAGGGCTATTTGCAGGGCGCGGTGTGTCTGGGGTAGGGTGAGGTCATGTATCACTATTCACGGAAGAGAAAGGGTAAGAGGTGTTCTGAAGTGTAGGTAGATGTTCATTCGTAGCGAGAGAGAGCCATAAGGGCTTAGTCTTGCGCTAATCATCTGGTGTCGTCTGTCTGTTGACGTTTTGTGTTCATGTCCCATAATCCCATAGTCTGATAGTCTGATAGTCCGGAGTCGCAGAATCCATATTGTACATCATGTCGTGAAAATCGTGTCGTCGTGTGCAAATCATCTCGTCGTCTGCGTACCAAGCGCCGCTGTCCAATTTGGGCATCGATCCGTAAACACCATGAAAGCCATCTCGCCGTGTGTATACCAACCCGCCGTCCAGTCTGGGTATCATTTCATAAACGCCAAAGTCAACTGTTCTCATCCAATCTCAGTCTGTACCTCCATCTTCATCCTCCTCTTGACTAGATCGCGACATCAGATATCCAGACCCTCCGCATCATCCTCGTTCGCAACTTGCTCGGCGTGCAGGAGAAGCGGGGAGGGACGGTCTGCGGTTGCTCCTCCATGACGTCGGTGGTCGTGGGCATCCATGCGCAGGTTGGCCAGGACTCCAGGCGGGACGTTGAGCTGGACGTTCTTGAGCTTAGGTACAATTCCAGTAGCAAGCGCACAGTGAATGGCACAGAAAGTCTCGCGCGTCAACTCCGTAGGCATATGAGTGGGGTGTTTGAAGGTCAACGACTGCAAGTTAGGGAAACGCTTCAGGATGTTCTCCCAGTCAGATCCGGTGTTGACATCGTGAGAGTCGCGCTTGAACGCATCACCGAACTCAGTCGTATGAATCGGCGCAACAATGACAAGGTGTTCAACGTACTCGCCAATTCCCTCTAAGGCCGCGACGACGTGTTCCGCATAGACGTTATTGATCTCGCCGTTAATGAGTAGCCTCGAGAAAAGAGTCTTGTCAGCCACTGGTTTGGCACCATTAGTGTGCTTGGAGAGCTGGCGCACAGTGTAAGCGTTGATCGGGAGATGGTAGATACCATCATAGTAAGTCATAGCTGTAGCCAGGACAGCATCAAGTTCGACTATATCCGCAATCGTAGACCGACGAGAGAGGCGAGATCGTGAAGAAGACCGAAAGTCGGTAGTCAGAAAGGACTTCTTGGCAGGGTATCCGGCGCACCCCATGCGCAACGACTTCTCAGACTCCTTGGCAGCGGGAGCGATCTCTGGGTCGCTGTCACTGCTGCTCTTAGAGTTCTCCGCTGGCTTACCAGCTGCCTTGATGTTGATAGGGTCGGAGCGAGCGAACAGGCCAGGACCAGCAGGTGGGTCAGCAACAGTGTCAGAGCCAAGCTCTTCCTCAAACTCACCATTATCTGTGGCGTTGTACAGAGTCATTGCCGCGAACATTCGGCCAGATTCAGACAACAAACGTCCTCGACCGCCGCGGATGAGAGGCCTCGCCAAAGCTTCATCGCGTTGAGCCTGCAGCTGGGCGCTGAGCAGCGAGTAGCCACCAGCTCGAGTAGAATCATCTTTCTTGTTGGCGTTGGTGTTCATCTTGCAGTAGTAGATGTGCACTAGTGTTTTATCAGCAAGTGGCTTCATTAGATGGCAGTTATTGTAGAGCACTCACCTGGAGGATATAATAGTCTTCAAGCACCGGTTGACACCTAGAAAGGCCTTGCGGTCGAATTAGCGTTGAATCTAAGTGGTAGAACGTGAACGCGGAACGAGGCAACAAAAGAGCTTGCAGCCAGAGAGGTAGAGAGGTAGAGAGAAAGAGAGAAGAGCTCTGGAGCGAGAAAAGTCTTCAAATATGAAGCCCACGGTGACTGACGATGCTTGGCAACCCCGTTGCTGGGGACTGCAAACGGGCGTCACCAAATCAACACCAAAGGCAACAGTCCGCATTGGGAAAGCGCGCTAGATTGAGCAAGATTCTGAAGACTCACCGGTGGTGAAGGGGAGTATCCATGGCCTTGGTGCTGTTGTAAACAGTGATGTGCAGTGAGCGCATCCAAGGGGTACAGCACTGGCACATGCTGTGACGGTAGTGTAGAGAATGCAGATCAGAAGCCATCCATGCGATCCATATACATTGGCACTCTCGACTCCTGCCAGAGACGAATACTGGGCGGACGCTCAAGCTCGTTTGAGTGTGACCTCTCACATACAAGGCGCGTCCAAGTAACGCGGAGGGAATGCATGGCAATCGTATCTCTTCCAACGCCTTCGTCCTACCGAGATGTGACGACGTGAAGTAGGTACTCCTGAAGCAGCTTGGACGTAGGGAGTACGTGGTGAATGCGACTACCCCCGGCATGGTGCAGCGGAGATAGGCTTTCACCTAGAAGTCCAACTTGGACGAGCCTTGGTGACCTGCGTAGAGATGGCGAGTGTGCTTGCTGTCAACACCCACCATCAAACATTGTAGTACTGCAGGAGAATGTTTCCCTCCGATCATAGACATGGCGGTCATGAAGAGGTGAGGTGAAGGGTAGACACGTGAAGCATCACGTTCAACGGCGAGTTTAGGGTAATTTAGCCGAGCTGCATACACGCCATGCTGCCGCGTGCGCTAACGGTGCGTCATTCAGCCTCGGAGATGCGGGGCACATGCCAGCTCTTTTGTCAGCCCCTCCATCGAACCATCTTTCTTCTCTTTGTTCAATTCGGATAAATAGCTGCGATCTTCTACCAGCATCAATTGAGCCTCGTGTTACCTACCCAATTGATCTGCTTCTACCCTGCAAAGTCACACTCGTAGCAGACAGAGCGAGCATTCTTGGATAGCCTTGGTAAGCTCCGAATCCCAATCCGAAAGCAATGTTTGAGTATCTGGAGAGCGCAGTTCGAATCCTCCGCTGCAAAAACCTTCGCGTCCGCATGATTGCTGCATCTTTTGCGCCTTATCCCGTTCCAGATCTCATCACGGCTCCAAATTCGTATAGTCGAACTAACGATCTTATCAAGTTCTTGGCTTACTGGTTCCACGCATCTCCGGACCACGCGCCTATCGAGCGCTGCTCACACCACCACACCTGTCTCCAGTTCAGTCTCCCACAGACCCACCCTCGTACGAACCACAATCGCCATCATGGTCACAGGCGCAAGAAGGACGCCGTCCCGAAAGGGTACGATCGCACTCTCCTACCCGAATACTGTCGCTATTAAAGCAGCGCAACATGGGAGTGATAAGCACAGGAGAGATAACGTCTGCGACAGGCTCCATGGCGGATATGCCCACGGATCTCAAGGACCAGATTGAGAAACTGGAGGAGCTGTTCGTCGTTCCTACAGCTAAGCTCAAGGAAATCTCGGAGCACTTCAAGAATGAGCTCGAGCAGGGGCTCACCACGGAAGGAGGCGATATCGTGAGTCGTGTTGGGTACGTCGTCGAACAGCCATGCTGACTGACAATACTAGCCTATGAATGCGACCTGGTGCATGGCCTTCCCCGACGGCAAGGAGCAGGGCACCTATCTTGCCCTCGACATGGGAGGCACCAACCTCCGAGTGTGTGAAGTTACCCTAACGGAAGAGGATGGCGAGTTTGACATTATACAATCTAAATACCGCATGCCCGAGGAGCTGAAGACGGGCACTGCAGACGAGCTCTGGGGTTACGTCGCCGACTGCCTGCAGCAATTCATCGAGTACCACCACCCCGACGAGGAGCTTGACGACCTTCCTCTTGGGTTCACTTTCTCATACCCAGCAACGCAAGACTACATCGACCACGGTGTCCTCCAGCGATGGACAAAGGGCTTCGACATCGATGGTGTCGAAGGCAAAGACGTGGTGCCACCCTTCCAGAAAGCGCTGGCCGAGCGCAACGTGCCCATCAAGCTCGTAGCTCTGGTCAACGACACAACCGGCACCATGATCGCCTCCGCGTACACCAACACGAAGATCCAGATCGGCTGCATATTCGGCACAGGCTGCAACGCCGCGTACATGGAAGAATGCGGCGAGATTCCCAAGCTCGCACACATGAAGCTCGACCCTAAACTGCCCATGGCCGTCAACTGTGAATGGGGCGCCTTCGACAACGGGCACAAGGTCCTCCCGCGCACACCCTACGACATCATCATCGACAAGGAGTCCCCTCGCCCAGGCCAGCAGACATTCGAGAAGATGGTCGCCGGCCTGTACCTCGGCGAAGTCTTCCGCCTCGTCCTCGTCGACCTGCACAAGGGCGACGCATGCCACATCTTCGAGGGCCAAGACATCAGCAAGCTCGAGAAGCCCTACTCGCTCGACGCCGGCTTCCTCTCCGCCATCGAAGAAGACCCCTTCGAGAACCTCAACGAGACGGGCGAGCTCATGGAGAAAACCCTAGGCATCACCTGCAACAAGCCCGAACTCGAGCTCCTGCGCCGCCTCGCAGAACTCATCGGCACCCGCGCCGCCCGCCTCACCGCTTGTGGTATCGCCGGTATCTGCATGCACAAGAAGTGGGCCCAGGTTCATGTCGGCGCCGACGGCTCCGTCTTCTCGAAGTACCCGCACTTCAAGATCCGCCAGGCGCAGGCACTCAAGGAGATCCTCGACTGGGAGCCCAAGTTCGGACGCGGCAAGGGCGACCCCGTTGAGGTGCTTCCTGCCGAGGATGGCTCCGGTGTGGGCGCGGCGCTGATTGCGGCGCTGACGGTTAAGCGTGTGCAGCAGGGTCAGCTGGCGGGTATTCAGGATACCGAGGCGCTGCTGAAGATGGTGCCTAAGAAGGGCTTGAAGGAGTGAGTAGACGGACGTACGATGGTGGGATTTAGAAAGTGAGGGGATTTTCCATGTCATAGAGTCATGTCCATACAGTCAGTCAGTCAGTCACCTTTTGTCGAATGTAAAGCGTATCCAACAATCCATTCCGCCGTCATCTTATCCAACGGTAATACCACACCTATATGTAAACGCCAAACACCCTCTAACCCCCCCGCTGTATAAACATCCCATCCCCACCCCTCAACCCTCAACCCTCACCCCCCCCCCCCCCCCCCTAACATCATACTCCACCCACCGTGCCCTCCCCTCCCGCCTCCCCCCCTCCCCACTCTCATCCAAACTCCCCGGATTCATAACCGTACACCCACAGTACTTCACCACAAACGCCGGCGCGCCCGCATCCGCAACAACAAGCGCAGTAGGCAGCGGATACAGCGTAAGCGCATGCGCATAATCCCAATGCAGCGGGCGCGCCGCGAGCGGAAAGGGCGAGAGATGCGCCTGCGAGAGCAGAGTGCGGGTTAATGCGCGAGCAGTCTGGGTATCCGTTGGCAGCTGGTGGGCTTGCGTAGGTGGTGTAGAAATGTCGGGATCGATGTCCATTTCCTCCCCACCACCTGCATCGTCGTCGGTGGGCTTATTAAACCGGATGCTAGTCCGCTGTAACCGCGCCGTCACGTCGTCGCGCAGAATAGCCAGTTCACCCTTCACGCCGAACCAGCTCAGCCGCGCGGGATTACTAGTCCACAGCACATCCCCCTCTTTCCCACGGGCCTTCCCAGGGCCCCAAACCTCGCGATTCGCCTCAGCGACAGCGCGGCGAATGCGGTTTGTAAACAGCGCTGGGACAGGTTTGCGGGGCAGCGGGGTAGCAGCGCCGGCGGAGAAAGCGCTGGGCCAGGCGTCGTTGTCGCCGGGGACGAAGATGAGTGTTGTGTGAGCGATGAGTTGTGGGAAGTCTGATAACACGGAGGCCAGGGCGTCGAAGTGCTCTTTGTATTCTATGCTGCCTGCGCGGGGGACGCCGGCGAGGCTAGCTTTGGAGCTGAAGTTCCCGATTAGGATGATGGCGAGGGGGTAGGCGGGGGGCGGGGCTGTTGGGGTAGCGGGGGAGTAGGTGCGGAGGAGGGTGCGGAGGGCGGCGAGGGTGGAGGGGATGTCGAGGTGGAGGTCTGATGCTATGACTACGTTGTGGGGGGTGTCGGCGTCGAGGAGCTTTGCGGCGATGCGGGACATGCGCGTGCCTGTTGCGCGGTGGGAGCCGACGCCCAGGAAGTCTGTCCAGCCGAATGCTGGGCCGGCGAGGCTGTTTTTATCGATTTCTTCGGCGCCGCCGAGCGTGGTTGTGCGGCGCTCGCAGGGGGGGTGGCCGACGGAGAAGGCGAGGAATTTGCCGCCGATGGTTCCGCCTATGCCTCCTTGGCCCCCGAGAGATGAGGATGCGCCGGCGGCGTAGTCCTCTTCGTAGCTGCCTTCTACTAGCACGATCATGCCGGGGGCGAAGTAGGCGCCGTTCTCTGGTATGGGGCGTGCATGCTGGATGTCTAGTGCTATTGTGCCTGTCAGGTCGGAGAGGGAGAGGGCGCCGGTTGCCGAGACAGTGAGCATGCCCAGTAGCAGATGTGTGCTTCCATTCCGGCCTAGCAGGTTGGCAATAGGGGTGATTGTGTTGGTTTGCGAGATGGCGACGGAGCCCGTGCGACTCAGTGTTGCGGAGCGAGTGGCCGAGAAGGTGGGTATTTGGAAGGTTTCGTTGCGAAGGACGCGCTGGTGGACGATGTGGTAGCGTTGGCGGAAGAGTTCAGTCTTGTGGGCGGGGCTGGGGAAGAGAGAGGGTTTCGAGGACGATCTAGGTCTGTTTAGCGAAGTCGATGCTGTAGTGAGCACGTGCAACTACTCACTTCTCATAGTGCTTCTGGGTGACGTTGTAGAGCAGCTTTGGCTGTTCAAATGCGCCGATGACCTTCAGCCACTCGCGAGGGTCCTTCAGCAGGTCTTCCTCTTCCTCTTTGTCTTCCACTTCCAGACTCGACATGCCAAAGCTCGACAAGGCGTCCAGCGGCGGTCGAGATGGCTGGCCATGTTGCTCTGGCCCAAAGTTGAAGCTGCTCTGCCTGCCCATGGTCGAGCCCTGTGCTATCCTCCCTCCAGCCATGGAACCCTCCAACGTCTTCAGTATGCTCTTCAGCGTCTCGCTCTCACCCTCGACAATCACCTGACCCCCGCTCTTCTTCCAGCTCTTGGCTACCTCTTCGAGCACCTTCTCCGCCAGACCCTCCTCCCGCCATCCCGAGCCGCAGTGCTTCCCAATGAAGCTCGCTAGTGCGTTGAGCGCAGACGATGTGAGGGTAAGGTTGTGTTTCTTGGTGAACGTGCGGAAAGCGAGTGGACGGAGGGTCGCCGGTGGGAGTAGCACAGGGAGAACGGTTGATTTAGGAGCAGGCCTCAGTGCGGGAGGGGCGCGTATTGGGGCTGTTCGGCGGGGATTGATGGGATGGACGGGCGTGCCGAAAGCGGGCGACGATGAGGGGATTGGGTTTGCCGGCACCGCAAAGGGCTTCTCTGGCCGTTTTGTTGTTGCCATTATAGAGGTGTGTATAGCCGGGGTTGAGCTGGAAGTAGTCCGCACGTCTAATTGAAATTCACGTCGCGTCGCGTCGAGTCGCGCCTTAGCGTGTCTGAGCTACTTTTCCACTCAACGGCCCGCCAACTTCACAACACCACACTCAATAAATCGAACACCCCTTGAACAACTTATCACAACAATCGCATACACAGCATCAATCGGCGAACCCTACTATCCACTGAAATACCTCACAATGGCCGACTTCCCTCTTGCGACCCTCGCCGAGGTGGACGAGCTGCCCAAGACGAAGGAGAAGCTCGAGGAGCTCACCCAAGCCGCATCGCTGCAGTATTCGCTCAAGAAATTTGCTGACGCCGCCGACCTCTACTCCAAAGCCGTCGAGATCCAGGCCGCTCTCAACGACGAGATGGCCCCCGAGAACGCCGAGCTACTCTTTTACTATGGACGCGCCTTGTACAAGGTGGCAGTTGCCAAGAGCGACGTACTGGGTAACAAGGTGGCCCAAGAAGACAAGAAGAAGTCCAAGACAAAAAAGGCGGCGAAAAAAGCAGGCGGCGAGGGGTCAAGCACAGCAGCAAAGGGCGACAAGACGGAGCAAAAGGACGAGTCGGTCGACACAAAGGCCTACTTCCAGCTCACTGGCGACGAGAACTGGACCGACTCCGAGGACGAGGATGATGAAGAGCAAGAAGGCGAGCAGGAAGAGGAGGAGGACGACTTCGGCAACGCCTATGAGACCTTTGAACTCGCCCGCGTCCTGTACTCGCGACAGCTGGATGCGCTAGAGCAAGAAAGCACCGCAGACAAGGGCAAAGGCAAAGCCGAGCTCACTCCACAAGCCCGCGCCATCAAAGAGAAGATTGCAGACTGCCACGGCTTCCTAGTCGAAATCTCGTTGGAGAACGAGCGCTTCCACGATGCTGTGTCTGACGCCCGCGCTTCTCTCGCGCTGCAAGAGGAGCTAAGTCCATTCGAGCACGAGAACGTCACAGAAAGCCACTACTCCCTATCCCTCGCCCTAGAATTCGCCTCCGTCTCAAAAGTCCGTGAGGACCAGACAGGTATCCAAAACGACTCTCCAGCAGACGCAGCACCGCCAGCAGACGACGAGAAAGACGTCATCGACTGGGATCTCCGCAAAGAAGCCGCCAAGCACACTGAGCTCGCCATCCAGAGTCTCGAGGCGCGGCTGCAGAAGGAAGAAGCTGCCCTGGCATCCGACACCTACACGCCAGAGCGCAAGAAGGAAATGACAGCCGTTATCGAGGACAAGAAGGGCATGTTGGAGGATCTGAAGACTCGTGTTGCAGATCTGAAGTCGGATCCGACGAAGGAACAGTATGATAGCCTTGATCCGACGGTCTTCCAGGGCCTTCTTGGCGGGTTGCTGGGTGCGGATGCCGCGACGCAGAAGGCGAAGCTTGCGGAGGCTACGAAGGGCGCGAATGATCTCACGGGGTTGGTTAAGACGAAGAAGAAGGCAAAGGCGCTTGCACCAGCGGCCTCGACGTCGGCAGATGCCGGGAGCAGCAAGAGGAAACTGGAAGTCGAGGATAGTAGTGCGGCTGGGAAACGAGCAAAGACCGAAGAGCCGCTGTAAACTATACATGCGTCGTTCGATTGGGCTTTTACAATATTAAGCTTGTACCTGTATTGCTGGATACCTCAAAAAGACCTGGCGTTGAAGGTTTGGATTGATAGTCCTCGACATGAGCGTGTTTTCCCTATTCTGTTCTCGCCGCAGACACAATCAAATCGGTTATGCTTTGTGCCCCGAGTATCTCCTCTCCTCTCATCTCCGTCCCTCCTCAGATATGCCATCGTGTCCAATGCGAACACACTCGACAACCATATCCAATCAAAACCCCCCATCCCACTCCATCCCCCCTTCAACCACACCACATCCTCTCCACCCACCCCAACCCCTCCCTCAACCACTCCTCCCCCTCCTCCCTCACCCCACCATCAAACCCATGCCCCATCCCCTCCCTAACCTCAAACCTCACCTCCCCACCCTCCAACCACACCCTACACTTCTCCACAAACGCGCGACTATCCCCCACACTAACCACCTGATCCGCACCCCCATGCACAATCCACGTCGGCGGGAGATACCCCCCCTCCTCCACCAAATACAGCGGCCACAACGCTCTATCCCCGCCGAAGAACTCTAAATACCGCCCGTAGGCAGACAGCGCATAGGAGAGGTGCATACGCGCAGGCGGGACCGCAGAGGAAATAACCGCACCCGGGACGATGGCGGCGATATGTTCATCGACCACCGCGGGCGGAGGCGAGGGCTTATCAAGCAGCATGGGCGTAGCTTCCCGCCGCAGGGAGTACGTCATCGGATACTGCGCCAGTATAGCTTTTACCCTCCCTTTTGGCTGCGTGAGCCCGGACATCAGGGCCAGGTACCCACCTGCGGAGTCCCCGGCCGCAAGGACGTGTTCGTAGTCCAACTCGATGCAGATATTCTGCGCCGCGAAAAATTCATCCACGCCGCCGTCGTGCAACCATGTCCAGAAATCGGCCAGATCTTCCAGGATCTGCGCGCCGGTGTGTTCTGGAACAAGGCGGTGGTTTGGCAAAACGGTGATGGCGGCGTTGCGGTGGATGAATGGGATGTAGAAGGCTGAGAGCCAGTGCGGGTGGAGACAGTCGCCTGTGGAGGACGGGATGTGTTGGTCTTCTTTTTTTTTTTGATGTGGGCTGGGAGGGGGCAGGGGAGGGGGACTTATCTTACTAGGCCGCCGCCGTGGAATTTTACGATTATGGGGTGCTTTTTTCTGGGGGGTAGGTTCTTGGGGATGAGGATCCCGACGGCGATGGCGTGGGTGTTGAGGTTTTTGTAGGTTGTGCGGTGGGTGGTGAAGCTGGAGAAGCGGGTTTCGGGTGTGGTGTCGTCGAGGGGGGCCATGCTTGTTTGGTTGGGTTGTTTGTTGTGAGAGGGATGATGTGGGACCTTCAAATGTGATTCTGGGTACAGTGTGAGGGAAAAGTTCGGCAGTTCCTTCGATCAGGCTGTTACACGGCACGCGCCTTCTTTGTACTACGCGAGAAAGATGACTCCAACTCTGAGGTATGATTGCAAGGCGAGATTCGAGAGCATTGGCTTGCTACCAACATGTACATGAACATGCCGGTATAGAGTGCAATACGACACCCTTGTGATCAGTGTGTAAATGAACTTGTAACGAGTATCACTGCACCTACTCAAACACCTTCATGTCAATCGATACTACTCATAAAACTGAAGAATACTCATTTACTACAACTCACTGATCACTTGAAGTCGGCCTCTGTCAATGAGTCTTCCGTCTTCTGTATTCTCTCCCACACTTCGCTCCACTTCTCCCACTCGCCCTCTGGCAGCTTTCCCTTGAGCGGCAATCTCCCGCCTTCCATTGTGCCGAATCCAGTGACACGCTTCACAGCCTCCTTGATGCCCACAATACCGTACTTGCCAATGAAGTTCTCCGCTGTGCTGACTGTGTACTGCAGCTCCTTGATCTTCTTCAGTGCCGCTTTGTCGAACTCCTCTCTTTCGGCGAGCTTCATCAGCGTGCATACAGTCTTCGGGTAGATAGCTGCCAGTCCGTCGATGACACCGGCCGCGTCGAAGATCACAATAGGACCTAATTGCTGGCCGAGACCGCTGTACACTTTGAACTTGCTGTGGTCTATTTGCGGGTCGAGGGATACTTGGTTGTGATAGGACACAATGGCGTGGGACATCTTGCAGCCCACGATATTGGGGTGTTGGGCGAGGACGCGGTAGTCTTCAGGCGTTACCATGACGTTGTTTGTTACGCCCGGGTAGTTGTATCTATCTTTCGTCAGCCGTATGTTTTCAGCAAAAACACCACCTTCCTCCATTCCTCGCACTCACATCAAAACAGGAAGCGGCGACCGATCCGCAACAACTTTGTACCATTCCCGAATACCCTCCTGCGACGCCGCAGCCCCAAAGTACCCCGGCGCAAGCACCAGCCCCCACTGCGCGCCAGCCTTCTTGAAGTCCTCGAGCCACTCTAGTGTCTCGTCCACGCTGTTGACTAGCGTCCCAGCCATGATGGGGTAGTCTGGGAACCCGGCATCATCCAACCCCTTGCGCACGCCGGACACCATGTCGAAGCGCTCTTGACGCGACATGTGGATCGCCTCACCGGTTGAGCCCAGCAGAACAAGACCACGGACGCCATTTTTGGCGAGGAACACACTATGCGCAATCTGAGTCTCGACGTCAACTGCGGCTTGGAGCGAGTTCGATTCGGAGGCCGCTTTGAAGAAGGTTGGGACGGGAACGAAGACACCGTTGGGAGGTGCGACTGTCATCTTGGCTTTTGGTTGTGGTGGTTCACTTTTGGGGTTTTTAAACTTCTCAACTCCTGGACTTCGTTCAAAACTGCAACAACGGCGCCTGGTCTACCTATTTATCAATTACTGTCGTTCGGGTCTAGTTCTCCCATTCTCCGAAGCTAGATGCCCCGCGGTGGAGGGCGGATGACCCCGCGGCCAATGTCGGTCGAATGAGGGGTTGGGATTCGCTCTCTCGGTCATGGTTCCGAGCGAAGATGATTACCAAAATGTCAGAAATGGCAAGGGAGAGGATTTAACGACCTACAGATCGTTGACAAACTAGACCGTTATATCCACCCGGAAATAGTCTCATCCTCCAGCTCTGTTACTTTCAGTCGCCGACATACATTTCCATCTCGATATTCCTTACACAATTCAATTGCAGAGCCCAATCTCTCAAAAGAGAGCTGGAAAGTATACAATCTACACACAAAAAATTTCGATCATGGGTAAGATAGCCAGTATTGAGTACTTTCGCGTACCACCACGATGGCTCTTCGTCAAGATCACAGACGAGCACGGCAATTCCGGTTGGGGTGAAGCTTCACTGGAAGGCCACACTCAAGCAGTCGAAGGATGCTTAGATGCCTGGGCAGAGAGATATGTTGGGTTTGAGGCTGAGTACGTATTGCAGTGACAACGCCAACCCACAGCCTCCCTACTGATGGGAGACAGTGAGATTGAGCACATCTGGCAAATGTCATGGCGAACTAGCTTCTACCGAGGCGGACCAGTGTTTATGAGTGCACTAGCAGGAATCGATATTGCACTTTGGGATCTCAAAGCGCGAAAGCTAGGCGTACCGATTTATCAGTTGCTCGGTGGGAAAGTGAGAGATAAGCTGAAAGTGTACGCTTGGATAGGCGGAGATCGGCCGGCTGATGTGTTGGTGCAAGCGTAGGTGCCCTCAACCCCTAGATTTCATAGTCTGATAGTTGCAGGCAAGCCAGGAAGGACCAAGGCTTCACGGCCGTGAAAATGAATGCCACAGAAGACGCCGCCTGGCTCGACTCTCCCTCCATCTTGCACTCAGCAGTCGAGCGACTGAAAACTGTAAAAGATCTCGGCATGGATGCAGGCATGGACTTTCACGGTCGCATCCACAAACCCATGGCCAAGCAGCTAGCCAAAGCCCTCGAGCCGCACCACCCCCTTTTCATTGAAGAGCCGCTCCTCTCAGAGCACATCGGCGGCATCAAAGCTTTGTCGCAAATCACCTCGTGTCCCATTGCTTTAGGCGAGAGGCTACACAGCCGCTGGGATGTCCGTCCCTTCCTCGAAGCAAACTGCGTCGACATCCTGCAACCAGATATCTCACACGTAGGCGGCATCTCAGAAATGAAACGTATTGCCTCCATGGCCGAGACATACGACGTCGCATTAGCACCGCACTGTCCATTGGGACCCATTGCGCTCGCTGCCTGTGTGCAAGTGGACTGTACGCTTGCGAATTTTGCGATCCAGGAGATGAGTTTGGGCATTCACTACAATGCCGGAAGTCAAGATTTGACGAGCTATACGAAGAATCCTGAAGTGTGGGACGTGAAGGAGGGGTATATCGAGCTGATGAAAGGCCCGGGTTTGGGGATTGAAGTCGATGAAGAGATGGTACGACGGTTGAGTAAAGACGCAAAGGCGTGGGTTAGCCCTGGGTTCATTGGACCTGGCGGAGAGGTTCGGGAGTGGTGAGATGTTTGATGGTTGGTGTTTTTGGCCATAACTTGCCCGTGTACTATCTGTCTAGTACCACCTGGTGACCAGGCCTTAGTACGACAATGTTTGAATAACGTGGGTACTGGCTCTGGAACTTCAGTCTTTTACCTCTTCTTGACACTCTAGACATATTGAGTCCCAAAGTCGATCCCCTATCTACAACCATCAAGATAACGTTTACTCCGAGGCCACTATGCATGCTAGAAGGCATATCTACACAGGTCATGGCCATAGCGGGTTCCGATAACGGCAGTTGTTCCTTTGTTGGTAAATTCTACGCTTGACTAATACTCTCATTTAGACATCGTAGTATGATTCTGATCGTCTTTTGCTGGTCATCCAAGGCTGGTGCATATAGGAAAGATGTTGAGCTAACTCAGATGCAGTATAGCTTTCGACATCCCCTCTTTATTTCCAAGGTCGGCCCTTGGTCTAAGACAGTCCACCGGGTATCGTGGGTGTTGTATACGTTCTAGTTTTCTAGTCCAGGCGTCTGGTGGCCTGACGCTGTCTAGCTCTGCGCAGTACCGTACCGCAAGGCTGAGCCACATATGAGCTGACCTCCAGAGCTTTTTAACCTCATAGCACCCGCCCTAAATCAGTAACAGTAATTTCTGGCTTTCCAAGCCCTTCATGACTTCTTCAAAGTCCATCAGCCTTCAGGTCCAATCAAATATCACCACGACGGCACCATTGAATGTACCAAACCTCCTGCGCCTACCGGATGAACTCCTCGTCCAGGTAGCACAAAGGAGCGATGAAACAGAACGACAGGCATCGCTATGCAACCTGTCGCTCGTGAACCGCCGCCTTTCAGCAGTTTTCAAAGAGGAGCTCTACTGCGCGCCCTCATTGAAGCCTGATCATGCGCACCAGCTAGTCGTACAACTACTCGACCAGCCCAGGCTCGCACAAAAGGTCACGAAACTGGAAATCCTCGACACTAGCCCGGAGAAAGTTCAAACTCGAGCATGGGATTGGGACCGTAAAGAGTGGAACGACGTGGAATTTCAGGGAGGAGACATCTTCAACCCATCCGACGCGACACTCAAACTAGCTTTCAAGTGTTGGGATGCGCTCTCGTCCCGTGGTATTGTCGATCATTCCTGGCGATGGATAGCTGGCCTCCAGGCCGGCGATTCCTATGCATACGTCTCGGTCCTTCTCGCCATTACGCCTAAACTCAAGCGTTTGACAGTTTCCAATCAGTACGCGAAGGCATTGGCGAAGCCGAGATTCACACTCCACGAGACGCTCGGCATCTCACTTCGACCATACATGGTCTATTCCCTAAACAAAATCGCTCCGAGTATCGAGGAGTTCCAACTAGCTCCAAATCCCTATGGACAACTCGGTCTCGTCGAACACAACGCCAGCGACATCGATTTCTGGAGCTTCAAGTCTTTGGATCTGAGGGGAATGACGTCCGTCAGACATCTCACCTTCCCGAGTTCTGCTCTAGGAGGGTTGTCGCAAATAGCGGGATTCGTATCGCCTAGGTTTCCACCGAACTTGCACAGCTTGCGGATTACAGATTGTCAGTTGATCGCGATTTGCTTCCTCAAGGCTTTCCTCTTCCGCGCCCCGCAGAGACACCCTCGTCTGAGGGTCATAGAAGCAGCGTTTCGGGAGGAGAGGATAGGGCTGGTGACCGGAAGTGAGAGCATGAATAGGGAGGCGGAGATGCAGATTGTGAGCAAAACGGCAAAGGCTCAGGGACTCAAGGTGCGCTGGAATTTTCAAGGGCGAAGTGTGACTTGGTGTGAGGACGTGTGATTGATATTGACTCGGAGGAAGTGTATGTTGCCGCGGGTGGATGTGGTGGGTTACGTGTCACAGGAAAGACAAATAAATCAGAAGGTTACCAGAAAACATCAGCTTTTCATGATGTGTCATACCCCGTCGTGAATACCCTCCCTTGTGCCTTCCCGATCGACCGAATCGAAATTAGGCAAGTCCTGACATACCGACACATGAAGTCCCAAGACATCCATATCCCCATCGCAAACCCGATGGTTCACCAAAGAACTATTTCTCAGCTCATGAACCCATAGGATGACCACTGGCTTACGAGTCCCAGAAGCACTGGAAGCTCCTGATGCGATCCTACACGAACACGTTAGGCCAACACACACTACTATCAACAAACCCAAAGAAACTCACATTCCAGTCCCACTGCCCAAGATGAGGGAACTCGCCTCGACCGGGCAGATACAAGCCAGCCCTAGAGTTGTCGCAGTTCTTGGTGCTACCACAATTAGTCTGATAGCTACGCTGATAGAGAAGATCCCCTGTCCACCCAAGGACTTACTCGTAGAAGAAACAGTAGTACGCCTGACCATCTCGGAAGTTTGGCGTACCGCGCGGGCAGTTCTTGAACTTGATGGACGATAGATCACCCCTACGGTATTGTTAGCCTTGAATCAATTTCTGTGGGGGATGGAGGACATACGTAGTCTCCCGACACGTATTCATGCTCTGGATGCAGCTTTGGTAGACACTTACGCGACCTCCGAATCGATTGTGTTCGTAGAAATGTAACTACTTATCGTCAACTTCAAGCGCTGATACGAACCTCACTGACTCACCATGCGACAGTATTCCTTGTCGTGCCCCCAGCAATCCTCGTCGTCGTTTGCAGATGCAACATCGCCGGTGTCGAAGGAAGTAGTGGACGTCGGCTCACGAGCAGCATATTGGAGTGACTGTTTGTCCTCATCTATGCCGGGCTCAGGAAGAATCACACCGCTGAGATTGACGAGTCCAGGAGTGCCGCTGAGCTCCAACATGGTGCCGTCAGTCTTGGTGAGGTTGAGGCTCAGCACCAACGTGGCCAAGGTGAGAAAGAAGAAGACAGTTCGCATGTTGAAGACAACGTTGTTGTGAGTAGCGAGCAAGAAGAGTGATGTAGTCAATGGTAGAAGTTTGTCAGCTTGCGCAGGGTAGGTGAAGCTCGACTTGGAGGTAGAAGAAGAAGAAGACTCAGAGTGTACGTTTGTCACGAATCTCACCTGCATAGAGGTAGTTGGCGGTGACAATACGGAGGTGGGTAAACGCGGGTCACTGTCGTTTGCTGGCGGAGTCTCACCGAGCCTTTACACAACGACACTAAATCTATCCTTTACATACGGGGATATTTCTATAAATGTCATGTCAACCAGATGTCGTTTTACAACACTGGGACAATAACTTCATGTGATATAAGCTCACTGTAGTCAGATCTCCGCAGTCTAGCTTTAAGAAACGGCGGATAAACATTTGCACATTAGCTTTGTTGCATTTCTCGCGCTGTAGCAGTCATTCAAGGGCTTGGTAGATATTTTGTCATTTACCGGGTTCAATATGGTTACATTGGAGAAAGGACATTGTGTATGCAATTTGATTCCTGAATAATCGAGGCGATATCCTTGATTGTAGAGTATATGACAAGAAATATTAAATCTCCATGTATGGATAGAGACCGTGCGAGACCGGAATACACGAAATCACATCAATGGGATCTTCAGATTTCGAGTCCACATAAAGTCGTATACAAGTGTTGCCCGAGTGTTCGCAAACACGCAACGCTCGACATAAAACGGCATCTACTACTTGTCGATACCCGACAATCTGTAGTCGAAAACGACAAACAAAGACGCATAGCCATGCGACTGAAGACGACGAATTGAAAGTTGAGTTGATCGATCAACAACTCATCCAGGATACCGAAACCCATAAACTCCTATCAGCCTATGAGACACATTTTGAAAGGTGCGACAACCTTGAAAACACACGCGCGCTCACATGATTTTCCGTCAACCTCAAATTGGCATCGCAGACACGGTTCGGGTATGGAACAAGGGAGGCCGACTTCATGAGGACTGAGCGTCGGGAAAACATATTAACAGCTTAGATATGAAACTGCAATACTTGGATGCAGAATGATAAGGCTTTGTCAAGCACGGGGATGTGTAAGAACTGAGTGCGGGACGCAAGATGGAAGGTGGAGGTGTGTCGGGTGATTAGCAACGTGGACGAGTTTATGTGTTACATTGAACGGAAGACAGGCGCCATATATCATAGAGGGAGTAGAACTTGACGAGAGGGTGAGAAGAGTAGCTACTTGAGAAACAACACGAACTGACCATAATAGATGATGAAGGGTTGGTAGTAGACAAGATTGACATCACGATGAACAAGGTAGACACCCAAAATGGTATGAGAGACGCAATTCATTAACTATCCACATATGTAGCCTTGAGTATCCCATCGCCTAAACAAAGACCACTACCAATCACCATTGACCCTGAATCGACATATGCCGAACTGGGTGCAAGATGACGAGGCAGAGATCGTAGCCAAGCAATTAAGCAAAAAGTTATGAACACAGACGAGAAAAAGTGACATTCATGACAAAAACTCCCCGATGTCTAGTAGCACATGCAGGTCATTTGAGTGAAATCTGAGTATGTTAGTTAGGTTGCGCGAAGAGGATGAAGCGAAACACATACCATTGACGGGAAACATCTACAACCTGGAGCCGTGGACAACCTTGTAGTCGACAGCCATCTCAAGACCATCGTCAGCGATGACAAGGATGCGAACGCTTCCACGGCCGCTGTCGAAGGACTCAGCAAGACGGGTGGAGAGACCGCTCTGGTCAAGGATGGGAAGACCCTGCTTGACGTCACCAGACTCGGTCATGGCAACAACGCGACCGTCTTCACGGATGTCAAGAACGCGGTACTGCTTGAAGACAGGGCCGAGCATGTTCTGGACAACAACCGAAGGAGCCGGGTTGGAGATGAAGCTGGACTCCTCATGGAGCTGCTTGGTGAAGAGATCAACACCGAGGTAACGGTGCTGACCGGTCTGGGAGGAGGTGGTGATGCGGATGACCTGGCAAGGGCGGCCCTGGAGGATCAGGAGATCGCCAATGCGGATGTGGTGGCAAGGGATGGTGATGGTGTTGGCGGAAGTCATCTTGGCGGCTGTTGCGGGAGAAGACGGGATGTGAGCGGAAGAAGTGTTGATACGAACGACGCTCTTAGTAGGAGCGGCGGATTGGACGGGGCGAGAAGCTACGGGAGCGCTTGCCTGAACGGGACGAGAGGAGACGGGAGCGCTGAACTGGATAGGTCGAGCGGGAAGAGGAGCGGCAGCTGACACGTGGGTGCGAGCGGAGACGTGGGTAGGAGCAGACACGTGAGTGTGAGCTGAGACGTGAGAGCGTGCGGGAGCAGGGGCAGGAGCACGGGCGGAATGAGATTCCTTGACGGTTACTTCCTCGCGGATGTCGTCGTACTTGGCAGCAGACGAAGAGTGTGCGTGAGAGTGTTCGTGGCGTTGAGGGTGGATGGGGTGGACGATACGTTCACCGACCTTGTGGGCTGCGTGCTTGATACCGGAGCGAAGAGAGTGATACTGTCCTTCGTGGTCGTAATATCCCATATCACGCTTAAACTTCTTGGGGGTGTCAACACTGGCACGAGCAGATTCTTCTACTCGAACCGATCCCTGGGTGGGGTAGCGACGATCGACTGAGTCAACGTGCTTCCTTTCGTAGGGGGTGTTGGTGTGATTGGCAGTGAAGGTCTCCTTGGAGTAACCGGAGGTTTGTTGTTGACGTTGGGGGGCGTGCGACGAGAAGTTGGTGTGACTTGCTTCGGCGACGATGGGACGAGTGTGTTTGCGAAACTGACTCTCAGTGAGATCGATCTGAGATGGTTGATTGTCTGAGGCAGGGCCGTGAACAGAATCGAAGTGACCGTCGAATGATCTACTCTTAACCTCGATGTGGGAGTGAGAAGGTTGGGGTTGGAGGCTGGAGGAGGAAGGAAGGTCAGCTTAAGCAAGGAAGAGGAGGTGAGGGAAAAGTGGAGAACGCGTGTCGCTCTGACAACAACAAAGGAATAGGGGTTAGCGCCAATTATGTGGCTTTCGGCCCGGCCTCCTTTGTTGTGATGGACCGTGCGTTGATGTGCTGTCAATAACATTGGCTAATGAATCGCGGACTTACCGATCCCTGGACTGGAATTCCAAGCGCCCGTGAGTCTGGTGGGTCTGTTCCTTCTGATGATTCTGCGGAATCTGCGGAATTCGCTCGAACTGGTGAGATTTCTGCTCAAACTGGTGCGACTTTTGCTCAAACTGGGGAGACTGCGGTGCCTGGGCCTGTTGGGTCGATGGAATTGGCACAAACTGGTGAGTCTGCTGGATCTTCTCAGTGTGCTGGGTCTGCGGAATCTGCTCGAAGTGCTCAGTCTGGTGAGTTTGGTGAGTTTGGTGAGTCTGTTGCGTCTGCTGAGTCTGGTGAACTTGGCGCTGCTCGGGCTTGATGTAGCGGGTTTGCTCGTGAATGTGAACCTCTTCACGGTGCTGGGGACGATGATGATGCTCCTCTTCGTGGACGTGAACCTCTTCTTTTACTTGGGTGTCGTGGTGCTGGGGGCGGTGGACAGTAGCAGTGAAAGACTCGTGGATCTCCTCGTGCTCCTCCTGTCCGTGTGAAGCTCGTTGGGGATGACGAGCTTCACCTTCTGCCCTCAGTCTATGCGACTCTTGAGTGGATTCCTGAGTGCCTGCGCTCCGATACGCAGACGGGAAGACACTGAAGGGGATCGGAACCTGATCAAACCATCAGCAACATTTTCTCACCTCACAGTTGCGCCATCACGTACTCGCGCTTCAAAATCCAGTTTGGCGGAGTTTGGTAGTTCCTTCTTGAATTACCTTCGAACTGTCCGAAAACAATTCGAAAGGAATCAAGAACGAAACTTCTTGGCTCCTTTGGGAGATTCTCACTTGGAGATTTGAAATGGGGAATTAAAATGCTCAAAGGTAGCCAGCTTGATGTTGGTTGACGTGCAGCAACGTTGACGATAGCGATAGCGGGGGTCGTGAGCAGTGGAGAGTTCGACTATGCTATCGAGGCGAGCAGAGGAGGGTCAAGAACACTGGACGGTTGGCTGGGGACTCTGGTGAGCAGCCGTGTCGCGGGTGCAGGGCTGGAGGTTGACCGGGGATCGCTCAGCGTTGTGACTAGCGTTGTTTACTTTGTCTCTAGCGCGAAGCATTGTCCCCTTTCGAGCTGTCCCCTCAGCGACGGCAATCTCGCGTCAGCCATGGCAACGCCTCATCTCCGCACCGAGGTATCCTGTGACGCGCCGTCAGGCATTCGCACGGCTGTTGGCCGGGCAATGGCTTCCCAAGTCGCGTCGCAACCACCAGTAATCAACTTCGGACGAGCTGTAGGGAGCTTCCCAGGCCAACCTGCAGCTGGACCGAACTCACTATTGCGAGTGGGTCGATTGAAACCGTCGTGGAGGGCCGCAATTGGAGCAGCGGCTCCGTCCTGCACTATCATGATGAACGAGGCATTTATTTCCAGCTGAGATCAACATTGTCGCACGAAAGCTCCCAGCCGCCTCCCAGCCTCCCAATTTCGGCGCGTCGTCACTGGTCGAAGCTATGCACGGAGCTAATGCAGGAGAAAACTCAATGGCAATCGGAGCTGGGGAGCTATGGAGCTTGGCGATCATCCAGACCCGCCCGCCTCTCGTACGCATGACGCCTCCAAGCCCGTCGCTCCATTTGTCCACCGGTCGCTAATGATTGCGTCGTCTTTGGCGCTGCTATGCATTGCCTGTTGCAGCAAAGCAAGGTCTCGATGCTCGCAAACCATGGTTCCCTGCCACCGTCATGCATTGTGGACTGCCCTCCATCTGACATGCATAATCATGCTTTGGCGTAAGTGGTCAGCTTCTGCATTCGTCAACATGTCGTGCGCGTCCAGCAACTGCAGCTGATTGAAGCATCCGTCCAATCCTCTCTTCCCCCAATCGCTATTTGGTGTTTTGCATGCATTAGCTTTCTCTCACTTCCAGCATATCTACGCTTTTACGTCCACTTTCTGAGACCGTGATGTATCTTTTTCCATCCCCCATCGATGCAATGACGAATGTGCCACCGAGATTATGTATGCATGTGAGATCAATCACAATAGTATGGTGAGAATGCCAGAAACGACACAAGTGAAGTAGTTTTATTACTATCATCAGACTCATTTTCATTCAACTATTCAAGGAAAACGTGGTCGCATGAACTAAGTATGTATACGCATTGCTAGGAGATTGTCAATTTCAGTATCTTATTTCACTTTTATTCGCTGTACCGAGCGTACGAGACACTACGTTGCTCGGGTCTGAGGGGAAAACGTCGCAACGATGAGACGGAAGAGTCTGGCCTTTTTCAGCATCTTCCAAAGGGTCATAGATCAGCAACACCAACTACACGCAATCTATCCCAAAGGTAACTGTTTGACACGATAAACGACTTGTACTTCCTTAGGATACCTAACGGCTCATGGTCGGATCAGATGCCATTTGGACCAGAACAGTTTCTTCAAACTCTGCCATTCTTGAACACTCACCCACAGATTTCCTTGTTATGTATTCCATCACAGCCTGTTCCATGTGGCTATTTCTCGCATGTCTGGGATTGAACAAACCAAGAACCAGGATAGGACATTCTTTCCCTACTTGGTCATGTGTAGTGGTTTCTACCAAACTAGAAGCGTCTACAGTCACACAGCACCGTTCATGAGTACCCTGAATTGACAATGTACCACGTTGAGCGCTGCTACTCAGCGATCTACACAAATTACAGAAAGATGCCCACCGTTTGTACAGTACCGTTCGACTTCTCATATTTCCAGGAACGCAGCTGCAGTTCAGTAAGAGCTAGTTGAGGCAACGACATATTCTCTGATATCACGATTCAGTAAACAACCTCGCAGTCGCACACCACTGCCCGCCGTCAACATTCTGAGGTGCATTTTATCTCTAAAGTCTGGAAGCAGCCTGTGGACTTCGAGATTCCATCTCCGGGTCCGTCAGGTACAGTGTGCACCATCGCACTCTGAGAGAGATGATCTCGTGTTTGCCATGTACTTCCGTGGCAAAGACATCGCCGTCGTCCCGCTTCCATTCCGGGTTTGGTGGAAGCTCGATACATCGCCTGCGGACAACGGGAGCCCTGATAGGAAACCCAACGCAAGACATGTTCCTCGCAGTCACCTAGTTCACATAATCTTCGGGCTTACAGATGGCAAAGCCATACCTCGCCACGGCGATCCAAAACTAAATCTCACACGTCGTTACGCCATTTAAATCACACGTCTCTTCTTTGAGCACCTACTCATATCCACCGCTTCGTTACGATTTCCCGTGTTTGTTCTTTCCAGGCCGCGACCCGGGTGCTTTGTGTGATGAAAATGCTCCAGAGTTTTCTCGCGGCAACCTGCATGTGCCAGATGTCAAATACCCACCGCTTCTCCTGAGATTTGTCTTTATACGCAGCTCTCTTTGCACTTGTAGAAATTGCTGAACACTCGATTACACTCACTACCAACATGCGTTTCTCATCTGCGGTGCTTCTTGCACCCTTATTTCTCGCTGTACTAGCAAGCGCCCGCTTTGTGATATATCTGGACGAGTAAGTCACTTCTTCTTGAGACGTATGGTCATCACTCATTAAGCTTCAGATGGCATCCAACACGCCCGACCGACCCCAAGGATCGTGCTGGCATCGACCATATCATCCTTGCTTTCGCTATGGCAAATAGCACTGCTACCTTCCAGCCCAAGGTCCCCATCTCCACGATCCGCTCTGAGTTCCCCAACGCCAAAGTGATGAGTATGTCTTGTATGTGAGAGTTACGAGTCAGATACTTACTGGTCCACGTCTAGTCGCGGTGGGTGGTTGGGGTGATGATCTCGGCTTCAACGAACTCTCCAAGACAGACGCTGGTATTCAAAGCTTTGCCGCTGATGTCGCCACCATGCTTGCAAACACTGGTGCTGATGGTGTTGGTACGTACCTAGCCCATGGCTATGACTTGATACAACCTGCTAACGAGTGTCAGATATCGACTGGGAGTACCCAGGTGGCAACGGAGCAGACTACAAGCAAGTCGCCAACTCGGCCAAAGTCTACCAGATCGATGCGTTTCCAAAACTTCTAGAAGCGACCCGTGCCGCCATCGGACCTGAGAAGCTTCTCTCAATTGCTGCACCAGGCAGACAAGGTAAGAACCCGCCCCTCCATTCTCCCATGAAGATCCAGTCTAACACCCACCAGAAGACATGATAGCCTACACCCCAACCACCAGTCCCAAAATCTGGCCCCACGTCGACTTCATAAACGTACGCACCCGCTCCCCTCCCTCCCTAACCACCCCCCAACCTAACCCCCACCCCAGGTAATGACCTACGACCTAACCAACCGCCGCTCCCCCACAACCCAACACCACACCTCCCTAACCTCCAGCACCTCAACAATAAAATCCTACCTAACCCTCGGCTTCCCCCCCACAAAACTAAACCTAGGCTTCGCCTTCTACGCGAAATACTTCACCGTCGCCAACCCACCCTCCTGCACCACAGCCCTGAACTGCCCTCTCGCCCCCGCCGAAGACCCCCAAACGGGCGCCGACCTCCTCACCTCCGGCGCCTGGACCTTCGAAAAAGCACACATGTCGCGCCCCGTCGCTACGCACCTCCTCCCCGAGTCGACCGACGGGACGTGCGGGCCCGACGCCGGTACGCGGTGTGGAGCGGGGTGCTGTTCGCAGTACGGTAGCTGCGGGACGAGCGTGCAGCACTGCAAGGGCGCGTGTTGGCATGCGTATGGCAGCGGGTGTGTGGATGTGGATGTTTCCGCGAGTTGGGGGGATGCGGTGGTGCGTGGGGTTACGGATGAGGGTGCTGGGGCGCAGTATTACTTCGACAGGGAGAGGGGGCTGTTTTGGACGTGGGATACTGTGGAGTTGGTGGGGAGGAAGTTTGAGGAGGTTGTTGGGCGGTTTGGACTTGGGGGGGTTATGGCGTGGAGTTTGGGGGAGGATAGTGCGGATTGGGGGAGGGTTGGACGGATGGCGTGGGAGTTGGAGAGGTGTCGTGGGGTGGGGGCTGGGGTTGTTGATGGGGATGGGGGGAATTATGGATCGACGTCGCTGCCCCAGACGTCGTCGACGATGCGACGTGTCCGCCGCCAACTCCCTGCCGTATAGTCCAATCCACCACCAACCCTGCAATGGAGTCTCGACACATCGATTGCTTTCCTCGGCTCGGATCCATAGCAACTCAGACATCCCGACAAACAGCAGATATACACATACGCAGCTCCAAACTATAGACGACAGAACACAGCATCACAATAACACAATATACTCCCCTCGCCCCCATCAGAGCTTTAGCACAAATCTTCAAATTAGCGTGAAGTGATAAGACATATACAAACACTCTAGAGCTCTGAGACAGTATTACTTATAACTCACAGTCGTAATATAGGAATAGATTTACAGGAAGGATCTTGTTTCGTTTCAATCCCTTCAGTTTCGTTTCGTTCCCACTCGTCCCCATCCGTTTCGATCCTTTCCTTTCCGTTCCGTCCCGTTCTGTCTCGTTTCAATCTGTGTCGATCTGTTTCGTTTCGTTTCGTTCCACTCCATCCCGCTCACTCCAACCCACTTCACCCCCCTCACTCCAACCCACCCACCTCCACTAACCCCCACATAAAAAAAAAGCACAGGCAGCAAGCACCTCAAGTCCACAAATCACATCCCTCCTTAGTTAAAAGAAAAACGAGGACCCAGATTCAAATTACACATTGACAACGTAGTATAGATAACGTGAATGGCATCTTCATGATGTGAAATTAATGCATTACTCCATCCGGGACCTTTTCAATAAGAAGGCAAGACATTGATCAAGTAAATCAAGTCTGTTCAGGTATGGTGATACATAAATACAGTAGTGAAAGCACATTACAGCATCCATAAAAGTCGAGCTTGGGGTTCGAATTCATCCAACACCATCCATCCATCCATCCATACACAATACTCCCCCAACACGCCTCAACCCCCACCCACCCCTCCAATCGATCATCAACACCCACCCTACGCCTTAACAGTGCTCTTCTTCATCCCCTTCCTCGCCTGCTTCTCCCTCTCCTTATCCAAAAACTTCCTCTGCTCCTCGGCGCTCAGTCTCCCGAGCTTAGCATCCCTCTGTTCCTTCTTCAGCTTATCAGCGGTCAGTTTCCTCTCCTCAGCCTTCTCCTCCTCGTCCAGCTTGCGGATCTTAGCAATCTGCTCGTCGCGCGTCTGCTTGATGCGGCGCAGGGCTTCGGGGCGAAAGTGCGCCGACGAGGCGAGGTGGTCGGGCATGCGGAGGAAGTACGAGAAGAGCGGGAGCGAGGCGGTGTAGGTGGGGGAGAGCTTGAGGGCGAGGCTGATGCGCTTGCGGGGCTTGGTTTCGTCGAGGCTGGGACGGGGTGGTTAGCGGGGGGGTAGGTGGATAAGGGGGTGGTGGGGGGACGTACTTCTTGGGCTGGTCCATGGGCTGGTCGCTGACGACGAGGGCTTCGAAGCTGTCGCCAGCTTCATTGACAGCCTTGATCAGCTCGGGCGTGAGGAGCAGGTCGGTGACCTCGGCGCTCTCGCTCATGACCGTCGTCCACACGGGGAGTTTGGCGTGGTCGCGCGTCGTGGTGAGAGACAGGTCGTAGCGCTCGTCACGCATCCGCTTCATGATATCCTTGTGCACGACGGCGAAGACGAAGCCGTCGAAAGTGCTGTTGGGGACCTTCTTCGCGTCGCTCCTGCCGTACGAGGGCGCGACCTTGGTCTCCTGGCCGTCGAAGACGTACGCGGTGGCCTCCATTCGCTCGATGGGCGGGGGGAAGCTCTCGAGGAACAGCGGGACGACGTACTCGCCGAGGAGCATGAAGGGGTTGTAGCGCTTCAGCATGGACAACTTGAAGTCGACAAAGGCAACGTTCTGGCGGCCGGATGCATATGTCTGGAACTCGTCCGACTTCTTCTCGCGAAGCAGGTTGTCCGGGTTGGTCGCCTCATCGATGGCCCTCTGCGTGATAATGGCATCGTCTGCGGGCGAGATCTCGGGACGCAGGTATCCGACCTGAGCGAACTCCTGCTGCAGGACAGGCGCGTGCGCGTTGATCCAGACCTTGGCCTTGTTGCGGTTCTTTTTGGTGCCCCAGAGGTGGACGAGGACAATGGCCAAGAGGAAGGGCAGCACATACATCTCCACCCTGAAGTCCTCCAGGGTCGTGCGCTCCCACACGCGGTACCATGCCGTGTAGGGACGCGCACCGACCGCGGTTGCCGTGGGCGCTATGGCCGGCGCAGTCGAGGTGAAAGGCGAGATGGCTGCAGGCGTGGGCTCAGGAGCGCCCGCATAGTCTGCGAAGTCTGGTGCTTGTCAGCGATGCTGCGACAGTGCGTCTGGGGTAGGCGGGCCGTGTGGTCGCATGCAGACGGAGAGTGACGTACCATCATCACCAGCAACTGGCACCTTCGCTGGCTTCTGTCCGCCGAACAAACCCTTGACAAAGTCGGCCATGTTGTCTGATCACCTCAATGGACGGTTGTGGTTGGGAACGCTTGAGGCCACGAACGAGGAGTTCGTGAGAGATCTCGGCTGTGACGTTTCCGCTAAGACCAATGTGGGGCACTACTTGGAGCTCGACATGTTTTCGACGAGCATGTTCGTGTTTCGAGATGACAGTGTGAGAGCTGCTTACTAGACATGGCTTCTCCACGTGCAAGATTAGGGTGGTGTGGTGTGGTGGGATAGTCACGTTGTGGGATGGGCGGGTCAAAGCTACTACAACATACACGACAAGGCTTCACGTATGCATTGCTGGATGCTTTCTGTTCAAATCAACAATGGAAGTTTCATCGTGGTATGCAAGCTCTGTTGACTGATTGTACACTAAGGTCGATGTTTGTCTTCCCATTCTGCTCTGTCCCGGATATCTTGAATTGCTTGCCCAACCTAGTTCTTGCCGAACCAAGTCTTGTGACCCTGGCCATCAAATTAGCTACGCTTTCTTATTTCTGTGGAAGAGCCAACTTACGAGGAAAATACGGGTCATCATGTACATGCTGGCACCGAAGCTGGTGAACAGAAGGGTCTGGTACATCGGAATCATGTACCTGCCGCGGGCCTGGAAAATGAACTATCAGCATGCGCCTTGGTGTTTTGCCGTTTGCCGTCCCATCTCTTTCTGCTCCCTCATTGCCCGACCCCCACGTCATATTCGCGACCACGGCTCACGCTCCTATGTCGAGACTACGCACCTTCTGCCAAGTCCTCAGACCATCATGCTTCTGGAACTCGCGCTGGTAGTGGGGAACCCTGTTCTCGCGGAAGACCCAGCTGCAGACTGTCAGTATCGAGCCGTGAGGGGGAATCCAAAGGAGCGCAGAGGCAGCCGTCGCGGGGCTTCCTGGAGCGCACGACAGCACGCGCAGCTGCAGCATAGACGTACCCTGCCATTTTGAAGAGTGGAGAGGTGTTTGAGGGGTTACGCGGGGGCAATGGGTGGTTTGGTGCGTGTGATGCTGGTGAGGTCGAATGATCCGACCAGACGTCGAGCGCCAAGGCCCTCACCCGCTTAGCCGTTTTGGGTCGCTTCAACTTTCGCATTGAGCTACCCACAGTGACACAGACGGAAAGCGTGGTTGCTATCGCCAATGGAACACTTCACTGCCCGCCTGCCTTGTTGATGCCACCGGCCCTGGACAGGCTCCTCGCCAGCCCGTCTGCCCTGCGACTCCTGCGCTCCATTGTCAATGCTCGCGAGCTTCCTGCACCATGTTCGACGGCCGCCAATTGTTGCCATTCGATAGCCTCTCGCCGCAGATACTCGACTGCTGGAAAGCCCCAGGCAACGCGGAAGTGGAGACGATGGAAGGACACGGCGGGAGACATTGTCCATCGCGAGAAAGTGCTGCAGTTCCTCGAAGACGACGATGACGTCTCGGGGAAAGACCCAAGAGGCAGTCGGGACGGTAAAGAGGAGGCATTGTGGGCTGCATACGTCGCCCACCAGGAGAGGCTCCGTGGACTGCAGGGGATTCGCTCAGTATGGAGTGCTCGTCGTGTCCAGGCCTACCGTCTGCCCACCACCGACACCACCGACGCAGAGATCCTGTGGGGGACCTTCATCAAGCACCCAGAGCTGGTCGTGGACGTCATAGACCATGCAGCCGACCTGCTGAAGGAGACGGGCCAGACTTACCCTCGCCTGTACGAGCTGGTCATGGGCTACTGGCTTCCACGCAGACAGCCCGCTGCCCTCGACTACCACCACCACATGTTGGTGACGCTGAATTTGAGGAAGCTCCCACTGCAAACCCTGGCGCGTCGAGGAGCGTCTCACCTCACGCCCTCGGCCTACGACGCGCTGATGCACATATACCGCCAGAGCAATGAGCGCAATCTCTACGACGACGTAGTGCCGCCGCTCATCGACAAGGGCCGCATCGCCATGGCCCGTCGATGGCACAGTCTGTGCGTCGTCAGGGACGACCTCCCCTCCGCAGCCGTCGCTTTACATCCTGTCGTGCAGATATTCACTGCCGAAGCATCTGTCATATCCAATCCTAGACCCCTTGCCGAGACCATGGATGCCCCGCAAAGATCGAAACGAAGAAAACCCAGCTACGACGAGGATCTTATGCGCCGGCTTCAAGGTCGTGACACGGCGCCCGTACGCTTTGAAGACGCGTTCTGTGCTCGCATGTTTGCCACCAGGGCCATTCCGCCCGATTCGATCATAAAGGGGCTTGCCATGGTGGGGGTGAATGAGATCGGGCCTCAGGCAGTGCTTGCCATGGCGGCTCGAACAGAACCGATCATGGACCTGCCACGGAGATTTGAGGAACTCCGAGCGGCAGGCATCGCACTCCAGGGGAGTGTGTTCATTCTAGCTATAGAGAAGTTTGCTATGGAGCAGAAGTGGGATCTGGTGCGCAGCATGCTCATCAGCGACCAGCATCCCGACGTCTTTGGGAACGCAGATGTCCAGCGGAAGTTGCTCAACTACTACCTCGACCAGGAGGATTACGTACAAGCTCATCGCACTCTCGCGGTTCTTACGTTATTTCACAAAGACCCTAATCACGAAGCGTGGAACTTGCTGTTGCAGATTTACACCCAACGCTCCGGGCCACATCGCATCGTGACAACCCTTCAGGATATGCGTGCTCAGCGCGTCATACTCACAACTGAATCCATCGTAGCCATCAAGAGCCTACTGCGACCGCGGCAGCGTGGCCACAAACCAGGCGTATCAACCAGGGGCGGCTTCGACGACTTGCGCTTCGTTTCCCGTGTCTTCATGACCATCCTCGAGGCCGGCATGGCGCCCATTTCACCCGCCTCATGGCGCGAGATCATCCGTCGCTTTGGCATGTCTGGACGATTCAGAGAACTCAGACGCCTCTTACTCTGGCTCGTCTGCTGGTACGCACCACGAAGCAACACGCAATTCTCCAACCTACCCAAATCCCCCTTCCTCGATACAGCGACCGCAAAACTGCGCACCGCCTTCCCCGAACCAAACTACTACTTCCACTTCCCCGGATCCACCCCGCAACAACTATCCGAACTCCACCCCATCCGACAACTCCTCCGCCCATCCCTACTACAAGGCCTCATCATCTGGGGCTTCAAAGCAGGACTCCTACCAAACGCGCATCTCGAACAGTCCATCCTCGGCCCCACCCTAGCGAAAAAACACTACCGCCACCGCCTCCTCAAAAACCACACCCTCAACCGTCTCCACTGGAGTGAGGGGCTCAGAACGGTCGTCCAGCTCCGCGACCTGGGCGTAAAAGTCTGGCGCCATAACGTCATCAAAGCCCTACAAGCACAGCTCATCGTCATGTTCGGCCGCGGCCACTCCAAACGGAGAGAGAACCGCGTCATGGAAAAAGTCAACCACAGACCGTACCTGACCTACGTCAGGGAAATCAACGCAACATGGGGCGCCAGCTTGTTCCGCGAGCCCCAGCTTCTCGGCACGAGCAGGCTGCATACGGGGATGTGGCATCCGCGGCTGCGCAGGAGGTTTGCGAAGCCGAGTGTGAGTCTGGTGGAGATGCTGGGCAGGGACTGGCAGCGCGGCGGCGAGGATGTGGCGGTTGGGCAGGGCGGTGGGGAGGGGGGTGGTGATGCGCTGGAGGAGCTGCAGAGCGCGTTTGCGGCGCAGGAGAAGGCGAGAAATCCGGATTTTAGGTCGGCGTTGGCGCGTGGGGTGACGAGTAAGGAGGATAGCGGGGGGCATGGGCCGGTGCGCGCTGTTAATGTTAGGTCACTGACAACGTGACTGTTTGTCGATGGAATACACACACGGACTATTTAAGTTTTGCCGTGCTGTATATCGTTGCCTGGTGCTTCTCCTCTCTTCTCTCCTCTCTTCTGCACTGCAGTATCATTTATACCTCATAGAATCAAAATCAAAAACAAAAACACAAGGAAATGTTTTCGATGCTTCCCCCCCCCAAAACCCAATCATCGCAACCTCATATCGTTTCGCCAAAACACTTTTCTCGATGTTCTCATGTGGAGCGGACGGCGTCGAGTCGGTATCAGTCGAATTTCCCGTCCACGTCAACCTCAATCTTCTCTTCCGCACATACTCTGAAAATCTTTCGACACTCTCTGTCTATTCCGTGAAAATCAAGTAAAAAAACATACGCCGACTCGTTTGCATGTCCTTCCTCCTCCGCTGCTGTGTCGACATCCACTAAAAACATATCTCAGGCTATATTGCTCCGCCCAAAAGCCTCATCTCAATGGTCTATGGAGGGCACACTTCGTCGTGTTAAGAGTGTTTCGTTGTGTGCATTCCTCTCAACTTCTGTCATTATTCTGCGAAAATTCATCGCCCAAGACTCTCCCGTAAAGAAAATCAAAAGCACACCGATTAATGCTTCTCTCTCTCGGCGTCCTCGGCGTCCGTAAAATTGGATTTGCTACTCTCATGCCATCCCACCAAACCACCTCCCTCGAGAGAGTGCACTCGATTATTAGCATCAGCATCAGCACTAAAGTTTTTCCACCTCAACTCCCAGTCTTCTTCCTACACTTTCTACCCCCATCACATCATTTTCAAAGGAAACAAAAATCCCATGCATAGGCTGCATGTCTCTCCTTCGCTTCTGGCTCAGTACGTCGTTTGCGCCGAAACCTACCTATCCTGGATCTGTGCTGTCCCTGCGAAAAGCACAATCTTTTTTGGTTTTTGGTGTGGGAGTTGTTACATGTCCTGAAAATCCATCTTTTTGAACAAAAGAACGACGAAGATCGACAATGTGGTCTGCTCTGTTCTTCTCCGCACAATCCAAAACCGAGACTGAAGCTGAAAATGAAACTCGAAAACTTCACAGGGCTCAACACATGGCTTCTCTCTTGTGTTCTGCTTCACTTTGTGTTTGTAGGACGAGCTTGGGAACTTTCTCTCTCTTCCATCCTGTTAATCCGGCCCCTAAAAAAAGCATTTGTCAAGTCTCTATGTTGTTTTCCGCTGAAATGGGTATAATTGACTACTCATGTTGTCTTCCTGTTTCTCTGTTCTCTGGATCGATATCTAAAACAACGGCGATCTTGACCATGTCTGGTCTGCATCACGATTCTCGCATACATGGTCGGAATAACGTTGGTTGAAAACAGGTATTACACCAACGTATGTGGCGGTCTACTTTCGTTACTATACTATCATATGGTATCCTACCTTCTATCTATCTCCTTGGAACTGAAAACAAAGATAGATAAATTCCATGTCCATCTCTCTCCTGCCATGGCACTAAGACTCACTATCCAAAACTCAGGCCATGCCGTGTTAAGAACCTGCTGCCTCTTATCGGTTCATTATTTTACCTCAATCTCTGTGTTTTCTACACATATTCCGAAACTCTATGTACCTAAAAACCTAGCCAAGAGAAACCATGTTCTCTGCTCTGCTCTCCTTTCCTACACTACACTACACTACACTACACTACACTACACTACACTACACTACACTACACTACACTACACTACACTACACTACACTACACTACACTACACTACACTACACTACAATACACTACATAAAAACAACCCCTCGAAAATTTCATGAGACTGGACATATATTCCTCCTCCCCTCATTCTGCCATATTCCTACCTGTGCAGGACGATCTTGATGATTCTCGCCTCTTATTTTAGTAATCTGCTCTTTAAAAAAGATTGATGGATGAGATATGTTTGTTTCCTCTTAGGGAATAGTCAGAAGTTATTCATGTCTCTCCTCCCTCCTCCTATTCTGGTGATCTGCTCTCCAAAGAATATTCGAAGATGTTCCATGTTTGTGTCCTCCTGGAGACTAGTCGGAAGCTAATCATGTCCTCCTTCCTCCTCCGTCTTTCCCTATTTAGATTTAAAGATCCAAATGCACTGAAAACTTTTATACGACATGCCATCAGCGAGTTTGATCCATAAAGAAAAAGCGATTGCAAAAGTCAATGTGGCGGTCTGCTTTGCTTTCGTTACTTCTCTACTCTACTGTTGTGTCCGCGTGGAATGAAACGACCCAAAACTAACAGAGGATAAGTTAGATGTCTGTCCTCTGGCTTCTCTTCAAAACGCGTTACCTACGACACATGGCCTGCCTTTCTAGCCCACGAAAACACCAAAACACTGCTGTTTTGTTATTTAGATGAAGACCTCGGTGTATAAGTTTATAAATCCCTCCTATATCAACCCAATCTCAGCTATTCTGTACTCTCCACATCCCCCAAACCCTTATCTTTCCAATAAACGAACAGAAAGAACTTATGTTCCTCCCCTCTCCTCTTCTTCTCTCTTCTCCGCACTCCCTAAAACCAAAACACTGAAAGGTATATGGGTCTGCACACATACCCCTCCTCCCCCCTACTCCGTCCTCACCCTTATACCGCTCAACAAAAGTCTTCTTCAGTGTTTTTATACTGCAGTTACTACTTCCCTTCCTCGAAAAAAAAAAGAGAAAGGCTTCTATGTTGTGCTCCACCTGAAACCGAAGGTGAAATGGACCATGTCCTCTCCTCCGCTGTATTCCAAGCATCTGACATGGATGTTGTGCTCCACCTGAAACCGAAGGTGAAGTGAACCATGTCCTCCGCTCTACTCTACTCTACTCTATCATATTCTCGGTACTCGATATTTACACCACCCCAATCTTTTCTGTCCAAAAAAAAAACAGCACGAAGAACTCATGCTGTCTCCTCTTCTCTTCTCCTCACAAAAAAAAAGGCCCAGGCGCAAAGCAAATGTCGTCTTCTCCAAAGACGACAGGCAAAAGCTTCATGTTGTCTTTTTCTTTGAAATCACTAGACGGACTGGTGATGGTGTCTTTCCCTCGTCCTCCTTTCTATCCAGACCCGGAGAAACGATTAGTAAAATCCATGTTCTGTATGGTGTATGTCTCCACTCACACAGTCAGACCAGTAGTAAATCTACCAAAAAAAAACAGCAAAAAAATGGAATATGGTGTTCTGCTCTGCCCCCTTCGAAAACGAGTGTGTAACAGATGATATGTGTGTTCGGAGAATCAGATTGTAATTAGGATTAGGTTAGAATAAGCTGTACACTCCTAAAAAGGAGATGATAAGATAAAGATAAGGATAAACTGATGGAGCAAAATTCGGAACGACAAAGGTCCATGGTGTGTGTGTTGTGCCTTCCTCTCCTCTTTTTTTATTTTGTCTACATGATGATGTATATGAACAACACAACACAAAAGACAACTCCAAAATAACACATGCGCAATACCCGTCCAGCAGTGTAGATCTAACTCCAAACATCCGTCCTTTCCTCTTCCACCTGCAGCTGCATAGACCACAGTGCTTGTTAGTTTTCATGCGTGTTTTTGTTGGGGAGGGAAGACAGCGTGATGGGACGGGTGAGGATGGGATGGGATGAACAGACACGTCCCATGTTTATGTGCCCATCCACATACCAGGGAGAACACAAAAGTAAGTGAAAACAGCAACAGATGAGGATAAAAGATATGCATTCCAACCTATTCCCCGCCTCTCTGTTCCATCCCATCCCATCCCACCCCAAGACGAACACGCCTCCAACAAAAACGCCAAAACACGCCCCCCACAAACCTACCGTTCAAACTCCAAAACATGCCCACTAACCCTCCTCTTCCCACTCCCATCCACACTTCCCCCCACACTCCCCTGCGCAGGAAGCAGACTCCTCTCCGGCACATCCCCCTTCATACCATCCACGCCCGCCGTCTCCGCGCCATCAAGCAGATCCGCATCCGCCCCCTCCCCCTCCTCATCCTGCTCCTGCTCCTCGCCCCCCCTCCCCTGCCCCTCAAGCTCCCTCTGCGCCTCATCATACCTCCGCCTAACCTCAACAGCAACCCTCATCCCATCACTAACAATATTATCCAGCATGCCCCTAAGCCCCTTACCCGGGGGCACAACGCCCACGCCCGCGCCGCCCACCGCGCCGACGCCGACGTCAGCCCCCGCGCTCTTGTTCGCCATACTAGCAAACGTTGTGAGGTGGCTGGGCGGCAGCGATTCGTCTGCGAGCCGGAAGCTGGACGAGAAGCCTACTTCGAAGAAGTGTTCTAGGACTTCGTCTGCGAGGATTACCATGCGGAAGGTGGGGAGGGTGATGTGGAGGGGTTTGTTTGGGTCGAGGGCGAGGTTTGCGGCTTTTGCTTTTTCGGTGCGGTGTGGGGGTTTGGAGGGGGTGGGCGTGGGCGTGGTGGTGGGTTTGGGCTTGTCGCCAAAGTCGATGAGGTCTTCTTCTTCTTCGGATTCTTCCTCGGATTCTTCATCTGATTCTTCATCTTCGTCCTCGTCGTCTTCATCTTCGTCTTCGTCGTCTTCATCCTCATCCTCGTCTTCATCGCCAATGGCAAAGTTATCGAGTTGTTCGGTGGCCTGGGCGACCGCGCGACTATCCTGATTCGACGGATGATCCGGATCAGCGTACTCGAAACATCGACGAATAAAAGCAGACACACTGCTCAAAAACTGCTCGTCGCGATTGACACGCTCAGGACTAGCACCTGCGCCTACATCAGTGGTGGAGCTAGCCGGGCTGAAGTCATGAACGCCTCTCCTCGACAAGAACAGCAGAGCCTCTGAAATCCGGAGTATACCCTCGCGGTCCACCCTGCCATCGCCGTCGTCGTCGTACAGCTCGAAGAAGTAGCTGATGTTGGACATGATGTCTTTTGTGCCTTTGACGTGCGCGAAACCTGCAACAACGTTTTGCAACGACAGTGAGTCGGTCATGTCCGTGTCCCAGCGCCGGAACAGGCGTTTCAAGAACTCGTGGTCTGCTGGTTCGGGACCAAAGCCCCACGGCGACATTGGCGGGCGGTTTCGCATGCTGTTGCCGAAATACGAGTGGGGTGATTGGCTGCCATTGGCGTCCCGTTGTGTGGTTGGAGAGTCGGTGATGGCCCATTTGGTGATTCCTAAACTTCGTGTTAGACAGATGCAAAGATTACGACTCTGCATATGATGATGACCTACCGGCTAAAAACTCCCTGAAAGCATCGTAGTCCATCTGCGTTGGACTCAGCCCGACCGCGACTCTCCCCTTCTCCGTGCTGTACCCAGCCACCATCTCCGACGCCTTAGTCTTGCTAGCCTTCGCTTTTCTCTCCAATTCTTGCTGCATAATCTCCGCCCTCTGCTGTCTTTCGTACAGGATAGCGTAGAACCTGTCGTACAAGAAGCCGAGATCGTTGACGCTCAATTTCTTGCTCTCTGGGCCCAGGTTTCGTATCGATGTGCGTTTGGCGAAGTTTTCAATGTTCTCGAGAACAGCGTCTTTGTGCTTCGCCCGTTGCTCCGAGATGGTGTTTTGCGTGATGCCCGCAAACTCCTTGAACGCAACAACCATGAGCTCCTGGAAGCGCGTGACGGCGCGCAGCTTTGGATTCTCAGACTTGGGATGGGCGGACTCGTCGAGTCTTGCAAAGTAGCCCTTCAGCACGGAGATGAAGGAGCCGTCGTCGGAAGCGTCGAGCAGCTCCTCGCCGTTGATGCGGAGAATGGCTAGGCCGATTTGGAAGAGGACCTTGGGGCCCTCGAGGAAGAAGACGTCTAGAACACGGAATGCAAAAATGAGAGGCATCGAGTTGATGTACAGCGAAAGGAACCAAGGGAGGGAGACGACCGACAACTGCACGTCCGACTTGACCAGGTGGTCCCAGAGGATGGGCATAGTCTTCTCGGTAAGCGACTCAAACACCTTCTGGTCCAGCAGGGTGCCGTACATGGTGGTCGAGTAGTATCCGGGCAGGAGGCGGTCACACAGCACAGAGAGCAGGAAGAAGGCCTGCGACTCGGACATGTATCTTGTGTCGTTAGAGTGGGAAAGGCGACGATTGAGGAATGTACATACATCAGCAGTGCGGCAACAACAATGTTCATGGCCTGGCAGTAGCCGACCTCCTCGTTTGTCCAACTGTAGGCCGTCAAGACCCTCCGCAGACGCCCAATGCCCTCCTCGCTCTGGAAGCCGGGGTACTCTGGCAGGCTCCTGTTCAGGTCCTTCTCGATCTCGTCGATGGCCAGCGACTCGCGCCCCGAGTACTTGGCGAGCGTCTCGGTGTAGAGGTTGGGGTTCTGCAGGCGCAGGAAGAAGGCGCCCGACGTCAGCTCCCACATCTCGCCGCGCAACCGGTTGGGCAGGCCGACGCGGATGAGCTTGTGGAAGGTGGGCTGGCGGATGAGCGTGGCGCTGCGGCCGTTGTCTGCGGCTTGTCAGCGCGGGGTCGTCATGGGTGGGCAGGGAGACGGCGCACCTTTGAGATACTCGCGCCACAGGCGGATCTTGGTCGCGTCCCGCAGCTTGCGTGCGTTGCCCGGGTACCTGAAGAGGATGCCCAGGCCGGTGTCCGGGTGCTCCCTCTCCGGCCTGCCCTCGACGTGCGTCTTCCTATCGCTGGCGTCGTCGAGCAGGTACTCGGTGTAGCACTGGGCGACGACGCGGCGCAGGTTGTCGACCTCCTTGACGCCCTCGCGCAGGCCCTTCTTCAGGGCGTCGCAGAAGCGCTCGCACACCTGGCGCGAGCCGGCCAGCTGGATGGTCAGCTTCTGGCCGGCGGGGGCCTGCGTCTTCGAGTCCGGCACGCCGTTCCAGGTCGTGATGGCCAGGGCGAACATGTAGCTCTGGCTGTGCAGGCGCTCGACGCGGCGGATCCCGCACAGCGGCAGGGTGAAGCCATTGCCTGCCGGCCCCGCGCCGTGCGTCTGGCCGGTGAAGCTGCTCGACGAGCTCAGGCTGGCCGTGTTGACGAAGCTCGAGCCCTGCGTCGAGAAGCACAGGTACTGCTCGCTGAGGTGCAGCTTGCCCACATAGTGCGTGCCCGGGCTGCGCTCCTTGTCCCTCTCCTTCTCCTTGTCGGGCCCCGAGCCCGTCGCGTCGCCGGCGCCCCTCGTCGAATGGTGGGGCTGGAGGGTGAGCTCGGCCGTGATCTCCTGCAGCGGGCTCTGCGAGTCGGGCAGCCGGAACTGGTGGCGGAAGAGCGTCGCCTTGCTCGGCCTGCTGCGGTCCGTCGGCGTTGCCGGGCCCGCAATGTTGGTGAGCGTCGGCTCGATGAATTGCTGCGCCTTCTGCACCAGGTTCGAGAGGTTGAACATGGCGTCGGGCCGCCTGGGGAGCTGCCGCGGGAGACGAGGCGAGACGGGGTCTAGGTGGCAGGCGCGTTGGATTTGTGCCTCATGGCGCGTGGAGAAATGTCGTTAGCAATGCCCGCGCCGAATCCATCGTGCCCTCGCGCTGATCTCATCCATGGTCCGGTTCAGCCCTGGAGACGCACGGCCGACTTGCACCCCCGACGTGATTGGCTTTGGCACACTTCAATCATAGTAGATAGTAAGGGTCCCAGTCTTCGATAGAATATGAAAACACTGAAGCTACGATTCTTCACATCACATTGCGATACATGCAATTGCTTACTGCAGATGAGATGTATCCATAAAAAAAGGGATTCGTTCAGGAACACTACTCATACAGTCTGGTAGTTCGCTACTCATAATTTTGTTTGTCCCACCAACTTGGACGCGTCTCGAGATTGCTCTCAGCACCATACAGCCTCTACCCTCTTTACACTACCACTCAAGTGCAAAGTCTCAAGTGCAAGTGTAAGCTCCGTCAACCCTCAGGTCAGCACCCTGTCATCTTGTCAGTTCACGAACAACCAAACATGGCACTGTACTCACTGTCACATAGAGACTGGCATCACTGGACAGAAACGTGACCGCGCCCATCAAGTCCTCAGGACGTCCCATCTTGCCAACTGGAATCAACGACGTCCACTGCTTCTGGAGCTCTGGGTTGTCGTCGAGGATCTTCTTGGTTCTGTGGACAGTCAGTACTGCAATCTACCATATCCATCAGGTACTCACAGCGCCGTCAGCATGTATCCAGGAGAGATGCAGTTGACGCGGATACCCGCCGAAGCCCACTCAACCGCCAGACTAGACGCCAGATGGCGGACGGCAGCCTTCGCCGCGTTGTAAGGAGCCTGGGGCTGCGGAACGTTCACAATCGACCCAGACATGCTGCCAATCATGACAATGCTTCCTGGTGCCTTCCTTCCCATGAGGTGCTTCGCCACGGCGACAGCATACATGTACGTGCCGTCGACATTCACGCCCCAGAGCTTTTGCATGCGGTCGTGCGGGTATGAGATGGCATCGTAGTTCTCCGTGAAGCCAGCAGACGTGACTAAGTTGTCGATCTTGCCGTGTGCTTTCAGGATCTCGGCAACTGACTGATCGACTGATGTAGGGCTCGAGACGTCGCAGAAGTGCGCTGTGACCTTGGGAAGCCTGCACGTCGTGTCAGTGTTGCCTTGGTTGTCATATCGTCACACTTACTTCTCTGATCCAGGATTCTCCTGTTTGAAGATATCAATCAGCCCCTTGGCCGACCTTGCACCTTCCTCCTTGTTCATGTCCACAATGGCGACATCGGCACCTGAAGTGACCAGCGCCTGCGCCATGACCAATCCCAAGCCTCGAGCTCCTCCAGTCACGACCGCCACCCTGCCCTCCATCGAGAATGTGGCCAGCGTTCGCTTGGCGTGGACACCTCCTCGGCCTACCACAGGGTTCGACGGAGGGAGGTCCTTCTCCTCGGGGTACTCTACGATAATGCCTGAGCTTGTTCGTGCATACTGGCCCTCGTGGTCACCGCTCTGCCCAGGCTGGCCTGAGGTGGTCGCAGCATCAACATCGTCATCAGAGGAGCTCTTTTCGAGACGAACGGGCGCAGATGTGAACCGTCGAATAGAGGAAACAGCCGGCTGTGTGCGAGGGGCTGTTCGTGAAGCTTGTGTTGTGGCTGCACGCGCGACCTGGCGGAGTAGCTGTGACTTGAACATAGTTGCGGTGTGAAGGCTGATCCTAAATTGAGATAAAATCGCAATGTCAGGGTAATGGAACGGTTTGACAAGATTGGCAGAGGCAGTCAAAGATTGAAGAGAGTGAGTAAAGAATAATGAATTATTTATTACGTTCAAAGCTCTACGCCTTCCCAAGCAGCTCCCCCACGCGCATCGTTCCCCCTGCAGTCATCGTACGTCATGTTACTACACCGAGCTCATAATCAGCACCACGCCTCCCACTACGGCCTCCACGTTGGCTTGTTCACCTCAACATCTCCTCTTTTATTACACGTTGTCGCCCCTGAATGCTCCACCCCACGATCGTTGTGGAGTGACGCCTTGACCAAATTCCCAAGGAGTGCAGCCTGAACGGGGCATTTGACTCCGAGATCTGCATACATTGCATCGGCTCCACCACTGGAGATTATTCCAGGGCCCATCCCTCGACGACTGCATATCGTCCATTCTTATCAACAGTATGCACAGTTCTTTTGATGCACAGTTCTTTTTAACCCCACGTCTGGCGTTTGCAACTCTTTTCGAGTGGCCTTTACATGACGATTGGCGCAAAACAATCCCAGAAACGCTGACGGTCGCATTCTAGTACAATCACCAGTCTCACCATGTTGCAGCTGTACCTCCTCACGTTTAATTGCGCGCGCGAACTCGTCGACCCCCAATCCCTCGCGCCTTCTTTCTTCGATGCCCTCCCCAAAGCAGCCCCGCTACCTGACGTCGTCGCCATCTCCCTGCAAGAAATCGCGCCCATCGCTTACTCGTTTCTCGGTGGATCGTACCTGAAGCCGTACTTGGACCGCCTCACAACAACCGTCCAGCTTGCCGCAGACCTGCACAGCCATGGCAGCGAACAGCTCCAACACGTCGCGACCCGGAGTCTGGGCATGACGGGCCTCATGATCTTCGCAAAGCCAAAGTTCGTAGAGAGAATACAATGGATACAGTCGGCAGGAGCTGGCGTGGGGCTCTGGAACATGGGCAACAAAGGCGCGATCGCGATGCGCATTGGGGTGGCATGCGCCGGCTACGACGACACACTGGATCTCAGCTTCGCTGCAGCCCACCTCGCTCCCTCAGAAAACAATGTGGATGCCAGAAACAAAGACTGGGAGAACCTCGTAAGGAACTTGGTCTTCGTCAGTGGTGACGAGTCGTCATACAGCTCCAGCGAAAGGGGGCGGATGCTCCCGCCTTCCACAGAGTCACCCAAGGGCCAAAGTGGCCTCTTCACTGCGGGCAACCACGTGTTCTTCTATGGCGACCTGAACTACCGCACACACGATACCGGTCCAGATCCAGAGACCCACAAGACTTTCCCACAGCCATCAATGCCTGAGTCGTCGCCCAAACATTTCTCACGCTTGCTGGAGAGGGATCAGTTGACACGAGAGAAGGAAGCCAATCGCACACTACATGGCCTAGAAGAACTTCCTATCTACTTCCCGCCCACCTACAAATATGCTATGCCAGACGACAAGACTGCCAACGGTCTCCAGCGCTCACTCGCCGAGGCCGAAGAGGAATGGAAGTGGTCGAAACACCGCTACCCATCCTGGTGCGACAGAATCCTCTTTCTGCCTTCTCACCCATCCGCAAAGCTCGAGCCGCAGGTCTACACATCTTTACCTGTACAGCCGACTTCGGATCACCGCCCGGTGGCTCTGTCGTTGCGAGTTGACGACCGTCCTGTTCCAAGGGACACGACGGATGTTCGCTCCAGTCCTCCCTATCCCCTCAACCCACGATGGGAGTCTCGGCAGGCCGCTGGCCGACAGTGCGAGGTCATCGTCGGCGTCCTCTCCTATCTCGCTCTGACCAAGAAGGGCAACGCTGCACTCCTTGCCGTAATTGCTATGATCATGGGTAGTCTCTGGTTGGCGGCGTCGTTTAGAACATGATGAAATAGCATTCCTCCAGACAACTGAAATCCGATCTGATATTTCCACCGCAAACCACGTGATCTCACCCGACGCCCCGTCCGAGCCGTTCGGTTAGCTTGATGGACACGGTACCTACCCCGCGTACCCGTATGAATGGGGCTCGGGCATCCGCGGCCCAGTTCCGACGCCAACACCATACTCCGAACTTCAGGACACAGGTACAACATGCGCAGGCGCCTTCTGTATCCTTCAATGACTCTGCGATCTGAAGATGCTCCGGTCGGTCTTGAATCGCTCTTTGAAAAGGCCCCAGCTATTCTATAGGGCGCGTCGGGATCTCACAACTCAAGCTCAAGCTATCTGCATAGGGCCAACCGAGGTGCGTGCACGAGCTGTGGAATGAAATTGGTGATATCTAACACATGCGACAGCCGCCGCTACTGGAGCAGACGATTCCAGAGAACTTTGCGGAGATTGTGAAGAAGTATGGAGACCGTAACGCGTGAGTTCAGTGCATGTTAGAAAATGTCGCGTAACTGACACTGTGGCAGCGTGATCTCCCATCACCAGCGGATTACCCTGACATACGATGCGCTCGACCGCGACTCGAACACCGTCGCTCGGGGGCTGCAGAAACTCGGAGTGAAGAAGGGCGATCGGGTGGCCGTGTCATTGGGGAACAATGTCGAGTTCGGCACAGTATGGTACAATGCGATTAAAGCTTGTAGGAAGAGTGCTAATGGGTGGTGTAGCTAACGTATGCCCTCTTCAAACTCGGAGCGATCCTGGTAAGTTGTTCGTTGCGCTCCATTGTTCTCTACACAACTGACAAGTATCACACAGGTGCCTCTGAACCCAACCTTCAACGCGCCGCAAGTTCTCTCTGCGCTCAACCACCTCTCTGCCACACACCTGATTATTGGCGCCGAAACCAATCGTCCGCGCAAAGACCCAACTTCCAACGTTTCTCTTTTGAACCACCTCGTGCCAGACCTCGCTAGCCCGACCCTCCAATCTGAACTCGCGCCATCACTACAAAGGATTATCGTCGTGGAGAACTCGCAGGGGAGGGTGGATATATCAGGCCATAAAAGTCTTTTGCGATATGAGAATGTGTTCGAAGATGGCGAATACGGAACTGCGTTGGAGGATCAGGGCCTTGATGCGAACGAGATTGTCAACATTCAGTTCACGTCAGGCACCACGAGTACGCCAAAGGCTGCGTGTTTGACTCACCGCGGCATCTTGAACAACGGGCGGAGCATTGGCGACCGAATGCTGTTGACAGCAGACGACACGGTGTGCTCTCCACCTCCGCTATTCCAGTGAGAAACCACTCTAGCTTTGTTCATGGGAGGAAAAGCTAACAGCGTCGCAGCTGCTTCGGAAGCGTCTTAGGTTACATGGCCACAGCAACACACGGCTCAGCCATCGTCTGGCCAAAGGAAGCATACGACGCGAAAGCAACCCTCGAAGCAGTCCGCGACCACAAATGCACAGCCCTCTACGGCGTCCCCACCATGTTCGTCGCAGAGCTAGAACTGCTAGGCCACGGCGCAGTCCCCAAAGACGGCTTCCAATACCTCCGAACCGGCATCGCCTCAGGCTCCCCCGTCCCCATAGAGCTAATGCGCAAACTACACAAAGAGCTCAACCTCACCGACCTAACCATCTGCTACGGCATGACAGAAACAAGCCCCGTCTCCACAATGACAACAACAACCGACCCCATATCCAAACGCGTCGAAACAGTCGGCAAAGTCCTCCCCCACGTCACCATCAAAGTCGTCGACCCCGCAGACCCGTCCCGCACGCTCAACATCAACGAACGCGGCGAACTCGCCGTCTCAGGTTACAACGTCATGAAAGGCTACTGGGCCGACGAAGCACGCTCAAGCCAGGCCCTCGTCGCGGACGACAACGGCGTCTTGTGGATGCACACCGGCGACGAAGCGTCGATTGACGACGACGGATACGTTCGCATCACAGGCCGCATCAAAGACCTCATCATCAAAGGCGGCGAGAATATTCACCCCGCTGAAGTAGAAAATTGCCTGTTCTCGCACCCCGCTGTCGCGGAGATCAGCGTCGTTGGCCTCCCTGATGAGCGCTATGGGGAGGTCGTCGCGGCGTTTGTTGTCCCGCATGAGGGTGCTGAGGGGGTTGTGTCCGCGGAGGAGATTCGTGAGTGGGTTGGGGTGAAGTTGAGTCATCATTTGGGTATGTTGCTATGCTTTTGGTGTGAGGGGTTGGATACTGATAGGCTGGTAGTTCCGAAGTATGTGTTTTGGGTGGATACGCATCCTAAGACGGCGAGTGGGAAGATTCAGAAGTTTAGGCTTAGGGAGGTGGGGATTGGGTTGTTGGGGGAGGGGAAGGGGTTGGAATAGTGTGTTGGTTTGGGGTGGTATGGTTTGATGGGTCGCGGGCTGAGAAGGGGGTATATGGGTAGATGTATGCTGATTGTTATGCACGATGGTGTGTAACATAAGCGTGGGAACTCCTGCGTGTTGTCGTGGTTGTTGTTGTCGGTCGTCGACAGAATAAAATGGATATGGAAATGGACACGGGAACGGAACGGGAACGTGTATCCACACATATATTCCCAGCCATGTCCAGACCTGATCCCCCTTCAAACCCAGCCATTTTATCCCTTACTCTCCTCTTCCCGTTCTGTTCACAAGTAACACACCTCCCTTCCCTTCCCAGTCCTGTGAGCTGTCATGCACATCCGACCCAAGTACGATACAGTTGGATACAGGATCTTCCCCACCGTATACAACACAACGTATCCATACATATTCCTTCTCTCATAAACATCAGCTTGGATTACATCACAATCCACGCGTTGTATACCGCTGCATCTCAATCTCAATCTCACAGCGTTCACTTTACTTTTCGCCGATTCGCGCGGGATTCGGACTGGGTGGTAAGCAAGAGGTAGGTAGGTAGGTGGTGCATGATGCGTGTAAAGGGCTACCTTTCTAAACGCCCTGATCTGATGTAGACTAGTCCGGGGGATTTATGTCCGTCTACCATCCTGCACAGACAGAAAAGGGTACAATGGTAAGTCGTTGGTAAGTCAAAGTGGGATGCTGGACTCTGGGTATACACAGCACTGCACTAGAGGATCGGTGTAGTGTGGGTAGGTGTATATGTCCTTCTCGCCTTGATTGTGTGGCTACGTAGCTATGTGTGGTCTGGTGTTCAGTCCGGTTCAACTTGGCTCGAGGGCTGGGTTGGGGTGCAGTGAGTAGGTGGGTAGGTAGGTAGGTAGGTAGGTAAGAAAGTGCTTGTGCGTATAGTAGGCTGGTTGTTCGGGGGATATGCTTTGGATTGTATTGGATTGTATTGGGTGTACCCGTTTTATGCAGGTTTGATGGCGTGGAGGAGGAATGAGTTGTTTGATATTTGATTGTCTGTGGGGTGTTGTTGAGCTGCTTTTGGGTATTGAGGGTTGGAGGGATGGGGGCTTTGGATGGGATGTTTGGTGTGTGGGGAGGTGTTGAGGGGAGAAGGTAGTGAGTGGAAGGGGGAAGACGACATGGATGTTTTCGCTGTCCGGTCTCGCGAATAGTGATGGTATGTATACTAGAAAATGTCGGTCGTAGTGGAGGACCGCTTGTGTTAGTTTTTGGAGGTGTGTACTCACTGAGATGATTGTACTGTGTGAGAGTTGGCTAATACAAGAGACTTTGTAAGAGAACACGTCCTTGACTGGGCTTTCTGATGGAGAGTTGTGTTTTATTGTAGCCGCGTTCGAATTGGCACATGACGGTACGATCGTTGATGCTCTCGTGTATGTTGACTCTGCTCATGCCAATTGTGGACTTCATTAGAAGTCTCCGGGTATATGTGTAGGGGTTTTAATCTGCGTCCGCGTATTTACAGATGTCCTCTATTGTTGGGTACGCTCCGGGCCATAACAGTAATGATGGCAGACATTGTTGAAATATCAACGCACGATAAGAAAGAGAGTTACTACCTGGTCTTCATCGGCAAGTGTCTAGTCGTGGGGGCCGAGGTATTTCCGAGTAACGGAACGTTCGGGGCACCTTGGAGTCGCCTCTTTCTATCTCCGCGAAGTTCCCGTGTTGTGTTGTGTTATTCGCCTCAGTGATCTACTCGTACTGACGTAAGCCATCAAGATAACAAAAAATCATAGAAGTCAACAGAGTGACGATGGGGGTCAATAACGCATAATCCGTAGTGATCGATCGTTGATCCGTCTGCACACTTGACCGATGGGAAGGAACTTTGCTCCAACAGACCAATCTGCTGGAAGAGCTGAGAAGTACCTGTAATTGGATAGAATTTGAGTGAACTTGCTTTGTGGGAGGGAAGACGTGACGTTCCCTCGCAAAAACAATTCAGTCAACACCGTGTTTACTACCTTGGGTAGGGCTTACTCGTTTCATAACACAGTGTGCTCTTCGTCGGAAAGTCGTTTTGGAGGCCGTTGACATGGTCAACGTCATCATAGCTGTTTCCACAAAAGATTGGCACCACGCGTCGTCCCGTTGTTGATCTTCTTAGTGCTCTGCTCTCTGTCGATCAATCCGCGCGGTGATCATGGCCATGGACCCGTAAAAAGATTTCCAAGCTCCATCTCTTTACATACGGTCGGAGTTTCGCAGGCTTCTAGAACAATGGCTGTTGACACATGTAAGGCGTGGGTCTGCCAAACACCCTTAACATTTGCCCGAGCAGAAACTAGAAACCTAAAGATAGCGGGGCCGAGCGATCCGCAAACGTCGATGCAAAGCCTTATTGACCTAGATACGCGGATATCCGGACCAAATATGACGGAGAGTCGGGGCGATTGTAGTGGAAACCCGAAGAGAATACTCACGGGCATCGAAGGTTAATACGGAGGGAGTCGGTGCTCGAGCAAAAAGACAATTTGAGCGAGGCTTTTCGAAAAAGACCAGATGAAACACAAATGAACCCTGGGTGATCTGAGCAGATAACCTGCTCCAACCCTCAAATTTTAATGAGGATCAGGTAACAACGTACGATGGCTTGGCTAATTCAAACGCTCATGCGTAGGCTAGTAAGCACCGCGTCATGTGAATGCCAACAACCGAGCTGTAGGTCTGTGCATGTGGCTTGTGTGGCTCCAAGTCGCGTTCTCGGGCCGCTTCTATGTCCGTGTGCGCTGTGGACATGAAAACATTCCGAGCGAAACATCAGCGGTTGCTCTGGTTACTTTTATTCTTCGTAATTGTATCATCGTCATATTAGAGATATTGCGCAGTGTGATCAAGTTCGACTTCTCTACAATGGTGCCATTTGTTCAGATCAAGTACGCAATCCGTGTACAACTAGAGAACTGGGATAATGCGGCCAGGTAGCGTGCAAGGTTTTGCCGGCAATTAGGTACAAAGAATATACCACAAGGGTCCACCAAAGGTGCATGCGAGTTGACTTACCCTGAGTACCTACCACAGCCAAAGGGCACGGGCCGGTGAACGTTCAGGGTCTTGGTCAGCGACCGCCTCATCCTCGCGATCTGGACAGCCCCTTCATTTTTACTTGACAATCAACCCCTTTTGAGACAATATGAGCTCAGGTCTTCCTTCATTTCCGTCCTTAATTTCACTCACACGACACCAGCCCTGTGGGCAATCTTCCCATTGCATACGTTGCTTGTCGGCATTTGGTTCCACACTCATCCAATCACGAGCATACCTGCAGCTGGTCACGCCTTGCATACGACCAAGGCACGCCGACAGACACCAACGCTATCTTGACTAAGGAGGTTTTACAACCTTAGCGAAAGCTAGTACCTTGTCTTCCTTGGTTCCAGCCTACATCATCGGGCATCTCGGATTCCATGGAGCATATATTGTAACGTCTGCCCTCGTTTCAATAACTGCCACAACTACCAAGCCTATCATCAAGTCTACGAACATCACGTCTACAATCTTCAAGCCTACCTACTCTCATACGCTTTCAAAACACGACCAAAGAACTGAACATCACCAAGCCCACCTCAACTCAAAGACAAACAAAACCCTCTCACAATGTTCTCCTGCGTCAACTACGAGCGCGGATGCCGTGGCCGTTGCAACAGCACAAGCGGTCGATGCGATAGCTGTGTAACTCTCAAACTTCAATCGATCCGCGGAAACAACAACTCGTCCACATCATCAGTCAACCGGTCAGCAGCAGCATACTCGGCCATGACGTCCTCTTTCGCTTCGCTATCACAACTCCGTACCGCTGCAACAAGGGCTCAATGACCGAGCTGCCGATATTACCACCAATCTTATCGACCACGACATTAAACGACTTTCTTGAATTTTAGCGACCGGTGTTTGGAGAATTAAGCAGGATTATCATTTGGTTCATAATTGCCCCTATCAACATCTAGGGGTTTTGGGCTACATTTACACAAGGAGTTTGCTTTGGTCTGTACTATATACCACTTCGCTATTTGAATGCAATCAACGCAGGCGTTTAGACTGCATTGTATCACTGCATGTTGTACCAATAGTTTTGAGACAAAAGGCGTCATAGAAGGCAGAGGGGACGCCCCCCAAGATACAATATCCATCCATTTACAATCACTCTGCTCCACAAACCCTGTTTCTCTGCCTTACTCGTGCGAAAATCTAGACCAAGTTTCCCCACCTCTGGTGTTTGCGATGTTGTCTGCAATAGGTATCTCGCCGTGAATCATGATAAGGTTTCACCGAGCTGCAGCAACAAGAGAACATGCAAGTCGAAGATCATCGTCGTGTCATACTTACAACCTTAGACAGTCTCAGAGCTTCTGCGAACAGGTCGTGTAACATGCCTCTGTATTGACGCAAGCAGCCCTCTGACCCAAACACTAATGCCACCGTAAAAACCCCATCCCCATCCTCAGAGTCAACCCTCCACGGCATCCTGCGCACATCCTGTGCACATCCCCCGGCACTTAGCACGCGCAAAATAAGCAGTCAGCGGGTCCAAATCTCCGCAATCTACAAAATCCTTCTCCCCAATTTTCATATGAAATCCCCACCTCAGGGCCTAGAAGTCGCGATCCACACAGCCGTTTGCGATGACGCTGCTAATTCATGATCCAGACACGGAGCCCGCGCGTCTTGATCATAGACCGATCGAGACTTTACACTAGCATCGACGGCAAGCGATCACTGGGCAAACGTTGGCGCCTCTGCAATATGACGATGTGGCGTTCTAGACACGAGGCCGAAAATAGCGATCCTGAACAGAACTCATACCTAACTGTGCATCGCGAAGCGTAGTGAAGCCGAGGATATCTTGGATTTTGCCGGCGACTTGATTTGGCAGGTGGTTTTTGCTGAGGAGAACGGTGTTTCTGTATGCCGTTTTCCCTGCTGCCAAGTGCGGGTCGATCTTGAATGCTGGGGAAGCTGACACTCTGGCATGATCAACGACCACACAAGGAATTACCGATGTAACGGTCGCAAACACTAGATACTCGTTTCTTGGGCAAGAGTAACACACTTGCAGAGGTAGTCGCGCTTGTGTCATTTAGGTAGAGTTTTTGTGTCTCTGTCGAAAACCCTTCCAGGCTACATTTCGTGCCTCGGTACGCTTCCGTCCGAAACGTCTTTAAGTCCTGACTCGGTTTTAATTTGCGACAAGATGACAACGGTCTTCAAGCTTGCATTGACGGACGGATGTGCGGATCCTGGCCAGAATTTTGTAACTTAGTCAGACGTGATTTTGGGTCAACCTCCCCTTCACTTTTCTTTGTGAGCGAATACTCTTCCTACAGAGGCCACCTAGTAGTACCTCACGAACACCCATAAATGCACTATTACCAAGCTGGTTCCACTAACAAGGCATAATCATTGCAACCCCAGTTCCCACAGAGCAAACTCACAACCTCGGGAGTTAGGAGTTAACGCAAGAGATACATGAACTATCATCATCATCTTGATAAGGAAAAAATACTACTCCATAGCAGATACACACTCCAACACTAGCACTTACACGCGTATACAATTACTCTGCCTTCCACGGAGCGCACTCCGTTTCATCATGATATCACTCCTCCACCAATGATCCAAGTATCCGCATTGTTCCTAAAACGTATACCGAGGCTCTCTGGCTAGCATATTCCACTAGCTCAATAGATACGATGGCATTCAACAAATACCATGCCTACTGTGACGCGGTTTCGGAACGCCCGGTAGACTAGCTTGCGGGAGGGAACGCGTTCATGAGGCTATGTGTAGTGACGCGTGTGAGAGGAAGTGCGCGCGCGCCTTTCTGGGCTGAGTGCGGGGCTTTGTTCGTTGGTGTTTGTGGCTTGACTTGGTAGTGACTGAATCCAGTGACGGATATAGAAGGTAATCATGGTTTGGAATAGTTCACGGATATACCAAAAGTCTGGACTCCTTCCTGCGAACTTGGGACTCAATGTAACCTGAGTATCCTCGGCTCCCGTCGGTCGATTCTAACATGAGCCCCGTGCCCGTCAGCTAGGCCGCACTGTTGATCGGATTTACGAACGTTCGTGGTGGTGGTGAGTCACCATTGATGAATAATGTAGAAACTATTCGACTTTCTGATCATTCCCTCTATTCGACTCTCCGGTAACAATATCAGAAAACCCATTAGGGTTGAAGCACATCACCATTTATCGCCAGGTCATCTAACGGCGTACAAACCTAACTTATTATAGTGACTCACTTACTGCAATGTTTTTGTAGCTCAAGTGAGACCATACGTACGAAAGCTTGTCTTTCATACTTGAACTTGGTCTCATCGCAGAGAGTTTCATGGGTATCGTTGAAATTTTGATAGGTTGAAACAGTTGTTTCGCAATATGGAGTGCCGCCTTGTAGCCTTCAGCTGTGTAAGCTCTGACGTCTGAACAACGACTGTGAGGCAAAATCTATGAACCTCGTCCTTTGTAACACATCAAGACTGGGTCACGAACCTGCTATTGTCGAAACAACCTTGTGGGTCATGTCGGCTAGTGAGGCGTAGAGGGTTCTGCCCCCGTCGGCATCATCCCTCTATGACTGTCGATTCATATCTTCCAGATTTTTGTCTAGCTATGCTGCGCACCATGAATATCAGCCGCTTGCTACCGGGACGAAGGCTGACCTGCCTCGGCGGTACACCTCTGCAAACAATAGTGGCTGGACCATTGTATATATCGAAAACTTCATTCGCATTTGCATACAATCCGTAGGCCATGCAGAGTCGTATCTGGTCTGACGGACTTTCGGTAACGATGAGGTCTCTTGCACATACTAACAAGCTGGCCCACGTCGAGTGTCTCTTCTGATTATCCTACTTGTTATCGTATTCACTGACGCTGTTCTGCTTCGTTCTGGAACGCGCGGTTGCACCGAAACTTGGACAAGCGAATCATGCGAAAAGCAACGCTCAGTGATATTATCCAAAGTTCACAGACTGAAGATGTAGCTCGGGAAGCGGATGAATACATGATCAATCCAACGCAGCCGTCGAAATTGAAGGTGCGTTTCCAGATGGTTTATGGGGGTTGCAAGGAGAGCACATCACCGCTCGTTCGAGTCGACTGCCTGCACCCAGTCTACGTATTGAAAACTCATACACAAGATCGCATGATAGACTCGAGTATTCCCCTTGGACAGTTGTTTTCAGAGTTTATTCATATATCTTACATGAGAAACCCACAAGGTTGTTCCCCCAAATTCAGATAAGATGAGTTTTTCTCACGCCTAAATAACCAAATTGGCCTAATAGAATCCTCAATTTCACACGTAGAAACTACGCGCCATTTTCAAACGTCGCCACTCCTCGACTCAACATGCTCAAGCCTGTCGGTCTCCCAAAACGGCCTCTCCTTCTTCCTCGACCCGCCCGTCAAAGCAGCCGTCAGCCCACAAGGATCAAGAAACGTCATGAACCACGGCATATCGTCCTTCCATCCCGGGCCCTTCAACTCCGTATATCCGTCTTGCGCAAGGTAAACATGATAATCCTGAGGCAGGTAACGACGGGGATGTCTGCAGTTCCAGAGTACCGTATTGACAAGCATGAGACTCGCTTCGAAGACCCAAAAGAACCACTCATACCGTATGATCGGCGAAAGCGACATTGGGTCCCAGTCTGGCCCTGGGTTTACAGGTATGCGACTCGCGCCGAAGTGCTCGACGATACGGTAGATGGTACGGATCAGGATGAGCGTCACGCTGATGTACATGGTCATTAGCGGACCTTGGACCTTCTTGGATGTGATTCCGCCTTTGATGCATCGCCTGTGGAAGACGCCTGCGATGATGCAGAATAGGCAGATGACGCCGACTTGTAGAATGAGTGAGGTTTTCATCAGAATGTGCCCGAGGTTCTGGAGATCTTCATCGATTGCGGGATTGGCCAGGTAGGATACACCGATTGCATTCATGACCTCTACGAGGCCGGAGATAGTACCAAATGTTGTCAGTGTGCGGCCTGGGTGCAGAGGCGAGAAGTACGGGACGTAGTAGAGGATTCGACCCAGGACATGGTAATTCGCAAGCTCGAGGATGGGTCTAAAGGATTGTCAGTATGTTAAAACTTTGAAGATGTCTGGCGACTCACGGAGCAGCGTAGATGAAAATCGTACTAGCGAGGTATGTGTTGATGTTCTCGTAGTCGAAAGCATCATACGATCGAATTGCAAACCCGACTGTAAATAGTAACGCGCAAAACGGGTATAGACCAGTGACCTTGAAGGCCTTGTAGCGAATGCATTGTCCGAGATGGACACATGCTGACACAAAGAAGAATACTGCGAAGATGGGAGGGGCCCACTTCACAGGCGCATAGAAGTATACACTGTTAGGGACTGGGAAGAGGTTAGCAAATTACGATACAGTTCTAATGAAGCAATTGTACCTGATCGGCCGTTTGACATGCTGTAAGTAGTGATTGATTTATTGACACTGTGGATGACGGCCAGATCAAGACTCCCGCCATCCCTTTATACAGATCTCTTTTCACATATTCTCGCATAATATTGCTCTGCTTCTATGTACGGTAGAAAACCATCGCCATACGCTAAGCTTGTACTGGAATATTCACTGGCCAAGACCAGTCGAGAGACCGGTAGAGGAAGGTTGTCAGACGCCCAGCAAGGCTGAACACAGGCTGACACTGTGCTCACCCCGCCATACCCGATACAGTATGAAAGATGGCCAAGACGAATCCTACCGCCTTATTAGCGCCTTTTTTGCTATTCGTCAGCGACCATCTCAGCCTTGTACATGATCTGATCCAAAAATTCCAAAGCCTACTGTGGCAATAAAAACGCAGGAACGCTGGTTCCCACTGCCAGTGCTAAGCCTTGACTGCCGTTTTTATTCACCAAGCTACCACCTACTACGCCACCGCACGCCCACAACCCGGCCCGTCTGGACGAGTCCAATAGAACATGACGCCAAAATCTGGAAGTAGAGACGCGAAAGCGACCCGTCAATGTTGGGAGTGCCACAGACGACGACTTGTCTGTGATCATACATTACCCCACTGCAAAAAGTGCCAGAAGGCCGGCAAGGAGTGCCCTGGATACGACGAACAGAAGCCGTTGCAGTGGGTGGAACCAGGGAAAGTCATATATAGAAGAGGGAGGAAAAACATCCCACCTAAGACTTACGTCGCTTCGCGTACGATTCAGACGGTTACGAGTCGAGAAGATCCTCGTGGTTGTCCCTCGTCAACTAAAACACCGCCTACAGACGATGTACTCCGTGATGGTTCCGATCTGCGATTGGCTTTGGCAACATGGGAACCTGTTAACAAAACATGGTGGGGGCGTTTAGCTGTGGACTGCGAAGAAAAGGTACATTGGGAGCAAGCGTTCCAAACCGCAAAGATAGTAGAAGCCCTTGGTAAAATGTCCCAACGCAGCGACAGGAGACAGTTGGAGAGAGTAGTTCGGGGCGGGCTTCGCAGGGAAGCCTCAGAGATATTGCGAGACGCAAAAGACCCACTCGAGAAACTGAAGGGCCTGTTGATGCACATGCAAGCCCACGATTTGCCAACCTATGACTATTTGTCAAACGAAACTTCCGAAGTAGTACAGGCTGTCAACTACTGTATATTATACCCCGCGTAGTCTGTATTGAATCGACACTAACTGTCATGTTAGTCAATGTCCGCCTGATTCCTCAAGTCATAGCTGCGGGCGAAATGGCACCGAATCCAGCCATGATACTGGTTCCTCTGCAGATCCTGCATCTCCTCCCACCTGCTGTTCACCATACTTTTGTATGCTTAGCTCTAAATCACTTCACCCTGAGTGTTCCTTCTGGAACTGACAGCGTAGTGGCGACCAACAATAAATTGAAGGTCTATCGACATCGTGGTCATGCCATTCGAGCCCTGAATGAGTTAATTTCCAGTGATAAAACGCGATGTAGTGACATGGCGATTGTCAGTATACTCACATTCTTGAGTATGGAGGTAAGTTCCCTAGACTGGCTGCCGTTCCATCTTGCCACATCGCGATGCTGATGATGTTCATATAGCTGTCAAACCCCATGGCTACTGACTGTCGTGCCCACGCAGATGGCCTTCAGCGTCTCATTGATATGCGTGGCGGCCTCAAGAGCCTGATAAGTGAACCACAGCTAACGTCGTCGCTAGTCATTTACATTCTGTAAGCATCTCGTACATTGACATTCATTTGGGCTCGATGCTGATACATACCTAGCATTACAAACCTCGCGAACACATGCAGCCCGCCATGGAACCAACTCGCCTTGAACGCGGAGGACTCCTTGGAAACGTACATCTCAGACATCACCCCAGTCTACAGCCTGATCTTCCCGTACACTCTCAGTCCGCCAGCACTCTTCTTCGATCTGATCCGCATCAACCAACTTCGCAAATCGGCCTCAGCATCCCTTCTTCTATACATCGACAATCCAGCCCACGCCCTCGAAGCCCAAGAAATACTTGCCCGTATCGAAGCCTTCATTCCAGAAGACTGGGCACAACCCGGCGCCCATTACGACGAATGGTTACTCATCGGAACGATCCACCAGTCTGCACTGGCGATCTACTGCACAATGTCGCTTCAGTCACTCGGTGTCCTGCCCAATAATCTCGAAATGGATGCCATGCGATCCGCTCACGGTGATCGTCTGCGTACGAGCTTGACAACAGCATTCAACTCCACGCGCCTGTCGAGATTCGTCATGTGGCCCCTTGTCGTCGCCGGAGTCGAAGCAGGATATCGGAGTGAGAACGTGAGGCGTTGGGTTGCACAACGATTGTCAGAAATGAGTCGTGATTTGGGGACTAGCAGTCCGTTGCGGGCACGGAAGGTGCTTATGAGGTACTGGGAGAGGGGACTACCTGACTGGGATGAGTGTTTTGATCGAGCGTATGTTTTCATTATTTGACAGACTATCCGGTAGCACCACAAGCCTGAGTAATTGGAAGAGATGACCTTCGTTGCCGTGGGCATGGGGTTCAGGCGCTCGTCCCGGGTTTGGTTGTTGTCAGAGAGGCAAGCGCGAAGCGACTGGGAAGGCATGAGCAGTCCCACCTCGTAGAAGCGTTGTTTCCTGCTCGCCGTAAGGGAAGGCGCATATGATCATAGGAATCTACAAAATGAGCTTGATCTCCCGCCTTCTTTCTTCAAACATCGAACAACGCCGATAGATTATCCACAATAACGAAAAGCGCTATCATCCTCAGCTCCAACATTGATACGGAATACCACACTAACGTCGATCTCACATCACCGAAATCAACACGATCCAAACCATGAAGTCCCTCGTCGTCCTTGCGACTCTGACCACTGCTGTCGTGGCTACCTTGGTGCCCGCATCCAAGGTCAAGTCTTCGGCCACCGCCTCTTCTATCATCATCAAGGCCTCTCCTACCGTCTCGCCTAGCGCAGCCTCCCACAATTTTGTTCTCGTGGGATGCCTGAAGGATGGAGGTACGCATCGTGAACCCAACCTGACATTGTTCAACACTGATCAGCCACAGAGAGCTGCCATGGGGCGTACGGAGCCTGTTGCAATGAATGCCGCGCGGACGAGACTCATGCAGGAGAGAGGGAGATCCTGGATCGATATACGTTCACGTGCTTCAAGCCTCGGGTTCCTGCGCAACGCCCATGCCTGGCGAATAGAGGTTTGTCCACACATCTCTCGTCACTTCTGAGTATAACACTGACACCCCCAGCGGTCTGCAACGGCCGTAACGGAGATTGCTGTGGCGGCGCGTGTTACAAGAACTTGGACACCGGTGACCACGTCTGCCGCAAGATCGAGAAGGCTGTCAAACATACAGCCACCGACTCGTCTGCCATTGCCACGACTTCCAACCACACTGTTGCTAGCTCGGACGACAAGAAGGATGAACGCAGGTGCATTGCCGATGGAGGTTTGTTAGGCATGTCTTGCTTCGAGTTTGATGCTGACACACTGCAGCTGACTGCTCGGGTGAGTGGAACAGCTGTTGCAGTGGCGCGTGCTACATGGACAGGAGCCGCGGTAGCCACACCTGCTACAAGCCTAGCAATGGTTGTGTGGAGAGCGGAACGTGCGTCCAGATGGCCGCTACATCCTCCGGAGTCGAGACGAGAAAGGTCTTGTCGACCAATATCACCGGCAACCTGACTTCTGCTATCGAGGCTGCCGACAAACACAACGCCAGCTGTGTATCTGTCAATGACGACACTTCGTCCACCTCCACTGCATCCGCCAAACCCAGGGCCACTGTAGATGCTCCCGATGTCTTTGCCGCTCGCCAGTGTTTCCCCAAAGGCGGTACGTAATTCGCAGTCTCTCGTATGATTGCAGTACTTACTATGAGCAGCAAAGTGCTCTTCGTGGAAGAACAGGTGTTGCAGCGGCAACTGCTGGAGGGATTGGAGCCGGGGTGGCCGTCATACTTGCGCCTAAGCCGTAACGCTGCGATGTTGGGTGTGCGGGGTTGTCTTTTCGGCGAGGCGCATCATGGGTCGTGGTTGCAGTGTTTGATCGTTTCTTATTTGTTTTTACACGTTTTCAATCCATGCTCATTACGCTACTGCTGGCGTGTGATGTACAATGTTAGTATTCGTGTAGGGGAACCATCTCCTGTCATGACCCATGATACCTGAACGCCAGTCCATGCCATTGCGTATGCTAGACATTGCCGCCCCATACACAATCGTGTCTTTGATGTGCCTTCTAATCATCGTATCATCGTTGAGTCAACACCGCAGTGCCCTCCATATCCAAGCACCCCTCCCATCGCAAGACATCCATGCTCATCTCCACGCCCTCACCTCTCGAGCCCTTTGTTCTCTGGATCCTCGTCCCCCTTCGTCTCTTTGACGCCTTTGTATGGCCTGCCCGCGTACAGCATGTACCCTTTCTCCTCAATCGTGCCAATCTTCTCATCTTTCTCTGCCCTGCCCTTGCCAAACGCGCCTGTCTCTAGCTGCCCAGCCACGGCAATGGGTCGGTTCCCGCGGAAGCGTTTGCGCATGTCGACGAGGCCCTTTTTGCACTCGGCATAGCCTTTTTGCAGCTGCTGGCATTGTGTGGGCAGCGTGTACTTGAGCGGGGGCCGCAGACAGTCGCCGGGCTTTTGGCGCTCGACGAGGATGCAGTCGCTGTTTTGCAGACAGAAGGCTAGGGCGGCGCCTAGGGGGAGTCAGTTGGGTGGCTGGGAGCGGGAGTGGGAGGGCGGGTACGGATGTCGGCGCAGGATTGTGGCATTGTTGCGGTGCAGAGAGATGGATGGGTACGGTGGATGCAGCCGTTGAGGCGGTGATGGGATGGATTGGCCGCGGAAGTCGGCAAGTGTGTCGCGCCAAGTTCCGATCCTGGAGGAGCGCAATCACATGTCACGCAGTGTTGTGTTGTTGCGTCGGGGTTGGATGGATTGGATGCTGTCATTCTCCACATGTCCGCATGGACACTTCAGTGAGGCAACATGCCTTGCATTGACACGATTTTCTCCCCCGTTTTGACACGTCAACTGGTCGTTGGCCGCTTTTAACTCGTCAATTCCGCCGTCTCGCATTGATGGAAATGTGGATCGTGTTGGCTGTGCTCTGATTGTTTTGTACTTGAAGCTCGACGCTTCGCCCGTTTTTTTCATGTTCCCTAGGGGAGGCACGCGACCGCGATACACCGCCAGACACACTCGCGATATGCCGTTCCACATCCCCTTCCTCTCGCGCTTGCACCTTCGCGAGTACCTGGCCCTGTTCCTGTCCTTTGTCCTCATCATCCTCGAGTCTTTCATCGCCCTCATCACCCGCGCCCTGCCCTCGCCCATCATCAACCTCTGCTATGGCATCACTAGCCGCGTCTTCAACCATCTGTCGTCCCCCTCCTCGCTGCAGTCGAGAGAGAAGAAGAAGGGTATCTGGAGCGCTGTCGCCAATGCCTCGGATTTCACGGAGTTGTGCGAGCTCTGGGGGTACACCTGTGAGGAGCACATTGTGCAGACGGGCGATGGCTATCTCCTGGGTCTGCATAGGTTGAGTAACCGTGCCGGAGAGGAGAATGTCAGGGTCAATGCGGGCAAGGGAAGCGTGACGAAGAAGGTCGTGTATCTGCACCACGGATTGATGATGAACAGTGAGGTGTGGGTGTGCTTGACGGAGCGGGAGAGGTGTCTGCCGTTTCAGTTGGTGGAGAGAGGATATGACGTCTGGGTTTGTATTTCCTCATGCATATGGCTGTCGCACACGCTAACTCGCATCAGCTCGGCAACAATCGAGGAAACAAGTACTCGAAGAAGAGCGTGCACACTGCCCCGACATCGTCCGCCTTCTGGGACTTCAGCATTGACCAATTCGCCTTCCACGATATCCCCGACTCGATCGACTACATTCTCGAAACCACGCGTCAACCGTCGTTGTCTTACATTGGCTTCTCGCAAGGAACCGCCCAGGCCTTTGCGACCCTCTCCATCCACCCTACGCTGAACGACAAGGTCAATCTCTTCATCGCGCTTGCTCCCGCAATGTCACCTCCCGGTCTTACTTCTGGCATTGTCGACTCCTTCGTCAAGACGTCCCCCGACATTCTTTACCTTGCGTTTGGCCGCAAATCTATTTTGCCTTCAACCACCATGTGGCAGTCGATTCTGTACCCTCCTATCTTCGTTCGCGTCATCGACGCCGCATTGCGATTTCTGTTTGGCTGGTCAGCTGTAAACATCTTGCCCGACCAGAAGCTCGCCGCCTACCCGCATTTGTATTCCTACACGTCCACCAAGAGCGTCGTGCATTGGTTCCAGATCATTCGAAACGGCGTGTTCCAGATGTACGACGACGAGGCGCCCAGCCCGCTTTCGAACCGATCCAAGTACTACAAGGTTGCCAAATTCCCCACAAGGAACATCAAGACTCCGATCGTGTTGATGTATGGTGGCACGGACAGTCTTGTCGACATCAAGATCATGCTCAAGGAGCTTCCTCGCCATACAACCGCAAAGGAGATCCCGCACTACGAGCATCTCGACTTCCTCTGGGCGCAGTCTGTCGACAAGCTAGTCTTCCCCCACGTCTTCGCTGCATTGGACAAACACGCAGGATCGGCAAGTCTCTCCTCAGACAGTGAACGAGACGAGCGTTCCCAGTCATCAAGCCGCCGTCGCAGACTCCTTCCCGGACCTGAAGCTCCCGGACCCGACGCGGGCCCTTCCAGCCCAACAACCCCAGCAGCTCTCCGCGCGGCCAAGAAAGTCTCGCAAACCACCCGTCGCGCAGCCCTCGCCGACAGCACAATCCTCGAAACCGAGACCGAACATATACCCGCCCCACAACCCGAGTCAGCCCAACTAGCCATGCTCCCCGACACAGAAGCAACCTTTGCACAAGCGATAGGCCACAACCCGTCTCCCTCGCAGGCCACAACAATCTTCTCGCCAACCTCTATCAAATCCCCACCGACCTCCGTCAAAGCCCCCTCCGTCAAAACGCCCTCCGTCAAAACTCCCACACGCAACGTCGACTCCCCCGTCCCCTCCCTCGACGCCTCCCACATGACCAACCAATCCTCCACCAGCCGCCCCGAAGGCTGGTGGTCCTCCGACGAAGTCGGCGGTGACGACGTAGGCGGCACCGAGCCCTCTGCGCCTTCCACGCCGCCGCCCCCAAAGTTCCGCAGGAAAATGAGCGAGCGCAGTGTGGATAGTGCGAACTTGGCGAGGTTCGGAAACAAGGGCATCACGCTGGGTGTTGGCCGGGCGGTTAGCGGTATCGTCGGTATGGAGGGGTTTGCCATGCGTGGTGATGTTAGTGGGGAGGGGTTGCTGGAGAGAGGGCAGGTGCGGAATAGTGTCGAGGATGGGAAGAGGAGGAAGAAGGCTGTTAGGAGTAAGAGTGACTTTTTGTGAGGCGTATCTAGCGATGATGTGATGGTTTTACGGTAGAATTTGTTGCATGTTTGGGACGGGCTTTTGTTGCAATGACGTCGATACCAAAAATATACAAATTGGAAACGAAAGGAATTCACTTTTACCATCACTGTGAACTTATCCTGATTGTTACTGTGTGTAAATGGGTTGGTTTATATCGTCTACACCGATCAAAACAAAATGTGCACAACAGTGCTGCGTCTATCTTCTCCCCCACCAATCTTGAATTCGCGCAGAGACGAACCAAAAAACAACAACGCGGCGAATCTAGCACGTCGAAGGAGCAAAAAATGATTCAAGCGAGGCTCGAACTCGCGACCTTTCGCGCACACTGTAGATGTGAGGCGAACGTGATAACCAACTACACCATCGAACCGACGATAACCCTTTTGTGCAGCTGTATGTATATATTCCCTCAACCGAAAAATTTCTCGTCTCGATGACGCTTTCCCTGCCCTGTCTAGCGCGTTGCGGGGCGAGGGGGATCACCCGCTGCTAGGGAGGACGTCTGTATCGACGACACTTGCTGTTCTGGCGGACATGATTCCCGAGAGTCTTCTCTCTTCCGTCTAGCCAGATCTACACAGTATTAGCCTAATCTAAAGAGATAGTGCAAGAAGGAGGAAGCTGACTGTATCTCTCCACACCATACCGCTCACTGCATAACCCCATTTATACATAAACCCTCCATTCCATTAACTCGACTTCTCCGTCCAGCCTCTATCTTCCTTCATCCCTTCCTCTCCATATTTCTACTATTCCACTCCCCAATCTTCCCTTACCTTCCCATCTTAAGCTCGCCAAAATGCCACCTCCCACCCCAACCCTCCCCTGGACAACAACCCCCCTCCTCATAAACGCGCCCATGGCAAACTTCGCAGGCGGCGCCCTCGCCTCCGCCGTCTCCCTCGCCGGCGGCCTAGGCATGATCGGCTGCCTAACCAGCACATCCGACCTACGGCGCGAACTCGACACCGCAGCGACCGCCCTCTCCTCACATACTTTTTTCCAGGAAACACACTCCCTGCCCATCGGCGTAGGCTTCCTAACCTTCCTACTAAAGCTCGACGACATACTGCCGCTGGTCCGCGAGTACCGCCCCGCAGTCATCTGGCTATTCGCCGCGCCGCACGTCGACGAGTATGCAGCGTGGAGCGCGGCACTACGCACCGCGTCGCCGGGGAGCAGTGTGTGGATCCAGACCGGGAGCGTGGATGCAGCGCTGCAGATCTGCCGTACTGCGGCGCCGGACGTGCTGTGCATGCAGGGCGCGGACGCGGGCGGCCATGGGTTTGAGAAAGGCGCTGGTGTCATCTCCCTCGTCCCCGAGACGGCTGATGCGCTGGCGAGAGAAGGTTTCGCACATGTTCCGCTGGTGGCTGCGGGTGGGATTGTCGACGGGCGCGGTGTGGCTGCTGCTCTTGCGCTAGGCGCTGCGGGCGTGGTGATGGGGACGCGGTTCCTCGCCTCGAGGGAGGTGGTGGTGCATGCGCGGTATCAGGCTGCTGTGCTGGAGGCGCGGGATGGGGGGCAGGTTACTACGCGCTCGAGGATCTTTGATGAGCTGCGGGGACCGAATGTTTGGCCTGAGGCGTATGATGGGAGGAGTTTGGTGGTTAGGAGCTATAGGGATCATGTGGGTGGGGTGGGGGTTGAGGAGATTCGTAGACTGTATGGGGAGGCGGTGGAGGAGGAGGATCGTGGGTGGAAGACGGGGTTGCAGGGACGGGCGGCGATTTGGGCGGGGACGGGGGTTGGGTTGGTGAGGGAGGTGTTGGGTGCGGGGGAGATTGTGGAGCGTGTTAGGGGGGAGGCGAGGGATACGCTGGGTCGGTTGGCGAGGCTTTGATGGTGTGGTAATCGCTTTTTCGGGGGAGGATGTAAGTGGTGGGGTTAGAGAGATTGGGGCTGATATGGAGTGGATGGCGAAATTTAGTCTTATTTCTACGGCCTAAGCAAGGGTTCCTTCCTCGTCTCAAAGGCCATCGGCGGATTCGATGTTCAGTCTCTCCATAATACGTAACAGTCACCTTCTGTAACCTACTATGAGGTTAGATTTTGCCATGTTGATGAGCAAACAGACGTTGGCTATCGATCAGTCAAGATAGACCTGGAAATAAGCTACAGCGAAGTTTTGCCACGACAAGATAACTACATCCAAGATTAGTGTAAGAACTCTGTGCTTGAATTTCTAGCAGTATATAAGCCTAACAGGCGTATGTATAAATTCTATTGGCGTGGTTTTGCGGCTTGTGGAAGTTGAAATAAACAAAGCTTACTCCCTACTTTTACATTTCATAGAGTGGTAAGCTAAACACTTCCTGTTTCTACACTTGATGGAGAGTTTAGATGAAATCTTTCCATTCTTACACTTGACTGAGAGGTTGGATAAATGTCAGTGCAATTACGATCAACAAGATAACATACAAAACTACTAAACAGTGAAAAAGCTTAACCTCTGTGAATCAACTCGGGTTTGTATTTACCGCTCGACGTCGCACGTTGATCATATCAACGTGATGTTGTGCTTTTCCATGCTTAACAACCTCTTGACCATCTCTTGCTCATACCAAACTGTGTAGAATGATGTATCTGTTTCATGGACCCGTAGAGATTCGCTCGCAAAGCGTATCACGTTACAACCGTAAAAACAGAAGGAAGTCACACCCAACCTCCTGAAACGATTCTCTCCATCTACCTTTTGAACTATCAGTGCAGACTGAAAACCCCCGATAATACTGGTAAATTCACGTATAGTCCCGAGAGGGATAACGAACGAGCTGTCGTCATGCATAAGCTGTAACTCATTGTCGCAACCATGGTGATCCCAATTATGATATGATGCTACGAAGTCGAACAGAGTGCTTGTTGGTGCAATGTTTCGGACATCAATCGCCGTGGTGTACAACGCATCAACTTCAGACTGGCAGAAATCCATGCTTGTTTCTCCCGTGGACGAATGCATTATGATCAAACGTATCTCGGACAATTTAATAAGTGGCGCTTGGAGTTCAATTTGCGCTTGTGTTATGTTTCCGGAAAGGACCGGGCCATGTACTGCGTATTTGACCGCAAGAACTTTCACTATATTGGATAGCGTTTGAGTGTCCGTGTCCGGTCTGTATGGCCAGTACACCCATCCACAAGCATGTGCCCACGACCAAGTAGGCACACTACGATGTGCATTTGGGTCAAACTCTCGATAACTTTCCATAGAGTTTGGAGCACACCATAAAAGATCTTGAAGCAGAGTGTCCTCCCATAGCCCCGCTAGATAGCGACTACTGCCGCGAGAATTCTGCATATGCTTCGCTATCGCGGCGATTGCAGGCAACCGATCTTTTTGGAACGTTAATTCTCGCTCGGTGTATACTTGAATGACTTCATGCCACTGTTTGAGCAAGAGCTCAGTATCGTACTGCTCGTATGTCCGAGGATAGAGCCGAACGAAATAAGCCATGTCTTTGCCTGGACTGCTTTCGCGAAACACTCCATGTCGACATTGCCAAACGACTTCATCTGCGCAGAAGTGGACAATTCGAGATGACAAACTCAGTTCCTGAAATGTCCATCCGCGCTCCAATAATGGATAGTCTTTACGCATATCGTTGTCCTGCCAAAAACGTCGATCCGGAGTTCGAAGTCGAACATGCAAGTCCTCATATCCAGGGAGGATTTCACCCTGATAGACACGATGCGTTTCTTTGAAGCAGCCTTGAGTAGGTTTTGCGGACGCAGTCGCAGCAATCGTCACGAATGCGTTTTGGTATACGTCAGCCATCCGACTAGCTTGATAGGCCCAATCGGATGGACTATTTTGGACTAAGGGTTCACTTAGCAGGCACTCAAAGGAGCAATCTGGACACTTACTGATGCAAAGACTGTCAATCCAAACATAGCCAATGCCGAGCTTTTGACAGATTTGAACAGCATCTCGGAAGGTTTTGGGAAGTACATCTAACATGATTCCCTTCTCCTCATGCTGTTGAATATTTTCTTCTACTGTCTTAGTGATTTCCTGACCCGAGCCCCAACAATGGCTTAGGCATGCATAACGAGCCGACTGTTGAAGTTCACGTAAGCGAACAGACTTTTGTCGAATCTCAAGAAATCGGATGCCAGCTAAAGAGTCGCGAGAGGTACCAGGTAAAGGTTGAGCGCAGACATGATGATTAGAAAGGCAATTCTCTAACCACCAATTTATGGTCGAAAACGTCGAGTCAGAGGATGTTCGGCCAGGAAGTATCTTCTGCCCAGTCGACTCTCCAAGAGTGTGTGCTATTCCAGTACAGTCTGATAAATTATCAGTGAATCGCTCGAATAAAACAATAGCAACAAGCCTGACCGACTGACCGACTATTTTCAAATAATCTATGATGTGAAAAAGACTTTCTCCCAGGTCATTCTTGACTTCTAGTTCTATACAACCATCATTCCTTACTTGCACGGCAACAGCAGCAGCATAACCAAGCTCGAACAAGCCTGGATTAACCCATTCAAAACAAGCCAACGCAAGACGAAGTAGCGGACATCGACGGTGATTGCTCAATCTTAGTTGCTCGATATCTTCCATATAGATCCAGCTATTTTCATCACAGTAGGTGCACTTATGCTCGGCAATGGCCTGAGCCGTAATTCTTGGCTGCACTTCGAAATCTGTATTGACATCCCGGCGAACAATGACCTCAGAAGGAGAAACAGAAAGCTCTGCCATCGCAAAAGCGTCAGCTACGGTGAGTGTTTGCCGAGAATTGAAATGAAGTGAAGAAGGCTGGGTGAGGGGAAGTAAGCAGGGCAGGCAGCAACGATTGAGCTAGCGCGGCTGGAATGATGCAGGAGCGGCGCAGTCAAACCATTGACTCGGTCTTCTTACCAGCCAAAGACTGACACACAACCACATTCTTGACAGTGAATCCAAGAGAATGCCAACCTATATTTATATCCACTCAGCATCCGTCCAAACAAAACAGCAACGCATCGTAAATACAATCCACAAAAGCAGGACATCTCTCAACGAGACAGCGCATGAGGGTTCTCTCATACGGCGCTGTATAACAGCCACGTTCAGTATTGCACATCCATCCACATACGAAGCACCAAACTGAGACTTTGTATGGAGAAAGAGTGATGCAGTTGGATTGGACGGACTTAGCCTCAGATCTAAACTCAGACTACGCTGTGGGTATAAAACCATGCAGACATGAACAGATCCAGCTTGAGAGAAAGAACAACACAGAGTGATTTGAAAGGAGGGTCACGAACAGGGGACTTGCTTATGGAGCGCTTTAGGCGGCCAAAGTGACACTTGACGACACCATATTGTATCTATTCGAAGTGGGGGGTATTGCGTATGTATTAGATTCATGGAACACCGTCATCAATGCCCTCCCTATTCATCTTCTTGAACAGCCCAGGCTAGAGCGCACTCTACGCACCCCTCGAGCTATTACCAGGCCCCTTGTTGATGAGCCCCGAGAAGAAGGACATGAGTTTCTCATTGTCCATTTTATTAGGATCCGGCGTAACGGGCGACGGTGCTGCTGTTGGCTCAGTCGTTCGACTTGCTTCGCGATCCTGCGGCAAGTTAGCTTTCGACACGCTTTCACCAGCACGAAACACGGTCATGACATACCTGCAGCCTCTTCACCATCTCGTCAGCATTCACGTGGATGCCGCCCATGTTGAATTGCACTGGCCCAATATGCTCCTCAACAACACCACTCGCGTCTTCCATCCAAGGTCTTGCTGCTGTGACAGATTCCGTCTCTTTCCGTGCAGCACGGAGTGCCGCATCCTTTTCATCTTCGATGCGCAGCTGCTCGAGGACTTTGACTTGGTCGGCCAAGAACTTCTGCGGATCCATGCTCGTGAGCTCTAGACCATTCTGTCTCGGTAGACCTGAGAGGGGGAAGTCAGATTCGGGGTTGCGGATTGTCTCTTCGTAGATGGATGTTGCAGATGGCTCATCGTCCTGCTCTTCTGATACTGCTACTGGCGCCGGTGCTGAGGTACCGTTCGTCTCTGCTTCGCCTTCCAAGGGTGTTTCTATCTGACTGCTCGGTCGTCTCATATGCTGTGGGATGTCGATGTCAAGGCCCCATTTCTCACTTGTGCCTTCTATGTCGAATCTGCCATCCACAAGTCGAATCTTCGCCCAAGAGTCCCAGTTTGGTGGTATTAGCACTCGGTCACGATCTGTTACGTTGTGACGTAGCTGCTCCTGCTTAAGTAGCGACTTGATGCCTAGTGTCGAGTGGATCAGCGTCTGCAGTGACCCTGGTGCCGAGGGCATTGTGTAGATCAAGCTTGAGCCGTGTTTGAGGAGGATGGTGCGCATGTACTGCACAATGAAATCGAACTCCTGGTCTTTCCAGCCGCGTTCCTTTTCGAGCGTTTCGATTTTATCAGCATTCTGGCATACTACGCAGATAGGAAGACCGAGTGGCTCGTCCCATTCCCCTGGACCCAGTGGTATCTTGACGTTTTCGAATGAGCTGCTTCCCTCGGAACCTAGATTGCGCCCTTTGTCCTGTAATGTCTGAAGATTCTCCTCCAGAACCTCCTTCGATGCATCGTCCAGTGACACAACAAGCGATCGCAGCACGCGTATCCAGTCGCGTAACTGTCGTATCCACAACCATGGATGATTCCAGTCGAGCAATATTACGATGAGCATATGCGGGAGTGTGCGCGGATTGAGGTATGGCTTGATGAGGGGCGTGAACGAGGGCGAAGGGTTAGCGAGGAGGTACAGCGAGAGGCGCGCGAGAGTGTCTATAACCATCAGTACACCATGACTTGTCAAACGTGCGGTAGGACACACCCTCGTGGTCGGTGTCGAGCACGTCCTGGTACGTGTAGCCCAGGGCAAATTGATTCGCAATGGGCGGCTTCCTCCCGCGATCTGGCGGTCTCCGGTTGCTCGAGGCATCTGTTGATACCGATTCCAGGAATTCTCGCTGCGTTTCTGGCGTCCCCCCTGCCGCGTTCATTAGCATAGTCCCATGGCTTTCCATTCGACATCCTCACCCAGTACCAACAAGCTCTTCTCGGGCAATCGCTTTCCACTAGAAATGCTATCTAGCATTGGCTTCCATATCTCTTCTTTGTCCGTGTCTCTGCTACCTGGGCGGTCGTGACCGGCAGGCATCCGTGTGGGGAAGTTGGACACTCGACGCGCCATGGCGGAGGTGCTGCGGAGCTCGACGCGCGTGATCAGGTGCCGCTGATGGTGTATTTTGTGATCGATGTAGTTTTGGCTATTCACGGGATAGGCAGAAGCAATGCGACGCGCAGTGGATGTCTAGTGGGGGTGTTTCTTTGTGCTTGTCTGGGATGCATGTGTTCGATTGTGGACTTTTGGCGCAGGGTCCAGTAAGTAGTTAGGTTGGACCCCGCCAAGACTGACGTCTCAAAATGTAGCAGGTGCCTCGGAGCTCACTACAACTACCAATTCTAAAAGTCGAACACAGCCTTCTTTCATACAATCCAATACACTCTAGCCCAGACATCGATGCGGAAATAAGGGGCCAGCGTAGACACCAGCTAGCTCAGACATCGACCCAACTACCCACCCGGACGCGCCATCCTCTGGACGCGCCTTCCTTGAGCTCTCACTTATTTCGCCAACTGTTTACACTCCTTCACTATGAACTCGGTCCGTGCCATCCAGCAGCTCAACAAGCGCGAGCTCGAGTCTGGCGTCAACCCAGAAGGTTCCTGGCACACCGACTACCGCGACACCGCTTTCGTCTATATCGGCGGCCTGGCCTTTGAGCTGTCAGAAGGCGACATCGTTACCATTTTCTCGCAGTATGGCGAGCCTGTGTGGGTCAAGCTCGCGCGCGACAAGGAGACGGGCAAGTCGCGAGGTTTTGCTTGGATCAAGTACGAGGACCAGAGGAGTTGCGATTTGGCCGTAGACAACTTGGGAGGGACGACCATCATGGACCGTGTCATCAAGGTGGATCATGCACGGTATACCCCCAGAGATGACGAAGACATGCGCAACAACACTACGGGAGAGCTGGAGCTGGACGAGTCGGACGGAGGAAGGCGCAAGAGGCGAAAGTCAGAGAGCGTTAGCGACGACGACGACGACGACAGGCCAATGCTCCCAGAGGAGATCGAGCTCGGGCGACTGATGGAGACGTTGGACGATGAAGATCCCATGCGCGACTCCATGATTAAGCGCCAACAAGAAAAGGTTGACGATGCAGTCAGGAAGCTACAGAGGAGCAAGCGCAAAGAGAGGGCGCGGAAGAGCGACCGACGTAGTCGCCGAGATGATCCCTCGTCCCGTCCACGTAGCCCCAGACACTCGCGCAAGACACTTCGAGATTAGTAAGCTTCTATATATAATTGTGGAAAACGTTTCTCTAGTAGGCCAGTTTTAATGTAGTTCTGTGGACAGCAGAAGTTTATCATGTAAATATATAGGGTGTATGATAGTCCATGAATAATGTCTAACACGGAATTTTCGAGGAGTGGTGTTGCGCTGGCAATACCCTTCCCTCCTCTATCTATCCCCTCTACAGTCTTGCTTCTTTTTGTTCTCCTCTCTGCCTGTTGACAGTACCCATCTCACATAGATTTATTGCAATTCTCTCTGATGTTTTAGGCGTCCACTTTTACATAATCGTGCATGCGACCAAAATAGCCTGTTGAAAGATAAGCCTCGTCTAGGCCTCAGCCGCATCCTTTCTTCTGCCTCCTTGATTCTCAGAACGACTGCCGTTAACTCTGCAGGAAAATGAAATACACAGACGTGTCGTTCCGTGATCTTGGCTCTATATCATCCTCGAGTTTACAAGGAGACAACATTACGGACCAGAATGCAGAGTCAAGAAAGGTCACGCACCAGACGATATGGCCGGCGATATTGGTGTTCATTGGACTCACCATACCCACAACTTTCAGCGTCCTCGTTTTAGCCAGTAGTGTTCGGGGCTGGACCTTTCCGTACTCGACCTACAACTTCATCACTCGAAATCGAGCCTCCGTCCAATTGGTCATCCAACTTCTTTCGAATGGTTTAGCACTCGTCAACACTACTATTTTATGCAACTTGATAAATCGCGCGACCCGTATACGTTGGAAGAACACACCTGCATCACTGAACATCATACGCTTCTGGAATGGACTATGCGTTCGATCGATAGACTGGACAATACCTCTGCACCTGTTACTCCCGTTACTGGCCTTTATCGTGCTCACCGCCGCACCTTCTGCCATATGGGTCGGTGCTTTGACACCTGTTGCCATCAATGTCACCAGTTATAATGTCATTGACATCCCCACCTATGGGCAGACAGCAAATATCAAGGAATGGCCTTCAGAGATTGGAGCCCAAGGGCCGATCCTCAGTACAACCCAAGGACTGTTCTCATACTCGGTCGCGTTACAGCTTCAGGCTAGCTTATTGACGGCAGCATCATCAGCCACGACAGTAGACGGCTCTGTAAGGCAGCATGCAAAACTGGACAAGTCGCGTTTCACATATTTTGGCCGCTCCTACGGTGTTGGTGCTTCCGTCGGTTTGAATGATCTAGACTTCCAGAAGAACCCGTATCTTGCATACACTTATCAAGAAATTGGGTTCGAGACTACGGTTACCTGCATCAAAAACTCGAGTAGCGAATTCATGCTCATGGAGACCGGCGATACCTTCCTATATAGAGCCTATGGCAGACTACCAAATAGCGGAAATAAGGGGCCTGAAGATTCGGTATATATAGGTCATAGTACTGATTCTATCCTGGCCATTGGCGTAGGAAGAAACCCAGAAGATCCTCGCCGGATGCTGGCCATTACAGCAGGCGATAGTTACGCGCACCTCAACACCACGCAATGCAGTATGGAATTCCAACCCACGATTTTCGACGTCGATGTAGACATCCGCACGCGAAACATCAGCGTTACGCCCTTACGCAAGGCCGACGAGTTTTACCCTAGTTCTAGCAATTTGACCCAAACAGCTATGCGGCAATTTGAATTGATTTCAAATGTTCAAACGAACATGTACGCCTCCGTTCTTGGCAACGCCTTCAATAGCAGTATCACAGACTACATCACGGCGTCTACCAGCCAAGCAATCACACTCGAAGACGCCACGCTCCCTGGCTTGGAAAATGCGCTGACGGTTATGTTGGACGACATGCTTGTCGCGTATGCAAGTGCGCAGTTGATAATCCAGAAAGACATTAAGCCTGTCAACATGCAGATTACGAAATCGGCGCTCCGGGTCGGCGAGGATGTGTACATCTATGCTATCTTCGCGATTAACGCTTTCATCATCTTGCTTGTTATAATGGAATATGTGAGGACGAGAAACTGGAAGGAAGTGCCTATGATAGACTATCTAGATCCAGGCGCCTTGATGGTTGGAAGTGCTACCGGAACCGTGGGACAAGAGGGCGAGTTCGAAATGAATAAGAGCCATCGCATTGAAGCGAGGGTGATTAACGACAGCTCGATTGTCCTTGAAACTCGAGGAGGTCTACTCACTGGCGTTGATACGCAGTACACGCATGGCGATTCATGATCAATTTCAGAGAAGGGAACTTAATGGTCTAATGGCTGTGCCGCGATGATTATTCAGTGTTCATTGGAAGTACCGAAGACGTTATCACGTTATATCAAGTTTCGTCGCTCGGGCGCTTCTGTTAAGCTCCAAGTTCATTGTCAAAACTGGATTGCGACATGACCTTTTCTTATTCTAGCCAATTTAACGCTCCAATACAAAATCCGATCGGCTATAGGTTATGTCCACTCCAAATTTCTCGAACAACAGTATTGCGTCGGCACCACCCTACTCACCACCCTTCCCTCCTCCACCTATCTCCCCTCTGCTCCCTCTTTGCACGCCACCTATCAGCGCCCCAGCCCGTCCAATCCCCTGCATCATAATTAAAATGCGCCTCCGGCACGTAGCCGATGTTCCTCGCGCTCAACCTATCACCCTGGTAAGTGTGGCGGTGGCGCGGGTTGCGGTTGTTTTGTGTACGTGAGTAAACTGGATATTGGTAGTTTGGGTGGGATTGCGAGTTACCCATGGCTTTGCTTGCTGGTTTGATTACGTTGGTAGATGTAAGGAGCTCTGCGTTCTTTGGTGTAAGGGCTCAATTCAGCATTCGTTGTTGCTGTTGAGTTCGTTATTTTTGTTCGATTGGTCGTGAGGAGAAAAACTTTAGTAAGATTAAGGAGCAAAAGAAAACGCTTTATAAGAGAGTGGATATGTGTGAAGGGTTGGAAGTGATGGTCATGATGATGCATGGTTGGTGAGCTGGCTCACTGGCTGTGGTGGTGCCAAAACTCAAGACAGTTGAATATCGCCTCCTTCAAATGGAGAGAATGAAGTTTTCCAAATAAAGGTACTGGGATTGCAATATAGTCGTGCTTTTACGCGCGAGTTTCCGAGGAGACAGGTTTATGGCAGCATGCACCAGCTATGGTTCCGCTCCTATCATTTACATAACACTTTTCAAGCCAAGATCATTCCGTCATATGCGAATGATCGACTGTTTAGTTGTCGTTCTGACAGCAGATATATCTCATTGAAAACTTTTGGGTATCGCTAAAGTCCACTCTTTCTTTTCACCTGCTACGGATTATAGACAGGAGTATGTGTGTTAGAGTGTTGTTATTACATAGACAAGCATGATGTTCATTAGGACTATCGTCAACGTATTACGTTTGTTTATCCAATTTCATAACTATCAACATTTCCATTCATCGAACCGGCTATGGGTATATCTAACAGCGTACTACATGTCCTCATCAAGAAACCAGAAGCTGATAAGCAGTTTCCTCAATACCCCCCACAAAACTTTCCCAACTAACTATCGCTAGACCCTACTGAAACCTTGTTCTCCGCCTATAAACCCTCTCATTCCTCCCTCCCGGCCGTGCTGTCCACCTCTCATCATCTAAATTCCACGCGGCGCCAGGCACTCGTGCAAGACTCGCCGGGTTGAGCTGACCTCCGTTATATCCTCCGTACACCCTTCTGTAACTTTGGTTACTTCCATAGTTGCCATATCCGTAACCCCCGTAGGCGCCGGAACTACCATAGCTGAACCCGGGGTTGGTCCCGGGATGATAGGCGTGGAAACGGCCGTGGTTATACATTGTGTGGGTTAAGAAGTAGATTCGATATGTATTTGGGGCTTGAGGCTTGGTTAGGCTATTGCTGAGGGTTGATTTGTGGAGAAGAGAAGCTGGATCTTGAGAGAGGAGGATTAAATAGTCCATGGATCATGTTGGAAATGGAAGTGTGGTGCGGTATGGTTGTGCAGGCAGCCGTGATGCACAGTAAGAAATATTGGAATACTGGCTGTGGATGTCTACAGGTCACAACATAACGAGGACCAAAAACTTATGTACGCCCGCAAAAGACCGTCTTACTCACTTCTCGCTTTGTACGACTCTACTCTTGCTCGAACAAGCACTTCTTCATAACTTTGTGAATTTCTATACCTGTGCAGATATGAGTGTTCAACAACTAATATATTCTAGGTCGATATGTGGATGAACAACGTATGGTGCAGGTTTACTCACAGTTCCCACCTGTAAAAGATTATCTCTGGTGTATACGCAAGTACCTGTTGGCATCTGTGAATAGAGTGTATTGACATGGTACATGCTAATCATGGAGTTGTGTTTCTCGAGTCCATGGGTTCGAACAACCTAGAAAGTTGTTTGGATTACCCGTCGAAAATTATTTGGCAACAGAACATTGGCTATCATGTAAGTCTATTCATGGTTGTCGAGTTATCATCGTGGAAGGCTTTCCCAGATGCGGTGATGCTACCCCACTCCCCCACATAGAGATGATTTCCCGCCGCCAACTGTCTTTCGTACGTTACACCAAGTCGACCAAGCTACATGTTAGCTAAATAATCGCTACAACAAACGCATCGTAAGATATCTCTAAGCATTTTCGAGCGTAAGCGAGCGGTGTTTTGAAGGTGACGTCATCTCCACTTTGAGAGGCAATCGAGACTCGCAGGATCATCCTATACATCTGGAAGAGAATTTAAAACTCCCTGAGCCTGCAGGTGCTGGCTTCGCTGTTTTAAACGTTGATACTGACACGTCAAGTTAGCATGGCACATCTTACGCGGGAGGAGGTCCTGGATTCAGGATTGGTGGCTCCTGAGTATAAGAAGGTAATCATCGTCCGTTGCTCGAACTACACTTGTCGCATATATGAACTCTGTCTTCAACTTGAATTCGCACTGACATCGCTGGCAGGCTTTTGAAGCACGACCAATAGACATCAGCGGCTCAGATTTCTTCGAGCATCGCGCGGCACGAGCTGCGCATCTTGAGAAACTGCGACACCTATATCCCATCCCCGGTCCCATCCCGGGAATTGTCAAGGAAACGTTGTTTGATGTTGGCACAAGAGATAGCGCATCCATCCGTGTTCGTGTGTACCAACCTGTAAATGGCCCTCCACAAGGTGGAAGTCCGTTGGTTATGATGTATCACGAGGGCGGCTGGAGTATGGGTGATCTGACAGACGAGGATTTGAACTGCAGGATGTTTGTGGCCGAGCTCAAAGCCGTGTGTGTTAACGTTGAATATCGGTTGGTGAAATTCTTCACGCGAGTGATCGAAGCTAATTGTGTCAGTCTTGCTCCTGAGCACAAGTTTCCCACTGGCGTCAACGACTGTTGGGACGCTCTGAAATGGGCTCTCACCAATGCCGATATGCTCAAGGCGACACCATCTCGTGGTCTCATAGTGGGCGGCGCATCCGCAGGTGGCAACATCGCCGCTGTCCTAGCTTTGCTGGCACGCGATGAAGAGCTCGATCCGCCGATCACTGGGCAGTATCTTTGTGTCCCAGTCCTGCTACCTGACACCAATGTACCGCAGCATCTGGTGCATCTCTACGAATCTCGCCTCAAGAGTGTCCAAGATCCCGTTCTCAAAGGACTACAGCCTGGAATGATCGAGGCCATTTACGGACCAGATGCGCATTCGCCTTTGTGGGACCCTTTCAATCATCGGGACGGTCATAAACGCGTCGCGAAAGCCTTTTTCCAAGTCGGTGGCCTGGATCCGTTGCGTGATGAGGCGATTCTGTATGATCGAGTCTTGAGGGAAGCTGGGGTGTTGACGCGGGTTGAGCTGTACAAAGGGTATGGACATATGTTTTGGACAAACTATCCAGAGCTGGAAGCCAGCAAGTCATTTGTGAACGATACGTTAGTTGGTATGAGATGGTTGCTTTATGGATAAAACGTCTTGAATTCTACCACCGTGGTACTATCCCAGGCCTCGGATAATGGAACTCATAGTGTGATGACAGAATTGTATAGGCATCTGCTCCTGATACGGGAAAAAGCTCTCAGCGTGGTCGTGAGTCAAGAACAAACCTGGAAGCAACAGCCTCATAAAGCTTGCGACGACTGTTACGATCCAACCCCAGCCGCCCAAACGCAAAAAAGCGACGGCACAATTCCTATCCAAGACCTCGACGAGGCTTTGCAGAGGCTTGCGACGACTTGACAGCACGGACCGTTCAACTAACGCAAAGCCCGGCGAATCATGGCGTTCATATTACTGCAAACTTACCATTCTCATGCTAGATTGGGTTCTCGGCCCGAACCCGGGGGTTCCCAGCAACGTTTTGTTTTGAACATCCCCAGGCATACGTATGCATGGAACCGGCCCAAAATGTAATGTTGAACTAGCAAGCTGTGATTCGACAATGGACCTGGTCAAACATCCGTCAACCTCGAAGAAATGTCCTAGCGAGTGGGGCCCTCTACGCGTTCGCTATTGCGCCTAGGCTTGATGTGCTTCTTCCAGGCTCGTAGATGTTGAGAGTACGCACGTTGTTGCTTCCAGACGATGACGAGGCATAGTCCTGTAATGAAGCTATGATGATAGTAGTAAGAAACAACGGTCCTTAGTAGATATAAGAAGACTCTCGGACTTCGTTGAAGTATTTCCATCATCACATTCAAACCCTAGCTTTCACAGCCACTCCACAAGTCTTCTCTATCTTCCAGTACAACTCAAGCTTCATTATGGTCAACTTTGTCTCCATTCTCAGCGGTGCTGTCGCAGCGACCTCCCTCATCAGCACTGTAGCCGCCCATCCGGGCGAGCATCACGATCATGCACAAATCAAGCGTGAAATCGACATCCGTCAGATGCGTGCTGCGGCTGCGAAACGCTCCCTTGAAACCTGCCAAGGTTCGCTGAGGCATCGCGACCTGATGGCACGTTCTGTTGCTCGTCGTTCGAACGCACTCAACAAGCTCCGCCAGAAGCGTAACATCGCCGCTGGTAAGTGTCCCAGAGTTCGAGCGGGCTTATCAAGAGAGACCACTAACACCTCTATCAACAGAACCGAAGAAGTTCCGCCGTGATCTTGCTACGCTGCAGGCATTCGAAGCTGCCAATCACAACCAGACTGGAGTTCTCGACTACAATGAGTTCACTGATGCAAGCACCATCTTCTCTGCCAACACCTCATCCATTCTCGCACCCGAGATCACCGATGGCCCATACTACGTCACTGGCGAATACATCCGCAAGGATGTGACGGAAGGTCAACCCGGTGTTGGCCTGTATCTCGAAGTCCAATACATCGATGTCACGACATGTGAGCCAGTGCCCAAGTTGTTTGTCGATGTCTGGAATTGCAATGCCACGGGTGTCTACAGTGGTGTTGAGAGTGGGCAGGCTGGGTTGAACTCCACCTTCCTTCGTGGTGTCCAGGAAACTGACGAGGATGGCGTGGTCGCCTTTGAGACGATCTTCCCCGGTCATTACGACGGCCGTGCCACCCACACTCACCTTCTCACCAAGTCCAACGTCACAGTCCGCGACAACGGAACCACCGGCTCCGATGGCGCAGTCACCCATATTGGCCAAGTCTTCTGGCAAGAGGAGCTTCGATCCGCAGTTGAGGTTTTGGAGCCATACAACTCGAACACGCAAGCCGTCACCACGAACGACGAGGATATGTGGTCGGTTCTTCAGGCTGAGAACGACTTCGATCCGTTCCCAGAGTTCATCTACCTCGGCGATGATGTCTCCGAAGGTCTTTTTGCCTGGATCCAGATTGGTATCAACTCTACGGCTGACTGGTCCGACAATGAATACTACCAAGTTGCTGCCGACTATGAGCAAGGCGGCGGTGTTGCTGGAGCGGGATTCAGCGTTGGTGGCGGTAACGGAACTATGGGCAATGGAACCATGCCTTCTGGTGCTATGCCTTCAGGCGCTGTTCCCACTGCCTAGATCCGAGCTGTAGTCAGCTGAGTTGATACATGGTTGCGAGAGAAAGGGCAGGTGTGTTGAAAGGAATGTGAGGGGCTCTTGCACCAACGTCTGTCAGGTAGCGGGCCTGTTCAATATACTCGCATGGTATCATTCCGCAATATAGAGGTGCATGGCTTTGGCGTTTTTAGCAATTTATTTCTACTTACCAAAATATGTCTCCTGCGTGATCCAATGCGATTCCAAGGTCCTTCAAATATTTTAACGAATCTTGCCGTTCTCAATATTAGTGCTTTCCCAACATTCAATATGCTTTAGGCCATTGCCGCCGAGATCTTATGGCTGGATCTACGAATATATTCGGTCTTAACCACCTCGTCCAGTCACCTGCTGATTCGATGGCTTGGTTGATTCCTGGCAGTAGTAAAGACGGTAAAAGAGTTGCTGTAAGTATTGAGGCCATTCGAATTTTCTCTGCAACTGACAACCATCGGGTAAGAAAACACCTGTAAAGTTCTTGTATCTTTGGTGGTCTGATTCTAGCCGAGTAAAATCTGATGTTCTTCACAGAGTCGTGCGGACTATATTCTCTAAACCTTTGCTCCTGAGAAATTCATGCTCATACTCTTGATTTCCCTTGTCACGTCTTGAAAAGGTTCATGTTCAGTTTGATCTAGAGAAGCTGTTCTCTGTACTTTCTCGTGGGTTTCCGTAACGGCACCTGTACCATCTTAGAGTCGATTTACAATACAATGCTGAGTCGAAAGATAAGAACAACACCAAAATAATTTAATGTGTGTTTTGCTCAGACTCAGCGAAAGAGTAGAATCAGTCTGCTCGGCATGAACAAGGAACTGCGACATACCTGGTCCAGCAACATAGTCGCATCCCAGGGCTACAGGAAGTAGAAGAAGTTCAATTAGTGTTATAATCAGGATCTATGTGACTTCCAGTATGTAGTAATGACACTTGGATGAAAACAAAAATATCGTTAGCCGAGTAGATGATGAATCGGTCAAAGCCATACTCAAGGGCAGTGCGGCATACTACTTCATGAATCGACTCAACAACATCAAGACATCGTCCAGAAGAGCACACCCCCATGTGCTGCTACAACCCGCATCCCCTTCCTATTATAGACTGTATCGGCGTCCCGCCGACTATTTACAAGCTTGCACTTGAGTTCACATAATACGATGTGGGTATCGGTATTAGAACTGAAGATTGAACAATGAGATCAAGCACGTATGGTACATGAGACGAAGTGAATGTAGGATTAGATAATAGGACAAACATAAAGAGCGTACGAACGGGCTCGAAAACAAGACCAACAGTCTTGACAATTACTCTAACTAGTCTAAGTCCTTCTATAACTTTCCGTGACAAAATAGGAAACGATGGGCTAGAAAAAGGTTGAAAGCCATCAGAAGAAGCGTGGGAAAAGCATCGTACCACTTGAAACCCTGGAGGCACTGATATGTTACGCCTGAGATAAGCGCTCCACAAGAGCTCACTGTCCAAACCCAAGCCAAAAGGCGCATGTTGCGGTACTTGTTATTCTTGTGTGCTTTGGTGTCGCCACTAGGAACCCATGCGAGCGCACGACCGAATAATCGGTCCTTGATGGCCGTCATATACGCGTATGATTGGATGTACATGATGAACTGGACATTGAATCCATAGCGTGCTTTTGCCCAAAAGCGTATGGCAATTATCGAGTAGATAAGAGATGGGACGGCGAAGGCGAGGTTGTAGTATCGAACATAATCAGGGCGTACCCAAATCATGAGGAGGCCTGGTAGCGGGTTGAGGAAGATCGAGAGGGAGATCGCAGAGTAGTACATCATGCCGGAGAGATAGCAGAGCTTTTGCATGAAGGTGAGCTTCGAGCGCCAGAATCTAGGATTGGTGAGCAGCGTAGTAGAGCCCTGTGGATTGTGTTAGTCGTTATTGATAGGGAAGATGCTTCAGAGTGAATATTGCAACTTACCATGCACCAGCGCATTTGTTGACTGAAGAACGCACGAGGAGTGTCCGGACAGATTCCGCACGCCAGACACAAGGGCACATATCTGACTTCCCATCCACGGGTCAAAGCGTCAAAGCCAGTGTGAACGTCTTCGGAGAAACCAATCTCGGCAGTGCCGCCTACTTCGACAAGGGCCTCGCGACGATACAACGCATTGCTACCAACGCAAATGGATGCTCCCCAGCGGTTTCGGTTGACTTGAATAACGCGGTAGAACAACTCCTGAACACCACCTGCGCCCTGCTCTACCCAAGTCTGCTCTTCTTTGACACGGAAAAATTGAGGAGTCTGGACAATGGCAGTCTTGGGGTGTGCTAGATGCTGAGGGACGAGCTCGAGGAGGAAATCTTCACGGGGGCAAAAGTCCTGGATAAGCAGTCAGTATCATGCGACAGAGCAGATAAGATTGACTTACAGCATCGTAGATTGCGAAATAGTCTCCAGTAGTCCTCGCAAATGCCCACCGCAGGTTTCCTGCTTTTTTAAGGCGAGGGCGATCTTCTCGGCAGATGTATTCGTAGCCAAAGGAAGTCGCAAGCGCTTCGACTTCTGCCGATGCGCCATCATCAAGGACGAAAACCTTCATTTTGCCAGGTGGGTACTTCAGCGCCTTAACGTATTTGTAGGTGTTTGCAAGGACTTCGATCGGCTCCTTGCAGCAAGGAAGATAGATGTCGACAGTGGGCGCCGTAACCTCATTGATAGGGTGTTCCTTGAGAATTTCCAAATGTTTTTTGTAATCGAAGTCCTTTCCGACAAGCGAGACACCATAGGAGACAAACAGGTATGCTTGCAGAAGGACGACCATCGCACCAAACCAATAGAAAGGAACTGCGGATACGACAAAGAGCCACATGCCTGCCGACAAGCTGAGAAAGGAGAGTACACCGAAAGAGTAGAGGCCAAGCCGATTAGTCTTGAGATACAAAAGTTTTTCCTCGTTAGACGGTCCGCTAGGCATGATCAGTTCAGGTGGTACCTGGGGAGCATACGTCGCGACCAGTTGTTCACGCGCGCGGAGGAAGAGGCTCCGTTTGACTTGTTCGTCTCGGTCTGCGCTCGTTTCTTGACCCTTTTCCTCTGTGACAACATCTGGCGTTGATGCCGAGGCTACAGCGTCAGGGGACTCGTCGAGAGCTCGTTCTTTCGGCTGAGGCATGACGACGGATGTTGCGTAGGGGTCTGAAATCTCTCTTGTTGGGGAAGAGGACTTGAAGATGTTGTCCGATTCATCGACCGCCTGGATGACACTTGGCAGTGAGTTGCTTCGCCTTCGTTGTTCGTGGACGGTGGGTCTATGCGATGACGCTGGCCCATCTTGCCGGAGAGGCTCATCAACGAGGATGCTAGATCTTGAAGACCGCGAAACGATATGGCGCTCAGGTTTCGCACTCTCCGGTGTCTCCACAGAAATATCATGATGGAAGTCGCGATGTCCTTGATATAGAGGCTTCTCTTTAGAGAGCTTCGCACTGTTGGATTTTCCTGTAGGCCCTTTAAGTTCGAATTGTCCATTCCTTATCGACCGGTTAATGATCTGATGATTCGCCTCGGTCACGCCAGGTGTTTGAGATCCCTATTCAAAACCTTATTAGATCAAGATGACAAAGGCCAGGAACGAACTCACACTGGCAGTTTCATGCGGTGTGGCAGCATCATAAACGAGCGAAGGTATGCTCTTGATACTATCCGAGCCAACACTGGCTGTTTTCTGCTTGCCTAAACCATGACCGGCATCGAAGCCCCGGAGAAGCTGAGAAGCTTCAGCAAGACGAAGCTGTACTTCGAGTAGAGTAAGACCAGCGTTTGCAGGTTGCTCGTTCTGATTGGTAGACTTCTGGTTGAGGTTTTCATGTTCGACCTCAAGGTTGTGAGCAACCTCGCCGACGCGAGCAGGCATTATGAACGAATGTGAAAAACAAGAAGCAGAGGTAACGAGTGTAGGACTTTGTCCACTTGGCTGAAGGCTTCGAAGCCTTTGTAATAATGTTAAGTATCAAGTACCGAAGTGTTAAAACCTTTTGCTACCCACTTAATCAGTTGGGCGGCGTCTGTAACCACGCGTATCGGGCGAGACGCCATGGTGCTGTCAGGGGAGACCACATCGCATACCCCCCTGGTTAGCGTTTGTGTGAGTCTTTTCGGAACCACAGTGATCCAAACAGGGGCCTCAGCTCGGAGTCCACCCTTAGGGCGTACATTTCCCCAGCTGAACATAAATTGAATCATACTGATATAGCATGATCTACGCCAAGAAAGTGATAAGGAAAGATCCGGACTCGATCGAGTCTTCGAACGCTAATCATCCCTGTGTCCTTCAGCAATCGGCATGCATGTTAGCAGCAATGTCAGGGTTTTCCTGATGCAGTGACATCGACGCAGAAACATACATACACGTGGCACCAATTCACAGAGATCAGACCCGACATTGGATATCAACACATCAGTTACCGTTTTAATCTACCCTGAACCTTGGATCGATCTGGTTCCACCTAGCAAGTGAGAAAGCGAAGCAACAGGCATGCCGATAGGGAAATTCTTGTGGCGCAAAGTGGCTAGACGATAAGCATGATCGACCACTCGCAGGAAGACTCACTTCACTTATCCCTTGTTTGTCTAGACCGGAAACTTACTTTGTCGGAACAAGCGAAAACTCTATCGACACCGCATGTGCTTGGCAGGGTTGAGATTACCGCGACAAGTTAGCTTCAGGAACATCCCGAGCGACATTATCGTTGCATGCTGGCTGTAACGAAACCCGAGTTGGCCACATGGCGAGCAGTATTCAGTCGAGTCATTCCTTTGTTCGGTAAAACCATTGGTCTTGCTCAGGCTCGAAAACTCGCATTCAGCGTGCCTGCTATGCGCACACGTTTTTCAAGTGTACTAACAGCGTACTAGTTTGTTGTAAACACTGGTCCTGTAGACGTCGCATTACCTCCATCACTTCAAGTATATTTCTTCGAGTGCCTTATCTTCTCTAGCTTCTTCGGCGAATTGTTGGGGCTGAAACAGTTTGAATTCAACATGCGCATGCATAGGTAGCCGCTCAAACTCGCAGGGGTTGGATTGGAGCGGGGTGTTCTTGCGAGAACTACACAACCACTGAGTATTGTGTTTTGCGAAAAAGAAATGAACCCCCCGAATCAGGTCGCAAGATCTAGGGCTGAGAAGAGCGTCGAATCGCTAGTCTCTTGTTTATGCATGAACAAGCCACGGCGGCATCCGCATGCCATTCCTCATCTCGAAGCATACATGATGTTCCGGGAACCCTACAACCAACCGATGCATGCGACTCCGCTAGATCACGGAGTGTACCGAGTATAGATCCGTTCCAATCACTGCATATAGATCTGGTAAGGTTACCGCGCGTTGATCTGCTCCAATCGCCACGAGGCGGAAACAGGTTCGGTGAGGTCTACAATGATGGAAAGGTCGCTGTAGAACTTAATTGCACAAAACAATCTGTCAGGCACTTAGTTTGCCATTGGTACAATGTTAACACAAGGTATAGCAACGTATGGTTTTGTTCGTAGCTGAATAAGTTCTATAATAAGCACCCAACTCTTCGGGTACTTGATCGTGTAGTGGAGATGCCGTGCAATATTGGAATCTTGGAGAGAGAGTGGCTGACTGAACAGACAAAGCGGTCGTATTGTCCGGTAGCTCGGCGTGGCAGCAAAGTTCCAGCATGGCCCCCCCCTGGCTGTATCCCCACCAATATACGTGCGTTAGACCTTATCTGAGTTGCTTTGTTCAGCAATGATATTGGATTGTCACCATCCACCACCTTTGACATGGGGTCTAGATGCGCGTACCTGCTCCTGAGGCGTAGGATAATCGCGACACCGGCCATCTAGAAGCGGCCAGAGTTTTAGAGGCTGCCTGATCAGCCCCCAACGAAATCTAACCACGAATATCTTAAAAAGGTCACCGTAAACATTGGAAAATGTGCAATTATCCAACTCCTGTCTTTTAGTTTGATACCATAACTTTTCCTTACCTCAACAATGGCAACTCCCTGGACCCATCCAACATCAACCTTCGGGACTCCTTTGACAATGTCAGAAGCAGTAACCCCAAGATCGTCTCCGAATCTATCACGGACATCGAGTCACACTTCTGTCTCTGACCTGGATGACTCTTACAAGTCCAAAAAGTCAGCTGGCAGAGTACATTTCGATATTTCCAGCTCAGAGCCAGTGTCAAAAGTATGCTTTGTGGGCGCAGGTTATGTTGGTATGTACAGAATAAGACACTCCACCTTTTCAAAATACTCATACTACATCAGGGGGCCCGACCGCAGCAGTTCTTGCTTTCGCAAATCCGCAAATCGAAGTCACTGTTGTGGATAGGGACGAGGGCAGAATCAACAAGTGGAACTCAAAGCATCTTCCCATTCATGAACCGGGACTGAACGATGTTGTCCGCATCGCTCGAGATGGAGCGAATACCATAACCGTACCACGAGGCACCACTGAAGAAGTGGTCCGTCTTCCAGAGCGCGCACAAAACCTGTTCTTCTCTACCGAGTGTGACAAGCACTTGAGCGAGGCCGACATCATCTTTCTCAGTGTCAACACTCCCACGAAGATGGCCGGTATTGGTGCTGGCGCCGCCACTAATATGGCCAGCTTCGAGTCCGCTGTGAGATCAATTGCGCTTGTAGCAAAGTCAGGTGCGATCATCGTCGAGAAGAGCACCGTTCCGTGCAGAACAGCGCAGCTGATTCGAGAAATTGTGAGCATTGTCAAGAAACAATCATTTAACCCTTTACTGATTCGAATCGTAGCTGGATACATTTCGCCCTGGCGTTCCATTCGAGATTCTGTCCAACCCAGAGTTCCTAGCTGAGGGTACAGCCATTGCGGATCTCCTCAATCCATCGAGAGTCCTGATCGGATCCAGCAATACACCTTCCGGGACTGCAGCGGCTGCAACGTTGAGCCGTGTCTACAGTACATGGGTTAAGGAGTCTTCCATCCTCAACGTCCATCTGTGGTCCTCGGAGCTTGCGAAGCTCGTGGCAAATGCTATGCTTGCTCAGAGGATCAGCAGCATGAACACCATCAGTGCCATCTGCGAGAAGTCAGGTGCCCAGATCGCGGATATCGCTAAAGCTATAGGTATGGATGAGCGCATCGGATCCAGATTCCTGAACGCCGGGCTAGGTTTCGGCGGCTCATGCTTCAAGAAGGATATCCTCAGCTTGTCGTACTTGGCCGAGTCCCTCCATCTCCCAGAAGTGGCGGAGTACTGGAAGTCGGTCGTTGATATTAATGAATGGCAGTGTGAGCGATTTGTCAGGCGAGGTATGTTTCTCCCAATGCCACAATAGACGAGGCTAGAGCTGATCTGTGGCATGCGAACAGTTATCAAGTCCCTGAACGGTTCCCTTGGCCGCAAGAAGATCACGTTGCTTGGCTACGCCTTCAAAAAGAACACGTCGGACACACGAGAATCGCAAGCCATCGCGGTAGTGGGCCAGCTGCTGCGCGAACACCCAGCGGAAATTGCTATCTATGATCCTTGGTGTGCGCCGGCGGACGTGGAAGCCGAGTTGGGGTCCATGTTTTTCAACTCGACAGAGCCGCGAGGACCCGTCCGTGCATACACAGATCCTTACGCTGCTTGCGCGGGCACTGCTGCCGTTCTCATCATCACCGAATGGGACCAATTCAGGTACCCAGAGTGTTCCGCAGCCCACTCTGTTGCGGCCGTCGCGAAGGGCCATATGCAGACATCTTTAGCGCAGCTCACAAATCTCCCTGCCGATCTGCCAACATGCCAGCTGGAGGATGCGGTTCAGGGATACTACCGTCCAGAGCCCGAGTGCACCACCGATTGCCAGGGTTGCGCTGCAAGTATCGAGGCCGACAGCCCAATGCGCTCGGACAATCTTAAATGGGATGAGATTGCCCAGGGTATGAGCATGCCGAGATGGGTGTTTGATGGGCGCGGCGTCGTCGAGCCCAAGGCGCTAGAAAGCTTGGGATTCAAGGTTGAAAGCGTGGGGAGCGTAGGTTCCCGCTCGCGGCTCGGCGGATTCGAGGCCAACTGAGTGCCCGATTGGCTGATACTTGGATTGATATGTGAGGGAAATGAATCTGGTAGCATGTGATGATTTGTCGTGTCAAACAATGGTGGATCGGGTGGGTTTTCGTTCTCCGCATAGTTCGATTTTTGTTTATGGTGTTGTGGCGTCATAGCAGTGGACAACACTGTGATGGCTATTGTCATCTAAGGTTTGTAGAACTAGACACAAATATTAATTTAATCTCGACTTGGCTCGTACGTTGTAGTGATTTACGAAATGCCACTCGCTTTCAAGATAACATTTGACCCAATCTAGTCATGTGACATTACTTTCATCTGTAAAGCGTGCAAATTTACGCATGACACAGTGTACGATAGAAGACACAGGAGACACATAAGATGCGGCCCCTTGTAAGGTGGACACAGGTATGGGGATATACGATGTCATCAGAACGGATCTCTTCGTTGGTTAAACAGCTGATTGAAAACACTTGAGAATCTGACCTCTCACAACCCGTTTTAGCTAGTATACGGTAGGTACCGAGCGAAGCGTGCGCCCACTGTATCAAGCAAATCGCTATTTGTCGCTTGGCGTTGATCCCGGTCAGCTAAAAACGGATGGCGCAGGTCCGACCGCTGATGTCCGCTTCTAATGGGCCGAATCGTTTGGACTAAAAAGTTGAGAATCTTCTAACTTTCACGAACGTTGAGATAGTTTTCGTCTAGTACGTATGCTAGAAGTTGAGCCTCTTGCTTAAGCTGAAAGTTTGTCCTACACAATAGAGTTCAAGCTATCCCCAATCTGTCGATGTACATTGTGTTGCAATACTCATAACTGTGCGCGAGCTTGGATTTCGCCTATCTCTTTACTCAGCAAGCGATACGATAAGCAACCCTTCTTCCAGCCTATGTGGCTTGATGACGCGCATTTACAAGAGTTGAGACGGCAGCCACCAAGCCATGTTCTATGGTGAAGATCTACGGCTTCAGCCTCCGCACGTGCCCCAGCTGAGTGCTGGTAGATGCACTGCTGCCCTGTAAATCCCTTCCAAATCTCCCTTCCCATGCAACCTTATCGTGGCTAGCTTGGCTTTCAAATGTTTATTTTAAAGTTTCGGGCTTTTTTCGTGTTTCAATGCTGTATGTAGCCGCATCACTGCATGTTCAGCTCCGGTGCGTTAACCAATATGAGATTCCTCGAACGCTGCACACGGTTCAAAGTTTGATTAGTCGCTTGATGATCTTTGCAACGTAGAGGAGGCTTCCTTCTGCATAATCCATTTTCGGGCTCTTTTGCGTGAAGTCAATGCAAAGTATGCGTTGGCTTTGGCATATCCTTGAGTTTGCTCTTTTCACTTGTACCACACTCGCATTCCAGGAGCTCTGTAATCGGTCCGAAAACATCCAACAGGGTGATTACAGATGTATGTACGGCACCGCATCCATAGTGTTGATCGCACTTCCCGTCGACAATAAGCAGCGCGTAACTGATATTACACCGCAGTCAACAACAACGCATGGGGCGAGGTACGACTATCTGGGACCGGCTCTATATCGCATCGTACGTACTAATCCCACGGTAGGATGATTCTGGCTCCGTCTGCACATATGTACGCATCCACTTCCAGAAAAACGGTATACCAACTAACAGCATCAGGTTCCCAACAATAATTCCAATTACTTCTACTCAGAATGGGAATGGAGTACGCAGCCCGCCCGTGTTCGTGCTTATCCGCACATCCAATTCGAATCGGATCTGCTCCCTCTCACCTTTGCCAACATTTCAAGTCTGAACTTCACTCTGAAATGGGCCATGTCTCCGGTATCACTCATTGCCAGTGCTTCAGATGACCCAACTACCCACCCAAACGACGATGCGTTGGAAGCAATTAACGTCGAGGCAAACGTCGTTGCAGACCTATTTGCAGATGCCGATATGGTAGTATCGCAACAATCAGCAAACCAGACATACGAGATCATGGTTTGGTTCGGCCGATTCGGGAGCGCGTCGAAACCGATTGGAATGGATGACAGAGGGCAGATGGCTATCACGGCTTCGGTCGGCGGTTTCAACTTGTAAGCACATCTGACCGCATTCTCGTTCTTCTCCAGTCTATCTATCATCCATCGGGAGAATCCGATCGACGTGCGTTGTCGCTAACATTTATGTCTCAGCACTCTCTATAACGGCACCAATGGCAACGGCCAATCGGTTTTTTCTTGGGTATCTCCTTCCATCTTGACATCGTTCTCAGGAGATATGTCACCATTTTTACACCAGCTCGCACGATATGGGTTGATTCCGTGGGACACGTATTTGGGCGTTGTTCAATTCGGGACAGAGACTTTCTATTCAAACAGCAAAGTCAAATTCGCCTGCAAGAACTTCCAAGCAGCGTTGGGTGGCCCGTATGCAGCCAAGAGGGAGCCGCCGCCCACTATAACCGTCGAAAGTCTTCCAACCAAAGCAAGTGCCGCGATGAATTTGGTGGCTTTCAGGGGCGACAGCATGCTACGACTGAGTTATGCTGCTCTGTTAGTACACATATGGGCTTTTGCGGATCTGCGATGTCTTGGTAGCTTATGACTGTTGCCTTGTTCTTGATATGACATGACGTGCATTTGTATCTGATACTTAGTTGATACATGAGTCTCTTGGGGTTTCTGACTATTACAGAGACACGAGATTGGGTATCTACAATGTGACGGGGTAGGGTTGGAAGGACGGTCTTTAGTTACTGTACCACAACAATGTTTCATAGTTGCATATTGAACATTTTTCTCTCGTGTGCTTGGAATATGAGTGTCAAAACGCGTGCCGAATTCACATTATCGATAGAGCTGCAATGCTGTTGGTTTGATGATAGGGTAGTGTCTTCGGAGGTCGGCGGTCTTCCCAGCTGATTAGCATGAGGCAGTCAGTAGAGTAACGTGAAAACCCCCATTGCCATATGTGTGATCTCAAGGGATTATGGGGGACCGAGCTAGAAAATCGGTGGCTGTCGTCTCCAGATACTTCTCACTTCCCATCTAGTCGTAAAGCGCTTGAGTCATCACCTATTGCCTCAAAGAAAGCCATCTGATGGCGTGTGTTGAAAACTGCTTTCCTCTGCTCTATAACTTCGAGCAGAGGAGTTCAAGACCTCGTATTTTTGTCGCGGCACGTACGACTGATTGTCCAACTGAGAAAGCCGCATATATGCTCGAATTCAAACCAGGACTGTGAAACAAAGCGAATCTGTCAACTAAGGAGCTTACCTGATGTTGTCGCTTGTTCGTGGTTAACTGCGACATCAACATACTACACCACATATACTCTGTCCCCTCACAGCAAATACTGACGAAGAAACCATAGATTGTAAAAAAACTGTCTGATTGTTGATTATTGCTAAGCTTCTTTCTTGACTCCAGCCGATACTGATTTACAGATGTAAAACGTTGCTGACCATGATATGTCCCGTTCCTAATCAACAATCATCTTTCCTCTCTTCCTTCTTTCCTTCTTTCCTTATGGGCTCTTTCTCCTCCACAGTCTTCTCTTCGTCTATATTCGCAACCGCTTTATACAGATGGACAAAGTTAGAAACCTCTTCATCAAATCGGCCATATGATTGCAACTGGCAACCTCGAGTGTCTCGTTCAGGACATAGAGTCGCAATACGCCAACACTGGGATTTCTTGCCCATAAACAACCCGTCCTTCATCCAAGTAGCAGTCGAAGAGGTTAGGTGAGTGCTACAACAACCACCGCGGGATGCAAGATTGACATCCCATCGAGGTCGTGCAGTGAAAATCTAGGGCATGTGAAAGACGATGACGACGCCTCCGGTCCCAGTCCCACTTTTGCAACAAACAACGAGCCGGACTCGACTCAAAGTCGATCGAAAGTGTCACTCATCGCCGCATCATGGTCCACGCACGCACGTCATTGTGTTCGAACAGGTTCTAACGGTTTTCACTGCACCACCCTGGCGCAGGACCCCGCCCACGAGTCTATATAAAACGGCTCAGCCTATCTTCTCCAACAGCATCGCTCATTATCTCAACCAAGGAGAACATCAATCAACCAAGACAGAAAGATAACATCTCACGGCTATTCTGTTCACGAGCTATCCATTTCTCACGGTCCACCTCCCTCACCACCCCTACAAACCCAACAACCCGCCGAAGATGAAGCTCTCCACCATCGCCATCATGTTCTTCGCCACCATTGCCACAGCCTCACCCGGAGCCATCTCCTTAGAGCGCAGCTTCAAAGACGTCGAGGTCAACGGTACCGTCGTGCAAATGGCGTGTGTCATGTGCCCCTGCCACGGCTGGGTTGGCGTGTGCACTTGTGTCAAGAACGGGTGCTGCTGCTAAGTAGATTAGTCGCGTCCTTGACTTGGACATGTGTTCGCGCGTTCTTGGGAGCCTGATATCGGGTTCTCTTTTCGGCGACGACTCACATGGTCTGGGAGACTCGATCTGGTGGGTGGGAATTATTGGCAAGGGGCGTTGCATTTGTTTCTTACGGTTGAGTTGGACTTTCGGACTCGCTGATGTGGCAGAGGTCTGGGGTTCAAACAGAGTTGGTGATGGGTCAATTCTTGGTATTGCTATGATAGACTATGTTCGTCTTCTACCCTTACTCATTCCACACCATGATGTGGTATGAAATGACATGACTATCCTCATTAAATGGATAAGAATAGTAATACATAACTTCGAAATTCATTGTCTTTACTGTGTGATTATGGAATGCGTTGTACTCAGTAAGTTTCTTTGACAATTTTATCGCTCATGCTTGCTGTTGGCTAGCTGAGTTAACATTGTGCTTTTGTTCAAGAAGTGTTACAGACCAGATTCACCAATCACACTTACCCAAGTTGATCTTCTCGACCCGTACCAGGAGAATAAAGTACTATACAGCGTGGTTAGGACTTGTGGAGGTCAATTCTGTAAAAGACACAGACTTATCGAGCACATTTTGGACCGCTATCACCTCTTTTGGTCAATGGGAAGACATTTTTCTCCTGGGTTGCCGCTTCGCTATAAGTAAACTTCTCTATAGTACCGACAGGAACGCATGCAAACAACAATTTTGAGCTTGACTTCTGACTGACCCAACGTCAACTGTACATAATTGAAGGCACGTAAGGTCGAGGACGTTCCCAACGTATGACCATTGATGGGGACTCAAATCAATCAAAACGGTGAATAAATAGGACAAGACTGCTACTCTTTTTCCTCCTGGAAAATTCCTCCTATTGGCGTCTTCTCATCTGAACTGCGGCATTTCAACCGATAGTATACAACGGCGCGCTCTTCGCCATGTGGTATCTATTGTCCCCACATGTGACTGGATGTGTTATTTCAAAAGACTTGACTGATGTCTCGCTATTTCTCGATATCTGACGACGATCTCTTTCTGCGTAATAGTGATCGTTAGTAGTTGTCCTGATCTGTAAGTTGGATCGGGAGGAGTTCTACCACATCAATGGTCTCATAAGAATTGATGAAGTACATGTTGTGCCGCATCTAATAGCAGTCAGTGACAAATTCAAACGACGTTTATCGAGTCTTAACCGGAGGAAGCTCTTACCTCGATGTAAAATCTTCCTTCCCCGGTACTCTTCGCTACTGCTCGGATAAGACGAGCGGGACTCGATACATATTTTGCAGGCAAGCATTCCTGACATGGCATGTTGTAAATGTTCGGGTCGGTCTGGATAGACTTGGTCATTTCAAGCGATGATCTTTGGTGAAGTATACTATGGAGCGAGATCTTATCAGACTACATGCGATAACCAGAGTAGGATCATGAAAGTGAATTGGAACTACGTCACATACGAAAGCAACGTGAAGAACCTCAACCTCTTTATACGCTCAAGGCTGAATCTTTTGAATGACCCGTTGCAGATAGTTTTGCGAGCGACACGTGGTGGCTAAGCCTGCATGGTGGCGATTGGACTAACCACTTAGATGTTCGCCAGCTAACAGGGGGTGTCACATTCCTATCTCGGTAGCTATGTTATTCTTTTTCTAAGCCTGACAAAGGGGGAGGAATGATTAAATATGGGCCCATAACCATGCTTGCAAGATATCTTTCTCAGTCAGTGTTATCTATTATTCTGTCAAGAGGCATGCCTTTGAGAAGTGTTGTGTTGGGGGCAATAGTCCGTAACCTTGTTGTCATGATACTGGTGCTTCTGTCCGCATTGTCTGGGAACGACATCAGGGACGGGACAAGCGTTATGGAGATGCGGCTGAGAGGGCACATGGGCGCCGCCACATGGCAGACGAATGCGTAAATAGCCCCCTCTTTTCAGCGCTTAGAACAAGCGAACTTGGAAGATGAGGGTGTGATAATGGGACTTGGGGCTTTGCGATATCATATCAAGTACATATTGCCTAACGATTGTATATCCCGTTGCCTTGATATTTCATGTAAGACCTTATTGCTTCATTTACTGTCGTTCGAAGCGCCATTCAGGCGACCCAGCCTACCTTAATTGGTTACGATTCGTCACGACATGCACGTGCAACAAAAACTACTTGCGTCCTATCAAGGCGGAAACTACATGGACACGGTGAGTTTGTTTTCTCATGTGAGATGACATACTAAGAGTCTAGGCTTTGTCTGAACGTTCTTACGACGTGCATGATGTTTCACCGCGTCTGGAACAGTTCTCTTCCAGCTCTGACAATTGGCATCCAGTAGAAGACTCTATCTTACTTCATGCACCCCCCCGACACTCACCTGGCTCACTAGATGAAGCAAGCAGTGTCGATAGGAATGGAGGTTTGTCAATTGAGACATCAGAAAATGCCAGAACCATATCTTTGGAGCAGGCGCAAGATCTCCTAGCCCATACTGGTGCTCAATTTCCCGAAGAGCAAATCTCCGCGCCTACAAAAGTGACTCTCGACAATCCGACAAATCCGAGGAGAGCAATTTTGGACAACTGGATCAGGGAGCGGATGGTTCTCTGTGCAGAAAAGAAGGAACTTCGTTTTCTGCCTATAAACGAGATTCAAGATCTCGTCACCCAGGAAAACATACGTAAAGAGCTCCAGCAGGCCAACGTGCAAGGCGATTTGTCCACAATCACAGCTGATATCTGTGAACCCAGAGAAACTCCAGGTGGTAAATCCTCCTCAAGACAAAGGATTTTCGCTGTTTTGTGCATGTTGCAGAAAGCATCTGAGATTGTCTCGTTTATCCGCGAGAACATTTTTGACAGTGATCTACCATTTATTTTCGATCTTCACAGCGTGCCCAGACGCGATGTATGTTGCACATCAGACCAAGGATTCAAGCCCGTGCGACTGTTCAGCTCTGAAATATGGCGACCGATGGAACGAGAACTATTCTACCATTATCAAGGGCAGCTATTGGCACCGCTCTTCAGATTCAGCTATGATGCTGGTCAGAAAGTCATGCATTTCCCTCTGAAAGACGAGGTTGTACTCCCTTTCATAGAGGACACTCTGACAGATGGCGACGTCCTTGGAAAGACCCTACAGCGTGAGGGAGGATTCTCATTCGTCAGGAAAGTCAAGATACATCCTGCACATTATACCGCGAACCCAAAAACTGTAAGCTAATCAAAATCAAACCACTCATGCAACAGAACTGACAATGTCTCATCAAGCAAGCGAAGAAAGATCTTTACTTTGCTGTTAAAGAGCTGAAGGTTACGGAAACAGCGGAATCCGCTCAAGAGAAACCAGACCATCGCGAGACATTGGCACTGAAACGGGTCAATGAAAAACGCCACAAACATCTGATAAGGCTGCTCGCGACGTATACACACAACGGTCGCTTTCATATGATCTTTCCATGGGCCGACGGAAATCTCAAAGACCTCTGGAAAACCTCCATACCTCGAAGCCCCGAACTTGCGAAATGGCTCCCGGCACAGATTTTAGGTCTAGCACGAGGTCTCCAACATGTTCATTACTGCACGCTTGACAAGTCCATTGTTCAAGATTTATCTATAAAAGATCAACAGAAGATACACGGCAGACATGGGGATCTTAAGCCGGAGAATATACTTTGGTTTCAAGTAGACGACAGCATAGAAGGTGAGGGATCGACCGATGTCCTCAAGATTGCTGATTTTGGCTTTGCAGATTTCCATGGCCCTGATTCCAAATCCAACGTTGGCATGAGTGCTATAGGCGGCTTCACAGACACCTACAAAGCCCCGGAATTGGATGTCAGAAGACCCGTATCGGCTCAATATGATATTTGGTCATTCGGTTGTATACTTCTGCAGTTTGCTGTATGGTCCATCCTCGGATGGGATGGGGTTGAAGGCTTCTCCAAGAAACGAACTGCTGATTCGGAGGGCGGGCAAATCCCAACGGACAAGTTCTTTAAACATGAAACAGTTGGAAAATGCTCGACTGCGCGAGCAAAGGTCTCTGTTGTTGAGGTACATATTCCATCATAACATCCGCTGCCTAATAAATCTAACACTCGCGAACTAGGAATTCGGGATCTTGATGAATCACGTTGATTGCAGCGATTATATCGTTGACCTACTGAAGTTTATAGAATCTTCTATGCTCAGAGTGCACGCTCGGAATCGTGCTGATATTGACATCATTGTTCAAAAGTTCGAAGAGCTCGAGAAACGTTGCAACGAAAACGAACGATATTGTACGCACAAAACCCAGTCAATCAAGACGATTGGTTCGGACTTATCGGAGATCGTTGAAATCGTCGAATCTCGCGAGATCAGTAAAGGGAAGACAGATGGTCCCGTTACATGCCTTGTTCAGACCAGCGGCCAGCCAGAGGGCAATGAGCTGAGTTCAAAACCCAATGATGACACAAGAGTCGGAGGCGAAGCAAATTATGTCTCGACATCGCGAAGCTCTCCATTACAGTTTGTCGACAGCATTGATTATCTCAACCCAAATCAGCCTGCGAACATGCCAATTGGAACACGCTTTGAGCCAGACAAATATCCTACATCTCAGCCACCTCAGCATAATGCAGAAGACAAAGGAAAAAGTACAAACTACCACTACCTGACACCTGTTGATAACCCTCCCGAAAGTTCAAACGATAGTCGAGTTCTTCCAAGAGAGAACATCCTCGACTCCCAAACTATGGCAGCAAGCCGTACCAAGCCTGGAGATGAAACATCTAGACCTCAAAGTCATCACTCACAACAAGAATCCAACGTCCCCAACCAGGCAGCTCTCAGGCAACTGAAGGTTCCATCAAGACGCCGAATGTTTGTGGAATGGTTGAGTAAGATGTTGTGCATACCTCAGAGTTGATGCGACTTTCTCCATTGTCGTCCGTTGAAAGATCACTTTGAACATCTGAGAACCAGACGATCTCGCATTCTGCAGCACATCGGTATGAAACTTATGCGTTGCCATCTTCCCATAACGATCATTTCTTCATCGTTCACGACGCGATTTGTACGGCGAAAAATGACGAAAAAGTACCATAATCCGATGGTTATTGTCGTGAAGAAAACGGTAACGACGACGTATACCCACACATAGCTGGAAATTTGGGTTTCGCCATCATCACCAAACCAGTCGAAAAATGTCATCGAGAACACGGTCTGCAGTACTCGTCGTCAGGATGCTACCAGACTATGAGATGGCTGGAGTATACGTACAGCAAAGAATGTCCCTGGTAGAAAGACCATAGTCACCAAGGAGATGGATCTCATGACCTTGGAGTCTTGGCTTGTGGCTAGTGCAATCTCTACTGCGGTTTCGCTATGTGACTGCGCGGGTTAGTTCAATACCATCTTCAAACTGGGGTAGGGACCGTACCCATTGCGTAGCCATTGCCATGCCATCTACACGCATTGTGCAATCTCTAATCTTTTCGTCGTATTCATCCCTGATGGCTGCAAGCCTGATTCGAATCTTCTCGCCAACGGTTCGCATCTGCTCTAGATACACACAGTCATCTTGTGCGCATGGGAGAGAATCCCGATAGTTGTCACTCCGTTGTAACCTTTGCGAACCGTGAGTTGGATCCGGATTAGCCCCTACCTTACCAGACGGCGAACTATCTGATTCATCTTTCTCTGGTTTCACGTTACATGAATCTTCTGCTACATTAGTACATCCCGGATTCAGTATCGCAGCCATTCGTGCCTCGAATTGGAAATATTTTTGTGGCCAAGTCGAGTGTCGAGATAGCGCAACGGATGTACATTCGCTGCATTTTGGCGGAAAGTACTGTTGATCTAGCTGATCATCATGTTCCGTCATCTTCAGAAGCTGCCCGCTCCATGTTGTGAGCGAATTACGAAGATACGTCAGATCTAGCCATGCTGTACGCTTCGCTCGATTACGGCTCTCCATGTCAGCGCTTCGGTGAGCCTGACCGTCACTTGATCGGACGTCCAGCTCCAAAATCATCGTTTCTACATTGTTGATATGGGTTTCGACAATTTTCGTATGCCTTTTTAGTTCCAATTCGGCGAATATGCCCGGCATAAGAAGTGGGTGAGCGGCTTCACCTCCGATAGAGTGGAATCTCTCAAGTAGTGTTCTCTCTATCGTGGAAGAAACGCCGTACAATATTGCAAACGTCAATCCGCGTTCCGGGTAATATGTCGCGGACAGAGCCAGATCAGATTCCCATGCGTTGGGCGTTCGACAGTTGTATACTAAGGCGCAATGTGTTAGATAACGATAGTCTATCAGATATATAAAGTACTTACCCATCGCTGGTCTTTTCATTTCTACTTCCTCGCACGAGAACAGAGGCACATCAGATCGAGTCATGGCACGTATGAATGATTGATGGATCTGAAATCGCTCGCATATACGCTCAAACGTAGGTAAGGAGAATGGTAAATGACGAATACCTCGAGCAGGTTGTTTGCTCAACGATGCTTCACGGGTCGCACGTAGTGTATTATGCTTCTCTCCAAGTGGTGCAAAGGTCTCTGCACGTCGAAATCCATTTGTATGAGCAAGGTCGCCTTGGGTTTCCCTGAGCCAGTCGGCGATACCTATGGGCGCGCGATCGGTTCTGCACAGTGTACTGCCTCCTGCTCGGTTGGCCAAGCTTTGAACAGTTTGAGTCAGTAAAGTAGTAAAGGCAGTGGCGGTAGTTGGCCTTACACTAGAACCAGGCCACGGCCGGTGTAGCTGAAATACTAGAACTTGAATCATTATCGTTATTATCAAAGTTATGTGGAGTTGCTCACTGTGTCTAGCCATTGTGTCCAATCGTCATCTGTCTCTAAAATCCAGATCTGAGCTTCATACTTTTGCAGTCAGTATGATAGGCTTGCTGTCTATGATGTATTTATGATAAGAAAACATACGTTACTGCTCTCTACAATCCGTATTACAATCGTTGGCCTTTGTTCGTATTTGAAGACACGTCGCAGGTCTTGAGTAGAGCGGCTTAGACAGGCATTATCATCAGCCCAATCCATTTAGTACAGAGGCGAGATCCTAATCTGGCGATGGACATGGAGCAGAGAGTCGTGGTCCTTCTCTTGTATGGACGCTGGCATGGCGGTAAGGCTGGTGTCAGGCTAGCTAGCGTCAAACGGGGACGTGCATAAACCAGGTTATGCGCGCTACGCGCAATTAGACCTTGAGGTGCCACATCCCACCGGATATATATGCCTCACCGGTTACGATAATGTACGATTGGTAGGATTTGACAGCTCGACATTATCGTCGCCCTCCTGACTGCAGCACCCTCGAAAAAAAGTCTCTACGATGGTACTTGAGGCAGAAATGAGTCTCAACCGCACTTGTCACACGTTGCATTGCCAACTCAGCCTGATGAGGTGGCGGGGCAGTGCGCCAGGCGTATTTGACCACGTTACTCGAGTTTAATCACACCATCTCGATGACGATAAACCAAGAATTTGAAGGCTTGCAAGGCATTCTTATCAGATTGAGGTCCTCTTAATTTGGGGACGAACTGCCCCAAAATTCGGCACACACAAAGCCAGATAACATTATCGAAGTTGAACTATCCTATCGTCATCATGAAGGTTGCTATGATATCCGCTAGATATATGGAGCAACACGCTGTAGAGGACTTTCTAGGGCAGGTGTTCGGGTACGGAAAAGCCCAGGTCACGGTATGGAGTGAGGTCCATTTGGCAGGGCGATAACTGACATAGTGTTAGTGGACTCGAGGGCGCTTTCAGTGCCTTCTACCTCGTGCGCTGACCAAAGTACGAGATCATCTCAGCCTACCAAATCTTATCGGCTGACACTTTGAAGGATGAATTAGAGTCCATGAAGGCAGCAGTTGACTTTGCACATTATGCAGAGTCGTGATTTGTTAGTCATGCATCATTGAGAAGCACAGATACAATGTCATAATGCATGTATATGGGTGCGCAGGGCTTACAGGACGGATTTGAAAGACTTTGGAATGAAACTTTGGTACCTAAACACATGGTCGGCATCAAATGTACAGCTTGTGCTTTACTTGTTACGGTTCCACCCATCTAATTCCGTGTCTCTGATAACAACCCAGTCATCATCCAATTCTTCGAGCTCCTGAGTACTCTTTGCTTTCTGGCTTGTACCTTTGTGTATGACAAGGTTTGTGTTTTGGAGACCCTTCCGGACCCTGGACTTGAACACCGCATCAACAGGATCGTACAGCACTGCTGGCCGTGACTTTCGACGATGCAACTTAGCATAATCAGATCCATAGTCTGTAACCTTTGAGTGCATACGTTCCATTCTCTTGAAGAGATCGACAGCCGTGATCCTGTCTTTATTCACAGATAGCGTGACTACCATTTCTTCTTCGATCAGGTACAGAAGATCGTGAAAGTATTCTGAGCAATTCTCATGCTCATGTAGTTTTGCGATATGCTGTGAGCTTCTTGTCAGATATATGCGAGTTGGAGTGACGCAAGCTCTGATTGAACTCACCTCTGTCACCTGCTTCTTTACTAACACGACATGACCCCCACCTTTCTTTTCTTGGATATCAAAGAATATGTCCGAGCAAGTACCAGTGAGATAAGGTGACATCCTGTCCTTCGAGAACTCTGTTCTGGCTTCCTGTCCACCAAGAGCCCAGCAGACCAGCTCAAGTAAAAGGCACCCGAAAGTCCAGATATCGTACGAGCGGGAAATCTTGCCTCCCTGCAGATCACACTCAGGTGATCGATACATTGGTGTGAAATGCATATTGTTATTGGAGTTGTTCGAACGACTCAAGATTGAGTTCAATGTGCTCAGACCCAGATCAGCAAGAACCAAGATACCCCTCTCATCCGTTGGAGATTGGTACCATAGCACATTGTCCGGCTTCAAGTCTCCATGTTTGCCATACCTACATTCCTGAGGCGGGTGGAGAGTGTTGGAAGAGGGGTCGTGAATACTTTTCAAGGCACTCGTCATGCCCAATATCTGCTTCGAGATCCAGCGTACATTATCGAAGTCCACGATCGGTTGTGGGTATTTTAGCCAATACTGGTCCAGGTCGCAGCCCGCCAATGGAAAAAGCAAGTAGTATTGATGATTGATCGTCCACGTCATTAATAACGTCACCAAATGATCATGAGAAAAGCCTGTGAACCGCTTCAGCATCTCAACCTCTCCCCAGAAAGCTATTGTTTGCTCGCTCTGCTTTTGTTTGGGTGTTTGCAAAAGCATTTTCAGCGCAAAGTTGTCGTCAGTTTGGATCTACTCTAGATCAGATCAGTGTTACATTGTAAGCGACAGGACGAGCTGAACGTACCGATTGAAGCACATCTTGAAACCGGTGACAATCAGGATGAACCATGACCCTTTTGACAACACCATATCCTCCCTGTTCAAGCTCCCCTGAGCCGGATTGCTTCACAAAGGGCAGGACTACCCTTGAATTGAAGGTTTTGTGTTTGACAGTTCCATCGGGTTGCATATCGAGAACTATGGGCATAAGTCGATATTGCTCTTTGGCAAACGCCTCTCTTTCGTAGGTCTCCCAATGCTTAGAAAAGTAGCTGACCTCCTGTCGAAGCCGCCCTCTTCGATACAACCGGGATTGGCTCATAGACTCGATCAACGGCAGGTGCTCATCTCTTATTCCTTCATCAATCAATTGTTCGATACACTGTCCTTTGTTCAACAAGGTAAGGATCACAAAGATGTTGCGATGGTGAGATCGAATCGTGAGAGCAAGAGCATGAACACTATCATTTGTCTTGAGAGGACCAATAGATGAGTCGGCTTGGTATGTGTTCAACTCTTCAACAATACGCTCCAGGGTCATAAGTTCGTCTAAGACCTTGGGAGACCAGAATCGTCGAATGTTCGAATCCTCGTGTTTACAAGCGGATTCGTGCAGAACATAGCCAAGGCGTTTATGACCAAGGAGGTTTTTCTGTCGGTCCTCTAGGTCGTTGTTGTCGATATGGTTTTCCCAAACATTCGTACTCTCCGATTCCCAACTGTCTTCAATCTGGTCGCTTTCGTATTGGATATCTGTGGAGAAGTCTTCAACAACGATATCTGGATTTTCCATAGCAACTGGAAGGATTGGCATTGTAGGAGACTCAAAATTTGGGAAACACTCCGTCACTTAAATACGAGGATGATAAATTCAGCCTTTCGTCTTTGAGGCTCTGGTATGACTGGTATGGACGGTAAATAGAACCATGTTTCTTCCCACGGCAGTTGTTCAAGAGATTCGCCTGTGCATGTTGTCTATGCATGTTGTCTGTGCACAACCAGCTTCGTTTGAATTGCCTTGTAATTCGCAAGGCAACAAGGCTGAAGACTCGGAAGCGCTTCTGAGGGACAACGCACAAGACGATCGATACCGTTCGGGAAGATGAACGCCCTTCAGTTCGAAGAGGTGGCTCGGCGGTCTAGATCGACTCTTGTCGATTGGACCAACAGACCAAGCGTGCAACTCCCGCATGATCCAGGATCGACGGAGGGTGTGAAAAGGGACGGGCTGATTGGCATAACACTGTGTAGAAGGCGGCTGAGATCCATGACGTCTGCAGTCGACCATGCGCATCAAAAACCACGTATGCAATGTAGGTATGTACGCGTGAGATAGGTCGGCAGGAAGCCACACTCGTGACTTCGCGAATAGTGCAGTTATGTTCGATATAGCGAGAGGTAGGATGAAAATACCCAATCAGTGTAGCAAGCGGAGAGTGAATGTGATTGGAGCACGCTACCGGTGAACGGCTTACTACAGGCTCTTTGAAAACTATGGGGTGATCTTCGAACTATCTCATCATATGCGGGGTCAGGCTCTTCAGTTGCTCTATGCCTAAGGCTTGATCTGACTTATTGATCATATTTGTTCCATCTGACCATTTTCCGAACACGGCGGTGATGTCTGGATTTAGACAATGTGTTCAGTGCAGCGCAACGATTGGGGGCGGTTGCGATAGCCGCTGTACTCCCAATGTGGACTGAATAAGCGACGCTGCATCTTATCTAGCCGGAGTCATGGGTTGGTTCATCTGGTGTACGATCAATGATGGATTGCTTTGTGGCGACCCCGCATGATGGTCGTTTGAGTTGAGACCGGCAGGGGATGAGAAGGCTGAAGATAGCCCCGGGCAAATGACAGCAAATCTAGCCAGCCGATAAGATTTTAGCCATCTCCGCCTTTGTCTTCCCTTTCTAGCAATCTTCCAAAGAGCCAGACTCTTCTGGTGGCTTCGTTACTGAAGAGATTACCCTTTTTCGAGCAAGTTCCAGCTTCATACTCGCATCGTCAGCAACACCAAGAGTAGATAGACCAAGCTTAGGTTCACGGAATATCTGACTTAGAAAACCTTTAAACTTAACTCTATCCCGACTTCCCGCACCGAAACGTGCTCGAGAACGCGTGCTCTTGCAATCGACTCGTGCTTTTGTAGTCGACCCAATCGTAGCTGCGCACGAAAGCTAGACATCACTCGTACAGAAAATACTCCCAGCCCAAACTAACCTTTCCGCACTCATTCGACGCCTGAAGAAAACAGCAGAGGATAGCAAATTTGAATCATAAAATTTCCTCCACTTTTGGTCAAAAGATGATCCAAAGTGTGGCAGAAGAAGTACTCTATTCACCAAAGACCAAAAAGGGGACATAGCAATATCAGACCGCCATGACCACAACAGGGAGAGCTAACAAAAATTCGCGCAAAGAGGTCTCAGGTCAGTTATGCGACGCAGACTCGCGCCTCGTCGCATTCACCGGACGTTATCGAAAGGGAAACTTGGGTCGCCACAAGAGCCGGAAGCATAAGTACAGAGGGGATCGAGTGTGTCTATACCATGATGACGATTGTGGTAGAGTACGGTATCTAAATAGTAAGATGTAGGTCTAAAATGCTACGGAAAACATCGTATGTTTTGTTTCTCGGCCTCACTGCAGTATTTTTCGAAAGATCTAGGATGCTGTTTCAAACTCGTTCATTATGCAGATGAGACTTCCTCCCAAGCTAGAGAGGAGAAAGGTATTTGAAGTGTGTGATGTAAACAAACCAATCGATCTGATGGAAATATCAAGCAAGACAACAACCGTAGAGATCACGCACCAGAATTCTACACGTGTTGGATGACAATCACAAACGCCCTTTCCACGAGTATCAATGACAGACCAGCTCATGAGAAATACGCCTTCAAAGAAGCTTTGAAGAAGAAGAAGAAGAAGAAGAAGAAGAAGAAGAAGAAGAAAGGGGACAAACTCTACCATACAACACCAGCAAACCAGTGCTCGACCCCTACCCAACCCGCCATTCAAACTCACGAACAAGGACGACAAAAGTTACCAATACGATAGCGCAACAAGAGTAGCAGGAGATATCAAGCTACAACTCAAATCCGCATACTACACCACTTCTCCACCTCGACTTCTCCACCGATAGAGCATCAAACCCCGCAAAACGCCCGCAAAACCAGTGCTTCATACACGCCACCCCTACCCTCTCCTGCGAAAGCCTGCGCATACCCGTAGCAAGGCGGGACACACACCCGACATCTAACGTTCGGAGATGAACCCCTCCCATCTGCTCACGTTACGTCTCAATACAGATATCAACATGGCGCAGCTAGTCCAATTCCTCGCCGCAGACTTACATAGAGATACGCGATCAGAAGGGAGCGTGTCGGCCACAGAGACGGTTGTTCTGCCCAGCGAGGTCTGGGTGCTGTGCAGGTGGATGTCTTGTCGTGGTATGCGTGGGTTGGGGTGAGTAGCTGTGTTGTGGCGGGGTGTGTGTCGAGGAGGCGTTGAGCAGACGGGGTGATGTGTGTTCTTCAGCTATCGTTAGGGATAGGGGGTATATCTGCTGCGAGAGGAGGATATACAGGTGAGGAAAGACATGTCATGTCGTAGGGGATAACTGCTATCAAGCCACCACGGGAGAAAACCGCAGGTGATCAGCACACGTACGTGCTAGATGTCAAGGGAATATGCATACAATGCGGTACATAGAGTGGTAGTTCTCAATTGGGGGTTCTAATTACACTACCTAGCCCGACCTGCTCTTGCGGGCTAGTACGCTATAATCCGTGGTACCGTTTATCATGTTCTGCTACGGCTCGTGTCATTCATACCCACTTTCCCTGGTGTGTGGATTTGACTCGTACACTTGGATCGATCTTCACCTGTTCTTCGACAAGCACACCGCTATTGCATCGCCATTACCCGAATTATTCCACCGACGTAATCCGCCTACGAGACGGATCTCAATGTCTTGTCGTTCTACCGTGCAGCGCGTGTTTCTGGCAACGATCTGGTATGAGTACCCGCGAAAGAATACCCCATATTTCCGGACCCCAGTCCGAGAAACAAGCACCCAATCCCGCGCAGGATATAAGATATGAGCGTGACGATACGTGAGAGCGTCGGACGGCAATTCGGCGACGCGTTCTTCAGTCGGTGTGCATACTCCCTCCTCCATGATTGATCTCTCGCTCAAGACGCCGTCGCCTTGTGCTTCAAGTCCATGTTCTTCTCGCGAGCAACCTCCTCGTGTTCTTTCTTCAAGACCGTCCAATCGTACCTCTCGAACCCAAAGCTCCAGATCTTCTCCTTCTCGCTCCGTGGCTTGAAGTCCGTCTCCCGATTGCTCCTCCCCACGTGCTGGATCACACTCGGCGTGATTGCATACCTCAGCTCGTTTCTCTCGTTTGCGTAGTCTTCGATCAGGACTTCGGTGTTGCCGATGCGGCGCTCGCGGAAGTAGGAGATGAGGTCGACGACTTTCTGCGTGGGGAACACGAAGGCTTGGCTGCAGCACCCGAAGGCGGGCATCTCGTGCACGCCAATGGGGAGCGGGAGAACGGTGGTGCGGCCGAGGGCGAAGAAGAGGAGGATGCTGGTACCGGTCATGGCGTAGATTGCGATCATGGAGCGGCGGGTGGTGAGGGCGAGAGAGTACTTTGTGGTGGGCATGGTGAAGCGTATGACGAACAGCAGGGCCGTGGGGATGGCGGCGACGAACATGGAGTAGTAGAGGTACGTGTGCCAGTACTCAGCGTTCCAGCCCCAGAACTCTTCGGTGTAGAAGAGGCGCAGGTAGAGGAAGTCGGGTTTGGAATGCACAATGGCGGCTTGTCGTTCAGCCTCGTCGATGGCTGCAATGGTGCGGTGGTACCAGCCGTCCATGGCGACCGTGTCGTCGTCGATGATGGCAATGTAGGGTGTGTACTGCTCGGCGCACTTCTTCAGCAGGTACTCGTAGTCGAACAGGCCCTTCTCGATGAAGGCGCCGCCCTTGGCTTCCATGTTGCGAATGCCCTGCATCTGGTCGTCTCCAAACTTGTACGTCAAGACCTCGTCAGCAAGCCCGGCCAGCCACTCCTCGTTGTAGGCCGGGTGGTGGTTGGGGTTCGAGTGTGTTATGAAGACCATCAGGTAGATCTCGCGCCTCTCTTCCGGCGTCAGGCCCTCGAGCAAGGAGCCCATTGCGCTGGGAAGGTGACGCGAGTTGTCTCGGCGGTACGATGGGATGCCCACACATAGCTTTCTCTTGTCGTCTGCAGCCTTGACGACGCTGGAGCTCGCGGCCGAGCTGTATGACTGGATGAAGGCCTGGGCCTGCTGTCGTCGGATAGCCGAGTACCGAGGCGCGTACCCTTTGCGCGGGCTGAAGAAGACAGATGTCGGGTCGCGTGCAGAGAGCGTGGTGACGGTGTAGAAGAAAGCGAAGGTGATGAAGACGGCGAGGCCGGTGACGGTGCGCGCGGAAAAGTACATGGTGAGCGAGTGTGTGGGCCGGTGTTGTTCAGCGACGCATGGCTGGGTGGATGACTGGGTCGGTGGAGGGCTGGGCTAGGAGAAGAGGCGGAAGAGGAGCGGCCAGGCCATTGTGTATATGCGGTCAGGAGAGCCGAGAAAAAACCTGAGATAAGCAGTCACGCCCCATGACGGTACCGGTAGGCCAGGCACAACAACAATATCCCCATCCCTGTTGGCGGAATCTGGGAAAGGGGACGTGAGTTTTAGTCATGCAGGGATGCCTTAGCTAGTTTCGGGAGCATTTAATATAATCGCTTGTTGGCAATGCTAGCATCCGCTTGGAATACGTGCTGTTGGGAGATGAGCATGATTTGTTGTGATTGACAGTCGAAGCCATGTTTGGAAGCATCTCCAGAACATGTCGCGTTGGAATGGGATGAAGTGTAGGTTGAGGAGTACAAACCCCTAACTCGTCTCGTCAACATGTCAACATACAAACTGCCCGTCGAGCATGACAAGGCATGGTTCTACTCGAATAGCACCGTCGTGCATCTCCTTCTCAAACACTTGCATCCTTCCAAGGACTATATTCTAGCCTGCGGCGACCCACGTGCGAACCGCTCAGGCGTCCCGCTCCCGCGTAGGAGCCAGTGGCGTCATGGCCATGGCCGTTGCCGAAGCTCGTCGTCCACATTTGTCTCTGGCAACGCTCCGAGTCACACTTCGAGTCACACTCCTGCTGAAGCCCGATCCTCCCATGCAGTCCTCTGCCCCTTCTCCCAGCTCCCACCCCCTCAGCCATTCGAGGCTTTCATCTACCCCTCAAACGGCGTATTAGCGTACCAGCAACCCCAGATCTCCGCACCGCGCATCCAGCAACGGCTGCCCTCGCACAATGCCCAAGAAGCACGCCCCCGCATACACCCAAACAAAGCCAACCTATGTCCACCCGTCATTACAGAGCTCGCGCTCATCGACACCCTCTGCGCCGTCGACACCCCAGACGGTGAATCAGCGCATACAACAGCTGCGCCGCGAGCAGACACCCCGCCCGACCACGGAGCAGAGGGATGAACTCACATTGGCAGTAAGCAGCCGCACCGTCCCGCCCGACTTACGGCGCATACTACGCATCCCGGAGGTTAACGCGCCGAAACCAAAGCCCGGCACGCGTACACGCAGAACCATGGGAGGCGCGAGACCACCGCCTGGGCCTGCAGCGCCGAGTAGCTGGCTGGAGAGGAGTCGGCATGCGCCCGCGCGAGTGCGGAGGTTGCAGAGGGATCTGATTGGCGACCTTAACGGCCCGCCGAGGTTCTCCTTGTTGGCGAGGGTCACGGATGACGAGTTCAAGGTACGACCTTCCCTCAGGCGTTGGTGGGCGATATTTGGTGTTTTCCGTCTTTAACATCGCTCACGTTCAGGCTTCTTACTCTTGACGCAGCGCTTGCCATCGCCGAGGAGCTTGGTCCATCATTGTCTACGCACTTTCGCCTTGAACTGGGAGGAGCTGTCGGAGTTCGAACAGCACTATCTTCCCACGCTGCCGCTGTCACTGAGAGAAGTCTTGCTGGGCTATCTGACGGTATACGCGAATAAGGGGTGTATGGACTTCCGGTCCTTCAAGATACTCTTTCAGAGCGATGAGGCGGGGGGCGCATCAGGCTGGGACGAGACGCGCTTCCTCGACCTCACCGGCATGTTGAACGAGAACTTCAACCTCAACGACCTGGCGAAATGCCTCAAGCGCCCGACTACACAAACCACGCTGGGGCTGGAAGATCTAAGTATAGACCCCACGACCCCACCCAAAGGCAAAGAAAAGGCTCCCATCTCGGACTCCTGGGACGACGAAGACGAGACCGATTCCCCCACTACGACCCCCTCTGTCCTTCCCGCACACCTCAAAACCCCCTACTTTTCCAATCTCAGCCGCCTCTCTCTCGCCCACGCCGGCCTCTACGCATCCTGGCCCGACCTCCTAAAACTCTCTCCAAACCTAAGCAGAATACAACACCTCTCCCTCGCCTACTGGCCACGGCCCTCATCAACCCCCAACGCAACAACCACATCCATGATATCAAACCACACATCCATCGCCCTGGGCGGCTCACACTTCTACTCGGACCTCGACGACGACTGGCACGAAGCCGCCAACATCCTGCGCCGCCTAAGTCTCAACACCTACTCACTCCTCTGGCTCGACCTCGAAGGCTGCACCTGGCTCAAAGCGCTCACACTGCGGTTTCGCGTCTCCGAGGGCCCCCGCGCAGGCCCCAGCTACGACGTCGATACCTGGCAGCCCGCCGCCACCAAGATCCTCGGCCCGGACTGGAACGACGCGTGGAGTCGCGTCACGTATGTGAATTTCTTCCAGGGCTGGATTCCAGCAGATAATACGGCGATTCAAAATATGCCCGCGGGGATTGTGCCGGTGCAGCTTATGGTGTGGCTGCGCGAGAATAGGGGGAAGGAGGGGGAGGCGTGGAAGATGAATGTGGAGGAGACGGGGAGTGCGGTCGCGGAGTGGGTGCAGAGGGAGAAGAACGCGAGGAGTGTGGCTAGTGAGATTCAACATGCGAGGAAGAGTGGTGTGGGGGAGTGGTGCGAGGTGGATCATGGGTGGGGGAGGGAGAAGGTATCGTGACTTGTTCCGCATTTGATTGTGGGGTGTTGATGTGGGGGTGGTCAGATGCGGGGATGAATAGAAGATGTTGTAGACCATGTTGCAATATCATAGTAGAGGATGGGAGATGTTCATTGACGTGCTTTTCTCCAGTCTAGGAGACCTGATAAATCTGTGTTTGTACACTCACTACACCTCAAGATATACTACATAGATATCCCAATCCAAGACTACATCACTACACAGCAGATCAATACCATGTCGACTGCACACTCAACTCATATAGGGTGGCGTGCGTAGAATCTCCATCATGCATCTACCAGCTAAGCACAACCAACCCGCCAACCATCCCATCACGGAGTTTTAAACGGGGTCCCGAACCATCACACACAAACCCAACGCAGCCATCCGTCCAACCACCAATCAATGACGCAATATCATACTTCACACAATCCTCCTGCACTGCACAACGGACTCGCAACCCCCCACTCCACCAATCGGGGGTCCGCTACCAAGCAAGCTCCCCCGATGCATAGTTCAAGCCCATCCAACCGCGTCCACTCACCACTCTATCGAGCAGATGGCTTGCATGCCGGTGACGACCACCAGAGAAGGATTACGTGTGGGTTCGCTGGTGCTATGTATTGCGCGCGGGACGGACGCGACAGTGGCGTTTCAGCCTTCCGTGCCGCGTGGCAGGCTTGGCTTAGCTACTCAACGGTGGGCGAAGGCATGGCAGGGGTAAGGTGTTGTTTGGGAGTTGTGTGGTGTGGAGTGGTGGGGAGAGGGGGGGTTTATTATGGGATACGATACGATCATTATGGATGGCTATTTGGGTATGGGTACTCGGATGGACGCGCGTCGTGGATACAGTGGGCAGGGCCGGATTGACTGGCGAGGGTTCAGGGAGTGACAGATGTCGGGAGTCGGGGCTAGCGTGGATCGGGCTGAAACTAGCGTCGCTATCCCTATCCTTGCCTTTTGCTTAGTCGTCTGGCCATGGGCGCTGCGGATGTGGGAAAAAGACTGACGTGCGTTGCGTAACAAAAAGGCCGCGTTGTTCTTTTCTGCTCTGCTCTGCTCCTCGTCGTCTCTCTCTCGTCTTGTCTGCAATCGCTGTGTGTGTGTGGACACGATGCTCTCCTTCAAGAAAGCGCTGGTGCTTTCGCTCGCCTGCCTCACCCTCTTCTTCGTCTTCAAGTCCAGCCACGGTCGCAGCACCGCGCCCACGTTCCGCAACGCCCACGACCTCCCCCGCCCCACGGCCTGGACGCCGCCCAAGACGGGCGCCCAGAATGCCGCCGACGATGCAAAAGCAGCCGCGAAGCAGGACACCACGGCCTTCGACACGCCCGACACCCCGCCCAAGAAGCCAAAGACGCAGTACTCAATCGACGAGCTGAAACTCCGCCCCCTGCGCGACCAGCTCGAGTACCAGTTCCCCTACGACGTCGACGCCAAGACGCCCGCCTACATCTGGCAGACGTGGAAGCACACACCCGCCCAGGGCGAGTTCCCAGAGGTCTTCCGCGAGTCCGAGGCCAGCTGGAGCATCCACCACCCGACGTTTGTGCACGAGGTCATCACGGACAACGTCGCCCTGCACCTGATCCGCCACCTCTTCGCGTCGACGCCCGAGGTGCTCGAGGCCTACACCGCGCTGCCGCTCCCCGTGCTGAAGGCAGACTTCTTCCGCTACCTCATCCTGCTCGCCCGCGGCGGCATCTACTCCGACATCGACACGTCCGCGCTGAAGAGCGCAACGGAGTGGGTGTCAGCCGACGTGCCCGCCAACAGCTACGGCCTGGTCATCGGCATCGAGGCCGACCCCGACCGCCCCGACTGGGCGGAATGGTACTCGCGCCGCATCCAGTTCTGCCAGTGGACCATCCAGGCCAAGCCCGGGCACCCGGTTCTCGTCGACGTCGTGGCCAACATCACGCGCGAGACGCTCAGGCGCAAGGCCCAGGGCACACTGAACAAGGACCACAAGACTATTATTGAGTTCACGGGCCCGGCGATCTGGACGGATACGATTTTCGACTACTTCAATAATCCTGATTACTTCGATATGAGCGCTAGCAAGGGCAATATTACGTGGGAGAACTTCACGGGTATGAAGGCTGCGAAGAAGGTGGGTGATGTGGTTATTCTGCCCATTACGTCGTTTAGCCCGGGCATTAAGACGATGGGTGCTGGTGAGGATAATGATCCTATGGCTTTTGTTAAGCATCAGTTTGAAGGTAGGTTGCTCCTCTAGCGTTGTCCGCGTGGTTGTTCAGTGCTAATTAGTGACAGGGACCTGGAAACCAGAGAATCTGCGCCATATTGGCGAGATCTTCCCCTGAGTGGATGAGCCCCCGCGGACGCACGTAGACGCGTGCTGAGACTGCGCGAGACGTGCGCGAGATACATACTGCGGGTGGGAAAAGGACTATACACGGTCGGTCGGTCGGTCGGTGCTGGGCATCGCTCGCCGTGCGAAAAGGGGAGGGCACGCTGGGGAAAACGTCTCGGCTTGCCGTGGGTCGGTGTCGCGAGCTTACACGACGACTGGATTCGACAAGACCAGATCAGACCGCTCAAATCTCGTCGTAGTGCGCCTTCGATGGGAAACCGGCAACACAAACAAGCAAGCAAGCAAATAGACGGGCGGACATGGCGTTTCGGCGTTCCTTTCCTTTGCTTCCTACATACATACATCCATACAACCGCCCTCGACGACACGACTTCAAGCGCTGAAGTTGGGCTGGGCATATCTTATTTACACCGTTTTGCTAGTTGCTCGAGGACAGATTTTACCGTGGGTGGTAGATTCCTCACATAGACATGTCTTGCACAGCGTAGTTAGGTATACTCTCGATTTCAATATATATATAACCACCCTATTGTCATCCCACTCTATCCATGCCCCACCTCCAACTACTCTCACACGCTTCAGAAACAAGATTATCAGTGCCTCCCCGCCCCCAAAAACCGCCCCGCCTTCCCCGCAAAACTCAACAAACTACCCCCCACTGTTGGCCGACGTTCTAACTCCCTGTCTCGCGCGCGGTCTTGTGTGAATTGGGCTTCTTCGTCGAGGTCTTTTTGCGTTGTGTGTTCGTGCTCGTGCGAGTGGTGGGAGTGGTGCGAGTGTGAACTTGGGTGGGAGTGGGAGTCGTGGCGCGGTGGGTCGAGGTAGTGCGTTTGTGGTTGTTGTTGTGGTTGTTGTTGTTGTTGTTGGTAGACTTGCAGGGCTGTGGGTTGGGGTTGGACGTGGGAGGTTTCGGGTGGTGTGGGGGGGCGGGGGAAGGATAGCTGTTGTTGGTTCTGGAGGGGTTGCTGGAGTTGGTAGTTTTGTGGTTGAGGTTGGTAGTTTTGGGGTTGAGGTTGGTAGTTTGGGTCCAGGGCGTTTGGCGTTGTTGGGTAGGGTGGGTTGGGCGCGGGAGGGTAGGGGTTTTGTGTGTAGGCTGGGAAGACGGCGGACATTTTGGTGGGTTCTGTTTGGTTTGGTTGTGGTGTAGTGTGGTGTGGTTGTAGTCCTAGTTCAGGTGAAGTGGAAAGGCCCAGGAGCTGCGGTTCAGCACAGATATATCTTGATTATCGCGCCGAGCAAAAATTGCGTATGCGGCGGAGTCTTGGGACTTTGTGTTCCTTGTCGAAGGGAATAGAGTTTGGTCGGTAGGGCAAGGGTGTTTGACTGTTTTGTGAATGGGAAAACTTGTTGGCAGGTACTTACTTCATGGCCTACCGGTACATATACAATAGCCTTTAGTTACACTACCTACGCTTTGCCTCTTCTACATCACGAGCTAATTGTCATCGCATCATCTGTTCTGTTCTCTTCTCTTCGTGGTCGGCTTAGAGTGCCGTCGATGATGTAAGGTCCTTGGCGGAGGGGCAGAACGAGTGGACGGCATTCAGGTGCCTGGGTCTAGCGTGAGTTGGAGTGGTGTGCACGGTCTTGGCTTCGTTCCGTTGTTGCCGTACACTTTGTCGAAGGGAGAAGTTGTGCTGTAGTCAGCTTGTCGGGCGTGGAGTGCCATTGGTGAGAGGCGTGAGAAGATCGACGAGTGGTTACCCGAAGCTGATGGAGGTAAGCACTCAACAGTACTGCAACTTGTTTCTCGCTCCAAAACCTCAAGTACTTCAGCCTTGTGTGCAGTTTTCGCCTTCGATGTTGCCCTCAGGAAGGTACATAGCGGCCGGTGAAAGGGTGACCGAGGCCGAGCCGCCACATCGTACGCCACGAGTAGCCTTGCGTAGCTCTGCCCAAAGCTCTAGCTCAGCTGACATGCGAACCGGTCTTGTTGTCGAATCACAGACGCGCAGGAGCTTAAGCCGACATTTAGGCCCGACTACTGGGGTGTTTGTCGTCGCTACCCCACCAGCGCGGGGCTGAGTCTCTGCGCCTCGACGCGATCCTCTTGCACAGCCCTTGTTATTATCTCTGAACCGTGGCCGCCTTAATGAGACCTTCCTCGCAGTAGTCCTCCACATTTTCTCACATCTTCCCCTCCAGCTCCTCACATAGTTTGCCGGCGACACAACTCACAAGGAAATCCACAATTTCCCCCACAACTCAGCTCTGACAACCGAGATACCCCAGTCGATGGCACACAACTATCAAGGTGGCTATCAGCCACCCTACCAAGGCCGTGAGTCTTTATTTGCTGCCTCTGCACTCGCGCCATGCAGTGTATCATGACTGCATTGCGCTTGCGAGCTGAGCTGAAGCTGAAGCTGAAATCGAGTATATATTAATACCTCGCAGAGCCCCCGCCCCAAGGATACGGACAACCTCCACAGCAAGGCTACCATCAACCTCCTCCAATGCAGAACCAGCAGTATCCCGTACAGGGTCACCAGCCTCAGCAAGGTTGGGGTCAACCGCCGCCTCCAGGACAGTACGGCGCGCCCCCGCCGAATTCCTATGGCGCTCCTCAGGGCCAGTACGGAGCTCCTCCGCCCCCACAGCAGGGCTACGGCGCACCTCCTCCAGGGCATTATCAGCAACCACCACCTGGCCAGTATGGCGCGCCCCCGCCGAATCAGTACGCTCCTCCGCCTCAAGGCCAGTACGGTGCTCCACCTCCACAAGGACAATATGGCGCGCCACCACCGCAGGGACAGTACGGAGCCCCTCCTCCACATCATGGAGCACCACCGCCTGGTCAGTTCCATGGCGGTTTCGGCGGTGGCCCACCTGCCCAGCCATCGCTCGGATACGGGCCCCTGCCGATCGCGAACATGGACATGAGTGCGGACGTCGAAGGCATTCGCAAAGCCATGAAGGGCTTTGGCACCAACGAGAAGGTCTTGATAGGTATAGTGGCCAAGAAGGACCCTATCCAAATAGCTACTATTCGCGCGCAATACAGCCAGCGTCTGATGCGAAACCTGACCGAGGATCTCATTGCGGAGCTAAGCGGGTACTTTGAGAAGGGCATGGTTGAAATCTGCCGAGGACCGCTGGAATCTGACTGCTACAATCTCATGGAGGCAATGAAGGGGTTAGGCACCAACGAAGTTGTCCTTGACGACGTCCTTGTTGGCCGGAGCAACGCCGACGTAAACGCTATCAAGCAGAAGTATCACCAGCTGTTCAAGCGGACACTCGAGGCAGACCTTCGAGGCGATCTAAGCGGAGGGACTCTAGACATGTACATGATGATCATTGCAGCACACCGCGCCGAAGACTCACAGCCGGTCAATCCCCAGGAGGTCGACCAAGACGTAAACGCGCTTCACCACGGTCTCGGTACCATGTTCAGTAAGAATGGAACGCAAGTCTGCCAGATTCTCACCTGCAAGAACGACGCCCAGCTGCGTGCCATCTCCACAGCTTACCAGCAACGCTTCCACAAGGACTTCGACAGCGCTCTCAGAACCACGTTTTCGGGCCACATGCAGGAAGCTCTTCGCCTGCTCGTCCACCGAGCCAACAACCGCGCAGATGCTGAGGCTATCAGGTTGGAAGACTCGATGGCGGGTCTGGGCACCAAGGACGTCCTCCTAGTCCAACGTGTCGTCCGCTGCCACTGGGACAGGAACTTCATGGGCGCTGTCAGCGCGGAGTACAAGCGTAGATACAAGAAGGATTTGGTTAAGAGGATAGAGGGTGAGATTCGAGGCGATTACGAGAGGCTTATGGTTGCGTGCGTGAAGCCTTGATCAGTGGTAGAGATTTGGTAGGAGGTGGTGTTTGGGAGTCCTGCTTTCGTGATATCAACTTTTCTTCTTCTTCTCTTCTTGCCCCTTTACTTCTTGGGGTCGGTGATAGGGACAAGAGCACGCGTACCTCGATGTGTGAGTCCGATGGAGTAGCTTTACCGTATGAATATTTCACTACATTGCAATGCTGTTTTGGTCTATATGATTGTCTCTTTGTCTTTGTGTTTTGCTGGCATTCTCCCGATGTTGCTTAAATCCTATCGCCTTTCGGATGGGAAGAGAGGGTGCAATCGAACATGCGAGGCTTACCGATATGGTGAGTGCAGCAGTCCTAAACCATTAGTAGCAGTGCACCCTTGAAGAGGTTATCATTTCGCGGAGGGACTAGCATGGAATTGCTCGAATTCTCCTCTATCACACACCAAATCTCGCAAACCTCTGCCTGGCTGAAGACCTCCGCTCGACGCGTCGCGACTGCCTCTTTCAATACACCTCACTCACCATCATCGCTCGCCCCACATGCCAAGCTGGATTCTCTAAATTCTCGCGTCTACTTCTCCATTGCAGACCTCCACTCCACTCGATTCTCACAGCAGCAGTACAGCAGCAGCCATGGTCCACGCCAACGGCTTCCTCAAGATCGAGGTTGGCTTCATGAAATCGAGCAGTGAGTCAACCGGCAGTACATTGCTATCACCGTATCTTCTAACCTGTATGGCAGTCCTCAGCAATGACCCATCTCACAATCCGGAAGAGTTTGAGTACACCGTCGACAACAACGGGAAGACAGTTCGCCGATGGCTTCAGCAGGTGGAGGGGACGATGGTCTGTACACGGATCGGTCTCCCAATTGGACACTGTATTGCCTATCTCATACTTCGCTCCGACATTCCTGACTTCCGAAATCGTATGATGGTCGACCACGACTCTCCTGGGATTGAGAAGGCGCTGACCAGCCTCGCACTGGACGTTTTTGATCGCCATGGTCGTTTGAAGAATGAGGTCAAGGAACATCCGATCAAGAAAGGGTATGTGGCTCAGCTTCGATACACCGCAGTTCCCTGCTGATGCAATTGGTGTTCTAGGTCTGGTGTCTGGGGCAGTGAGCTTGACACGGGCGACCTGTTATTTCTTAAAGAAGTGTGGATCTCGAAGCGCTACCGTCGACGAGGACTAGGTCGGCAGCTTGTACAAGCAGTGTGGAAGAAGATGCAAACCTATTCAGGACGACTCTTTGCGATAGCTGAGATGCGGTTCGTCTACCAAGAGGTTATCCAAGAGCCTAGATACGAAGGCGCCACCAATGAACACAAACATGCTGTTCACGCTCGACATAACCGTGTCATCATAGAGTTTCTGCGAAGCCTAGGATTCCGGCGTGTAGGATCTCTGGACTGGTTTGCTCTGGCTTGCGACTTGGACCATCCTTCTTACGCGTTGAGGGCAGCCGCCGATTTCGGCCTACCAGACTCCACTTTCTGGAAGACCAACGCTCTCGCCAAGTCATTGAGACAAAAGGCCCAGGGGTCATCTGATGAGACGTTTCTTGCTATTCTGAGATCAAGATTCAAGACTGTCTCTGCTGACGATTCGAAGTGGTTGCGCATCTACACCGAGCATGGTAGCACCATTCTACACTTGGCAGCAGCCGAGTGCAAGCCAAAGTCAGTAGCGTGGCTCATTTCGCAGAAGCCTGACCTCCTTCTCCTTCGCGATCATATGGGCAACACAGCCTTGGATGGGCTAGAGTCGCGATTGGAGGATCAGCGTTCCATCCTTACCGAGTCGATTCGAGTGAAGGAGACTATGGGGATTTTACAGATGTGGGACGTCACTAGGGATATCTCAGACCACTTCCAAGGGTTCCCAATGGAGGCAGTCCAGTGTCTACAGATACTCAAACACCTCGATCAAGTGTCGGATGAGGACCTTCTGCGACTGAAATACGGTTGCACTTGCGGCCAATGTCTGGGAGGATTCTTGAGTCCTCGAATGCGTATGCGTCTCCGGGAAGAGAACCACAGCAGTATGCAGCTCGTTGTTTTCTCTGCGAAGCTCGGTCGAACCTCCAGTCAATTCATGCATGACATAAGCGACATTGCCAAATGTCTCCCGGACGAAGTTGTGAGCATTTTCAAGGAGGACAAGCAGAATCGACATTCGCTAGTTTGTTTCTTCAGGAGTTTCGGTGCGTGTCTAGCTAACGACCAGATTCCGAACAGCTCAAACATGAGTCCGTGGCTGAGCAACTCTGCCAAGCGGCTTAGGAAGGACTTCGATCCTGCTCGTGCAAACGCCCTTCCGCCCCTGGGGACCTGCGTCTTCCAGAAGGCATTAAACTGGGACCGCCAAATCTTCCGCCACTCGCTTGGAGCAGACGAGCTGAAGAAAGTCCAGAAGCAGCTTGCACACCTACCAGAATGTCGCAACGACCTTGAGTACGGTTTCGCTAGTCGGATGTGCGGCTACGGAATGGTTTCTCTCCCTCCCTTCGAGCCGCAGCCCCCTGGCTTGAGCTAGTGCTTTGCAGGCACAGCCTTCGTGGACATGGTTGGGCCGCCTCAATATCTAGGAGAGATGGCTCGTGGCTTGCTCCCAAGACGGGCTGCCGACTTCATCTGTAACGCTGTAACGATACGACGATCATGAAAACATACGTACATGTGAATGGGTTAGGTAGGACCATGTCGTGTGGATATATATACAAGCGAGCAGTGTGTTTAACTGGCGATACATCTATGCACCGCTTCTCGTGTGTATTTACAGTAGATCGAAGTCGAGACGAAGGACATCGTGGTATATTCCAGGACATGTTTCTTACCCGCAAAGTTCAATACAAGCCATTTCTTTACTACACATAGAACTATGCCAATGTCCATCCAATACTAGTCACTGCCTATATCGAGTGTCTTTTGTACGAGCTCGCTGAAATACATGTCCGAAGTGTGGGTGTCAATCGCTAACACATTACTCCATGTTTGACCAACTGTCTTTGAGGTGGATGTTTGGCAGTCTTTGGCAGTAGGCTAGTATGGGTACTTGTTGCCTTCTCTTCTCAGTGATGTTTGGTCAAGTCTTTCAGTGTTATGGAGCGACGTGATATTGCGCAAATTTACACTCATACACTTGCAGGCAAGCAGTTCAATAGCATGTTGCCATCCACAATCTACTGAGCAGTGCCATCTCCATCCTTCCCACGTCCCTTACCGGCCATGCTCACCGAGACCTTGGGTTTGTTCACGAGCGTCTGCAGTACAACACAATACCGCTCAGTCAGCTTGCCCAGTTTCTCCAATTCCTCTTCGGTAACCTCTTTGCCGTCATCTCTTTCACCAACCTGCAGTTGAAACCCCAACCTTATATCCGTCATTCCTACCGACGCAGTCCGATCAACACCAAGCGTGCCTCGGAAGTCCAGATCGCCCTCCGCGGAGACGGTGCCAGAGATGATGGGTATATTCAAAGCGGTTGCGACGACCTTGAGCGTAACACCAGAGCAGGCCACGAGTGCATCGAGCAGCATGTCGCCAGAACACAGCTCGCCGGATATCGCCGGATCATCACCGCCAGCTTTGGGGTGCAGACCGGCGATTCGAGACGCTTCTTTGACTGCCGCGCCGGTGGAGAGCTTGCACGTTATGGACGAATCGTCGATTGAACCGGAGGACTTGAGGGTGACGACAGCGGAAGACGCGTCGCGTCGGTAGCCGTCTTTGATAGGAGCTTGTTTCTCGCGGAGAGCTTGGGCGGCTGTCGACATGCTTGCTGTGATACTAAAGTCGCGAGGATCAATTGACTTTTGAAGAGAGCTTCGCGCCTTGGTGTAAGTGAGGAATGTATGTTATAGCTTGCTGGTCACGATTGGCTCAGTAGAGGTTGTTCACTGTACCCCGCAAGGGGATTGTAGCAGCCCCGCGACTTGCCGTTCGTGTGAGGGATTAAATAGGAAGGTGCATGGGATCATGACGACGGCTCAAGCGAGCAGTATCATAACCACTGCAACCGGCCACGATGTGTTGATGAAAGCACGGCGATAAGGACATGTGGAAGGATGGATGTTGTCTTTCTACAGGAGCGATGTTGGAGTTGGAGAGAATTGACGACCAATCATCGCTTCCGCATGTCCAGAATGCACCTCGACTTCACCCTCATCGTCCAAAGTAGGCCGAAACGCTCGACATTTATATTTCTGAAGGTAACGTGAAAGATGCTGTCTTGTATATATCTACTCGTCTTCTAACTTGATCTCAACCTTCACGTCATGATCACCTAGTCTCTCGTCACTCTCCATCTTGATATCACTCTCCATTTTCACATCCACTTCTACTCCTTCCATCTTTACATCCAATTCCGCACTCTCCATCTTCACATCCGCTTCCACACTCGCTTCTACATCCTCCACTTTGACATTCTCCCATCCCACAACCCCTTGCATCTCAATCCATCCCGTCTCCTCTTCACTGTCCTCCATATCCCCACTACCCCCACCAAGCCCAACCTCATCTTCCCTACCAAACAGCACTCCCCAGATCCTCTCCAAATACTCAAAATCCTCACCCCCAAAAGAAAACCCATCCCACATCCCCAACTCGCCTTCCAGAAACGCCAAAACGCCTTCATGAAACACACCCTCCGCCGTCCTGTCCGCCCTCCCCGTCTCCAAAAGCTGCACGCCCCACGCGGCGGCATCCGCCAACGCAACGTACCCTGGCCCATCGCTCCCGGACGAAAGAGACGTGCGCTGCACCTCGCCCAGCACGTGAGCAATGACTTCCGCCTCGAGGCGCATACTGTATGTCCTAGGCGGCCACGTTTTGTTGATGTAATGGGCCAGGGTATTCTGCAGGGCGGACAAAACCTGCAGGCAGGCATCTGTAGACATGTGGGCTGGAGCATACAGACGGATGAGCAAGGGGAGGAGGGAGAAGATGTGGGTCAGGGCGTTGGAGGCTTCGAGGGGGGTTGCTCCAGTCTTGGTTGAGGGGGTTAGGGGGCCGGGGAGATCCTCAGGCGCTCTTTCGACGCGTGAATCCGGGCGTGGTGGGGTGGGTTGGCGACGATGGGGGATTCTGACTTGGACTTTTTGGCGGTCAAGGGCCAGCGCGGCGACTACGGCGGCTTGATGGCGTGTTTGTACCATTTTTATGGGTGGTTGTGGTGGATGTGAGTGGAAGGTTCCTTGATGGTAGTGTGGGATATCTGGGAAGAAAAGATGGGGGGATGCCTTGAAGTACTTCTTGAATAAATCGCAGAATCTCAGTCGAGATTGTGAGCCGTGGTTCGAGTCTTTCTCCTCTCTTGTACCGTACTTTTGGTCGTCGAGTTGTCGGTAGGTAGACGTTAGCATTTGCCAAAAGGTGAACACTCAACCACAGGATAGAGCAGTGAAGGGACCAATCGCAGACATTGTATATGCAACCTGTGACGGCAGCGAACCTTGTAGTCTCCAACTCTTCTTACTACACAGATATTGCTGAAGCCGTATAGGCTGAAACAAATTTGTACTATCTGACTTTTTCGACAAACATCCAGACGGTACAGATCCGCCAAGATGTGGATCACGATGTACTGTTCCATGGATCGTGTGCTAAAGATTGCTCACACTTCCAACGCCATTTAGGTGAAATTTTCTAAAGCCCCACCGTGAACTATACTTGAGATTATTCACTGTACCCCTATATCACAAACTCGATGAGTAAAGAAACGACGCTGATACGTCGAGAATAAACGAGAGAGAATTTTGGATGACTAAAAACATGCGTTGACAAGGCATCTACAATGATAATGGAGACAGACCCACTCCATTCACTCTAAAGCGTCGACTATCCAGGGAGAATGGATTGTGGTCCTTGTTATTATCGTCAAGTCGCTATTGGTGACGCGGCATCTACCTGTAACAGCTAGGAGTCTTTTTTGCACACGAATCAGCTCTAACACTAAGGTACAAAATTAGGTAATTTACCCTGCAGCTTTGTTAGGTAAAAAATATAGAAGAAAAACTACATTTTATACTATAATATAGTATAAAATATAAAGTAAATTTATATAAACTTAGTATAAAATAACTATAGTTTATTATTAAATAAGTAAGTAAATTTATACCTTATTTTATAATAAGTATATAAAAATATTTATAACTATTATATATTAAATTATATTATAAATAGTATATTTCTTAACTATTATAGCCTAGTAAGTATATTAGTAGAGGTATCTTTATACTATATAAAGTTTTTATTATTAAGTAAGACTTTAAGTACTGCTACTATTTTAAGCTTAATTAAGTAGTAACTCCTAATACTACTATTAATATTCTAAAATACTTTACTAGGTAGTTAAGAGAAACTAAAGATCTAATTAAAGCTTATATTTATTACTATTAGTATTTTAATAATAAGTTATTTAACTTACTATATAAATAAATATACTTTTATTTAACAGAAAAGAGATACGCTCTTTATAAGAAGCTTTTTTAATATTATTTAAACTTTTTTTTTAACTTATTACTTTTAAAGCTTATTACTAGTAGAGTAATTATAACTACTAAGTTAAGTACTATTTTTATTATAGTTAAAGTTAAAGTAAAATAAGTATAATTACTAAGTTAAGTACTATTCTTATTATAACTAAAGCTAAAAGAAGAGATATACCTTTTATAAAAAGCTTTTTTATTACTATTTAAAACTTTATTATAGTATACTTCTTAAGAAGTATAAAGTAGTAATAAAAAGTATTTTTTTTATTAGTAAAGTTAATACTAATATATTTAACCTTTTTATTAAATAAATATATAAGAAGAAGCTATTAAAGAATATACTAATACCTTTCTTTTTAGTATATTATATCTTTATTAAATATTAGTTCTACCTTATAGTAGATATACTTCTAGCTTTTAAATAAAAAGATACTTTAATAGAAAAAGCTTCTTTAGTACTATTTAGGCTTCTTTTAAAGTATACTATCTAGTAAGTTTAAAAAAATAGCTAATAGTATTATCTTTATTTATTAGGTTAATACTAATATATTTAATATTTTTATTAACTAAATATATAAGAAGAAGCTATTAGAATATATATAAGTACCTTTCTTATCTATAGATTATATTTTAGTTAAATACTATACTTATATTATAGTAGATATACTTTTAGCTATTAAATAAAAAGATACTTTAATAGAAAATATCTTTTAAGTTATATACTAAGCTTTACTTTATTTACTTATAGTAATTTACTTTTTTTAAAGCTTACTTATAAAAAATCTTATACCTTAGTTACTTATAAATAGTTAGTATATTAATAATAAATTTAGTAGTATTACTAAAGAGTATTCTATACTTTAGTTACTTATAAATAGTTAGTATATTAATAATAGATTTAGTCGTATTACTAAAAAGTAACTTAGTTTTATATCTTAACTTCTATATAAGTTCTATATATAATAGATTTCTAAAGGTATTAAGCTATAAAATAAAAAGCTAAGAAAAAAGTAAAATATAAAAAGTAGGTATTAACTAAGATTTAATAGACTAAATATAAGAAAAAGAATCTTAGAAAGGTAAAATATAATAGTCTTTAGCTTTAATATACTAGTAGTTTTTAAGGATATAGTTAAGCTAAAGCTAGTAATTACTATTTCTAAAGTACTATTATAGCTAAGTTAATAAAAGTATATTATAAGTTTCTCTATTAAAGTACTACTATAGCTAAGTTAATAAGAGTATATTATAAGCTTCTTTATTAAAGTACTACTCTAGCTAGGTTATTATTCTAGTAATAGCTCTATATTAAAGATATCTAGCTTTAGTATACTTAGCAGAAATTAGCTTTTTAATATAACTAATTTATATATTAATATAGTAGTAAAACCTACTACTTTTAAAAGTAACTAGCTTATATACTAATATAGTAGTAGAACCTACTACTTCTAGGTATAACTTTTATATTAATATTATAAAGATTACTACTAAGCCTACTTTAAAGACTACTATAGCTAGATTATTATTCTAGTAATAGCTTTATATTAAAGATATCTAGATCTATTACCTAAAGATAGTATTCTAGTATAACTAATTTATATACTAATATAGTAGTAAAACCTACTACCTTTAAATATAGCTACTATATTAGTACTATAAAGATTACTGCTAAATCTACTATAAAAACTATTATATTTTATAGTATAATATTCTTTAACTAAATTTTTTATCTTAGTATAATTAAGACTACTAAAATACTTATACTTAGTAAAAGTTAGCTTTCTAGTAATAAGGCTTTAGTAGAACTATTTCTATAGTAAAATAAACTTTAGACCTTCTATTTAGCTAAATTATTAAGAGTATAAAAAATTAGACTTTTAGAAAGCTACTTATAAGAAAAGTAATACTAAATAGTATATTTAAACTTTCTTATTTATAGAACTTTTAAGATATAAATAGCTATAAATTAATAAAGTTAAATAATTAAATATAATTAGTACTAAAGGTATATATACTAAATATTATATAGATATAAGGTACTAATTATATTTAACTACCTAACTTTATTAATCTAGTCTTATAAGATCTAACTTTTACTACTATTAAGGTAGTTCTATAACTAAGTAGATATAAGATTTAACTCTTACTACTATTAAAGTAGTTTTATAACTTAGTAATAAGCTAAAAAAAGTCTTAATATATATTTAACTTTTAAGAGGCTAGCCTAGTAAGATCTAACTTTTACTACTATTAAGGTAGTTTTATAACTTAGTAGGTATAAGATTTAACTTTTACTACTATTAAAGTAGTCTTATAACTTAGTAGGTATAAAGTCTAACTTTTACTACTATTAAAGTAGTTTTATAACTTAGTAGGTATAAGGTTCTATATGCTATAATTATAATATATTAGCTTAAGTATAAAGTTAATATATATTCTTATATATTAATTATTAAATATAATAATATTAGTAGCTATTAGGTTTCTAGTCCTCTTATATTTCTTAATAGCTAAGTATTTATAGTAAAGATACTAATTAAAGGCTTACTTCTAATTAATAAGTATTATTTATATATTAGATTCTAATATTATTACTTTAAAGCGTTATACTATTCTAGCTTTATATTTTATTTAGATTAACTTAACCTTCTCTTACTTATTTATGTTTAAATTCTAATATTATTACTTTAGAGTATTATACTACTCTAGCTATATATTTTATTTAGATTAACTTAACCTCCTCTTACTTATCTTAGAAGACTAGACTATTAAGGTTAAAAAAAGAGTTAAAGTATAATATATTATTTCTTCTTAATTAAACTAGCTAGTAGGCTATATTAATTACAGCCTACTTTAAAGGTAGTTTAATAATAGAACTTAAGCTCTTTATAGTAAACTTTATAGCTACTAATTTATTAAGTACTAAAAAAAAGCTAAAGTATAATATATTATTATTCCTTAGTTAAACTAGCTAGTAGGCTATATTAATTATAGCCTACTTTAAAAGTAAGTTAGTAATAAAATTCTACTCTAATAGTAAAGTAGATATTTATATTAACTTTATACTAGTTCTTAACTTTAAACTTATTAAAATACTATTTAAGAAAGTTAATAGTAACTTCTAAGTTATAGTACTACTTAGCCTACTTATTATTCTTATAATTAAAGGGCTAGTTATTTTTATAATTAAAGGGCTAGTTATTCTTATAATTAAAGGGCTAGTTATTTTTATAATTAAAGAGCTAGTTACTCTCTAAAATACTTATAGTTATATATAGCATTTCTATAAACTTCTAATCTTTACCTAAGGTATTAGAGATATACTTAGAAGAGAAAGTACTAAACCTTATATCTAAAGTTAAATATATAAAATATATACTTAGATAGTAATTCTAAAGAGGTTATAATAACTTATATATTTTTAAAGTATATTTAGTAAATATAAAGAAGATATAGCTTATATTACTTATCTATATTACGTAGGTTTAGAATATATATAGTGTAAAGGGCTAACCCTAAGAATAGTTACTAGTATAAATTAGATAAATTTACTAAGGATTTATAGTACTAGTTTTTCTTTACTTATAGTTCTTTTAGTAGTGTACTAAGAGTTTCTAAAGTATAGGTAGTAGTATAGGTATTAGTAGTTAGGCCTACTAAGCTCTAAGGCTTTACTTACTAAGGTTTTACTAGGCCTAGCCTATTATATAAGTCTCCCTCTAGTAAAAATTCTTGTGTTTTAACCCTACTATAATATAATATATTAACCTATTACTAATACTTCTACCTATATCTATATATATATTTTTAGCTTTAACTTATATATACTCTTACTTCTCTTACTCTTTTTTATTAATATAGTTAATACTTAC